AAGCAAAGAAAATTTTTTGAAATTTTTGGGCAAATCCAATACGGTTGCCCGTCACCCTAGGGTGGGGCCTCCGTAATAATTATGTAAAATTACTTATGTGCTGGAAATTAATATTCATAAAGCTTCAAACAATCACACAATGATAAAATCGAAGTTATTGAAGAATAACCAAGGAAATCTATTTAATTATAAGAACTCTCGTATCGTTCGTCACACTCCAAATCTTATTCGCCATGGCCAATTATTTCATTATGATTATTTGAATGTTTTTCCAAATAAACAAGAGCTGTGGAGCGGAAGGGCACTTGAGAAAACGTAAGGACGACTCGAAGAGTGCCGATTCCAGTCTAATGCTTTTAATTGAGATTCTCTTATTATTATTTGAAACTTGTTCGTTCGTTCGTTAACATTTTTCTCTCTTTCCTAACTGTACAATTATACAATCAAAAATTGAATAAAAACCACATTCAACATTCAGCACAAAACGACGACGTATTTTGTGAACAACAAATATTTAAGAAAGGCATAGCCAAGAAGTGCCTCTTGTGTTGTTTTATATTTAATTTCGCTCTCCTGCCTTTCTTCTTGTTGTTGAACAACGAAAAAGAAAACCAAAATATTCTCATTCATAACCTAACACAATAATCTTTGAATTAAATTTGATGTTATTTAGAAGCACCCAAAGAAAAATTTATTTCAAATTTATAAATAATGTGGAAAATTATAAATAACAACGCAAGAGAGTTTTCGAGCGTTTTGTTTTTATTCTTAGCGGGGGCATGAACAGTAAATTTTTTTACCATCCATCTAACCGACGATATTTTCTTTTTCTTTTGGTGCAAAAATAAGCGAACGTAAAAATACTCCCACGTGCTTTACTTTGATGCTCGACAGTAAGATTATATATTCAAACACCATCTTTAAGGTGGTTTCAAGATGAATTTTACGGCTGAAAAACTAATCTTTATTCGCAGCATGGAAGTGACCTAGCGTTAATGAACTTCCTTTAGCATTGATTTTAATATTTTTTATTATAAATTCGAATTGGAAGTACTGTTGTTGTTCTTCTTCTTCTCTGTTCGAGTTTTGCTATTGTAAATGATGAATGATACTTGAAATATGGTCTGATAGCTACGTTTCATGACTAAAGAGTGTTTCACCTCGACAGCATGTTCTAGACAGACTCGCCCGCATTCTTTTTGTTTGTTTTTTTGTTTTCTTTTCCAACTACCTAACAGTTGCCTTTCGTCAATGAAATGATTTTTATATACATATATGGGCCTATTCAGTATTCTGATTTCAATTTTTTAAAAGAAGAACAAAAATATTTGTAAGCCAATGAAGTTTAATCAATATTCAAAGAATTATGAAACCTCCGACGGCAAGTTTAACTTTTTTTTCGTCGTGACTTTGTTATTTAAGTAATCGAGTTAAGAGTGAAACTGATCATTCACTGTACGTAAGTTTTGAGAAATTGAAAACAACTCAAAACACAAAACTAATGGAATTTTCTCGCTTTGACATCCAAAAATCGCGTCTGCATCCGCTTTTAATTTCAGTTTTCATTTTCCAAAGAGAGATACGAATGAGTGTTATAAACATCACAGTTTATATCTTAATTAATAAATCATAAACACTCACATACACACATTCAAGCTGAATGTACATATTAGTTTGACGAAGAAAAATTATATCAATTATCGCTGTTGAAATAGAATTTTTTTTAGAGAGAGAGAGGGAGAGAATGTGGTGCGAATTTTTCGGGTAAACATTTGAAATAAATGTGTTGTTGCTGATAACTTTTTGCGCTTTTGCTGTTCATTTTTTAGGGTTCTGCTGTTAAGCTTTTTAATACAATGTTGTTTCTGAAAGTGACGCTAGTAGGAAAAAAATTAATTTATAAGATTTCTTCATATGAACACATTAATATTCCTCCATAATTTATGATGAGTTTCATCATACCTAGTAAAATTCCGTTGAGGTTTTTAATGATTTAATTATAAAATCGCTTAATCGACTCCCAGTACATTGTGTATCAATTGTAAGCACTTGAGACTTTCTATCTCGCTTGAGAGAAATTCAAGGAATTCTCTTAGACTCACAGAACCATCACTCGCTTTACCGCAAATGGTAAATACATCAACGAGGTTACTGACTTGATTTGTGTGAGTGTATGCAACTTAGTGGAATGAGGTCATGGGATAATCTAAAGAAAATAGACATTTTCGGACGCTACACAAAAGAAGGAAAGGTTTTCTTTCGGCACGAGCTTCAATTGTTTCTTTCCGAGGGTTTTTTTCTTGCTTTCTTAAATTGATATGCTTGACCAGTTTACGTAGCTGGTTTTTCGTTCAAATCCGATACGGACTTGATCAATCTTCTAAGAAAAGAGAAGAAAAAATAAAACAGGAAAATAAAAAAAAGTTTCTCTCGATATAAATTTCAATTATTTTCCTTTTATAGGAGAAAATAAAATTTTCCTTTCTTTGAAGTGCCCCCATGAGACGACAATTCTCTTTTCTTATGCAGGAAATTGATAGTTTCATCCTCTCCCTCTGATATTTGGCATCGTCTTGATATTTACTCGATGTGGAAAGTTTGATTCTGTCAAGAGCTGAGAGAAAGGTAGAAAAGTAAATTTATTTATACGATTTCCTACCTTATAAACCACCCCACAATAACTAAGATACATTCCCAATAAAAGATTCTTGTTTCCTATAAGTCTGGATTGTGTAACTTTCATATTTGCCTTCATAGGGTTGTGAACTAATTAAGGAACCTTTGAAGTCTCAGTCAAATTGAAATCGAAAACCAAAGCGAGATATTGAAAATTTATGTTCAACTTTATGTGCGGAAAGGCAAATGAAGCTTGAAAAATAACAAAGGGAAATAGGATCTTTCATCCTATACCACAAATAGTAGAAAAGGGAATCGATTCTGATATTCATGCAAGTGACTTTAGAGCTTCATGTATTGTGTGCACTTTTTTCAATGTAACTTTTATTAAGATTTTAAGATAACGAAAAGTTCAATCATTTTTCAGATTACTTTATGTTACACTCATTTCCGTCTTAATATCCGTGCATTTCCATTTATTGAAGACGGAAAAAACTTTATATAAACCACAGCAAAAAAAAAATTGGGAATAGAACCGAACAGACAATATAAATTTGTATGATTGATTGGAGAATGGTTTTATTTTACTTTTGCTCGTCGTAAATTCTTTACTTTATTATTATTATTTATGTATTTGTGTTTGCTTCAATGATTTTTTTTTTCGTTTGACTTTAACATTTTTTTATTGATAAGACATCGATAAACATTCCGGTACAAGTTTATTTTAGTGGAAAAAAGGAAAAAAATGAACGGTGAAAGAATACAGAGAAGCGCAGAAAGACAAGGAATGATGAGATTCCTGTCGCTTTTGCTAAATGTAAGAAAAAACTTTTTTCTCCAATTCTCGTTATGGGATTTTAGAAATGAATAATGATGATGGAAAGGTAGAGTGGAGTGAATGGCAGTTTGGATGGAGTGAATGAATTTTCCTTTTCCAACTGAGAATTGCTGTTGAATTTTATTTCGCTTTTCATGTGCGATGGACCAGAAATAATTCGGTAGCCTAACCATGATAAAAAAGATGAGATGAAGGCAAAAATCCAGTTTACTTAAAAAGTTCTTTGCAAATTACCAGTCCGTTCACTTGATTAAACATTTACAGACTTCTCCCATCCACTCAGATGTCTAATAAATCGTATCAAGATGATTTGAAATATTTTAATAAATTTCGCTTTTCATTTCAACTCATTCAACCCACCCTTGAAGGGAACAAAACAGAAAAACTTTCACAACTTTCTATTTATTTTTCTATCTAATTTTATTTCGCCCTTCTGCGATTTGCTTAAGAAACAGAAATTCAAACCCGAAAATTTATTTCACTTAGAAAAAACCGCTGAGAGAAGGGCTTAGGCCACAAACTTTATTGGAAAATTTTCCGGCTCTCAAAACATTACATCAAGACCAACACACAACAATAGTTTATGAGTTTCCATTTCATATCTACATGAGCACACATTGAACCTCCACATCTCGGATAAGTAGAAAAAAAGAAGAGAAAAAACTTCTGCAAACATTAAAATTTATACATGAAATTCAAATACTTGCTGGAAAATATCCTAAAAGTTTCTGAAACTCACATTTCGTTTCTTTTTATGGCTTTCAATAGAAAAGCGTTAGGGGAGGGAGAGAATAGTATGCCCATAATATCAGCTCCAGATGGAAAGTGTTCAGTGCCATTCGAAATGCAATTCAAGCAATTTTCTTGTCAATATATTTAAGAAAAAGAAAAAAGAATTCATTCAAGTGTAGTTTCCCTGATCGTTTTCCATAAATGTAAATTGCATTTACATGTGTTCTAATCCTAAATGAATAAATTCTTTGAACATTTCTGTAGTCATCTGTATCAATGGAAATAATAATATCAAATCAAAACGGTAGCGAAATATTAATCATTTCAACTAAAGTTTCAACTGACATAAATACAAACTCTCACATTTCTTATAATTTGTTCAACAATTCAAAAATGAATCAATTTTAAAAGTTCTTTTTATTTTATTTCTCTTCTTCATTTCCATAAACTTACAACTCCCAACTCTTCTCTCGAAGTGAACGAGTACTTAAATGTCTTTTCCAAATGGATTGTGAAACATAGTCGAATGAACACAGCAGTGAAGAGAAACAAGAGAAATAAACGTAAATGTACAAAGAGAAGAAAACATTTCATTTTGCCGTCGGCATTTCAAACATAATTGAACTGTGAAAATGTGTTATGTTGTACTACGTTCAACCATTGATTCAGATGAAAAAAGAGACATTTATTCACTGAGAAAAGGATTAGATTATTTAAGAGTTATGGAGAACATAAGACTTGCACGCAAAGGTGCCTTTGTAATAGCAAACGAAGACAGGATGCCAAAATGATTAATCGACATCCTTCCTTGAATGATTTGAAAACCTTTTCTAAATTTACATCTGAATTAGATTCATTTGCTTCACAATACCTGGACAAGCATCTACTGAGACAGCAAGTGAATGTTGCTGCTAAGCCACAACAATTCTCTGCCTTTATTTTCTAATTAATTTTACCTCTTGCCGTTTCGGAATTTCTCTCCTTTTTTGCGCAATAAAATTCTTTTCCCTTTGTTGGATTTGAATGTAGAATTAAAAACTTTCGAAGTAGATAGAAGCAAGTGCTGGTTGTTGTACCTTTGAAAAGGAATGAGATCATGATGGACTCTTCTAACCAACTCATTCTACCTTTTTTATAGCATTTAAAGCTACCCAAAGATTGTGTGTTTCTTAATAAACTCTTCGCTCGGCCTGAAGATAGTTAATTTGAAGTTATAACGAACAGCGGCTAAGCACAATCTATCTTAAAAATGGAATTATAACAACAACAATCATTTATATAAATGGCCATGGCCACAATAAAAATCATAAAACATTTGAGCATGTGTGCTGTTGTTGATGTTGTTCGGGTGTTACGGGAATAGAAAATATGTTGTTATGCGGTGCACCCAAAAAATATTATTAATATTTAAGTTGAAAGTGATTTTGGTGCATGAAACCTAAACATGCAATAACAGAAAGCACAAGCATGTCGATAATAAAAGCTGAACATTTCTTTCTGATGATTCTCGCGATTCCCATCAATGTTTCTTCTTCTTCTTCATGCTATGATTCTGCAAGATGAAAAAAAAGAATCAGAGAAGAAAAAATCTCATCTCGTTTGATGAATGGAGTTGTTGTTACGTTTATTCCATACCCTGTAATTTTTTCTTTTCGTTTTCTCCTCCCCGCGATGGGTAAAAGGTGAAATAAAAAATAAAAACGCAAATATCTGTCTTTATTTGTCTTCAATGAGATAGAAATATGAGGCAAGGCAAAAGGTAAAGAGAGGAGAAAAGAAATTGCACTTTAAGTACTTGGGGAGTTCATGAGTATTAATAAAATATCTTTCACCCAACCTCTTCTGACTCTACGGCATCCCAGGAAATAAAAAAAGTAAAGTTAGACGACGCGCAATGAGAAAAAGGTGGCAGTAGAGAGATTTATGGATTTTTGAGCGCAAATCACGGTTAACTAATCGGTACTTCGTGTGCAAACGTAAGAAGGGACTCTCGAGTCTCGCAGCGTTATTATTTATATCAACGTTCTTTGCTGACTATATTTTTTGGCATATCGACAAAGAGGGCTTCAGGGATCTCTTTACGCGCATAGTGTGAAGACAGAAATCATCTTTAACAACATCACACTCAAGGGTCGCAATGAAGGTGGAAGGTAGATTTCTTTTTTTAGTGGTAGAAAAGGTACTGATTGTGCAGATTTATTACATTTATTATGCCATCGATTATCGACTTTCATTTCCGAAGGACGAAGTGTGGTGTTATAAAAATGCTTTTATTGTGGGCCTAGCTAATGTTTTTGCTAAAAATAAAATCGGATGAAGAGAAGGGAATGAACAGTATTGTTTTCATGAATGAAATTTATGATTGTCGGACGAGCAAAGAGTCTCTGACACGAGCGAGAAAGTGAGACAGAGATAGAGTTAGAGAGAGCGGGAAAGAGAGCGTTAAAAATCAATAATCACTCACAACAAATATCAAATATTATTCCGATTCGTTCATTCTTTTTCTTTTTATTTCACATGCATATGAAGTTGAATAAATTTTTAAATGATTGTTGATGCTAAAGTGCTAAGGAACGACGTGTGATGTGAGAAATGAAAAATTGCTATTTGACTGAGAATAAGGGCGGCTGTTGTTTTAGGACGTTCAGTGTAAACTCTCATCGACATCACACACGAAGTATTTCAGTTTTTTCTTGCTCAGAGTTTTGCTAGACCCGCATCAGCGAAAGCAAACAATTTTGTTAATAAACATTAGATATTCCTTCCTCTGTTTGCCTCCAAAGTTTTCATCCAAATTGTGCATACACAGAAAACTAACAAATGTCAAGTTAACGACAAAATTTCTAAGAAGTCCATTTAGACTTCTCTGTCTAAAAACTTCAGTCATATTTCATAAGAAGCATTAAATAGAACATCAAGAAGTAATATTGTAAATATTGTAGTAAAAGCTAATATGATGGAAAAGATAACATCTTTAGTTTTGTCTCTATTACTAAATAATACTCTTCATTCCCCACAAGCATTCACTCAAACTACGAGAAAGAAAGGAAAAATATAATAAACACTTCCATAACTTTTGGTCATAAAAATTTCTCTCTCGCTGATCAAAATGGGAAAGAATAGCATAAAGATTTATAGATTGAAGGCGATGCGTAAATGGATGAATTTCTGATGTGCTAAAACTTTTTGTTATGTTACGAAAATATTTTTATATTTGCTGTTGTGTCATAGGTCGAAAGTTCTTTAATAATGCGTTAGTAAGAAAGCCAATAATTAATTTGAATTCAATTCCCTTCGATAGCATTTAACGATATCTTATGATATTGAAACATTAAATATTAGGCAAGGAACATTTAACTCTTAACGAACACTTCACAACAGCTCTCTCGACAGTGGCATTAAATTAATATATCATTTTTTCTAATTCAGTTTCTTGGAATGAATTAATGGGGAATTAAAATCATATTTCGTTTTCGTTTCTTTTCTACATTTAAGCCTCACAAATTTTTTTCTTCTCTCGGTTATCTTATGAAATGAAACTAGTTTTAGCTTTAGCCCGTTGCGTGACGAATCTCACAAACCAAAGGATTCCAAAGCATGAAGAAATATTGTAATTTTAGACGAAACACGATTTTCAAATTGATGTTTGGTTGGAATCTACAAATCGCTTTTCGTGTTTGTTGTCAGAGTGACCGAGAGAAAATAAATCTACGTCCTCGTGTGATATTTCAAATGGCGCGAAACTCGCTTTTACCAAGGTGACCATCATGCAACATTCCACTGTGATGTGATTTTTTATTTTGTATTTTATTTTGCTATGCAACTGCATGAAATTGTTTTTTTATCCTTCCTTTCATTTGAAAAAAAATGCCAAACAAATCATCCAAATGCCTTGTGGCGAGATGAAAATTCATTTGAGTTTAATAAACGTTAAAAAAATTCTACTCAACGCTAAGGCGCGTCTTGTATGTAGTGTGAGAACACATGATTCAATTTGTCAAGCAGTGGAATAATGTTTTGCATAATATCTTCTAAGCCACTATGCTTGAAGGCATCAGCTAAGCAATCTTTCCCAAAATTTTCTTGTTTTTCTCTTTTTCATTCTTAAATTCTTAAAGTGACGTCATCTTCACCTCCCTTCAAGCGGCGTCTTAATGACGTTTGAGATGAAATTATTAAATCATCAACTTTTCCTTCATTCCCGCTAGCTTTTGATAACAACTCAAACTAGGCCAAAGGAAAGCTGTTAAACTGTTATCCAAATTAAAATTAAATTAAACATTTAAGGAAATGTTGGAGGGAAAAATAATTCTTTGATCGTGAAAAACATTGAAAGCACGTCATAATCACGATTATAAATGGGAAGAGAAGAATATATGTGTAGACATATAAACTGATGATTGGATTTAAGCTCCTTTACACTCAAGCTTTTCTCTCTTCGCTAACATTTCATTTTTTTTGCTATTGCCTTTGATGTTTTTCGGTTAAATCACAAGTGTGAGTGTGTTCGAAATGCCTTTGATGCTAATGTGTTTTTAAGACGGTTTCATCTCAACTGCAAAGACTTACTTTGTTTAGAATGCATTACAATTGAATTTTTTGTGTCATAAGCTTAAATCGCTGATTATTTTAATAAGAAACTTTTGTAAAATCAGTCACTATGATGGCTTGTTTTTCAGTCCCTTCGACTAATGTTTGTTTTTCTGTTTTTGTTTTCAGTTTATCATCCTTTTGCGAAATATGTAAGCGCGCCTATCATTGACAACATCGCGGTGGAGAAATAACAAGAAAACACGAACAACAACCACAGTGCCAGGTTACAGATATTCAACGTGAATAAAAATTTTGTTTTTCTACTCGAGAGAATTAAGAGAGCGAACAGAGAACATTTTGTAAGAGAAGATAAAAAGAAGAAAGGGAAAAAATTGCTCTGGCCCTGAGTTGAGGCGAGTCGAGTCAGTGCATGACTGTTTATCTGTGTGTTTAGATGTATTCAGCTCATACATCGTCGTTTCTTAATATCTTTGTTTTGTGAAGAATAAAAGCAACGAGTTGAACATAAAAAGAAGAAAAGGAAAGAGTTTTATAATCGACACAACGGCAACAGAGAAAATAATTACACATTTAATTAAATTGTATGTTAATTGTTGTATTGTGCAACAATCACTTTTTATAGTTTCTCTCTACTTGTTGTGCTCAGAAAAAAAAAGAAAAACTGGCAATCGTGAGTCAGAAAGTGCTGCAAAACGATATTAAAAATTTAAATAATAATTTTGTGAACCGAAAATCAGACGGAAAAGTGCGACAAGGAAAATTTTCCTAAAAGAAAAAGGAGAGAAAGATAAACACAATAATTATCATAATAATCATTTTCATAATGTCGAAAACGATGTGAAAAGAAAGAAAATTTTCTGTATTGAAGTTAAGCTCTCAATGTTTTATTTATTTCCAATTAAACGCGCCCTTCTGTTCGTCTAACGCTCGAATTGTGATATTAAGAAAAATATTTTTACAGAGTGAAAGGATCCCGTTGAATTTATATTTCTTAAGAGCTGTGCAATAACAACACGAATCGAGGATTAATTGATGGCTTAAATTGATATAAATTAAAACCCGAAATAGCGGCGGCAAAGGATATAAAAAACGCGCTGCAGCTTTCTGAAGTTAAACGAATTTTCTACAAAACAATAAAATCAGAAAAAAGTAATTTTCCAATTTAATTTAACGTCGGAGTTTTGTGTAAAATAAAAAAGAAAAAAAGAAAGAGAAGAGTTTGAAAGGAATAAAACCTGCTGAAAATTAAAATCGAATGAAACTTGTGAAAATTTGGATAAAATTCCTGGGCCACACTTTTTAAAGGATTATTAAATGTTCAATGAATGGGTTTCTACACCCATCAGCAATCATAAAAGGTATGTTACAATTTATAATTACATTAAATCGCTTCTTGTTCCTTTGTTGCTTATTGTAAGCGATACACATCAACCAACAACAACAACGTTAAGACTTGTGCAAATTTCCACTAAAAAAATAATAAACGAAAATTTTTTCATGATTTTCGACTCCCTTAACAGCCCATTATCGACATCATAACTGCTAAAGAGCACACATTAGGAATTCAATTTGTCGGAAAAAGAACCTGACTCCTTCTGTCTTCTTCTCATTTACGTCCTTCAATATTAACTCGATGCCATGTGACGGTCGCTTTGGGAAAATGTTTCTCTCGGTCTGGCAAAAGTCAAATAAAACATTCTGTAATGATTTACTGTTTGATATTTGCTGCTGATTGCGATTTTTTCTCCTTCTCTCTTATCCCATATCACTGCAAAAAATATTTTTTCGTCATATTACGTAACAAACGGTCTTGTTAAGTTGTCGAATCTTGAAATGTATCTAGTCGTAGTCGCCCTTCGTTTCATTCTTATTAGATACCCTCGATCAATCATACATGTCGTTATTACATTAGTTCACTTCATATACAACCGAACATTGGATCTCCAAGGAATTCTGGAACAATCTTTTCTGACATGAAAAATCATAAAGAAACCAGTAAGATTGAGGGAGCAGAAACTCGATGAAAGTGAATGATTGTCAACAGCTGATTACTTTTCCAAACAGTAAGAATTGAAAGGTCAACACGAGCATTTGAGCATAACGCTTTGTTATTTTCAACGACGATAATATCATTCACTTTTTTTAATTGCTCTCTGAGGTTGCCAATGGCAACATCAACATTTTACTCTCGCTTTTGACAATGCAAATGATTTGCAACAAAAGAACTACATGACTCAGTTCTATTTTTTCACTCTTGCTATCCATCCCTTTTATCAAAAAAAAAAAACGACAGCGTGAGGCTCTCACTACAGATTTTTGTTATACATCATCCAAATTTATTCGACATTGAAGTAACACAAAAATATTGTTCAAGAGATGAGAAATGGGATCAGAAAGAAAATAAAAATTGAATAGGGAATTAAATTTTAGTATCTTGTATGTGCGATAGAATTCAGGGAACAGAAATAAACTGTTTTGTGCTAATTCCATATATTTATTAAAATGCTTTGTTCTTCAACATTAAAAATTGATAATTAAGATACTTTACAAAACAGTAGCAAAGCTGTTTAAAATTCTAAGCTTAATTAAGAATCTTACTTATTCTCTGTATGTGCGAAAGTCTCTTAAATTTCCCAACTCTGACTGACTATTGAGAGGGAGTTGTTGATTTTTTCTTTCACTCTGGTCTTTGCATCAAATGATGCGCTTTGCGCAAGCCATCCTTTTCATACTTTGATGCTTACATACATCGTGAAAGGATTTTTTCCCTGCACTTTACTTTAGTGTGAGAGAGTGAATGACTCGTATAATCATGGCGTAGGTGTACAAAAAGAATATAAAGCCGTGGAATGGTAATTCCTAGTAATAAAGATGATTTTTTATCAAGAAAATTGAGTCAAGGTACATTAAAATTCAAGCATTATGGATAAAAAGGGGCGAGCAAAACCCGTCCAAAGCAAGGCAAAGTTTAATGCATATCAGAAGAATAAAAATGTAAAGGAAAAGTTTTTTAATGCGTACGTACGAAGATGATATCATCCTTTTATAATTTTAAAAAGAAAGAAAAGTGAGAGTGGAAAACAGATTTCATTTTTCTTCACCAACCTTTTCCCTTCCTTTATCACATTTTTTTGTGATATCTCAGCTTTCTTCAGAAATTTGCGACTTCTTTTTATGTTTGGGACACGAAATGGAGATGAGACGAGATTGCGAATGTCGATGATTTCCAAGGGTACCTAAAAGGGATTTTCTCGAAACAAAACTTTTTTATTATATTTATTTAAAATTATAAACATTGTTAGGGAACTCGCCAATACTTTGAAAGGCATTATCGGGGCACCATTATAGTGTGGATTCATTCTTTTAAGTCATTGCAATTTATAGTTCAATTACGTAAATGTTTTCTAAATGGATGTGGGTGGAGAAGTAAAGGATTTCTTTCTTGTACGTTATACCTAAATGTCCAATGACATGAATAATTTAAACATAAACTTTTAAGGCTTCTTTTTCCTACTTGATATAACATTTGAATGTCTTGTTTCTTGTTAGAATAACTTGCATGCAAACAAAAGAAAAGTTAGTTAAAGGCTTAAGAAAAGAAACTATCAATTCATTCTTAATTTAGTTTTTATAATCTCAAATTTTAAATTGGAATGCAATTCATTAAAGACGATAAATAAATGAGAAAAGGAAGAGAAAAGAGACCCAAAAAAAATATAAACCTCAACAACATGGAGTATTTTGTATCACTTTTCGTTATGCGGCTGAGAATCGTAAAAAAACTAGTTTTTCCCATAAAGCGGTTTTTTGAATGCTTGTCTGATTGTGAGTGTTGCTGGAAGAAACATTTGCAAAGTTTTTCCTAACCAGATATCTACAACACATTTAGATGAACAGAAAATTCTGAAAGAAAGTTTTGTATTCAACATGAAAGAGTTTCTACTAAAAAAAAGTGAATTGACGCAACTAGACGTGGGTTCAGTATGTGCGCCCTTTAGCAACAAAAAGATCCCTCCGGAAAATGTTGACAGGATCTGTGCAATTAATATTAATTGAAATTTCAGATAGCACGACAATGCAAAGAAAAAAGCAACGCTCAGAAATGAATTTAATTTATAGAGCATTTCGAGTATGAAATAAATTCCAGAAACTTTTTTTTTTGAAATTATTCGCTTTTGAAAAATGAGAAAAAACGACTGAAAAAGCTCTTTTCATGTTTGCTGTCGCCGACGGGAGAACAATGATATAGGCAGCAGCAGCAATGAGCTTCACCAGAAACCACAGAATTTTAATGTGTGCATGCATGCAAGCGTGTTTCAACAAAAACTTCGTATAAACACACGAATGCATGCACACAAAGCTATAAGAGCGTAAAAACATAAAAATATTTTTTGTTTTTGTACATTAAAATAAATAAATAATTTCATTTAAACAAAAGCTGTGGACGAGAACGCAACGGTAAAATGGGCATTAAAAAAATACAAAAAAAATTTAATTTTTGCACGAAAGAGCGATTTTGAATACCAATCTCGTCGAAGGTCTTTTAAAAATAATTTTGTTGCTCGAATATATAAGCAGTTAATTCAATTCTTCAGCATCGATTGACAGTGTTGAGAACCTTGAGACATCGGATATGATGCTTTTATAGATAAATGGAAATTCCCTCTCATAAATATCTTTAAAACTCTATGTTATCAAATGTCGATGCTGATATGTTTATGAAAAATCCATTTTCATCGTTGAATGATTTTTCAGAAGGTGTCGAGTTCAACATTGAGGGAAGTTATCGCTTATCATTAAAAACATATTCAACTCTCACTCTAAATTTTCATGTCAACAACAACAGCAGGAAAATAGAAAAAAATTGTGGGAATTTCATCTCACAACAACAGAAACAAAAAAAAATGTGCCCACAAAAAGCAACTACAAAGATTCTCATTTTTCGTTGGTATTTTTGTCAAATGAAATAGTTGCTGACCTCAACAAATTATGAGCAATACGATATCATTCCGTTTCGTATTCATTTCATTTTGCTTCGTTTTTTTGTTGTGCTGTTCACTTTCTGCTGGAGACAAAATAATCAAGTAAATAATTTCTTCATGCGAAACAGGGAGAAGAAAGCAAACGACGATATAAACTAAAAGATTTTACGACGAAAGTTTTAATGCTTCGCTAAAAAAAAGTTCTCCCTTCTGGTGTAATGGGGGCACACGTTATGCGACCTCTATGAGTGGGTGAGATACGAAAATGTTTATGGAAAAGTTAGAATGTGACTCGCATAGAAAATTTGTTTCTTGCTTCACTCGCTCTTTACACTTTGCAAGGCTTTCATTTGCTGATGTCTGCAACTTTTTACTTCATTTCTTTTTTTTTATTTGTACGCGCGACGCTTCTTCTTCATTCATTTACAGATTTGTGAAATGAAACATTAAAACCAGCACTGAAATGTTTTGTGTTTTCCTCGCACTTTGGTGGCTCTCCCGGTATCATGTCTTGTGATTAATGGGCAAGTTGGTGAGCTGAATATGGAATATCTGAAATATTTTTCTTTTTTCTTCTTCTCTTTTCATTTGTGCTATGATATTAATCAGATGCCAGAATTCTCTCGCTTGCTTGCCGCCCTCACTTTGGAAATAATAATGCATGAAAATTTGCTTTAATCATGAGGGAACAAACAATATTTTTAACATAGAATATTAATTTATTTTATGTCTATCTCGTTTTTGTGTTGGAAACTTCTTCTTTTTTATTATTATAACAACTTTGTTTCAGGCCCAGTAATAAAGCACTTAATTTTTCTTTATAAAATGAAATTAAATACGCCCAGATGAACAACGAATGCTGTTTGAGATTTATTAGAATTGGGATCGCTTTCTCGAGCACTTTTTTATTATTGTCTCTAAAGTTATAAAATTTATTGTGAAAAGTTCGCTTTTGCTAGTAACAATTCATGCAGATTTTACTTACCCGAGACAAATTTAATGTAGCAAGAGACGCGTCTTCGTTATCAGGCGATGGGTTTTACATTTCACGGGCTATAGTGAAGGAGGGAAAATGTAAAGGAAGTCCTTTAGAAAATAATTGTGTTGAGAGGCAAAACTTTCCGTTTGAGGGTTTTTTCTCTTTTTTTATTTCTTGAAGTAACAAAACACCAGCCGACATCACAAAATAACGAATTTATTTATACACAATCTCAATAACATAAACAAGAAAAAACAGAATATAATAAAATAATGAAACTTTTATGGCGCTTTGTATAAATTTCTTATGCTTCTTCGTTTGCTTTCTTCGAACATTGCGCTCTGCCTTCTCGCACTAGAAAAACGTTAGCAGCATAATATTTATTTTACTTCTTTAAAATATGTTTTTCTTGCTTCCTTTTTATGTATTGCTAGTTCTAAAAGAGATTTTCACTTTCACTTTACTCTTCCAACTACGATGTTGATAGCTGTTGCTGAGCTTCTTTCTAGTGTCGATGAATATAAAAATTTTGTCTTACAATCTTCTGATAACATCTTCTGCTACTTTTCTTCTCCCATGAGTTTTACTTTTTTTTGAAAAATTTTCTTTTATGACTGTTTAATCATTAATGACATTTTCTTTCCATGAGCCACACATAAAAGTGATATTAAAATTTTAAATGAAATTTTAAGGCAATTTCGCTTTTTACGATTCAGAATTTTTGAAAGAAAACTTTGAACTTCAGTCTTTCGTCATAATTCTATCGAATGAACTTTGTCTTAAATTATTTATTATTCTTCTATCAGTCAGCATAATCCAATTAACCATGATAATATTTGTAAGAAGAAATTAGAATTCAACTCTCGACTTAATTTTAATCTCTCAAATTATTCAATTGTTTTGATGTAACTTCACGAAACTTCCCATCTTTGAATTTCTTCATTTTTTATTTATATCTTCAACAAATAAAGCGAATTTTTCCAAATAAACTTTAAACCTCGATTGTGAACACGACTTTTTTTCTACTCTGCCTTTCACTCTATTGCTGGGATGAAAATATTTTCCCGAGTTTCTTTTTTTTTTTTGTTTGTTATGTTTCAAGAGCAGAAGCAGCAGCAACAACAACATTAGCTTGAATGATATAGGATCTGATACTTATTGTGTAATTCAGAGATATAACTTTTTGCTGCACTTTACGTTTCTCTTTTCATCCTCAAAAATAAACCTTTAGATATTTACCCATGTTGCGATTACGTTCTCTACTGCCTGAGAGTTTCAATGGCGCTTTTTTAATATCGCAATACTGCTTATTGTGTTCTAAAGATGAAGCAACGGCAACAAAATTGTCGAGACAGGGCCGATTAGTGCTCAAGGATATAAAGTGCTCCCAAGATAGCAACTTAAATTCCATTTAATTTTGTCTCTGCTCAGCTCTCCATCCCTGATTGCGATATTTTTTCATGTTTTTTTTTCTGCTGTTAATATAAATGTTGAGAATATTATTTCACAACAAATGGGGATACACGAGAGGGATGTGCTTGCTTTTCAATGAATCTTGTTGTTGTGATTACTCACAACCGGCGTTTTTTTAAGTATTTTTTATTTGCTGTTGCTTAAGAAGGACTTGAAATGTATAATGATGGAATAACATCGATATCCATTACGACGGAATGCTACACAACAGCAAGCAGTCTAGAGCGAAAAAAGTTCAACGAGAATAAAAAGGAAAGCGTGTAAACGATTTTCCCGTCCTTGCAAGCAAAAGTAATTAGTGTAAAATGTCCTCTTAATCGCTCTTGCGAGAACATCATGAGAAACGTTATTTTTAGCATGGATTGACTTCCCCATCCACAAATAAAAATTTCTTCCCTCAATCAAGACACAAACAACTTACATCGTCGTGTAGATAATCAATCTCACGTTGAATCTCTTTAAAGACACCTTACACACTTGATATCGCCCCTTCTTCCCCCATTCACACATCACCTAAATCGTCGTGTGTCTATATAAACGATCTCCTTGAGTAAATCAAATTAAATGATAATTCCATTTGTTTTTATAGACACACGGAAAGCTTGCTACAAATATTTACCTTCCCATATTAAAGACGAACATTCTGAAAATTTGTGGAATAAAAAGAAGAATCAAGTTAAAGGGCGGACGGGCGAAAGGCGAAAATAACAAAAGCATGCGAAGTAATTGTGAATGAGAGAATATTTTATGCTTTTAAGTTATACAATTAATATAAATCTAACAACAAAATCAAAAACGTGTGATGAACACTCAGGTAGAGTGAAAATTGAAAAGTAGAACGTTTATTCACGAAAGAAGAATGAAAATTCCTTTCTGCCGAGAAAACATTTCCAGATGTCATGAAACTTTTTGAAAGGCGAGCTTTTCATATCATTATTTGAAGAAGAATGCTGAAATCATCTCAGGTTAAGAATACCTGATATAGCGAAATTATTCAACAACAACAATCATACAATGAATGGAGAAACAGTCAGGGCGAGTGTAAAGCAACGACGATATAAAATTTTAGTATTTCAGAATTTACCCTCACGAAAAAGACTTTTCCCTGAAACCGGAGTCGAATAGATGTTTCAATACATTCTAGAGCGTGCACACATAAAATTTCTACTGCTTTAAACCATCCCAGTATGGAATCTTCATTGCTAGGCGCACGAAAACTTTGTCTTTGACTCTCTTCAGGACACAGGCGAAAAACGTATTTCCCCCTGTGCTGTCTAAATGTTTCCCATAAAAGAGAGAAGGGTGATTTCTGTGTAAGTGAGATGGAAAATAAAACATAAAAGAATGAACAACAACAAGAAGACTCAAGCTACAACAAATGATTCACTGGAATTCTCCATAATCATTGAGATTATTTTACGTAACATTCAGCAACTCAAGGGAGTGTGAAGAAGCCATCCCTAAATATCCAATTCATATTTCATTTTACAACAAAAACAAATAATAAAAAAATGTATTTAAAGGGGAATTTTCCATCTCCTTACACATATACTCATATGGTGCACATACAACTTTTTCCATTCTTTCTTTATTTTTTCTGCCTTCTTTGGGCTGTACGATAATAAAATTTTCTTCTAAAAGTTAAGTCAGCGGGAAAGTAATAAGAAGGAGAAATGAAGAATATTAAACCCACTAGAATGAAGAAAAGAGAAAAAAATGGAAAAGTTTTCAGAGGCAATCAATCTCAAGACTCTTATGAAAGGGGAGAAGCGAGTATCTCTTGGAAAGGCAAATGAATGGGATTCAAGGAAAAGGGCGGCTGTGAAAGCCACACGCGCGAATAAATTATGGCATTTTGTTGGCTTCGACGAGGAAAAAGCAATTTCGAGAATGAAAATTAAAGTTTTACGTGCGATACTCACACCAATAACTTTTTTAATTGCACAACCAACTCTCTAGCTTCGGTCACCCCGACAATATTTCCTTTACCAATTTCTACTTAATTGAAAGTGTGTTTGAAGAAGATGGAAAGAAAAGTTTTTATATTTATTCCCGTAGATATTCTCCGGGCGCGAGAGAGAACAAAGAATGATTTGAGTTGAATCTTATTGTTCCGACGAAGCGTATACGATTGCCGAGAAGCAGACAAACTTTTTTAATACCATTAAATTTAATGATATTTCTACGAACTGACCAGAGGGAAGGAGAAAGAGAGAGAAAAACGCGTTTCATAGCAACTTCGTTTCAATCAAATAGACTCGTGCAGCACTTGAAAGAAGTGGCGGAAAAATCTTTCATCAAACACTGAATCGCTTAATAGAAAAAGTGATGAGCAGAATAATGAAAAGGCATTCCAGTTGAATCGTCAACGTTTCTTCTCTGGCCCCTATCGAAAAAAAGCATTGAATGCAAATTTGTGTTTATAAACTGAATATTATTGAAATAATCATCATAAATATGTATTCACTGTAACGTTAAACGGAAATTGATTCGATATAAAAAGAAGAAAATCGCAAAGAAACGAAGCAGATTTTCAAAACCCGATTTCACGTTTCAACTGCTCCCAGAAGTTTCTCGGACAGATAAATTGCCAAAGTAAAGCCATAAGAGAAACAAACGTTGAGAAAAAAAGAATAAAATCCAATTTCAATATAACCAAAACATATTTGGTGGAAACATTGTGAGATTTATCCAACTTTTTTTCATATTGAATTTCGCACTCTCCCCCACATTAATATGGTTGGCAGCAGTTGAAGCTGTCGAAATTCTAAATGTAAAAGAAGGCAAGTTTCATATCCCTTTTGTTTCCCTTCAATTCATCCATTCATTCATTCAACTGGCATCAATTTTGTGTATGTGCGTATTCAGATGCTTCACGAAAATTGACTTGAGTGTATCGTTAATGATATTTGAAGGAAAAATTACACATTCTCAAGAGATCGAGTTAGAGTGAAGACTAAGCGGGAAAAGCAATTGTTTCGCTCGATGAAGTGCCGTTTCCTTCAAAGAGATGCCTCTTAGTTATATTTTAAGTATTGATTATAGAATGTAAATTTCTGGGGTTGTGTTGTGGGGAGAAAGGAAGCACCTCATTTATGTGCATCTCGCGAGACATAATTTTAGTTGTTATCGACTTTGGAAGGAGCATAAACTCAATTTTAAAGAATATTTTCATCAACCTGATTCGAAAATCCCTGTTAGACGGTAAAGTAAACTTTCACATCGCCCCTGACATCAAAATATCACTCAAAATTTATACTTAATGTTTAGAAAATGAAATGATGTTTTCTTCCCTTCCAACATTACTCGTAGATTTTGACGAGCTTAGACGGGTTGCGGGGGTGGATGAAAGAAGAGTGAAGTTCGATTATTTTACTAATATTTCGAATCGCAGCTGTATGGGGTGCCAAATTATTTGCTAACTCTATAAATATAATATTTTGTGTTTACCTCGCTTTCTGTTGTTGATTGGTAATTGCACAATGAATTATTTACTATTCCATTAAATTATGAAAAAAAAATGTCGAGAATGCTTTTTCAATGTTTAATGAGATCCCGGCCCTCTTATTTGTTGCCTCACTTTTTTTTCTCTACTTTCATTCTTTCATTTTTCTGCCTTTCGAATCTGATTCTTTTCCTTTTCCCGAGTTCAAAAAGCATTAACGAGTAGAAGAAAGTTGGGGGTCGAAAATGGATATGAATTTAATTGCAGGCTATGATGCGTATCGAGCAGAAGAATAAAAGTGGAATAATATCCTTCGGACAAACCCCCACGTTGATTACATCTTAAGAGTTCACTCGTTTACAATTCTTTTCCTTTTCTTGCGCCACATTAAATTGGCTGATTTGTTGTTGTCGTTTGCATAAGCCAAATGAAAAAAAAAAAAAAGGGAAATGAAAAATGCGGAAAATATTTACATTGTAACGAGGATTAAATCTTTAAGAAATGGTGTTAAAAAGTATTTAAAAACAGTAGAAAAGTCTTTTGTCATTGTTTCATCTGTTTTATCTCATGAATCAGAATTTGTTTCATCGGGTAGAAATCATATTAAATATGCCACGAAAAGACATCGCCCTAAACCACGGAAACTCTTATTTCATATCAAAAAGCATTTCGTGACGGTAACAGGCACATTAATTTCTATTTATTTCCGTCTTGAATCACTTTTTTTCTCCTCGGAAAGTCACTAGCGATGTGCGCGAATGAGAAAGACAGAAAACGGGGTGAACGTGAGAGAGTGAAGGAAAACATCAGATGGAAGAAAGCAAAGCAACAGAAAGATTTCGAGCCATGCTATGTAATCTTTCTGCTTAATTACATTTTAAATGAATTATAATAATTTTCTTCTTCGAAGAATTTTAAATAAATTTTAGCTCGTCTTTCTCATGGCGTGGTGGAGAAAAAAACTTTTCTGCTGTTTGCTTGCGCGAGCGAAAGTGAGTTTGTTGTTTTCTCCCTTTTTCCTTTCCATCTCGTGAAAACTAGATGAATGATTTTAATGTTCTGTACATATTCGGCCGAAGTCGTTGAGCGTTTCAGCAAAAAAAGAAAAAATAGCGACGATGGTTGGACTAATGATTATGCTCAACAGACTGGAATATGGCCTACAGCGACTGCCAGCCAAACGACCCTGTGCATGAAATAAAAACTCATAAAAATCGTTACATGAGCTGTGATTAACTGCGATAATTAAAAGATGTATAAATTTTATCGAAATTATGCCGCGTTGGTGGGGGGAGGGAAGATGAAAATGATAAATAATAATGACACAAAATAATTTCCCCAACTTTAAAATGCTTATGTATAACAAGCTTTCGTCGAGCAGAAGAAACGAAGAATAAAGTAAACGATGCGAAGAGAAATTGAAAAACCGATGAATGCCTGATGAGCTCTGCTGTTATTTTGCCCCATCCCAAGTTGTTCTCCTTTTGATTACTTATTCACGGAGACAATTTTAAATCGAAAGACAACTACATGAAATTGTCTTAAGCACAATTAAATCGATTATCGTCGTTTAATTAGATGAAAAGTTGAATGGTTGAAGAAGCTTCTGAAATAAGCACAATAAAAGTTTTCTAAAATCTCATCGAGTTGTCGTCGTGCGGTGGATTGAATGTCATTGTCAGAAATTGAAATCGAGACTGATTTCTCCATTAAATTTCACCATGAATGGTTACGATTGTATCATGGAAACTCTACATGATAGTTTTCTTCAATCGTCTTCAAATCCTTTTAATGATTCGGTTATTCTTTGCACAAAGTCTCGAGACGATATGAACAAGGTGAATGAAGGGAAACAATTTCATTCTACTAGTTCGTCTTTAAGCTGTAAGCTATGCCAAAATATATTGAAGTGTTCGTTAAGTTGACATTAGATTTTATTAGAAATTCGTGTCGTGATGTTAATAATATCCGCCTTCTCGTTTATTGTGCAAGCACCTTTGATATTGAAATTTATTTTTCCAATCGACGGGAAATTTTGGGATTTCATTAAATAAATTGCAAAAGTTTTTCTCCCCTCATGTAATTTAAGTTGAACGTTTCTTCGAAGCTTTTAATATTAACGTCGTATCGAGGAAAAAAAATGTATGTCGGTTGTTTTTATGAAAAATAATAATAATAATAAATAGCGAAGCTTCCAATTTCATTTATTTCATTCGAATTTGCATTGAGTGGAAAAACAAGCAGAATAATTCTGTCTTCATAACTGTAAACAGGTCATTGAAAGATTCTCTGGCCATTGGCAAATTATTTTTATTTATCGAATCACAATTTTTTCTGCAAATGTAATTTGTATAAAAAATTCAATCAGCTCTAAAATAAACATGCTTGTCGTCGTCATATTTGAATCGTATGTAAATCGTCGTTGATGATAAGTGGTTTGGTGCTTGAATGACGTCCACAATGAGATTTATTGACATGTCAACTGACACAGGATGCGGGGCATTTGCTTGATTGCTTGTTTTCTTCGTAATGTTTTGAATGTTATTCATGCAACATTGTAAGTAACTTCAACCCCAACACACAAACCGATAATCTTGTATTGACCCACGAAGAACTCGAATCATGTTCAATACAAAATAAAAATGGAAAAAGAGAACGAAATGAAATTTATTGAGTGAATGACATTTCAGTTTCGCTGTTGTTATCCACATATGTTTCATTATTCATGATGTTTGTAATTTAACTCTTTATTGATGAAATTTAGCGAGTCATCATGCTAGTTGAACAGCATGAGCAAAAAAAAAGAAATATTTTTAAAGAAAAAGAGAAAAATTGCCCATTGTGACATGTTTCGGTATGCGCGAGACTTGAGTGTAAAGTGGCGTTTTGAAGTTTAATGGATTTTTTTCTTGACTTCTTATTTGATCATATGATGGATGGTATTACGAGACTTTTAATGTCGGCAAACATCCATAGAGGCTTCGTGATGCCATGCACTTTTCGCCCCATCTCAATGGAAATCACCTGGCTGAATGTGATTTAACTTTTTCTTTTATGCTCAAAATTCATGTTTAATTTCCTTCCTTCTTTTTATTCACTTCCTTTTTATTCCCCTCATTTCATCTCACTCTTCTAAGGCTTCACTTTGCTTTCAAGTCAATGGAAAACCTTCTTTAATTATCGTTGGAGGCAGCAAAAAATAAAAATAAGAAATCAGACTTTTTAATTTCATCGCTTTTCTTCCTCATCAACGTTACAAGTCAATTCCTTCGAGCGCCTAGTCGCTTTTATTATTCTTTTACCTTTTCATTATTCAATATTTGATGGATCATGATCCCATTTTAACATTTTACCTGTTTCTTGTTTATGGAACTATGGCGAATGTCTCATTTGTCTGCAAACCCATCATAGAACGGAAGAAAATATTTTCATAATTCCTTTAAAAATTAATGCAAAACCCAAAGGAACTCAAAGTTTAATTGCGAACTTAAAGATTAAAAAAACCAAATGTTTTCTTTTCACTTGCTCTTCGTTCACCAGTTTGGCGTGGAGAAGCAAAAAAAAAAGTTTTTTCTTCAAGAAACCATCAAATTACATCAGCGAAAGGCAAAAGCAGCATTTCGTGTGCCCAACCCATTTTATTTAACTTTTTATTTTTGCTTATTCCTCTCCGTCTTTGTGCTGTTGTTGCAGTGAGCTCACGATATTTTTGCATATATAAAAGTTTAACTTTAATGCAAATTTTGTTTAACAATTTTTCATTTGCTTTCCGACGGAGGAAAATAAAATAATTTCGTCGACGAGTTTACTGAAAAAGCAATATAAGAAAAGTTTTCTTATTAACTAAGAAACTTAATATAATGTTTACGTTCTTTTCGCTTCATTTTTGTCTAAAAATTTATTTTCTTTCCTATCTTACTTACCTCTTTAAAAGTGAGCATAGTCGGGCTACAAAGCAATGCTCGTAAATTTGTCGATGTATTCACGGAACGAAATGTAAAAACCGTGGCGATACAGGAGGAGTTGGGTACATTAAGACTTAAGAAGACGCGAAGGAGAAGACATTGAGAGAGAAAAGACTCTTGAGAATCACAAAAAGGAATAAAGAAGAAAGAAGTTTTAAGAGAAATATAAGAAGATGAATAAGACAAGCACAATAAAGAATTATAAGCGGGGTCTCTAAAGAGTTGACGTAAAAGCTGAAATTTAATCTTCCATTTACACGGTTTGATGATTCGTGTGACATTAATTTCAAATACACCGCAAGCTTCTTCTTTAATTCCCTCATCAACAGAATGAAGTAAAAGAAAGACGATCGACCGAATGAAAATCTCTTTAACGTTTTCAAAGCCGATACAGAAATGGTAAAAGAATGAGAAAGAATAATCATCATAAAATATAATTTGAAACACTTTCAATTTCATTGAATCTTCAACCTGAAAATAAATATAACACTTCCCCATGCAAACAGCTACAATAACAACAAACAGCGACTTTTTCACCGTCGTAAGAAATCTACAATCGCTGTTAATTATACCGACAATTTGCCCCGGAAAATCAAAGATCTTAAGGAAGCAAAAGAGTCGGAAAAAATGAGAAAGAGTTGAAGTCGAGGAACGGTAAATATATACGAATTGATAGAAGGAAAAGGCGGTGAAGATTGAAAAGAAAAACAAAACGGAAAAAGGGTTGGGTGGATGTCGACGGGTGAAGATCCTTTTAAGATGCTTTTTACGCCACGGCAACAAGCGCGCAAATATTTTTGCTGTTTCCACATTTTCAAACATAAACAAAAAAATTCTTCTGCTAATTTCTGATTTCGCGCTTTTTTTGTTATGTCGACATTCACTCGTCGGCAACTCGCACCACTCTGGTGCTTTATGTAAATTTACGGTGTTGTTATTTCATGATGAGAAGAATAACTTGTTATGGAAAATGATTATACGAGAAATATGTATAGTATTTGAATAATTTAATGAAAATACGACCCCGAGAAGGAAAACGTAAACGACACGACGATGAAGCGGCATTCTAAAGGCAGCAAACCACTTGTCGCAAAAGTTTCATTTAATTTCTCTGCCTCAGCAGCGTCAAGCAAATGAAAGGGGTGTTCGAGAAGAATGAAGAGGTGCATAAACTTGGGGATGAGCCTCCAAGCAATCAGTTAAGACTTAAAGTGCCGAAATATTTTCTCTTTTTTCTATAAAAGATGCAAATTATTACGTGGAAAACAGAAGACGAGATTGCAGAGCCAACCTTTTATTAGCAAAGTGGGTGTTTATTGCTCTTTCTCATCCCCGATTACTCGTTTCATTGCTTCAACAATTCCTAAGCGAATTTCTTCTACATCTATCGAAAGTTCTTGTATTTTATAGAGCGAGGTTGTTTAATGTCATTTTACTTAAGGCGATAGAAGCGACTCGATGGAGTTGAAAATTCATTCTTTAGCTTGGGGTAAATGAGGTGCAAATTGACTTAAAAAGAAGTTTTCCTACATCTTTTAAAAGATGGCAGAAAGGAGAGTAGAAGACTCATTAAAAGGATTTTATTTAACTTACATCGCACAAACAACCGAACTATCTGAACACTTCTTTATACTATGGAAACAGATGAATTTGATTGAGTCTTCGAAAAGATATTCATGGGGAAGAAATGTCAAAATCACTTGAAATGCTAACAATGCTTTTAGTTTAGTTATGTTGAGCCTCTAGCAGCAGCCTCTGTCACAAAAGTATGGTTCAAAGATCGTGAAAAGGGTTCAAGAGATGCGACATTAGAAAGTTTTCTCCTCAAACTTTACTTCCAGACAATATACATTTGTGCAAAGCATGCTAATCTTTCTGACAATAAAAATTCTTCTGGTTTTTTTTACTCGATACGAACTTTTGCTGCTGTTCAAAGTTGATGGCGGTTTCCAGTTAATGTCTTGTCGTCTGCGAAGCGAACATGAAAGTTCTATTAATGATATATTGGGTGGGCTCTTTGTTTATCATACCATCTACGATATTTCAATAACAACCACACCAGTGAGTTTATTTAGTGGGAACACGAGCTAACGATATCAGTCTGAGGGAGTTTGAATTTAATTTTTTTTCTGTTGTTGTTATTCTCACTGTTTACTCATCGGGGACTCGACTTTAAAATCCACACAATAGTTTTTCAATTTTCAAGCCTCATATATCATTCAATAATTTTTTTCATTATTTATTTATCGCACATCGCATTCGAAAGCATTGGAAAAAAAACTTTCGCGTAGATATAATTTATATTTCAAGTTGTGGATTGAACAATAAACAAAAGGAATGTTGAATCATAACTAATGTTGAATTAAAAATATTATTTTTCTTCGGAAGACGTTAAAGGTTTGAAACCTCAACGCTTTATTAATATCAGATTTAAAAGTCTTCAATATTCGTCACAAGTGTTGAATTTGTAATTCTTTATGAGCAACAAAGCTTTATTGTTTTTTTCTCTGACTTTTGTACATAAGTCATTGAATGCTTTTTAATGAAGAATTTACAATTATCTTTTGTGAATAAAAAAGGAGAAAACCAATAAAAAAATATCCTCAATCGATCGTTAAACATAAAAAATCTCCTTAAAAGCTACCTAATGAGATTTAAAATTTTTATAACTTCAACTCCCAATCTCTATAAAATATGCAATTAAATAATGCAATTTTCATTGTGCCTTTTTAAACCCAACATATTTATAGTTAGTTTAGATTGAATGATTCAATCTTTTTTTATTTCTCAATTCTCGAATTTCTGCTGAACAACAAACTCATAAATAAATTTTTTTTAAGTGGACTCTTAAGCAATAATTATTTTTAGTTGCTGATTCGTGACGTCATGTTTTGTGAGTTTTAAAATGAGTGAGAGAGAACAAGAAAGTGTCACATTTCCGGAGTAGAAGGAGAGACATGCGCTGACTCATACCCTACAAATCTAGATATAAATGTCTCATTTGAATAATGTACGACAGGAGCACAAACTCATCTCTCATCCCACATAACTCTCTCGTTTCTCGCCTCCGCCTGCTATCAAACTCCCCATAGCCGCTGCCGCTGAAACTTTGACGATTTATTGCGAACGATATTATGAAATTTGTAATATTTCCAGGAGCTATAAATAGAGTTATCAGAGTGCCATGTGTGAGTGCCATTGTGTGGGTACACAAATGTGACTTCTTTGAAACATTGAATGCCACCAACCATTCCCTCACTTAAAGGGGACTTCATAGATGAACGATTTCTTCCTCGTATCAGTTAGAAAAAGAAAAACAAAAAAGAATTTTTAATGCGCTAACATTCACATAAAAACAAAACATATGTTTCCAATATTCTGATCAAAACTTGTGATGTGAAAGACAACACATAAAATTTGTTATTAGATTTCACTCTTTCTACCAGAAAATTTATACATATAACAGCTCATGTGTAGCTCACAGCTCAATGGCGTATCACTTTCCTTCCTATCTTTATTCCACCCTCGAATGGATTTCAAATATATTGGTTTTAAAGTTTTATGTGCTCTCGACATTTTCTTGTTCAGTTTATTGTTGCTTTCATTACTTACCTTTACCCTATATTAAATTTACACTTCGACAGAGACGTTTGATGATTATTGAATAGCAAGTTATGTTGAAATAATATAACGATATAACAAGATTTTTTCCAACTCTACCACAAAAAGAAAAGCATGCCGTTGAGGAAATTTATAAATATTTACCGCAACATTTAACAACACTGTCGATCACGTTCATTCTTACACCTTTTATTCAACTGAAGCTTAAAAAAAATCTCATCGACATGAAATAATCCGAAAACACTTTTGAAATTATGAATAGACATCTCAATTATGCGAATAACATTCCCAATTTCTGAAATTTCCCTTGAGATGAGATTGCGTGGGAGGATGGAACAACAGACAAGACCTGATGATGCGTCCACTTATTTTTTCTCCCTCCATCATTACCGCCTATCCACTTCATTTCAACCCTTTAAACAGAATCTGCAATTCATAATCAAAGATATTTTGCAGCTGAAAAACGCTGAAATGCCCTTTTTTACCTTTTGCCTGCACCCTTTAAAATAAATCTCAAACCCCCGAAACTTTCCATACAATAAATACATTTTTCAAACTACAAAAAGCTTCTTTTTATTATTATTTTTCATCGAGTATTAAACACAGAACAAAAAATTAATCTCAAATAGTGATAAAAACAGAAAAGCAACAAAAAAAGTATAAATGAAAATTCATTCGGCCGAATCAGTCGCCTCACTTTCAAAGCATTCATTGCATGCGAACATATTTACATAATTAATTTTCTGTTTTATGAGTTTATAGGGACATCGTTTCATGCGGCACACAACAATGTTTCCTATCCCAACTTTAAAGGTTCTTTCTTAGTTCTCGTTCCAATCGTCTTTCTCATATCTCAACATGCTCTTTGCTTTCAGCAATTTGAAACATTTGCTTGAAAGCAAAATTATTCTATCATATTGAATAAATTTATTGATGGAATTTTAGGAATGAAACTTGGGAATTTCATCTCTGCTGCTTCCTAAAGCAGTGAATAAAGTTATGATGATTAAATGGTGTGAGGGTTGAATGAAGCTAGTAAAAATTTCATTTTATTATTTTGGAATGTTTTTAATTAATGCAAAGCCGATATTTTGTTCCGAAAACTTTTCTCGTCGTGCCGACGGAATAAATTTTCCTATTTGCTCATTTGCGGACCATTGTACAATGTTCAGTGGGAATCCTATTGAAATGAATGAATTGTTATATCTTTCGACATCCTGGAAGCACGTGATGGAAAGTTCTTTAAAGTTTGCGCTTTCCAATGTTTCTCACGTACGTGCTTCAGTTAGAATAACACGAGACAAACTCAATTTCTGCCATGTTTAGATTAGTAGATAAAGTCGTATGAAAATTATCTGGTCTTTTATTAGCTATGACATGGCATTGTACAAATTTAAAATAATTGCCATTGCAGACATGGGAGCTGTTTGAATATTAAGTACATGAACTTCAGTATGAAATTAAAAATTGAAATGGCCTTTTACCTGGCTTAGTGAAATCTTGTTTTTAATTAACATCCATTCATTGATACACCACACAAAACACTCGTAATTAAAATTTTGCTATCTTTCAATGATAACTAACTTCAACATTTGTAAATTCCTCCATAAACTTCAGACGTGGCCATTTAACAACTACGTCAGAAATAGAAATTTATAGTCTTATTTACTACAAAATGAGATATTTTCCTAATAATATCCAATTAACCGATTTCAGTCGCTTTGAAGCTTGCCTATGTTCATTAACAAATTTTTCTTTCATTCCTATTAATTATCTAATGCTGTTTGGCACTCCATTAATTGATTACACCCCAGGCTCGTTTGAAATGTGGTTCTTATCTTTTATTTTTCTACGTGAACTTTATTTATTGATTACATTTACATCGGACAAGCCATTAATAAATACAAAATATAAAAAATTTAATCCCTCCATACTGAAGTTTTCGACGAGTAATTGCTTATGTAAAATTATACCTTCGATATCGTGAATTTTCTCCCTTCTGGATAAAAAGTTTAAAAAAGTTTTTAGAATTTTAAATCAGATTTTCCGGGATTGCGTTTGCGGACCCATTTACTTTCTGTATCTGTTTCCGATGGTAGAAAACCAAGCCATACATATATTTATGTATATCGACAACATAACGAGCATGTACAGTTTTCAATAAGTATCTAATATATGCAAATAACTTCCCTTAAAGATCCCAAAAATCGGCTTTTGTGGATCAAACGACGACGAAAAAACCTAATCGAAAATAAAAATCGTTCAATATGTCGACGATATGTGAGCTTCTTTACAAAAATAAAAATATCAAAAAAGGAAAATGATATAAATGTGCTAAATGAAAGAAATATTTAGATATTGTTTATACAAATGTGGATTAAAATTAAGCACATTCGTTTTTTGCATTTAGAATATTGCTTCACATCGCAAAATTGATTTTTTCATATTAAATTATTTATAAGCTAACAACATGCAATATCGCAAGTTGACTGCTTTCATCCTCGCTTTTCAATGCAAGTAAAGTTTTTTATTTTAAATTTTACTTTCCATTCTTCTCTGTCAAATATGCAAATGAAAATGGAATGAATTATAAAAGCAAATTTTTAAAAATCGAAGATTTATTGGAATTCGAAAGTATAAAGAGAGAGACGATAAAAAAAACACAAATTGATGATTGCACACATACACACTCGCAGATATCACAGTGAGTTCAAAAATTATGGGAAGAAGAAGAAGAAAGCATTATTTACAGTTTAATCTCACTTATTATAATTTTTTGTATCGTCGATTCGTTCCCATAATGTTAAAATCACGGAATATTTTATGTTACCGATGGAAGCAGGCACGAGACTAAAAAGCACAAAAAGGGTTCTTGTTTCTCACATCTGTTACATTAAATACAAGAAGAAGTTTACGAGAGAAGTCACTGTGAAAACATGAAGAGAAAAATTTAATATAAAAACGTGTTTCAAGTTATTTGAATTTAAGTAAACCCCCAGAAGAAAAAGTGAATGAATAACAAAGGGCGATTGGTTTTGAAAAAGCAGAAAGGGGAGATCATATCGGCAGCTGAAGATACTTGCAAATGAATACAGCGGATGTTAGCTTTATCTATTGATTGACGTTCGAATTAGAAGCTCATCATTTGACATGAAGAGATGTTTTTATGATTAATTGAGTAAATTGAAAATTATTTATGTGCGAGAATTTATCCACTTATATACATTTTTAAAAAGTATTTATGAGAAGTAACTTGAAAATATTCACAATTCCATCACAAATATTTATTTTAAAAACTTTGGAAACAGAAATGTGCGAATTATTTGTAGCTTAAATATTTCTGAATACTTACATAACTTATTTTCCAATATTAATCTTGTGAATTGGAAAATATTATTTTTTCACGCATCTCAGATTCCATTAAAATTGTTTATAAATTTCACAGGAAAAATCATTGCATATGAAATGCTTTCATTTTAAATATAAAATCTAAACGAATGTAAAAAATTCAAATCAAAAACAACAACTGAATCGCAATTACAGATAAAGTCATTACTCTTATGATTATGAAGCGTTTTACAAGAGTTAATTTGTTCCAAAATATATCATAAGCAAAATAAAGTTCATGACTTCATGTAGAGCGCATCTGTTACATCATCAAGTCGATTTCTTATGAAGATGAAGCAAAGTAGTAAGAGAAGTCACGGTGGATGTATGTAAATCCATAAAAAATCATTTTAATATAAAAACGTGTTTCAGAGCTCATTTCAATGTAAACCCCCCCAAAAGAGAATGAATAATAAAAGAATAAACGAACAGTTCGGGAAATGAACTCTGAGAAGGGAGATGATACCGGCAGCTCAGCAGTCTCGCGAATATATAAAACAGATACCAATGGAATGAGTCGAAGCATTAATAGATGGAATCTTCTATATTATATTTTAACGTTCTCTTCCATCTCTCTCCGTTTCATGTGCGGCTTTTTTTCCATCCATTTCACAACCGATAAGTTCATTATGAGATAAAGAATAAACCTGTGTAAAAATAAAATTTTTACATGAATTTTTCCCCCAACCTGAAATACTACTTGCCTTTTGTTATTAAATTTTATTCTTTTTGAATCGCACAACGAAAATTGTTCTCCATCCACTTCTAATGTCGCTGCTGTTTCTCTTACTGATAATTCACAAGGGATTTTTTCAAACTGGCTGCAAGTTGTTTATGTACCAAATGGCGAGTGTATGGTCTTTCCCGAAAAATGAGAAAAACCATTACACTCGAGACTTATAGAAAGATTAACAGTTAGCACCTAGTCATGAATGCTTTTTGGTCTTCATATCCCGGGAAAAAAGTGGTTATCGGGTGTGAGAAAATGAAAGAAATATTTTTTGTTTTTATTGTTTTACAACATTTGGTCGTAACAACTGGACGTTTATAAAGCTTTAGAAGTGAAAAAGAAATATGACAATCATGTGACGTCATGATGAAGCATTTTTGTACAATTTCCTATATTGAGGGAAAAAACAATGAAAAAACAGTGAAATTAATCTGGAAATGATTGTCGTCGTTTTTGTGGGGGCGAAATGAAGGGATAGAATCTCATAATTGGCACGAATGACATTTCTCTTCTTTTTTCTTCTCTCGCTTTTTCTTTTCCTTCTCATTGTAAACATATCCTTGTAAATGTTCTTTAATTTACTCCATTCACAACACCAGACACGAACACAACACAACTTTAATCACATCAGAAACGACTCAGTTTTTTTTCGACTCGTCTTCTGTCCAGACAAATGACATAACGTAACCAACAAACCAAAAGCGTCATCATCAATCCACAAAAAAAGAGAATTTGGTAAAAATCAAGAAGGGAAAAATTGCCTTTTACTTCATTCATTTGCTTCGAAATTTACAGAGAATGAGTAAGTGAGTGACTTTTGACTTTTTATGGGTTCCTTCCTTTTTCTTGTAATTCTTTTGGTTCTTTTTTGTACTCCTTGAATGCTTTAATTGTTTGATATAATTATGAAAGAACTGGTTGAGCTCTATGAATTTCAATTACTTCTTCCTTCTTTCCCATTTTAAACTGACGGACACTTTAATGGGGAATTGAGTGAGAACAAAGCGAGACATGTGTCCCTTCAACCGTTGTTGTCCTTTAACAATTCCCAGAAAGGCAAAGGGAGAACAAGAAGAAAATAATTGATCTAATTTTAAATCTACTTAATCTTGAGATTAGTCTCACAATGCGAAGTCCCTCTTGGAACAATGGACAAGGCGACTGGGGATTTTTTTCTCTTTTCCTCCTGTTTTTTAATTTACTTCATGGAATAAGAAAATTACACCCGAGAAAGCTGTTTCAGGTTTGGTTTACGGTTTTCGTTGTTGGCTACGGCCAATGACAATTAAGAGTTGTAAAACTAGCTTATGTCGACCCGATCTTTGTGAAGATGAAGCTAAATCGACTAATTTCTCAGGGGATAGAATAAAAAGTGAGCCAAACACAATTAGTTCTGGTGGATGATAAAATAAGAGGGACAGTAGAATTTCTTGTTTTCGATATTATTTTATCTCATGACTTGACCATTTTTACCAATCATTGAATTACTTACTCTGACATGCTTCACTCACTCACTTTGTACCAAGGGGGAAGGCTGGAGACTACAAAATTGAAATAAAGCTTTATGCACTTTATTTTATAGCATGGTTGTTTATGACATGTTACGTTGTTCTATTTCTCGATGCCAGTTGTGTTAAACGATTGATTCAAGCTGAGCTCATTTCAATTATATTTGAACTTTTTAAATGTTTCAATAATAACTGGTCAAATACAATGAAAGCTTGAAAAGTCTTCTCATATTTTATTTAACAACTCTGCTTTAAACTTCAAATTTCAATTGAATGTAGGCGCTGAAAGTGTGCAATTTTTCACTCTAATGTTCGTTTGCTTGGATTATGCAAATGTATGTTTAATTTACATCTTTATTGTTTTGTGTTCTATAGGTTTAATTTGAAGTATTGCTGGTGCTTCCAGCTGTTGCCTATGAATTGTTCTCTTCAACAACCAAGCTATGAAGTATTTCAATGGGCTAGCGAAACTTTAATCCCAAAGTTAGAGATTGAGTAGGAGAAAAAGAGAAAGCATTTCATGAAATTGGACATAATGGATTTGTACATTAAAAATTCTTCGTAAAAATTAAAGCGAGAGCTCTCGAAAGTTAAAAGCATTCATAATTTTGCAAATGAAAAATTAATAATACGGGAGAGTTAGGAAAACCTTTTTCCAGACCAGATATTGTATTCGACCCCCGCATTATAAAAAAGAAGCAGAAAAATATCAGCTCAAAAACAGCGACAACACATTGCTTCATTATAAAGCAAATAAAAATTATTTTAAACCATTTCTGAAACAATTCCCCGGAAATTCTCGGATGATAAATTTTTGTCTACAACTTCGCTTGAATTAATCTTAAAAGATGCTGTCATTGATTAGCAAGTTGAACAGACAAGAGAAATTGAATACTCAAAGAACGGAGTCAAGTATCAGCTAAGCCTGAATGTGTGGTCAAAGATGTTAATAATCTTTCCCATCGTCACTCGTTAAAATCAATTCTTGTTAGTTGAGAGCTTTAGCGTTTCCCAAGACGGAAATCATTATCGACAGATATTTAAAATAAAAAAAATGATGATTTTATTCAGTCTTGAATTTCAATTCTTTACATTATTTATCAACACAAGAATTTAGTCGCAAAAATGAGTTAAACGCTTTTGACTGAGAATTTCATGATGAAATGGGAAAATAAATAACAAACAAACAAATTAAATTAATTAGCACACGTTGTAACTTCTTTTTCATTGCTTCTTCTTCCATTAATGTACGTGCTCTTTTTTCTGTCGAAGCTAAATTTTTCTTTGTGCGGGTGTTGAAGGTGAATAGTCAACCTACACAGTAGCAATGTTACCTTCACCCTTTTGTGAATCTCCATAAGAAAGTGTACAAAGGAAACTACGTTGCAAACTTCAAGTTAATAATTATAAGTTCATGAACAAATGATGCTTAAACAAAGAGTTGAATCGTCAGTAAAATTTAAATTTTATTGCTTGAAACTTAAATATGAAAATTAGATACTCAATTTTACTACTAGTCTACTTAAAGTAACTATAAAATTCTTGTAATAATGAAAGAAAACTTTTCTCCGTTGTAGCATATATCTAAATGAATATTTCAGCTAACGGTTTGTTTATGGAAATCCCCACAGCAAAACCTAAAAGTGGTCCCTTAATTAGCATAAAATCACTTTTTTCGTTTTTCTCATTTGCGAAATGCACGAGAGGGAATAAAATTAAAAAAAAAGAAAACTAAATTATTCCCTTTTTACGAAAGAGCTTTTTATGGAAGCAAAGCGATGAACGAGCAGAAAATAAATCTCCGATCCGTGATGAAAACTTTATGAATTAAATCCACATAAAGTCTATGTCGATGGCAGCATATTTTTTTGGTACCAAACCCAAAAGTGTTTTTAAAACTTTCAACTTCATCATTAACTTACTTGAATTTGTTACTAATTTAAATTTACGTTTGTTTACAAGCAATTCTTGGTTGACTGCTTCAAGATATGAATTTTCTATTGTCATTATATGTATGACAAGTTGTTGTGTCAATGTCTCGACGTCTTAACCAGCTACACATATATGTGTGGTTTTTCATTTGCGGCTGTAACTATATTGTCAATTGCACATCAGATGATTCCATTCACTTCTACTGCTGCTTCTGCTTTCACAACTGTCGTCATATGAACGTGACAACACGCTTTTCTACTAAATAAGTCTTTTGGTTTCATTTTTAGTTGCTAAGTCTTCTTATTCATGTGTTCGCTCCTCATCACATCGTCTTCCCTCGTAAAGCTCAGTCATCTATAGTTGAATAAAACCAAAAATTGACTGAGTACAATCTCAACTATGCTCGAAATTGCGGAATAATGCTTTCGTTCATTTATCGTTGCGTTTTGACAAAATGAGATGATGGGGAGATTTTTTCTAACTGCACGAGAAAAAGAAAAGAATTATCGTGCTAGGAAACTATAAAGTTCAATAATCTTGCTTTTCTTAGAGGCAAAGAGAGAAACACGCAAGAAAGAACATTTTGCAATGCTTCAGGCATTATCCATGAAGACGAGCGAAAAATTCTGCTCGACTATTCTTCGGATTCTCAGTCAAATGATGCGCGCATACTCGAGAAAATGCAAGAAGAAGCAAGGACATAAAAACAAACTCCGGAAGAATAACAACATGTGAAATGTGGCACATGACGCGCTATGTTTGTTAGGGATTTTCGCAGTACAGCGAAAGGAAACGAAAAATTAATGAAATATCTTTCGTGCACCCTTCTCGCAAAACTTTTTCTTTTGTTCGTTGATTTTTTTTTCTTTTTCTTGCTAGCAACGCAAGTTTTTTCTTTCATCCATTGCCTAGCTGTCGAAAATCCCCAAAATTATTCACCCAAAATCCTGAGATCCAAAGCAAATTCACCGAGTCTTGATCCACAGTGCAAACAACTTTTTTCCTTTACAGACAATTTGCTTGCTTATTTAGAATGCGAAAGGCTCAGTCACAAGAGAGCTGGAGTTGAATTTGAAGAAGTAAGAGAAGCCCCACAACGAGTATTCATGAGTTGTTTTTAACAACTTTTATTTTTCTTGTTTCTTTCCATATTTTAGTCAGTGGTCGACCACCTTCGTTATGGTGTGACATTGATGAAAGATCTGTAACAAGTTAAGCACTTCTGACCATTTATGAATATTTGCAGGTTTCAAAATAATTTCTGTTGACTCTTGAGCACTCACCAACTTTTTTTTGTGTTTTTAGTGCCTTCTAATAATCATTTTCAGACATTTGAATAAATTTCACTCTTATTGTCGTGCTGACCAAAAAAAAAACAGAACTCGAAGGGAGAAAACAAACCTGAAGCCAAATAAAAGACCTTTTTGCTTGATTTTTCTTGTCGTGTTTTTTTTTTCCTTTCCTTTCTTTTCCTTTTTTTTGGAAAAACTGGTCATATTATTGCCTCGAACCATATAAATGTTAAAAGAGAATCTAACAATGAAATACTTTGTATACACAATTCGTAAGAAGGATCTAACGAAAAACTTTCTCTCCTTTTGCGTAAAAATTCAAATGTTTGTTGTGTGTTGTTCTGTTCAATCCACCCTCGTAGAATATTTTACATAAAAGATCTTGTGGAAACATACAATAGAATATTTCTGGGGATCATCAACTATTATTTGTTATTTTCATTTAAAATGAGACCCTTGTTATGATTATTATTTGATTAGGAATATTAAGTTATTGTTGTTGTTGTCGTTGATGTTTTTCTTTGGAGATAAAATAACAAAAATTAATTGCACAGGAAAGCACAATTAAAAGTTGAATAATTCTTTATTTTTATTTCTCTCATTTCAGCGCTTCCACTCTGAGCAGTGCGGGCCTTATAGTATGTTAGGTAATGGGGCAAGGTTCCTTGGACCATCTGCTGCTGGTAACGCCGCTGGGTCAAATAATAGTCAACAGCATCAAACACAATTGGGCCGGGGTGTATGGCCCACAGCGACAGCCTTCCAGACAAATGGTGGTGAATGTGAGTACCAAGAGAGTTGAAAATTATTCTATTTAACATAATTACAATCACCTTGAGCTCTTGCCAGAGTAAAGAAGACTAAATTTACTCTAAAATTCAAAAGTTCAATGTTCAAGAATTTTCTTTTTCTTTTATTTGTTTTATTTTTTATTTATTATGTTGGGAAATGAAGGTAAAGCATATTTCAAGTCAAAATACAAAACAAAAGTCGTTAAATGTTGCACTTTCAGAAAGCACATCGAATGGTTTCCATTTTGCACTTTTTTGTTAAGAGAGAAGCATAAAATGAAAATTTATGATTTCAGGCAGTGATGGAATAAATTTTCATTCCTTCCCTGGCTTCAACTCTTTAATAACAAATGCAAGCTCGCCTGACTCAAACGATAACTTTGAGTTTTAAACAAACGGAATTGAAAATGTGCTAAATGAAAGCATTGAAGCTTCTTTTATTATAACATCGCTAAATTATTTTGTCTTTTGTGTATCTAGTTTGCATCTCATTAAAGTTTGAAAACTTCTTCGACAAAATGGATTCGTATGAACGTTAAGTCGCTTGTTAAGAGCATTTTTATGATGATTAAGAGTTAAAGAGGGAACAAAGTGATATAACTGATGTACCAAACCTTCATTCTAAACATGAAATGCAAACAAGAAACTGCCAAAGTTTGAATCGCAATTTTCCCATGTTCATGAGTGTTCAATGTTTGCATTAACCTTCAATGCAATTTAAAATTTTCTTCTCTATCAAATGTTTACATTTGTGCCATTCCTAATAATTACAATCAGTTTTCAAAATAGAAAAACCTCCAAGAGCATATTGATGAATATTTTTTGTGTACATTTACTCGTTCATAAAAGGCAGCAGTCAAACATTTCATTAACCATTAAACAGAATCAATATGTGCTTAAATAATTATCCAAAGCAGATCAATGGTTGAGCGAGCGTCTCTTTCAATTTTTTACTCGCTAAAGTTTGTCTTTGAAAGCAAGTTTCATCCATGAATTCGTTAAACTAGACCTTCATATACTTCCTTTCATTATTCAGCAACTCGTATTTCCCTATCAAACTTGAAGAGGTAAAAAGAAACTCTTCAACTTTTTCAAAGCATCATCACAAAAGAATGAAAAATAAAAACAAAAAGCAAATATATTCATCTTCTACCTCGGTTGAAACATTGAAAATGCATTTTACATTGAACCTTTTATCAAGTTTAAAGTTACAAACAGATAAATGATGAATAAAACACTTTTTTGCTAAAGGTTTAGTCTTTCAGCTGACAATTCTAATTGTAATAAAAGTTTCTAGATTATTAATGTATTGATGACGTTCTCTACAAAGTTCTTCATGTAACGTCAATGCTTTAATCATATCAAATATCAACAAAGTTTTAAAATGTATTCATGCTCATCAGAATGCTTCAACTGAGTTCGATGTGTAGGTTTTATAACCTCTTCAACAACCGATGCCAATTTTCGAAAACAAGAAAAACACTCCCCGAGTCTGCACAAATAATGAAGTTGAAGTCATGAAAAGTTCCACAGAATTCAGTTTATTGAATACTTAAATTTAACCCACACACACCAATCTCTACATCAATATGATGACACCGCTTGTTTTTATTTAAAACTGCTCTCAATCGATCGACTAAATAAATATCAAAGAAACATCACGGCAATGTTTGTTTAAAAAGACGGTGGCAGAAGGAAATTATGTTTATTCCACCAGTTATTGTTTTCCCATTTAAATATTTATAGTTTTTGTGTTTCGTTTTTGTAACTGTTATGAAATGATTGTTGTTCCGAGACTATTTATCTCCAGATTCAGATCTTTTGAAATTATATAATTGACAATGAAAGCCGCCAGAGAATCGGAACAAAAATAAACATGAAAATAATATCTGCAGTTTAAATATAATGAAATAAAATAATGTAAAATGGCATCAAAGTTATTACGATGTGCGCTATATTTTTGTGAAATGGTTTGTTGTCAAATTGAACGACACAAAAATAAATAAAGTAGGCAATAAAATCTCCAAAGTTGACCCAATTCCATCCTACGATTTCAACATCATTGTCAGTAAATTCAAGTTGCAATTTGCTGTTGCCACGCGCTTTAATCTGCGCTTGTTTGTGCATCATGGAAATTAGGGGAAAATGAGGAAAGTTCTCCAAATTGTTTTTCTTTCTCCGTTCCATAGCCCGCGGTCGATATCAAATGAGAAATCGCTAGGATTTTCAACAAATGAATTTTTTTCTTTCTCTCATTTAAGCTAAGCTTCACATTTGTAATAGACTGTAATGGAGATAAATAGGATAGCGGTGAATTTTAATTAATCTTTCGACGATCATTATTAGAACACGGAAAGAGGGAGTAAGCGTTGTTTTCTCTCATGTTTTTACTGTTCCTCCATAAACTAGACAAAGTCGACACAAAATTTGCATTTAGTGATTGCTAACATCAGCCATCCCATAAGAACAGGAGGGAAACAAGATAAAGAAGAAGAGAGAAGTAGAAATTTGCCGATGGGAAATCTTTTTTTTTTCTTCCTTCTAAATAAAACTCAATTAATGAATTAATTCCTTTTTTGCGTTAAGCACATCATCGTGAATATCTCATTTCATCAGCTATGCCAAGAGCAAGTGGAAATCAGTGCGAGAGAGAGAGAGAGATTGTTATAAAATAGAGTGAGTGAGGGAAAGGAAATCAGTTTTAATTTACGTATAAATTAATAGCATTAACATTAAATTCATTTCCAACTTTATAATGCGCGTAGAAAAAAGGCAGTGAACAAGAGCTTTGCGAATTTGGCATGCATAATCTGTTTAGCTACGAGAGAACTACGATGAGAAGGTGAAAGATGTTTGTTGTTACCACAATGTGCAACAAGTGTAACTTGAGGTGAAGGAAAAGGGAAAATCTTTATCTTGTAACCTTCATCGCGAACTCTTTTTCACAACAAAGAACAACAATTTGTGATGATGAAGGAGTGAAATATGTGAGAGTGAATTGCTTTCAACTATAATTTGATTTCATTGCAAGAAATGTTGCACTTATCTCTAAATTACAATCTCAACTTAAAGGGTCGTTCTTCATTCACTTCATTCTACTTTTGACTAAGCTTAAAAAGAAAACGAATGCAAAAAAAAGTTCATCAATCAAATTCATTCGTGCAAATGAACAACAAGCATGGGATGCACTCTTGCATGACTTCGATATGCATCAAAAATGTATTTTATCGATCGATCAATCGTTACGATGAACAATGGTGTGAAAACTGAAGTGCGTGTGCCTCAAGAACCGTTTCCCTTCATTTGAAAAAGTATTTATTAGAACCACGTAAAGAATGTCTTGTTCAAACCACAAGCCTCTATGTATGATGACCAAATCAGCCCTTTTCACCTTGCAACATCAACTTTTTGTTTTATTCCAATAATTTATTCATTTTTGTGCAATAATGTAAAGAGGAAAAAGAAAAAATGCGCGTGCAAAATTACACAAATGACGTGGCACATAAAGATTTAACGATATTTAGTAACAATAACGAGCGGTTGTAGCGTTAAAAACATAAAACTCAGTGAATTGTTATGTGGAGAAATAAAACGCAAAAGTTCGCATCATTTGCATAATAATTTCTTCTCGTCAAAGTTGCGTCGGTAAAATGTAGACGTGAAAATATTTTTCTGTCGATGTTTATCGTACGTTAGCTTTGCTGTATGTGCCTGTTTGAAACTAATTAAAAATGGTTAATAGTTCTTCCTCGAGTTCCACGAAAGCTTACAAATATATATTGAGGTTGAAGCCCTAATAACGTTTCTCCACATTTCCGATAATCTATGCTCATAAATTATTGATGAAAATTCTATTTCCAAAGCACTTCCACACGAGTAAGAGAGATTTTTGTGTTATGAAATGCTGAGCTCTTCGGTTTGTTACAAATGAACTCCATAAGAATATGAATTGCATAATTAAACAAGTGCACATCGCTTTCCGGAATAAATATTTCACAGAATTCTTTACAGTTTCGGTGAATTTCCTTTCCAATATTGCGATGAATCTTTACTTACTCACATACTAACAAATGTCTACTTGCTACTGGAGTTGAGAGTTTACTTTGTAATAGTGAATTAATATGGCAAACGACATGTATTGTTGCATAATATTAATTCCCTCATTTCTTTGTGCTCAATCATTAAGCGACGAAGATATGATTGGAATAAGAAGTTGGAAGATACAAACAAAACTTTGTCAATGACAGAGACAGAACAAAAGGAATTCGTACAACTTATTGTTAAAGCTTTATAAAGTATTGTCTTGAGATGAGAATCGTTTTAAGGAACAAAGATTCGTTCTAAAATAAGAAATTTCGTTTCGTCCTCGAATCTCAAGTGCCTTTGCTTGCAAGATTGTAAAAGAATCTTCAGTTTATTTTTGGCGACTTCCATAGAAACAAGCCAATCAACAACGAAAAGGTTCATAAATTTTCTCATTTCGCTGTCGATTAATATTTCTTTTTTTTTCTCCTTTTCACAAATTTCAAGTGGAATAAGAAACTACACATAACAAGCGACGTTGAAGAAAAAAAAAAGACTTTAAAAATTCTACGAAATAAAGCAACAACAATATCAATGATGAACGGGAGAGAAAACGAGACTCACGTATAAAATGCGAACGACATACGAAGTTAAGAAAAATAAAAATCTATTCAAGTGGAAAAATGATATAATATCCCCTGATATGTGTGTGTGTGTGTTAATATGAGCAAGAAACTTTTTTTAATAAGCTTACACGTTTTAATACAATCACTAAATCATTTTGGAGTGAAACGGAGTTAAAAAAGGGAGATGAAATCATGACAGGGTTGTGATAGTTTTAGTTAAAGTCACGATTGAAGCGCCAGAGAATTTCAACCATATCAAGACATTTTTCCAATGGACAAAGTTGCGCTTCTTCAACTCAAATGCCCACAAGTAATTTGCCTTTATTCACATCCCTAATGCTGATAAATATTCCATTTACATCACCAATTCACAACTCTGCTCACAACATACACACACAGCATACAAAGCATACAACTTTTTAAACAAAAAAAACAGTAATAAATTTTTCGAAGGCGAAAGCAAGAATAAGAAAAGAAAAAAGTTTTAAAAAACTCAAGAGATCTTTCCGTGGAGATTTCGTGATTGTAAAATTTGTAAAATGTTCAGTCTAGGGTGAAATGAAATGTATTTAAGGAATTGTCGCTGAAACTATGAATCTTCTTCCTTCGCTCTGGCAATGACAAGCGTTTTTGTTGTCTCGTCTTATTTATTTTCGACATGAAATTTAAGGAATCTTGAGATACTTTGTAATATAGTGGAATTGGCTGCATGAATGCTTTTCAATGTTACGGGCATTTAATCTGCCAACTTCGACATTCAAGAAAGAAATCCGAGATTTATTAATTCCGATCAATAATTCTTGTTTATTTATTTAACATTTTTTTTATATTTAATCTTATTTCCTTTCTCAACAGTCACTGTACCAATAACTGACTCCAGCTTCTTCGCTCCAGGCTTCACGCCTTCATCAAACACCAACAACTCACCGTTCATTCCCACTTTACCCTTTGAATTGGTGAAAAATTGGAATTCTGGGGCGCTCGCCTTCAGTCAAGTAAGTGAAATAAACATCATTGATTCGTAACGAGCCAAACTTGATTACAACAGACACATCAGAATGTCAGATGATCTTTGACATTGCGGCGAACGTTAAGAAACTAGAAGAAGAAAAAATGTCAATTTTTTACGCAAAAATAAAACAAAAAAATGTGTGAAGGGAATTTTTTTATGGAATTGCGGATGGGACGTGTAATGGATTGCTGTTCAGACATCTTAGGGAAGATCCATTAGATAATTCCCAAAGTTATGTTTATATTATTCTCTAGATGCGAACTTAATGAATCGTAAGACAGTTCATTCACCGTAAAAAATCCCCTCTCGAGAAACAGAAACAAATCTTCGACTGTAAATAGTCATAAACAAACTTCAATGAATCTTAAAAGACGGCAATTTTTTACCAAGACCTTGATGGCTCAAAGAACACTTTTTCATTTCCATCACAAGTCTAAAATTTATTTCATTCCCGTCAATAAATCATCATCATCGTTCTACTGATTTGATATGATTTGCAAATTCTCCCCCGACACGAAATGATGCACGATGGAAAGAAGTCATCGCATAATTTCTTACATAACATAATAGTCACGTTCTCGTATTGTGTACCGAAAAAAAGCGACGACAGCAGAAAATAAAAGTTTTGCGCACGAAGTCATTGCCACCTCTTGCTGCTTGTCTATATCGCCGTCGTCATTGAAGTTTCTCCCGCATTAGATTCATTCAATTTCCCCATTCTTCTCCATCGCTCCCACACTCATCGACACTCCAAACAGCACAATGCAATGTTCCAGCTCATCATTTTTTATGCTCGTCTTCTTTTTCTTGGATATTTTATAAATTCAATAGACATGATGATGGAAATTGCCGCCGCATTCTGATGTGGAACTTCAATTTAATCCATTTTAAAGAGAAAAAGTTTTTCACCTCGACTCATACCTTTTTCTTTTTCAATTTTCTTGATAGGCAAACAGCAGCATTTTCGTTCAGTCACATACAGCAGACTTTATCAATTGCACGACATCCGCTTCCGCTTCTGCATCGGCATCGACACAACCGAAGAAAGTTGAAGCGAGTAGTGGAAGATGGGAACAAAGCTCATTGATTGAGCCACTTCAAATTCATTTACCTGCTACAAACTACACAACAACAGCTACAATCAAGACGGAGAAGAATCATTCGGGTAGTTCCACATCATCATCTTCATCAACATCGTCAAGAAATCCTTCGAGTACAAGCAGAAAGGCGTCGAAAGCTGCGAAAGGAAACAATAAAAATATTAACGATTGCATATTAAATTTGCATCAACAGCATCAAAGTAAAACTGAGACAAAAGTGGAGCCTAGTGGTACCGGTTGCAGTCGTACGCTTCCACTCACATGGAACCAAGCGCTACAACAGTTACAAAGCAATGTAAATACTTCATGTGCCAGCAGCTATGCTAATTGCCCGTCAGCTGACACCACAACTCACACAACCGCAACGCTTCTTCAAATAAAGCGCGAACCATGTCAAGTGTCTGAGGTTACAACGTCCAACAACCTCATCGCTACAACCTCATTTTCCGGCACACCGGCTATAATTAAAATCGAACAAAAGTCACCAACAACAACGTCGTCATCATCACTCGCTTCCATTACATCGAGCATGGATTCAGCATCAAATAATACGAGCAGCGGACAACAAAACAACTGTAAGTTCATGGAACTTCTCTTTTTATTTTTAATTTTGTTCATTTTGTTAATTGTAATCCTTTTTTTTTGTTAATGTTCTTACACAGCAGGTGCAGCGATCCCAATCGGCATTGCCGTCGGTCGACAACGTTTACAAGAAACAACAGCAAACCAAAACCTTCCACAACTACAACCGAAGGATTTAAATCGCTTCGGCTTGGGTCTAACAGATTTGGGTGAGTTGAGTAACAGTTAATGATTAATAGGAACAAGTCTCTCGGGTCCATTTGCTAGTCGTCATAGGATGATGGGTTCAAAACATTAACTTCGCTCTTTAACCCGAATATAAATGATGTGCTGTAATATGCCAATCAACATTTGCACAATTTTTACTTTTCTCTTATCCAACACTAAACTTGTCGTCCTATTTCGAAGCAAGAAAAAAATTATTTTAAGTACTCCATCATCATCATTAAATATCATTCATGAAGCAACATTTCATCAAGATAATGTTTATGAGCGAAGCATCGATGAAGAAAAATATAGAAAAATCATCAATTTTTTTTACGTCCCTCACGTCGATTTCTAGTTCAGTGATGCTCAACCTTTTCATGATTTATTGCACCTACTTTTGTTAATAGATTCCAACGACACTTGAAAAATGTTAGGAAGGGCTGTCTTCTTCTTTCCCACCCACAATAATTTCCCATCACAGCAGAGAGCAATTTCATTAATTTAAAAAAGTTTCTTTCACCCCCAAAGGGAGTGCAGGCTGTGAATAGCGCTCGACTTTTTTTTTCTTTAGTGGGACGAGTAATTCACGTAAAATTGGGACAACAATGAAAACACGAAATGGGGACATTTCTCTGATGTCTTCATTCAATCAAACAACTGTAAAGGGAGAAAGAGAAAAAAGCTTTTCCGGTTCAATTAAATCAATTTAATTTCGGTTGACATCAGAAAAAAGTGTCATAATTGTTCCCAATTTACCATCCATTTCGTTTTTTAAAGCGGTGAAGTATTTTCTCAGCCTCTTTTTGTAGTCTTTTTATGCTCTCTACCCTAAAAGAAAGAAAAAATAATTTTTCTTGTTACAAGTCATCGCTCGGTGAAGAGAGATTTAAACTTATTAGATTTTAATTAACTTTATGTTTATATTTTTTTCTTCTCCTTTCTTTTAACATCGCCCTTCTTCCTTTTGGTTCGTGATTTCTTCTCTGTTGTTACATGTTTCATGCAAATTTATGTTGATTTGATTTTACGATTATATTTATTTATTTCTTTTTTCTGTTTCTCTATCATCATTCATCAATCGACATCATCATCATTTGCACTTGAATTGGCAATCAATGCACTATGAAACACGAAAAAATTTATGAAAATTGATAAAAAATTAGGATGTGGAGCGCCAAATTTGAGCCAAAACATGTTTTTCACAGGCACCACGACAATACCACTCACCGATGTCATGCATCAGAGTCATCAAAGTGTTGCAATGACACAAAATCGTACACCACCCACACTGTTTCAATATCCAAGTAAGTATTTAATGTTTCCCATTCATTTATGTATTGTCAGACATTGTAACGCTAAATGTAGTAGCAATAACGACACATTTGCAGTAGCAAGCGAGTTGGTTGAAAGCCAAAACAAATCAACTTTCATATGTCGTTAGAAAGATGAAAATCTTTCCAAACTTTTCTTTCTCTCGATGTCTTTCGAAACTCAAACTTTTAATCTGCGGTCATTAGCAAAATCTTTGGAAGAGAATTCTCCGAAGTCAATCTGACAAGGCTGGAACGTTTTCCATTAATCTTCGCTTGTATTCGGTTTAACTTTTTATTTTCTTTTAGTTTCATACTTGCGCCAAGAGTTGCCAACATAAATCTTTCTCTAGAGACTGTTTTCTGTTTGTTTCATCTACAACAAAGACTTGGCGATGGCATCAAGCAAATCTCGAAGATTTCTGAACAACATTGCCAAGCAAACTTTGCAGAATTGTATCCATAAGCAATATGCATTCTCACACTAGTTGAAGTTTGTGACTTTTAAAATTTTTAATACATTCAAACACATAATTTTAGTGTGACGACAAAGACGACGACGATGCAAGAAACAGCCTGTAAAAGAATAAACAAAACAAAGAATGTTGAATAAATATTATAATCATTCAACTATTTATTCTCATGCTAAAAGCATTGTATGCATGCAATGATTGTTGTTTTTGTTGGCCTTTTCTTTCCTCTGCATCTCCTTTCTCCAACTCTACTATTCCAATGTTCATTTTTGAAAACTTTTTAAGACACGAAGTGAAACAGCTTCAAGTATAATGGAAGGAGGTTGTGAAGCAGCAAGCAACAACGAGCTATTAATTTTATAATTTCAAACGTTTTAAATCTTAAACTGTGCGTAGTTAAAAAGAGAAAATGAATGAGAATGTTAAAGGAGCAACAGCGCACGAGATGAATCTTGATTAATGAAACTTTATACGCGAATTTCATTTTTCACTTGCGATTGTTTCCTTTTCTTTTCAAGTAAATAGATGAAAAAAAAGGGAAGAAAATTGCTCACGTTATGTTTGCTGTTGTTGTTCTTAATTTATTGTTTGCGAATGAGTCAAGGGAATTATCTGTTCAGTCATTGCATAGTGTAGAGATGTCGGCAGACTCTCTACTTTCGCTTGGATTTTAAACAAAAAAAAGAACAAGAAACATTTTTTTCAGTGTTTAACTCCACAATACATAAATAAAATTATTATAAATTTGTCTCAGAAATTTCCCTTCAAGATAAAGTTTTGCAAGCAAGATGTGATAAATGAAGCCTAGTTTTGTTATAAAAGCTATTTATGTCAGGCTACTCCCCCCCTCTCCAAATACAACAACAACACAAATTGTGAATAATGTTTTGAAATATTAATCAAATTGCGAGAATAATTCAAGCGTTAATGACAAACTATAATGCAGTGATTCATAACGCTCGTGATGTGATGTTGATGGAAATTGAAAAGGAAGAATTGATAAAATGTTTCAAGTTTTGAAAGATTCTTGTTTGGTTTCATTTTTATTGTTATCAGAATGTCATTAACCATAAACATTAAATTCCTTTAATGTCTAAAATGTGAGCTTATCAAGCACTGACCATTGCAGTGCACAAAGTCTATAACATTATGTGGTAAACAAAGAAACCTCAGAAATTCATTAATCATCGTGTCCCTTTAAGCCTTAAGAACCAACACAACAATCCTTCTGCATTTCTCATTACATAAATTCATTGATCTAATAATAATCAGCAGAAACAACAGAAAGGCAAACCTCATTTTGCTAGTCACACATGTGTAGGCAACTAATTTATTTATGATGATGATACAACAGGAAAAAAAAGAAATAAAAGCAAGAAGAAAGATTCGAACGTCAAGCAGTTGAAACAGCAAATATTTTTTGTGCTTGATCGGAATTCCGCGAAACAAGAAGCCAAACTAACGAGCATGAAATGAAATATCGTTGTTTTGTTGTTGTTTCTCTTATTTTTTTATGTGTTGCGAATTACGGTGGCTAGTTTGGAATTTATTGTTTCTCTGGAAGTAAAAATAAGCAACTTTGAAGAAAAGGCCAAAAGGATGATGACCGGCTTAGAAAAGTAGATTTCTAGTAACTGACAACAACAAAGTGCTTACAAATGCCTCAGATTAGATGCTGAAGGTTGTCTTATTTCATTTCCAGTTATTTTCTGATTTCTCGGAAATTCAAATTCAATAAAAATATGCGCTTGAATTATTTTATATTGTTAAAATATCGTATTTATGTAAAAATAAATCCTTTTCAATTCTTCCTTCATTCAAATTCAGACATGATGAGAAAAAGAAAAGAAAAAAAATTGCTCAAGACTTCAATCTGGAATGGATCATGTCGCACATCTCAACGTGATCCCCGAAGCCCTCCCTCCTCTCTTTTAACCTTCAGCATTCTGATGTTTTTCATTCGATTCAAGCTAAACTTCATATATGAACCGAATATGTGTCGTGAGACTTTTTGTGCATCGGAATTATGTAAATTTGTATTTTGCATGCATCCAAGGTTGATTTCGTTCTTACGTGCTTACCATGCTCGTTCTGAATCTTTCGTGTATCAAACAACTGCAGTAAAAACAATAATCAGTGGCAACTGGTTAAAAAATCTAAAAGACTTTTGAAAGGAAATGAAAATTAATTAACTTGAGTTGCAAAAGGGGCCCTTCAAGCTATCACAGTACGAATCGTGCTGGAACTTGTTTCACTTGAATACTTATAGCTTAGATTGGGTGTGGTGAGTAACCTCCGTTTGTGGACTTGTGACCAAAGGTTGAGTTATTATCATAATTCTAAATATTTTTAAAAATTCTTAAACTTTACTAATCTAAGCGCAACCATTGAATATCTATTGTTTTTCAATTATACGACACAAAAGTTTAATTAAACTAACTTTTCTTGTCATTCAATTATTTGGAAGCTGTTGGAAGGGAGACTTTGTTTGGTGTGATGATTTAACAAACAACTGCTGTGAATTCCAACTGAGATCTTCATCCATCTTTTAATGATTGATCCCTTAAAACGAGAAGAAAGTGAGAATGAAATAAAAAAGAGAATAAAATTGTTTATAACAAGCAACATCAATCAATCACTCGATGCGATAGGCGTTATGATAATTAATATGACTCGAAAATTATTCATAACTAGCCTGCACATAAGTTTGAGACAGTTTCATGTTATAAAAACAAATTAATGGCTACGATTCTGCCTAAGAAATTCTCTTCAACTTGCAATTCTGTAGCTTATTAATTACTTGCAAGAATAATAAAATTAGCATTTAAAGTTGTTAATGTTCATTCTCGAAAGAGTCGAGAAGAGGGAAAGCAAAAAGTTGTTAAACAGGAATGAAAAAAGAAGAAAGAGGCGGGTGTTCCGCCCTATTTTCAATCCAATGCTTCGTCATTGACGAATGGCAACGCGTCTACACTTTTAAACCAATAGAAACTCGAGAAATTGTGGGAAGCATAAACATAGCACGTAACTGCTTATTTTATTTTATTTAATTTCTTCCAAGAAAGAAAAATAAGGTGATTTAGGCTTGAAATTAACAATGTTAATTAATTGCAACGGCAATGTTGTTTCTTTATTAAATAAAACTAATTAACGAATACATTTTATAGTTTGTTTTACCACATTGAACTCACCTTAATTGAAAGAACTTGTTGGTAAAAGCTTGCAATTAAAACTACTACCAAATGAAAATACTTGACTAGACAATTAAAAATTATATGAATGTTATTAACTAGAAACTTTAACCGGAGCTAATCATTTGTTAACTGTATGGCTGGTGCTTTAAGTTTCTCATCAAAAAATTAATGCGAAGAAAGAAAATATTCTAAGAAATAAATTTTTCAACATATTCACACACGAAATGAACGAAAGAGAAATAAATATTGACCCTTTTTCGTTTTAAAAAGTTATATCACATCAGATTATTCGCAAGCAGATTGAATAAATATTTAAAACAACCATTTTGGCATTCAACCAACTCAAATGGCTCTTAAAATGTTTAGGAAACTTATGATGGCATGAAAAGTATTAGACATGTTTCTGCTTAGATCTTTTTCTCTAAATGTTACGTGTCAGAAAATTTTATTTCACCATTTTTTTGCTTCTTTAAACTTTGTTGAGGTTTTTCAATAATTTGACCATTAATTTGATTTAATTTTTCTTTGTTAGCAATGCCAATGGAAATTCCCACTTTGCCACCTCCAGTTGGCTTTCAGTTAGTTCGTGATCCATCAACAGGGCAATTTTTATTTTTGCCAGCAGCGACAACAATAGGTAAGGACAAGCATGTGATTATGGTAGAGTCAATTAGACTTTAAGATTTATGGAAACACGGACTCTCTTTGGTGGCCTGAAATTAACGACTTAATTTATTCATTGAAGAGTTAAATTTAAGTTTCTTTTCTTCAACATGATTTATAGTTGATTTCTTTTTACATAACATATGAAACATAAAAATATAAAAAATATGATTTAGTTTATTATACAGAATGGACTTATAAAATAACTTTTAGAAATATTAATGGAAATATTCAAAAGGAGAATGGTTTTGGGATACTCAGAGACATTCATAAGTTATGTCATGTTTTTGTTTTAATCTTTTCTGTTATAATTTAGCATGGCAAAACTTATGAAAGCTTCACATAATTTAAAATAATTCGGCAATAAAATTTTTTCCTTTTTTTAATTTAACAAATTTTCAGTCGCTTTTTACTCATTTTAACATTTATTTTTGTTTTTTTCTTTTTTTTTCTTCACACACATTCAAAATTATTTTCAAAAAAATATTATCGTAAAATTACACGAACACACACACAAACTCATGCGCTTAATTAAAAAAACTTCTCATGTTATGCAAAAAAAAATCGCAATATGAAGTTACATTAGATAAAATCAATATCTCTTGCATAGAACCGATTCCACAAGCGCTGGTTTGGCCGACATATCAGCAAATGACAGGACAAAGTGGCCTGCAGCCGCCCAACCTTCTATTGCCACCACTTCAACAAAGTCTTCAGCCACCACCACTTGCATTACTGGGATCGGATTATTTAACAGCAAGCACGACATTGCATCAGGTGAGATTGAACATTAAATGCTAACTTTGATTGTTTCGATAATTTTGCCTTTTCTCAGTCCCATTTACAACACACGTCAACACATAGCACACGTTTAGTGGCCTTGACATCAGATACAAAACGTACAAAATGCACTCAACAAGCATCATCCGTCCCCATGCCAATTCCTGCTCATACTCTGATAAAGATTGAAGATGCTCATCAGAATCATCATCATCATCATCAACCTGTTTCAATGTATGATCATGAAAAGTCAATACAAGCAGCATCAATAGCAACAACTGTACAAACACCAAGTGATTTAAGTGGACAACTCTTTTATCAACATCCAGGATTGATTCAAATTGCACCACAACCTCCGATTGCACATCAAGCTTCATCAGTTCCCAATCTTATGGAAACTGCTGACTGTCATCGACATCAAATGTCACCGCCTCCATTACAGTTAACAACCACATCACATTCCACAAATTCAAATGACAATACCTGCGCCCAGATGAGCTTTAATGTTGTGCCATCGTCATGTCCTCCAGAAGTTCAAGATGCAAATATTCAAACATCACCGATTATGAGTGAAGATGACAACACAAGTGGACATGATGACATTCCTGAATCAAACACAACTGAATTCGAGGAAGAAAGTCAAGACAATCATCGACAATCACCGGTGGGTGTTGTTGAAAAAACAATCATAAACGAACCTGAATTGACAAGAGAAGAAATTGCTGAACATCGTGAGAGTGTTCCAGACACAAGTGTCACCTCATCATCGCTTGTTGTTGTGAAAAAGCAAATTGAATCACCTGACACTTCAATAAATAACACAAAAGACGATGAAACTCCTTCTGAATCGAATTTAAATCGTTCAGATGAACAACATGAACCAGTTGATTTGAGTGGACTTCAACTTCTCTCAAACAGCATTGATGTCTTCCAAAAGAAAATCATCAAACAAGAGCCACAAGAACAAATGCAAATAACAAGTCCAACAATTGCTTCAACAACAGCCACACCACCAATTCAAGAATCGATTGATGAGAAAGTTGCCGTTGACAATATGAAACCGACAATTCCCAAAGTCATGCCAGAAGATCTCGGAGGTTTAGATTTACTTTGTGCACTTGCTGAACAGCGGTTGGAACAAGACTTCCAAAATCAAGATCCATCAACGTCACAAGAAGATTCTGAACTTCAAGTGAAAAAGCGCAAACATAAAGTAAAGTCAAGTAAGAAATCAAAGCACAAGGACGAAAAGAAAGCAAAGAAGCGAAAACATTCGACATCAGAAGAGCGTGAAGATGAATTGAAGGGTGAAATGGCAGCGTCACTGAAGCGTGTCAAAACGAAATTTGATAATTTGCCGCTCACATCTGTCGATGATGTTTGTCGGTTGATGGAAAATGACATGAAAGAAAAGCTGGCGAACATTACAAGACAATTGGAAGAGAAACGTCGGGAATTGAAGCAGATTAAAACACCTGATGGCAATGAGAAAGAATGTTCGTCGTCTTCGTCTTCGTGTGAAAATAAACCAACAAAAGTTTCGTATCTTGGCAATTCAGCGCCATTGAAGTTCAGCATCATCCCAGCTTTATCGCCTTCGTTCTCATCATCATCCAACTCTGAGAGTGTTGTTGAGATCCCGAAATTGTCAAGTGACACTGATTCAGGCAGTAAAGATGAAGGTGAAGGAAGCACGAATGAACGTTCGAAACGCAAGTTCAGCATTCCTAACAAGAACAATGGCGACAAGCAACAAACTGAAACAATTGTGGCTAAGAAATCAAAATCATTCGTCGGTTACATTCTCGCATCAAAACACAAACTTCCACCAACGACATCACCAACTATGGGCTCGTGGACAAGTAGCATAAGTAAAAATGGAAAAGCTTCACTTCCATTTGTTAAGCAAGAAGATCAAGACGGTCGTGGAATTATCAAAGAATCAGCATTCAAAGATGATCGAGTTTTCTCAATCTTTGGTGATGGAAATCATCAAAAGTTTCAAGCATCATCACCATTGACGCTTCCTAGTAGTTCACGATCTCAACAGCCCTACAACAAACATCATTCCAAACATAAGAAACATAAAGAACGTCGTCGACACCGCGAGAAGCAGAAAATGGACACTCGATGCATGATAACTTCTGATCATTTAAAACAAGCAAAGACTCGTGTCTTGATGGCACAAGGTGGACTCTTTTACGCTGGTTCATTAACAACAGTCGAACAAAATGAAATCTTTGCAATAACACTTGATGGTGAGCGTGGTAATCGTCCGCATATAATGCCAAGAGAAGAGATTCTTAAGCAAGCTGTGAGTTTAATTAAATTTTCATTTTTTTACTTTAAAATTATGAAAAATTTCTTTCAACAGATTCTTGAAATTCAACCAAAATCAGCTACTGAATGTCCACCAGGCACAAGATTGTGTGCTTATTGGAGTCAACAATATCGTTGCTTATATCCTGGCATTGCAACAGCTCCAAGCTCCCCAGATTCTGATATTGATGACAAATACATCAATGTTGAGTTTGATGATGGCGATAATGGAAGAATTGTTTTAGATCACATTCGGTTCTTGCTAAGCGATTATCCGATTGTTGGTAAGTATCACAGTGAGTCGAAGATTGATTTTAATTTACATTTAAATGGCAATTTAAAGCTTTTAATTCCAATATAGAATACGATCCAAATCCACTTCAATCATTAAATAAACGGAAACGTGCTGCGAGTCAAGGCGCTCAATCTGATCACGAGAAAGCATCATCGACAGTTGTTAACAGCAACACAATAAGCAACAAAGAAAGAAAACGTTTAAAGAAAATGCGTAAAGATAAACAAAGGCTACAATCATCTCCAGATCATGCTCAAGACTCATTCGCTGCGACCACAATGCTGGAGCGAAAGCATAAAAAGAAGCACAAATGTCAAGATGAATTGTGCAAACACCGGAAACATAAGAAAAGGCGAAAGCATAAGAAGCATCATCATAGAGAACTTGACGAAGAAGACCGCGATCTTCAACACCATGTGCAAAGCGCAATGTCAATCAGCAATGACAGCAACAATAACGAAGAAGAGTTTGATGAAGATTCATTGTCGTTGAACGAAAGTGTGACACAATATGAGATTGTGAAAAAGGTTGATGAAGAAATAGTGATTAAAGATGATCCCGATACGATGGAATCGAGTGTAACTGAAAGTTCCGGATCTGTTTATGTGAGTTAAGCAACAAAATTGTTAATTAAACTGTCGTCTCTAATTTATTATTCATCTAAATTAGCAACCGAAGAAGTCAGTGTCAACTGAGAAACTTAATCGAAGTAATGAGAGTGGAAGTAAAATTGCAGCTTTTCTACCTGCGAGACAACTTTGGGCATGGTCGGGTAAAGGTTTTAAGCGATCCACTGGCAGAGTTAAGAAGCAATTTTATCGTTCTATACAGAGGGGAAAGGAAACAATTTCGGTGAGTGAAGAGAATTAACGAGAAGATTTATCTGATTAATTTCACTTCATTTATTCTTCCAGGTCGGTGACAGCGCAGTATTTTTATCAACTGGCCGGCCAGATCGTCCCTACATTGGACATATTGAGTCGATGTGGGAGACAGCAAATGGTGCTATGGTTGTCCGTGTTAAATGGTTTTATCATCCTGAAGAGACACAAGGTTGTCCTAATCTCAAGTATCCGGTAAGATTTCAAAGAGAACAACAAAAAATGCAATTAAACTTTTGATTAATGATGAATTTTCTTTCATCAAATGTTGTTTAGGGCGCTCTGTTTGAATCACCCCATGAAGATGAAAACGATGTTCAAACAATTTCACATAAATGTGAAGTTCTTGAATTGAATGCTTACGTGGAGAAGTTTGGCAATGAACCGAAGCATTATGAGTCGATATATGATAACAACGACACTTATTATTTAGCTGGACATTATGATCCAACACTTTACCATATAAAGATGCAACCTGAAATTCCTGTATTGGATGAGAATGAAAAATGGGCATGATTGGAGTAAAGCGCAACATTGTTCTGCATGTGATAAAATTTTATTTCTGATAAATCCACTGAAGATGATTACGAGAAAAAAAAAATATTAAAAAGTGTTGTGAAGTGGAAAGCGATAGCGAAATTCATTTTTGATCGAATTTAATGATGTGAATAAGAGAATTTGTTTCTGAAACAAACGCTGACGAGATGAAAAGTATTTGAGGGACTTTAGAATAGATTTTAATGGGATTTTCAGTTTAAACTTTATTTAAATATTTGTGTGTGGCACAGACATTCGTACCGTAGATTGGTGTGGGTGTTAAGTGCTCGAAATGGTTCTGTTTTGAATTTTTCGTATACGAAGATATAAAAATTTCCGCGTTTAATTGAAGGGCAAAAAACAAAATAATGTGTCAAAAGTAAATCGAAAATTTACAATTCAAAGTAGGTGAAAGAAAAAAATGTTGCAAGACTTACAGGGGTTAATTTGATTATTAAGTAACGTCCTAAGATTTTCATCATATCATGATACGAAAAATAATTTTTGGGATATTAATTTGCAATTTAAGAAGCAGAAAACGTCGAAATATTCCAAAGAAATTGAATATATTTGTGACGTTACATACAAACAATTACTGATTATCATCAAAATTATATTTCCGAGAAATATCTACTTAATTCAACAATAAAGTTTGAAGAGAGAAAGACGAAGGAAGAAGAAAAAAATCTTAATTAAGAATGATAAGAGATTAAATTTCACTTTCTCTTCGTGCTTTCCCCTAGACAACTACCTAAATAAATACAACAACAGCAACAAAAATTCTTTGTACAAATAAATAACAAAAAAAGAAGAAAGTAACAAAACATGAAATCCTAGTTAGATGGTTAGATGATGAAAAATGAGACGAACATAAAATATATTTTTCTACATAGGAGATGAAAATATAAATAGAAGAAAAGTTTATAAGAAAACTCCAATTAGACGAAATCAATTCAGGACAATTGATGACTCGTTGTAAATAAGGAACAGATTTTGTATCTGTTCTCCGAAAAGAAAGAAGTAAAAACAACAGAAAACTTTTATTTCTTTCACTTTAATTAATCTTCCTCTCCCTTGTTGAATTGAAACTTGAAAACAAAGCCCTCAGTTAGATGTTTTCCCGGTAGACTATCACTGAAAAAAAGAAATTTGTAGTAAGTTGGAAGGATTCCTTCGTTTCCTTTTGTAAATGAATTTTTTTTATATCTTCAATTGATAGAAAATCAAAATGATGTGAAAAAGGAAGAACTTTAAATATATCAAAAATGTATTCGTAAATATTTTGTACTCGCTTATAAATTATTTTTTATTTGTATCATGTTAGTCGAATAAGATAGATTAGTTGAATAAGTTAATTAAATAAGGACAAAAAATCTCTTTGTTTCATTATTTTATAATGATTATGATGACCAAGGCTCTTCCAGTTCTTATCAATAATATTAAAACGTTTAGCAAATATTTTCATTGCTTTCTTCTTTAGTTTTGTCACATGTCAATGAAGTTTAATTATCGCGACATTTTGTTGCTTCTTCCTTACCTTGATGCAATATCATTTATGAAATAATAAATATCTATGATTATAATTATTATATTTTGCAATAGAATTTTGTGTATCTATGAAGAACGATGGAAACAAAAAAAAAACATTAATTTAAGTTTATGTGTGAAAGTTGCGAGTCATCGCAAGAATATTGTAAATAAAAATGAAGCAAGAAGAAATATCATTTAATCCAAAAGCAAAAGTGAAGTTTTTTCTTTATTATTTTTCGTGTTTAAGAAACCTTGAACTTTCAATCATTTTTTTTTGTGATCAATCAACTATGAAATCAGATTGTGCGTGTCTCATCTCTCTATCTACTTCCTGCTGTTACTTTTGATTTGATACATGTCTATCGATCAGTTAGTGCGAGACCTGAAAAGAGTTGAAAGATAAAACTGCGGAGTTCTTTTTATTATTTTCTTCAACAAAAAGGTGACCTCTAAAACCAGCTGAGTTGAAACATGGAAAAGAAATCAAAATTTTGATGTTATGCCGATGAGATAAACAACAAGTGTCAATTTGCATGTTAGTCAGACGTTTGTATTCCTTTACGCAATATCAAAATTGATTTCAGTGTTGTCAACATTTATTAGAATTAAAATTTTTGAAACATTAATTAATCTCATGTATAAAAATCAAAAACTTGTTTTCAGATTCAAACAACGAGACAACATAAATTAAGTAAAGAAAAAACATTCAAACAAACTTAAAAAAATGAGAAAAATTTATGATAAATATCGTAAAGTTTGTAATACTTAATTAACATAACTAGCCCAACACCGTTATAGCTTCACTTAACCAGTGCTTCTCAAGTTAACTTTTACATCGATCCAAACTTTTATAAAGTTTGTGAAACTCTGCAATAAGGCATTGACTGCCGTTTCTAAAAATAAAATAAATTCTTAAGATTTCTGACTAATAATTCCCTGAATCATCATTTTAAGTTCTTCATGCTGGCTTCTGATACTCAACTTGAGCTTTTTAACTTCAGTCTCAAGTGATTCGACCTTTTCGTTAACACTTTGTTCTTGAAGATGTCGCTTTGCAACAATTTCGCTGAGTTTCTTTAAAGTTTCTTCGTCTAAAATATATGAACCAGCAACTCCCGATCGTGTGCGCAGAATGTGAAAGCGTTTTTGATCTTGCTCGTACTTTACTGTTTTCTGCTTGAAATCTATACACAAATTATCCATTTTATGAAGATATGGATACTTCCTAACAAGCAATGAAATCAGGTAAGTCGTTAAACGTCGCCATCCTCGTAAATTTTGTTTCTGATTATTCTTAGCTTCAAAGTCGTCGTCTTTGTTATTCTTGAGCTTTCCACTATAAAAGAAAGATTCAAATACACATAATCAAAATCTTAAAATTAATCTCACCTCGCTTTCCAATAAATGTCACTCACAACTCCTTCGCTTTCAGCTGCACTTCTTATCTGTTGCTTTAAGTTTAAAAATTCTGCATGAACTTTAAGCAAAGCAATGTCACTGATTGCTAAGCCATTAATTAAATTGAAAAGTATAAATGATGTCAATACAAAGACTAAGAACAGAAGTTGCTTCGAGACTGAGTCCAAAGTGTAAGGATCGATTGAATATTCCCCGCTCAACATCTGAAGTGTCTTCAAGAAAGAAGTAAAAGGATTGTCGAAGTTTCTGAAGATCGTGCTGTTGTCTTCAAGTGCTTCTTCCAAAGTATTCACGAACATTATAGCCGGTTCTTTAAACTCTGCAAACGGTACGGTTTCATTTGACGTCATTGTGTAATTATTCCAATCTTTTCTTAATTGTTTCCATGGTGATGGACCTGATGATGTTGGCGGCTTCAGAACAACACAAAAGCTGAATGTGAATGCAATTATTACGAGAACGAAAATAGTTAAAAACTTGATGAAAGTGTTTGTGACTTGTTTCAGCATGAACATGTAAATTGACATTGATGGATATGGAAGAATGCTGAGAAGTTCAACAGTAGCTAATGGGAAATGTCATAACTCGGTTAATCTATTGAATTAGTTATTCGATTATTACTTGACAACTTACCAAAAATTATTATAAAAGCTGATGGAATCGACATGTAAGTTTTAATCTGCGCTAATGACAGATTCGTGTAAGCATAAAGTAATGTCCAAGATAATGCAATAATAACAATTTCAAATTGATTACTTTTCTTTTTGAAATAATCTTTGAAACTATCGCTTATGGCAAACATTTGAAAGCCTTCACGACATGTTAAATAAATTGTCGCCAAAAGACAAGCGCGATAAGGAAGACTCAAAAATTGTGCAAGTGTCAGACCGAAAATTTTGTAAATTTTCTTCTTTTTAACCATCGTAAGTTCACCATAAGTCTTAAAGAGGTCACTGTAGAATTTATTAAATGGAATTAAAGTAACAAGCAAGAAGAACGGAACCATAAAGAAGAAAATGAAAATATAAAAGTTCATGTTGAAAATTGTTCGGAATTTCCGCGACTTCAAATTTATAAACGTTGAAAGAACAGGATGCGTGATGTGAGTCTTCAACCTTTCATTATTTAAGATGCTCTCCAATGATTTCATTCCACGAATAAATAAAAGCTTTCCATTGTCGTCATGATCAGATTTCATTTGGATTTCACGAACTTCTGGATCGATCAAAAAGTTGTAATCGATTTGGCATCCGTGAATTCCTATTTGATGAAAAAATGAAGGAGAAAACCTTTGAATTCATTTCTTTTCATTGAAATTTAACTTGTGGGAAGTATTTGTGACACTTTCTACAAACAATTCTCTAAAAACTTACCATCTTCAGTAACTCTTGAGTCTAAAAAGTCTTCAAATACTTGAGCGCTTATCCAATCGCTTGGCACGCGATTCTCATCTTCATTGCCTAAGTAATAACCTTTCTCAAGTAATTTCGACATGATGTAATGCGCATTTTGACTGTCAAATGCCGAGTCATCGCATTTAATCGACACTTTATTGGGATCAATCAGTGGACAATTGATGATGATGTTCATCGCTCTTTTTTGACTGTTTGCTAAAGCAAATTCAAGTAAAGAATTGCAATCTTTTCTCACTTTAATTTCATAGCAATCGCCGTGTTTCTCCTTCATCTTTTCAAGATATTTTGGGAAAAGTTCTTCAAACTCATATTCGTGACGTTCTTTAATAGCTAAGATGAGTTTATAATAAGGCGACATATCCGACAGAATCGTTTTATAATGATTGTATTCTTTTGAATAAATTTTCCAATAGGTCATAAGAAGTTTTAAAATTTTATATTTGTAAATTTCGTTCTTCATCCCTAACACTGCATCGATGTCTGTCTCGCCTTTGATGTCAATAATTTGTTTCATTTCTTTCAATAACTTCTCCATGATATCGAGACAAATATCTTCACATTCTTCGTCAATGATTGAATAAAATTTTTGAAATAGCGATTCACCAGTTTTTTTCGTGTATTGCTCGTTCTTCAACTTAAGGAAATAATTTTTACTTGATTTTGCGACGGTTTCCGATTCATCGTTGAAGTCAAAGACAAGAAACGCAAAAAGATTTTCATCGTCGTTCGATTCAATAATGTAATCAATCGCTTGTTTTCCTTTTGAGTTTGCTGTAATCAAAATATCGCGCTTCCGCCACAACTCACATTCCGTCCAAATTAGGTTGATGTACTTTGAATTTCCAACCCCAGGCGTTCGCAGAATTTCTTCAAAAAGATTTTCATCGTCGTCGCGTTCAAAAAGAAGATTGCGCGACGTCTTAAATTTACGCCAACCAATGGCATTAGCAAATTTGTTTGAAATATTTTCATCATCAACTTCATAGTTATTCTTATAACCAGTTCGATGAAAAAGTTTAAGAAAAAGTTTCAGGTTTTTGTTATGGTAAGCAAGTCGAAGGTCGCCCTGGGCAAAGACATTAAGAATTACGTTGTCGAAAATATTTCTGTTTACATCTTTTACCAACTTACCAACAAACTTTTCTCCTTTATGTGCAATGTCTTCAATGTATCAAAACTATCGTTTACATATCCGTGATTCTCCATTCTCGTGTCCTACTTTATTCTTCTCTTAAAATTCTTGTCCACTTTTTTTTGTCTTTTTTTGAAATATTATTAATAAATTTATTTTAATGGGTTTGCTCATCAAAGAAAAAAATTTTTTGATTCTTTACATGAAAAATAATTTTATTTTGTATGTTAAACGTCTTTAAAATTGCACATGAAAGGACGCAACGGTGATATAACCGTCCACAGTTTATTTACCAATTAAATTTACAATTTTATTACGTTAACCGTACAAACGATTTTTAAATTCATTGAAATTCTTTAATAAGAATTTAAGTAACGAAATGTGTAGGGCTAAACAGGTTCTTTGCTTATAATTCAACACTACTTATGCTTCTCGCATATGAAATTCTCAAAAGTTCTTTGGAGGAATTTGCCAAAAATATTTTCAAGCGCACGATTTAAAATCTTCCAATACGGTGAGCAAACCATTCAAGACTACTTGATGATCTTAGACAATCAAGGAAACTTCTAATCCACCTGATCAATTAATAAACATGAGGAACCAAAATTGTAATCAAATATACGAAAAAAAAACTTGACCAACGACTTGTAGAAAAGCTTGATACAAGGTAGCAAAAAAAGTTTGGAAAAAGATACAAATTAATTGTGAAACATAAAAAAGTTCTCTTCAGATTTTTATTCCCTTCGATTTCGTTGAAAATAAATTGCTAATGTGATGATTCCGATTAAGATTAAGAATGTTTTATAAATATGATTCGTTCCTTACCTGTTTCCATATAAATTCATATTGGTAGAATGCATTGGAACTGGTTAAAATGGAATAAGATTTGTTGTTATTTAATTCAAAGACTAATGAACTCTATGGGACATTATTTATATCAGAATAATGCTCTCTCGCTTGTTGTATTTGATCTCAACATTCTTGTTGGCTGCGTCTGACGCCGTGGAGCAAAATAATACTTTTCGCATTCCTGAATGAGCGTTCTCAAGTTATAAGAACGTTTCAAAAAAGCAAGACATCCTTTACATATAAGAGCTTCCTTTTCATTTCCATCCTTTGATGGCTAAATAAATAAATTCAGATTAATTCTTTATCAATGAAATTTGAATAAAATTTATTACATTTAGAACAACTCCTGAAATCGCCTCGAACATTTGAACATTTTCGGAGTTTCCGTCACAATACAAAGGTAAAAGTTCTACTTTTTCATTTCGTGATGCAAGACAACATCGACATTTAAGGAAAACACTTTTGGCTCTCATTTGAAATTTTTAAATTATGAAGTTATCAAATTTAAACTAGGCGTGAATAGAAAGATTTAGGTACTTTTATGTTTATCAGCATACACTTTAGACAAACCACACGGCAAAGGGTATGCAAGTAATGCAAAAGCTTTTCCTTAATAAATCCTTAAATATCCGCTTTTTACATAGAATGTTTTATTCAGACTTATTCAGTTTTATCTGCTTAATCGATTGACGTTAAAATATTTTTAAAAAAATAAGCCATTTTCATGATATTCATGAAACAAACCGATCATGCATTCACTTGAATAGATTTGACACCCTTTCGATTATTAATCCAAAATTGTTGACAATTTGTTTAACACCGAAATTTAACGGTCGAGAGTGATCTTCATGCAAATGAAAATTTTTCATGCAAAGAAAATTCTCACTGAAAACTCTGAAAAATTTATGAAGTTATGAATTATTTAAACAATATACTTTTTTCTCAAATAAATCTACACATTTATTATCTTTACTAAGTTTGTTTTTAGATAAACTTAAGAGAACGTTTCAAAAAAATCTTTTTTCAAACGTACCCTTACAACGTTTACAAGTTTTCTTTAGGTTAAATTAAATTTAATTGAAGTAATTTCCTTATAATTTGTGTGTAGCTCTTCTAGTTACATATCTGTTTGAAAATAATTTTATAAAATAAGACGCGTTGTGAAAATTATTCAGATAAAAATTATGCTGAGATCTCTCGAAAGGTTTTTCTTTCCCTTCCTTGTGAAAAATATTTTTTCTTTTTTTTTTGTGTTATTATGAAGTAGAAAATGTCTGCAAAAAGCTTATTGGTTCATTAAGGAACGCATGTTTGTATTCTTCTCCTTGAAATTCGTAATTTGCGTTCCTTTTGGGTTTCCTTTAGCATCTATTGCACTGTTGAAGAAAAATCAAATAATTAATTAATGAAAATAATTCTCAATATAACACAAAGCATTACCTATTGGATTCAAAAGGATTTCTCGTAGATTCTCTTCTTATTTCTGTGATGCTTGAACTCCAGTTTGTATTTCAGACGACTTCTTACAATTATTACAAATAAACTCCATGTCCGGTTTGACTTCTTTTATCTTAAGTCCTACACACACCATATGATACCAAACTTCACAGCCGCCATCGCAAAGAATCCAATCTTGAACAGATTCTGGAATAAAATTAAAAATATTAGCTACCTAAATAGGAAGATCGATTAAATTGAAATATTTACCTGATGGACGCTGACAGTTAGTAACACCACAAGTTTCATATGCATCAGACTCTTCAGGCGATGACTCGGAGTCACTTCCATTTGGCTTTGTGCCATCTTTTTCACCTTTCTTTGAAGGTTTTTGTGACTTTTGTTTAACTTTCTTCTCTTTTGTTTTCGTTATTTTCTTGAGGGGTTTCGAAAGATCTGCAGGATTTGAAGCTTTTAACGGTGTTGAAGTTTCAATTGTTGCTGTTGAAATAGGAAGTAATGATGGCTGTTGGTTTTGTTGCTGCTGTTGTTGTGGTTTCTTCTTTCGTTTCGGCTTAACTTTAATGCCGCCATCATTCTTCGGTAGTTTTTTAATTTTTTTGGTTTTCATCACACGCTTCTGCTTGACAATTAATTTTCCTTTTTTCGGCAATGTCCCATCCGCTTCCTCAATATCCATGACATCATCATCATCAATGTCACCATCAGATAGTTCCATTGGCTCGATTTTAATCTCTTTTTTTATTGATTTTGTGTACTTTCTCGGTGGCTTTTCATCAGCACTTAGAATTTTACGTTTCTTTATACTTTCTTCACTGTAAATTCTTGTTGGCATTTCAAGCTGTTCACAAATTTATTCGTTATTAGAATCATTAAAAGTTAAAAAGAAATTTAAGAATTCTTACCGGAATATTAAACTTCTTACGAATCACATCAAGCTCATTGCTGTAGTTCTTTGATGCATTCAATAAACGCCAAAGATAAACAGTTTCATCAAGTGTCACTTCAAGTAAGTCTCCTTCCATCATCAACTCTTCAAGAAGATGTTGAGTGACTTTGCTGAGTTGAATTGCAGGTGAAGGGAATGAGCCAAATGATTTATCGTTGTTCATGTAAGGATGTTCAGGATTTCTAAACAAAATTAAAAGTTTCAATGAGAGAGAAATGATTGAAATAAAAATCAAAACTTACAACAACTTCAACTCATCATTGTCACTTGCATTTCCAGTATCTGAGCCAGCGTCTGATGAACTTGGTGTTAACTGTGCTGATGATTCAGGATCTTTAATTTTATTCTTTGATCTTTTAAGCTTCCGTTCTTGACTTGGATCTTTAATTGTTCCATCTTTCTTTTGATGCATTGAAAACTCCAAAAGTGCCATTTCAACATCTTTCTGCTTCAGTGCTTGACGAACACGATCTTGCCAATGCATTGCACGTTCAGCGACACTTTAAAAAACATTCCAATTAATTAAATTAAATCTAAAATTAAATTCTTACGCTTACCATTGAACAATTTCACCTTCTGGCACACGTAAAGGTATCTGTTGAAGTGCCACAAGCAGTGACAAAATGTTATCCAATTTGGGTCGTTTTGTTCTCATACAAATTGGACACAAATATTTGCTTTTCAGGTCGAGTGGCTCTTGTTTGGGTTCATAATTTTTCGACATTGGTGGCACACACGATCCATGGAACCAATCAAGACAAAGCTGACAATGATACATGTAACCCATAAAACGACCTTTACATAAACAATATTGATCACGTTCCGGATTCTTCTCAGAATTTATTCGACGTATCTCCATAATTCGACAAATCTCATTCTTTTCGGCCTTCTTGAACGTAGCAACAACAACAGCAGGTCCTAAATCATCAAGGTAACTGGTATCGCTTGAGCCATTTGAACTGTTAGCTGAGATTGTCGACGACGATGATGCTGTTGAACTTGGCGATGCTGATTCGCAATCGTCACTTCCACCTCGATAATTTGGTGGTGACATTGCTTTCGGAACAACAGCGAATGTTAAATCAGACTCATATTTCGGTGTTAAAGCCTCAAGTAAAGAATATTTGGAGTTTTTCTTGAGGAACGTTTGACAAGCTTTGTCCTTCCAAGCATTCGCTTCATTGACATGTTTCTCCATCGTTTGAATTGGCTCAAGTTGAAATGGCAATGACTTTGCATTGTTGATAATGTATTCTAGTGAATCTACATATGGATAATTCTCATTTGACTGTAATGCTTCAATCTGTTCGAGAATTTCCTTTGCACGATCCATCGCTTCTTTCAACACTGAAAACGACGGGAGAAAGCCTTTAATAGTCTTTCCATATCGAAGTAAATCTTCAATGTCACGCAATTTAATCGGTGATGATGAATCGAAAATTTTGTGTGCTCGATCCTCCCACGCTTCCATCTCAATTATCATTTCTTTAATGTCATTCAATTCACGTTCGATGATGTTATGTGGTGGAACTTTCAAACCTTCACTCAAATGTTTCTTTAAAACATTTAATTGATGACGTTCAGTTTTCTCACGATAACTTTTAATCATTCGATACCAATTGACTTGTTCAAGACGAGCTTTTAATTGATCCAATTGCGGAAGTTCAATGCATAAAGTGCTGCCATCTTGAATCGTTTTCTGTAACTCTTTCGGATCATTCGTTGTGATTGTTTCTTGATTAAGAAGACGCTTTACAGTGATTACGAAATCATATCCCATTTGCTGTAACTCTTTAACCGTCACAAAGTCATCAATCGTACAACATAAATTATCTAATTCTCCAACAAACAAATCCAACTCTTCCAACGTTATTTTATATCGTGACGCAATGTCGTTCGAGTTTCTCGTTCGTATCTTATTAATGTCAAGTTGTTGAATGACGGTGATACATTTATCTGCTTCAATAACAGCTGAATTTAATCGTTCAAGTAGTGGACTTTTCGGAAATTTCTTTGCTTTCGCTTCCGAAGCGAGATCTTGAAGTTCTTCGAATGAAACTTTTGTTGATATTGCCGGATCTAAAATGTTGCGAACTTTTGTTAACCACGTTTCGAAAGATTCCGCTTTAATCTTTAATTTCTTCAACATCAACGGTAATTCGTCTAAAGTGTAACGATATTTGAGTGTGTGTTGTTCTGGTGGACATTTGCACAGTTCATTGTAATGACGTAAACATACAAAAGCAGATGTACAGGAGCAAGAAACAGCGGACAAGAAACAAGTCGTCTTACAACATTCGCATTGTCGTTCATCATCTTGTAAAAGTTCAAAAGCTTCACGTTGTGCTTTTGTCACTCCCCATTCAAGAAGCGTTTTTCTCAATTTTTTTTCTGTATCAATCATTTCAACCATGTCGAGATAACAAGCTGTGGCTATTCCCAAATTTAATCGATCAGCTTCCAATGCCATTTTACAGACAATCTCATCATGTGAGAACACACAAAATCGTCGCAGGATCGAATAGTGATTGACACATTCTCGTCCCAATTTCACCCAATCAGCTGGACAGAAATTCACAGCTTCAGCGAAATTATATCCTTGATTAAATCCGGCATGATATGCTCGAGGAAATGTGATAACAAATTCACCAGCATGTTGATCTGTTCGATAAACAGGAACGCCATCATTCATGAGAATATTTGGATTTAAAATTGTGACAAGTTGATGAAGTAAATCTGGTTGTGACTGGAACAATTCAGGAGCTGCACGTTTCATACAATTTTCTAACCTCTCAGCTGATGAACCTGGAACGCCATACCAAGTTTTAGGCTCACCCCAATGTAAATAATTAATGGAATAACTCCAATGATCTTCATTATGCCAACAAAATGTGGCGAAACACATTCCAACGTACATCCACGGAATTTTCATTCCACTAATATCAGCATTGATGTAGCCAAGTACAGATTCTTCAACGACTGGTAAGTTGTTGAGATTCCACGGTGAATCGGCATACTGTTGATCATCGCCAAGAATGTGAACAGAATTCTTCATTGGAAATCCCGACCCATGTTCCATTGAATGTAAATCAGCGCCATATTCAACACTCACGTCTTCATCAATTGATTGCGTAAGTCGCCAGAATTCTTTCTCGACTAAATCGGTTGGCACCATGTGAACTGGCATGTTGAAGTATTCAGCTTTAAATTGATCAGCCATTTCACCAAACTGTTGCAAAGTGTATTCACGTTGTGCTTGTTCAAATCCAAAAGCTTCGATTGGCTTCTTCACTTCTTCACAAACACATTTTGGACATCGCCAATCACCTTTCGGTATATCGTTTAATGGTGGAATTAGACAGAATGTGTGATAACTGTCATCACAACCGTCACAAAGCAGCATCGCTTCTTCAACATCACCGCGATTGCAATTGAGACAAATATATTTAGCAAGTGGATCAGCATCGTAACTTGCTTGCATTTTAACATCACGTCGTTGTTTGTATGGTGAGTTTGCAGATGCTCGTGTTGATTTACTTGGTGACGTCATTTGTCGACGAAGTTCTGCTTGTTTATCTTTTGATAAATTCATTTCTCCAATGTCGGTGCTTGCTTCCATGTTTTGGAATCTTTTTGAGCGTCTTGCAGTGGTTTCTGTTGGTGGTTTCACTGATTGTCTTGAGACAATGCAATGAGGTTTGTAATCGCAATCATCTGATTCTTCTCCAACTTCAAGATTCTAGAAGAATTTATTAATTAATCATTAATTTCTGAGAAATTTTAATATAGTAATAAAGAAATTACTCACCGCTCCATCAACAACTTTTCCACTCATGTAAATATCAAATGGATAAAGAATTCGCTCGTAATGGCCTTTTAAAATTGTTCCGACATTCTTTCCATTTGGATATCCGAGACGAACAGCAATTTTTGACCATTTTCTTTCTTTCGTCACCAATTCCAATCCGCCTTCTTCCTGGACGAGTCTATGTAAGGAGTGTAAGTCAAGTTGCTTACGTTCAACCATCGGGATTTTAAGTGAACTTCCTTGCAACTCCCAAAACTTTGCAATTTGGTCGAGGAAATTCAACTTGATGCGTGTCTTGGCCTGTGAAATTGTTGTTGGAATATTTTCATATATTTTTTTTATTACATCACTGATTTTACAACACTCACCTCTAACTCATTTACACGTTGAATACGCGGTGTAAATCTCAATTTTTCCACATCTAGGGTGAAAGGAGGCTGCCAATCCTACAAAATATGAGAATTCTGAATAAATTTCCAACTCACAAACTCATAACGTTGAAAAAAATGCATGAAACAAGTTTTTTTCTCTTCTGTTTTGTTTTTCATAGAACGAATAAAGTGAAGAGAACAATAAAATAAAAACTTTTTGAAGAAGGAAACCAAACAAAAATTGTGTGGGGACCATTCATGGTTAATGTAAATTTCTGAATTAAATTTAATTAATATTTTTTCTTTTAATTTTCCAATCACTTTTTTAGCCTTGAAATCGATAATCGGACACGTAATTTCCTGTTTTCCTTATTTATACGTGAATATCGAACAAACTTTAATGGCGGAAAGTGCATAAATTTTATTTTGACATTTTTCTCATTGAAAAGTGAGGAAAACAATTGAAATTGTACATAAAATGAAATCTGTGATGATTTACAGAGAAGAATTAATAAAATCTCATGATTTTTAAACACTAATCAATCATTTTATCACAATTGCGTTTAGTCACATGCATTAGGGTTCAAATATTAGAAACAATGAGAAGGGAAAAATTTCAGAAATTTTTTACTTACAGCCGGCGGTTTTATTTTACAAATTCCAAATTTTTCAGCTAATGGACGAATCTTTTGGATATATAGCAATGGATTTTTGAACTCTTCAGCAGTTGGAATAAATACTGGTGCTTCTTCAGGCACTTCGAACTCAAATTCGTCACATTTATCCATTTGTAAGTGCGGATGAGCTGCTTTATTCTCGTCGAAACCAAGGGGATCTTTTGAAGGTGATGTAAGGTCGTAATAATTACGTCCATTGGTTGAGAAGCCGCCATCGGAGTCCTTACGCGGCGTTAAATGAACCTTTTGCGATTGTTGTTGTTGTTGTGTGGGAGACATTTTTATATCGGCAGACATGTTTATTTATTTACACTAAAATTTATTTTCAATTTGTTATTTTTTCCTTCTCTCTCTGCTTATACCTCTTTATTGTAAATGTATCACTAATCTCAAAGCCTCAAAATTACCTAAGTGTATTATTTGGACACTAAACGCTTTGAATTAATGAGTTTTTTGTTTAATTCTGTCAATTTTTTCTTGACAATTTTCTTCTTAATTATAGTTTTTTATTCTTATCCTTTTAAGAACCGTTTCAAAGTAGTTGATTTTTTTATTAGTCACTTTTTTTTAAATTTTATTCTTTGAACTTATAGCGATGAAGGAAAATCTTAAAAATTTGTAAAGAAAAAACTTTCACAGTGTTAATTTTCTTTTCTTCCATTTTGGAACTCACTGCCCATATTTTTCAATGATTTTAAACGATAGCCCTTTGACTTTTCCGTCGTACTCCATAATTTTATCAAACCTTAGAGTTTTCTGCACATTTTACAACTTCTTCAAGGACGTTTTAATGTCGATTACCTCGTGTTAGACAAGATATTCTTTTTTTATTTAAGACGATAACTAATTTTTTGCCTGACGTGATTATTCCTTCTTAAGCAGATTTCACTTTACAAGAATGAAACCCCTCGAAAAACCTTTCTAAGTTAAACTCGCTTTCTTACATGAATCGCAATTAACATTAACTTATAAAACTCGAAATGACAGGCGACAACTCAACATTCCAAAAAAATCCGAACATATTTATATTGAAGAAAGCTTTAATCAACAAAACAATCACTAAATTACAGTTTGATGTTTACATGGTTTTGTTAAATATTCCAGCGGGAAAAGTCACAACATACAAGAATATTGCAAACATTGTGAAATGTAACAGCTCACGTGCTATAGGACAAGCTTTACGTCGAAATCCTTTTGCCCCTGATGTCCCATGTCATCGTGTTGTTAAATCAGATCTGACTTTAGGTGGCTTCTCTGGAAGCACAGGAAATAAAAGTAAATCAACAATTTAAATTTATTTCCATATTCAATAAGAAACATTTAATGATTTTTTATACAGCCGTTGAAAGAAAACTCAAAATTCTACAAAGCGAAGGTGTTGAATTTCAGCCTCTTAAGGATAAAAAGCTTGAAATCTATCACACAAAAGTTAAAGAAGAACATATCTGGAAACAGTCAACATAAATCTCTAAATGAAAGTCTTTGATCATTCTTTAAAAATGTATATTTAATTTCCCATTTGTGCCAATCTTTTGTAATCAATTTTTTCTAATAAAACCAAAGGTTTTAATTTTTCAGCGAATATTCTCATGTCTTCTGCAACTGAGTCATGCCCAGATGGAGCTAGAACAGAAAGTTCTACAAGGTAGGATTGAGAGATTGGTTCCTGATTTATTTTAAATATCTTTGAGACGGATATTTTCATTCGTCCTTTCCTAAAATGAGATTATATTAACAAAAACTTAGAATTCTGTTTTGTTCCTCTAATAAACCTGAATAAATATCCTCGAATCGTATATTCAAATTTTAACTGGCATCCCATTTCAGTCAGAAAGTCACAAATCGTAGGAGAACAAGCAATATCAAAACTTGCTCTTACTAATGTTGGTCTTTTGGCATCACCCAATTCAGGATTTCCAATGTAACGCAGTTGAAACGGTGTGCCAGCATCAACTGGCTCACTTGTTTTTCGAATAACACGAAGAAATAGAGGCGGCTGTTGTTGAGCCTGCATTTGATCAGTAACTGGTGATCCAAGAGAAAAACATGCTTCATAATCAGAAAACTGTTCTGGTGCTGATTCCACATTATCACAAAGTCCTTTAAGTCTGATACATTTGTAAGGAGATAGGTATTTATGAAAATTGAAGTGAAAATTAATTTATAAAATTTACCGATGCAGAACTCTTTGAACAGCAGTATCCAACACAGATCCTTGCAACAAATATTCTTGATTTGGAATGATGTTTACTTGAAGTGCTTGTAAAAGACTGTCCATAGCAGCTGCTGGTTGATCCATATTTCTTCATTAAAGATTAAAAGAATTTTTTTGTAAATTTGTTTGTTGTTTAAACTGAAATGAGATGAAATTTAAGTTTATGAACAAACATTTGAACTTCGAGGGGTTAAACGCTACTCGTTTAAAAATTTATTTTCCTCCAACTGCAACTGCTGAAAGTAAAAAATGTTAATTTGTGTAGATTCTTAATTATAGTTTAAATTTAAACTGTATTGTAAAATCTGTTTCACAAACGATTATTTTTAAAATGTCAACGAACGGGAATTTAAAATACGTCGAAGAGCAATTGCTGAAGTATGTACCTCCAAAGTTAGTGCTTTCCTTCGAAAATTTTAATATTCCCAAGTCGGTTTTCGAAGTTTTTGGCAATAAATCATTCGATAATAAGCAATATAATACTACAAGTGATGTCAATAAAAAAATTGAAAAGGGAAAATTAAAAGGACAACTCAAGGTTGAAGATCCCACCAAAAATCCCAAGGATGAAAGATTCAGACCTCGGAGAATTATGAGACCTTGGTGGATTGTCAATGATTGTACACACGGCTGTAAATTTACCATTGCTAGATTATCACATTTTAGAAGAGAGCATAAGATAAAAGCTCTTGCTGCAAAGAAAGGTGTCTCTGTATTCAAGGTGGCTCCAAGCAGTATTGAAAAATTAATCACACACAAAGAAATAATTGATGATCTTAATGAAATGGAAGATAGAATCGAGATAGCAACCTGAATGGTAAGTAGAACTCCAAGTGATTTAAAACTAGTGAAATATTCATTTTTTAATATTAAAATGCATTAAAAATTTATTTTCATTACAGAGTTAATAAAATGTTAACTCAGAAACGATTTAAAGTCATCATTCAATTGCAATTGCCAGTAGAAGAATTCATCAAGCATGTTAGATGTAAGTACTTGCTGTTGATTCTTCCAATAATAATTTCTAGAAATAATTTGCTTTCTTTTTCACAATTACAGACATTTTCAATTATGTTACTGTCTACCTGGTCTAATTAATAACCAAAGATTAAGTAAATGAATGAACGAACAATTTCACACCAAAAAAATTCATTTAAGGATCTCAAAATATTTTATTTATAATTTATTGAAAATATAGAAAATAAATTAATACGTAGGTACATTGAATGTTAATAAAACACTAAATAAATTAGAAAATTTATGGCATATAAAAAATCTGTGGTAGAAAAGGTTATTACTCGATTACGTCAGTTTTTTCTATTGTATCATTGTTAGCTTCAGGTGTTAGGATATCTTCTGGTTTTGGTGCTATTTCGAAAACTCGATAGCCATCGACATCGTCCATTTCTTTCGATGTGAATTTGGCGATAAGTTTGACGCTTCCCACATATGGAGGCTTGTAAGCAAAACGAGTCTCAGCGAAGGCTTTTGGTTGGACATCAGGAACCTATTTTAAATATAATTAGTTAAATTTATTTCTTGGAAATTTGATAAAAGTTTTATACTTTAAGGATCATTGGCTCTTGAATTCCAGATCCTTCAATTGTGAAAACTCCTTTAGTCATTGGTATTGGAAGAGAATTCTCCAAACGAACATGAATGTCGTGTGCGACATCATGTGTAGGTTTTCCTGTGAAAATTATTTTAATGTCAGGTTTTCTGACTCGGAAATCATCTTGTGCGAAATATTCATAGTCAGTGTCTTCAACAGACGCCCTAGAATAATTCAAAAGAAAATTAATTTAATTAACAATGAATTTTGTACTTTCAACTTACATGCAAGCGATGTTAAAAGCTGATTGATCTAAAAGCTTTTTGTAGTATTCATCAAACGTCACTTCCAATGTCACAGTTTTATCAGAACTTGGTTCGATTGTTTCAGAGAATTTCAATGATTTCAAATCTTTTCGATTCTTTCCAGTGTAAAGAACTGATTCAACCAACAAGTTTCCATTAACTATGTGCTTCTTTTCTGATGATTTGTTTTTAATGTTGAGCATCTGAGAAGTTTAATTAACTTAATCAACTGTTGACAAAATTGTGAAATGAAAAGTGAACTTACGACACTGAAATCTTCACCAATTTTGATGTCATCTTTAAGCTCAAAATGAAATTGAACTTCATTAAACTCTTCATTTAAATAGTAACGTGAAAATGCGCTATTTGCTTGTCTCAAAGCTTTCAACATTGTTGCTCTTTCTTCACCAGTTTTCTCTTCATATTTATATGTTCTCGTGATGTCTTGACGTTCCCAACGACCAATGGCTTTTGTACTGATGAAGTGACCGATGCCAAACTCATCTTTCTTAATCAATTTCAAAGGATTTCCCACTCCAGTGTATCGCCAGAAAACTTTGTCAGCATTAACTTCCGCATATAAGAAAGTGTTGTCGTATGGCTTAAGAATCTCTCCACGTTTGACACCAGCAACTGAAGCTGGGCCACATCGGAATAATTGATCTGACATTTCTTGTGGTGTCGCATCAACAGCTTGGAATCCATCATAGTCTCCATTTTCATTGTTACTTAAATCTGGTCGTGCCATCCAAACTTCATTCCACACGTGATAATTCCAAATCGAATCCGCATTCATTTCTTCCATGATTTTTCCATCATCATCAACGAAATAATCGACAGTCATGCTCGCTTGAGTGTCGTGTGCCGATGAATAATTTGTGATGATTCTCGATGGAATTCCAACAGCACGTGCAATTGTCGTGAGACAACCAGCAAACACCCAACATTGTGCAAACTTCACTGGCTTCTTTTTCCTATAGAAACGCTGCATAATATCAACAGAACCTCCCCATTTAGTTGGCGCAGTTCCACCAGAGAAATCATTCGACCAATTACCAAGAAGTAATCCATCATCATCAGGGCTGATGGAATTGAAATTAATTTAATTCATTTGAGATTGTGAAATGTTTTTACCTGTTAACAGCAGCTGATAAAGCACGTGACACTTTCACAGGATCTCCCCGAGACGACGGTCCAATCTTACCAACATAAGCGATTACATGCAATGCACAATCTAAGACATCTCTTTCAAATTGTCCTAATCGCCATGGCGTTGGTCGTAAACGATTGTAAGTTCCTTTCCAGATCAATGTTGTGTCCGATAAAACGTACTCGTTTCGAGCTCTTTCATCTTTAATGGAAAGGAGTTTTAATTGATTTTGACAGCTGCTATTGTAATGTTTTATTACCTTCTAAATAAACTTGATCTTCACGGCACCACGGATTGAAAAGAACATAAAATGGTTGGGCCAATGAATAACTCTTTGCAACTGTTGTGTTTATTAATTTAGTGTCGATGTCAAGTTTCCATTGCGTTACAATTGCATTAGCAGCAGGTTTAATAAGAATTTCCAAAAGATCGCCATTGATTGAATTGATTGATGCGCCCCATTCGAAACTTCTCCCCAAATCTGTTGATTTATGCTTCAAAGCAACAGCAATGAGAGTGCCATGTCCAAACGAAGGTCTGTCAACATCAGCTACAGCAAACACTAAACTTATCGCATCCTTCTCAATATTATACGGTCGATTGCAATGTAATTGAAGTTTAAATGGATGACCACGTCTAATGACAAGCTTCGGGATGTCTCTTTTCATCAGATCAAAACGATCTGTGTGGTGAATTTTGCCATTACGTGCTGTAGATAAATCAACCTTCTCAATCGTCAGAAGATCGTGTGAAACCGAGTCTGAAATGATGAACATGAATGAGAGTAAGTAAAGTAGCGAATTTTATGTAGAAAAGATTTTAACGACTCATAAAAATGCCATCATAACCATGTCAATATCATCTTTTATTAAATACTTAAAAGCTTACAAATAATCAGTCAATAAGTTATTAAAAAACTTGATTTAAAGTGTAAAGTGGAGATGCTGGAGTTCCACTCTGAATGACAGGGAAGAAGCCTGCTTGAGAGCTCGGTGGTGACCTTAAAGTCTCATGAATCTTCTCAATCGTGTCACTATCGTAGTCATTAAATCTATCCATCGTGATTCCAAATAAAGGCGATGATCTAAATTCATTCGATGGCTTCTTGTTTTGTGACGAAGAAATCTTTCCATCTATCGTGATGTCGTCATTTATGCGTTGAGAATTAGACGACGGTTGAGTCACGATGATTCTCGGAGGTAACTTCTGAGTCGTGTGCGGTGTAGCGACAGTTGTTGTTCTTATATTCGGCGAGTCTTTTGATCCTAATCCAATGATTTGAGTAAATGAATAATCTCCTGGCGCAGTTGGACGTCTTGTACGATAATTTTCAGTGACTGCTGTTTGTTGTCTTGTCGCGGGTCTTGTTTGAGGTCTCGTTGGATAATTTTCAAACTCAGTTGTTGTTGGTCTTGTCACAAATCTCGTTGTTTGAGGCCTCGTGGGATAATTTTCAGTTTCTGTTGTACGAAATCTTGTCGGATAATTATCCGATTCTGTTGTCTGAGATCTCGTTTGATGTGGTTGGAATTTTATGCTTCCTCGATTAGGTTTCGTAGGTTGATCTGATGAGTCATCAAAACGATTTCCCTTCAACTTATTTTTATGTTTTCGAAGCATGTTTTCAATAAGTTGAATGTCGACGCCCGAATGTAATGCTTTGTGAATAGCTTCAATCATATCGTGATGTTCATTTTCAGCTGGTTTGGAATGTTCAGGAGAATCAAATGGCTTGAAAGTCTCGTGTATTAAGAAACTTGCCGAAGTAATCTCAGGTGACAATGACGAAGTTTCTGTGATTTCAGTTTCTTCCTCATCATCAGACGATTGTGAAGCTGACGGTCGTCTTAAAAAATTTGTTCTACTGCTAGTATCGTAAATAATCTTTCGTCTCGATTGCGAAGTTGAAGTTTCAGAGCTTTGAGTAGCTGTCAAGGTTGTCGCTGTGATTGGAGATTCAGTCGTTACTTGCTTATGCTTCCTGATTTTAATCTTTCTTCTCGGAGTTTTGTGTGTGGTTTCTTCAACTGACCTTTCAGTCGTAGTTGTAGTCGGTGTGTTTGTTGAAGTCATTGGAGTAGTTGCTATTGATGATATTGAATTTTTTCGTCTTTTATTATTACGCATCATGACTGTCAATCGCCTTTTTACTTCATCAATATCAACACGCTCATGAACAACTTCAGATATTTCGCTTTCAGAAGCCTCTAATGTTTCGGAAGTCTTGTTAAGTAATTTTTTATGGATTACAACACGTTTTGGAGTCTCAGTTGAAGTATCTGAAATCTCAATATTTTCCGCATTACTTGTTGACGTCGCTAAAGCAGCTTCGATTTCACCGTTGGGGAAAATTATGTGAAGATCTTTTTCGATCGAGTTTCCTTCTGAATTTTCTTTCTTCGGGAAAATCATGAAAACGTCGCTGTCTTCAATTTTTCCTTCTCTTTTTTTATCGGAAATTTCCGAAGGTTCTTCTTGTTTCAAACTTGGAATTTCTGTTGTTGTCAGTTCTTCAACGCTTATTAGTGTTGAAATGTCATTTTCAATATTCATCGATTCAGGTTCCAATGTGGTCACTTCATCAACTTCTGTCACTGCCTCTGGAATCTCTTCAGAAGGTTTTACATCGACTTGATGGTCTGCTGACTTTCCTGGAACTTCATCAACCAGAATAATGTTCTCGACGTCGTCATTCCTTTGCATGGCTTTTTTAGGAAGCTTTGATGGCGGACAACATCTCACAAAATCTTCTTCTGAACACTTAAGGACGGTTTGAAAATATTTTGCATCCTCTCTGCTAAATCGATTAACTTCTGGACAGATATTGTTAGGCACACAAGGACACACTTCAATTTTCTTGATTGATTTAGAACACTCAACTGTGCTTATTGCAATAAAAACAATTAAACTAAGTATTGACAATGTCATTTTCTCGTGACATTTATGTCTATGAATTACCAATTTTTATGACAGCAGTTTAGAGTCAAATGATTAGTTTTTCACTTAAACATTGAATAAATAAGTTTTCAATTTAAATGGGTCAAGTTTGGAGTGGGAATCACTGTCACTTTTTTTCGTTTCTTGTTTGTGACTCGACTGACAAGAATGAAAGTGAAATTGAACTTAAATTTCGTAATGGGAAAGAGGTTTACGAAACTGCTTCATGTCGGTTGTCGGTCACCGATCGTAGGTAGAAACGTCTAAATGTGTTGCGTAAAATGATGATTCAAATGCATTGCTTCATTTATTTCCAGTTCAAAGAAGTCATAAATTTTCATTAATAAAGCAAAGATTATGCAATTCAAATAGAAACTTCTAAAAATGGAAATGATTTCATTGAAACCTTCTTGAAAATGTAGTCAGACATTTGGCGCTGCAAATAAATTTCCATTCAATCACGTCATTCAACATCTGCAGTGAATTTATAATTTGAAACATTTTCCCAGCATTTCCATATTGTTTGAAAATTTAATTGCATTGTTGATGTGGGGGTGCTTGCTAATAACATTTATTTAGAATCGTATAAAGTTGCAAATTAATTTCAAAGCAAGCTTTTATTAATTCACGTGCGATGCTAATCGAAACCTTTAACCACCCACATACCGCTTGATGTTTTTCTATACTTTGAAATTCTACGCTTCATAAGCGAGAATAGAAATAAAAACAAAATATTTATTTATTTTTTCATATTCCCAGCTGTAACTTTTTCCACTCTCACAAATCAGATTTAAAATCTTTTTTAATTTTAGAAATTCTCTAATGGTCACTCACTTGATGGTACAAAATACATTGATGGATTAACGCGATACTTCCGACGGTTCCAAAAGCTTGGAACGACTGACGAGAAAAAATCTGTTGATTCTGACATAAATAAATGTCGTTGATGGAATTAAACAATTTGAAAAATGTTTCTCTTAAATATTTTTTTTTTCTTCACTGAAAACCACTTCGAATGTCAGAAAACTTGTTCGCGTAACGACGTCGTATTCAACACTATTTTCGCAAACAATACTTGCAGTCTCTTAAAAGCTACGTAGTCATGAGAGTAATTTAAAGACATTTCGGCGAGAAACATTTCAAATTTATATCTTGAGTTTGAAGTTTGCGCTATTCTCTCAGACATGACGTAATGGATGTTGGCTGACATGAAGAATTAAGAGAATGTGAGTCAAGCAGATTTATCATTCAATAATATTCACAAATCGACTACAAGAAAAGAATTTGAGAGCCAATTGGATGAATGGTTATAGGAAATATGCGTTAATCATTCTGTTTCAATTTTTATTAACATATTTAAATTATCATGTGGACCCTCAATTATTATAAATTATGACATCATGATGATCAATGTTGTGATGTCATAAACATTTTAACTCACTTTAGGAAGAGTTTTTTCAACATCGTCAAGTTTTTACGCCTTCACGACTCATTTGATTTAAGCAAAGAAAAAAAATGAATGAATGCTTTGATTAATTGAAATGCTCAAACGCTTCTTAATTTATTGCTTGTTTAACTAATCTAATTTTCTTAGCTTATTTTATTAATTTCATACAAAACGTTCATCACAAACCATCTGCACATTGAGAATGAGATGAATGAAAATATTTATCGATTATTCACTAAACAAATTGCAAATCTTTGCACAAAGTTGTCATCTTCATGAGAATGTAAACAGTTTTGTTGAATGTCTTGTTAGACAAGTATGACATAATTAACGAGCATTCATAAGTGAACAATTATTTTCTCAGATATTTCATTAACAATCACAGCAATTTAATTCTTACCAACTGAATCGATATGTGACATGGAAACTGTTTCCAACGTTGTTAAACGAACAGGTTGACCAGGAATTTCTTTCTTTTTCTTAAAACACCTGCAGCATCCATCAAGACATGTCACGTTTTGACAGCTCCGATATGTTTCATTACACCACTTTGATATCGTGTTTCCCATATTGATCAATTTTTTGGCTTTATTTTCTTCTACTCAGAGTTTCACACACATTTCATCTAGAAGTCAACAAAATATGAATTTATATTTAAGCACGACATTTACACTGAAAGGTTTTCGCTTAAAGTTGTTGTCGCTTTTGCTTTCTGTCATAGACACAGATTCCAATAAAGAGTTGAAGTCGTACAAGAACGGTTCATTATGGAAATAGCGACTTTTTCATCGTTTCACGCTTTTGTTGCTGCCTGCTCGACTGAATTATACAATTTTGAAGAGGTGGTTTGAGAATTGAATCGAGTAGGTTAAGGTCAGTGAAAGAGAAACAACGAAATTCATGCTAAATGAATTCGAATAATTTGAAGATCCTACTCCATTGATTGAACTATTTATTAGAAATTTCTCACATGAGTCTGGCAACTCGTTTAACCTTGGTGACCCTAGCGCGAAATAACAAAAGATATGCATACAAATTGACCGCAAGTTGCTAAACAAAGGCGCGCGCAACTATCTTCAACACATTCATGATGATGATGCGATGGAATGTCACCATTAACTGTTTAATAACAAGTTGAAGCAACAATTATTTAATCTTTTGAATTCAATTATACACGAGCAAGCAACAATACCAGACGATTGTCTCATAAATTTATTCTTAGATTGATTATCATTATAACACGTCTAAGCTTATCTGTTGTCACCTCTTGAATTATTAACTCATAAATTATTAAAATATTCTATAAGACAACACACTCCGTTTATTAATTTTAATGTAAGAAGATTCTAAATACACGAAACTCTTACATCTATTTATTGTCTTAATTGACTTCTCAATCGAGCTTCTTAAAAACACGACACTAGTTCACTCCATCGTGTCTGAGATGAAACTAAGCAGCAACTTTGTGTAGGCAAAAAAAATCTTTTTTATGGAGCAATGTAAGCACGAGATGCTTGAGAAACAACTTTGTATTAATGAAGTAAAATTTTGTTGCCGACTAATAATTTTCTATTTTTAATATAGAAGCAAAGCATTGATTTGAATTTTTCGAAGGAACTTTACGATTGGAAGTGTAATTAAGATTATAGCTTGCTTTTAACAAAGCAATGAATTCGTTCACGTCTCACGACGAGAATGCGATGAGTTTGTCATGTGTGTGCTGAAAGTGAAAAAAAACTTTATTTGTGCCTTTTAAATAGATTTTAATATGTTTTTAAATAAGTGGTAGAGATGGATGAATTAATGTTTGTGGTTTTCCTTTAAATCTTTGTTCTAAGTTAATCCCCAATGAGATGGTGTGGTTGGCGATCGGGTCACTGGCGGATTACAACAAGAATTGTTTGCGCCATTTCGACAACAGTATGGGCCTGAGATTACATTTTATTAATATTTTCTATGTAATTTGTAAATAATTATTAAAATTATTTTTTACCACTGCCTCCGTTTGAACATTTTCCACTAGCATTAACAGCGTTTGAGTTATCTTTAAAAAATCACAAAACTCAGATTAATCAACGGACATGTTACTAATTGCATTCTTTCCTTACTTATTATTGGACGTAAAGGTGCCTGGAATAATAAAAAATTATATAATTTTGACCAAGTATTCAATATATCTAATTATCCTTACAGAAGTGCTTGCCGGTGGTAAATATTTCGGTGCAGAATACAAAACATTTTTCAAACCTCACATAAATTAAACATCATTTTAATAAATTTGAAACTTTTTAATATTTTAATATTTACTCACTCGCACATTGAATGTTTGTAAGAAAAATCAAAAACATACAAATCAAAATGAAATTTATTTTACAAAGTTTCATTTCAAAAGAAATTAAATCGAGACTGTCACCAAAGAGTTTCTTACTTAAAGAAATATTCTTTCAGAATGAAAAGAAATGTAAACTTGAAGTTTTCTTTATAAATATTCTAAAGAAGTAAAGAAACAAGAAGGAGAAATGAACTGTTACCGATGTTTAATTATCATTTGATCATCATCCTGTTATTTTTATTGATGTATATGAATTTTGCGTAAAAAAGCGATTTTTATGCAAGAATGGCTTCGTCACGAAAGTCATAAAAATGAAATAAAAAAGAGGAAGATACAAAATAAAAAGAAAGAAGTTTTGATTCCAATAAATTAATGTATTGTTCTTAAATCATTGAAACAATTTATTGTAGATTATCTAGAAAAATTAATAACATGCAATTTTTTTTCTCACATTTCTCGACATTTAGTCGTCGTTGACAAGGTTGCATCATGCAATCTGATATTTAAATTAGAAAATCTCAGTTTAAACTTTATTAATAAAGTATTAATAAATGTTTCAATACAGCTAGACAGTGATTAAGGCAGGAAATAATATCATTGTACATTTCGTAACTTTAAGCCTAATGCATCTAAATTAGGTCTTATTCATCTCATTCGCCATCGTATCTAATGGCATTTTCTCCCGTGTAAGAGTATTTAGGAGTCGTTGTTGTCGTGTAAGTGTAGGTTCTGGTTTTCGGCTCATATGACCATGGAGCGTATGTCCAATTGAAACGATATGTCCACGTTGGGGGTGTTCCATAAGTGTACTTTTCAGTAGTTGTTGGACCACGAGTGGTTTTTACAGTTGCCAGTGGTATATACGTTGGCCCTGTGAATGGCTTTTTGGTAGGGGGTAAACATTTTGGATTATTTTCTCCATTAGCGCAGCAATATTTTCCTAATAAGAAAATAAAAGATTTGTGAATTATTTTCGTAATTTGTGAATGTGAACACAATCATAAAATTTAACCGAATTTTAAAATTTGAAATTCAAGTAAAACTTGTATGAGATGAACTTTTATTTTATGATCAACCAAAAGCTTCGAAGATATTTGAAGTTCTGTAGAAAGCTTTGGATTGTTATTCTTTTTAAATTCTTAATGGATTGGAAATTTATAGCGATAGACCTAAGTATATGTTTTGATTAAACAATCAATTAAGTATTTAAGATGATATTCAAGATATTAAATTTAAAAGCACTCATAAAAGATCTTTTTTCATTTTTCATTATAAAAAACTTCTTTCTGTTATAACATGAATGGCATTTGTACTGTTGAAGATTTTAAGGCGTAAGGTTGCAAAAATGTCAATTTAATCCTAATTCGATTGCAAAATGTGTTTGAATTAGCGTGATGATTTCTTGAAATATACATTTAAGCTCACAATGTGTCATTCTTGTGGATTTTTAATGGATTATTCACGAACAACTTATAGAAGACCGGTTAAATGAAATATGTATTTCCGGTGATGCTCAAGGTAAATTATCCGATGAATTCTTACAAATTTCAGTTAAGTGGGAACATAATTTACGAAAGTGTCAAAAAACGGAAGGAGACTAAAATAATGAAGATTTGTCGTCTGCTATTTTACTTATTAACACTCCTATTAAAATCGTTAGACAAATAGGAATTTTAAACCAAAATAGGAATAAATGTGCCGGTTTGAATGACGTTTCATTTCAATGAAAACTGACACGCATATGCCAATTTTAAAGGTACAAAAAATGTGATAAGGTCGTTAATTTGCAAAACGTTTTAAAGCTTTTTCGTCAAGCTGTGAAGCTTTATGAAATGAAAAAATGATCTTCGTGTTATGAAATTTGTGAATTCATGGTGAATGTATTTAAATTCATCATGCAACGTATCATATTACTTCATAGCAACTTTTTTTTCTCACCTCTGCCTCCATTTTCACAACAGTCTGGGTTGTTAGCTCCATTCTTGCAACAATACTTTCCTCTTCCACCATTTGGACACTGGAAATTCATAATTAATAAAGTTTAAGTTTTTAAAAGCATTTTTTCTTACTTCCGGTTTTGGTGGTGTTACAACAGTACGAGGTGTTGTGGTGACACATCCAGGGATATTTTCTCCATTTGGACAGCAATATTGGCCTTCACATATGAAATATTATATTAAAAATTTATAATCGAGTTTAAAAGAATTATTTTTACCTCTGCCTCCATTAGTGCAGCAATCAGGGTTGTTCGCTCCATTGGGGCAGCAATATGGCCCTTTTAAATGATAAGAAATCAAAATAATGAAATAATCAAACGTATTAAGTTTTATTTTAACTTACCACTTCCACCTGCTGGGCACTGATCAAAAGTAAAAAAAAATGAATAAATTAATAAAACGTTCAACTTTTATAAAATCTGTCTGTATAAGAAAACTTTAAAAAAATTTCTTTTTTAACCGAAAAAATTTTTAGGAGCGAAGTTTTAGGAAGAACATAAATGAAACGATTTTTTACCGGAACTTTAGGTCTGGGTGTTGAGGGCGTGGGTGGGATTGTTCTTATTGAAGGAGTTGGTTTGGTTGTTGAGGGTGGTAGATAGGTGGAAGCTGGAGTGGAAGAAGATATAATGCGTACAGATGGGGTTGTTCAACCTCCAGCGCCACAACACGTAGGTCCTCACAAAAGTGGTAAACCGCAGCAGTATGGACCTTTACAATTAAAAGAATTATTTAGTAAAATGTTAAAACAAAACAAATTTTTAAGATCACAAACCTCTGCCTCCGTTAGCACAACAATCGGGATTGTTAGCTCCATTAGTGCAACAATATTGGCCTAAGCGATAAAATGAATGTAATTTTTTTACATATTTATTAAATATTTAAAAGTTTCAAGCAAACCTCTGCCTCCGTTTGCACAGCAGTCGGGATTATTTGCACCGTTCTTGCAGCAATATTTTCCTATTCCACCATTTGGACACTGAAATGATTATATGCAAAATTGAAGTCGTGATGATTCAATTTCTGTAACCAAAAGTTCAAACTTACATCCGGTTTTGATGGTGGAGTTGTTCGTGTTGTTATGACAGGTCGCGGTGTTGTGCATCCAGGAGTGTTTTCACCATTTGTGCAACAGTATGGACCTTTGCAATTAAGAGAATAATTTTATCAAAACATTAAAAATAATTTCCAAATTACAAACCTCTGCCTCCGTTAACACAGCAATCGGGGTTGCTGGCTCCATTTTCACAGCAATATTTGCCTTAAGAAACAAATTTGGAATTAAGGAAAGTCAGATTAATTTCATAAAATAAATATTTCTACCTCTGCCTCCGTTAGAGCAGCAGTCAGGGTTGTTAGCTCCATTAGTGCAACAATATTGACCTTAACATTAGAAAAGAGAAAAAAATTATTAGAAAAATTACAAAATGCTTCAAGATTACAAACCTTTTCCTCCATTAGCACAGCAGTCAGGATTATTCGCTCCATTGGCGCAGCAATATTGACCTTTAGAAAATAAATAAATATTCATATTGAATTTTATAAATGAAATTAGAAATAATCAAATTTACCTCTTCCACCTGATGGGCACTGTCAATGAGAAGAAAAATAATTTTTATAGAATTTTAAGACAACGTTCGAAAATATTTCAAACCAAAAAAGTAAACTATTTTTACCGGAACTATAGGTTTGGGCGTTGAGGGTGTGGGTGGAACTGTTCTAAGTGAAGGAGTTGGTCTAGGAGTGGTTGAAGGTGGTAAATATGTTGGTGCCGGAGTTGAAGAAGATGAAAAAATGCGTACAGATGCAGTTGAGGTTGGAGGTCGCGGGGTTGTGCATCCAGGAGTGTTTTCACCATTTGCGCAGCAGTATGGACCTTTACAATCAAGACAATTATTTAGTAAAATGTTAAAACAAAACAAATTTTTGAGATCACAAACCTCTGCCTCCATTAGCACAGCAGTCGGGATTGTTAGCTCCATTAGTGCAACAATATTGGCCTAAGCAATAAAATTAATGTAATTTTTTTACATATTTATTAAATATTTAAAAGTTTCAATCAAACCTCTGCCTCCGTTTGCACAGCAGTCGGGATTATTTGCACCGTTCTTGCAGCAATATCTTCCAATTCCACCATTTGGACACTGAAATGATTATGCAAAATTGAAGTCGTGATGATTAAATTTCTGTAACCAAAAGTTCAAACTTACATCCGGTTTTGATGGTGGAGTTGTTCGTGTTGTTATGACAGGTCGCGGGGTTGTGCATCCAGGAGTGTTTTCACCATTTGTGCAACAGTATGGACCTTTGCAATTAAGAGAATTATTTAGTAAAATTTCAAATCAAATTTCATGATCACAAACCTCTGCCTCCGTTCGCGCAACAGTCGGGATTGTTGGCTCCGTTCTTGCAGCAATATCTTCCAATTCCACCATTTGGACACTGAAAATTATTGTTCAGAATAAAATTCACGATGATTCAATCTCTTTAATCAAAAGAAATTCAATCTTACATCCGGTTTTAATGGTGGAGGTGTTGGTCGAGGTGTTGTTATAATAGTACGAGGCGTTGTTATTACTTTCTTCACGCATTTGCAATCACAATCAGCCATTCCATTAGCAGTAGCAAAAGAGAATGACGAGCTATCGCCATCAAGAAGCGCAAAAAATCCGTTGTCATCTCTAAATTTTAACGGTTGTGCAGCTCTTGAGGTAAATTGAGAATCTTTGATGACACTCATAAAAGTATTTTTGTCAACCTCCATTGACACAACATTCGAGCCAACTGTTGCATCATCATAAGTGTAAAGAATCACGGCCTTGACACCAGACTTTTCTGTTAGAATCAATTTTGTTCATTAATTTTATTCAATAGGCAATCTTTACATTTTCTAATTTATAGCATTTGCAAGACTTCATAAAACTGTCCAAATATTTGTTTGATATTCTAAAAATTTAATTTCACATTCAAAAAAGTCGAACGACCTTGAGGAAGCTAAAAACCTTCTCAAGTTTCTTTAGAAAAAAAGAAAATGTGGTTCGTGTATTCTGAATCTATTTTCTTGACCACTGAATAGCGATAATCTTTATGATAATTTATTCACTGAATTAAAATTTTTGGTTTGTTGTCTAAACCATTATAAGAATAGAAACAAGTTGGTGGCGAATCATAAGTTCATTAAAACTATTTCACCTTTGATATTTAACGATAACAACCTGTTGTAATAAAATTAATTCTGAATAGTAATTATTATATTATTAAAACGTCATTTAATCAAGTTTAATCTGAGGTAATCAAATGACATCAGAATTTTTTTTTTTGGCGTTTTAAAGTTTTATTGTCATTTGACAATTAGCTTTATTTGAACAACTTCAATAAACAGATCAATGCTCGTTCTTCTAATTTTTTTTCGTCGCTTTTCTAGCATTGCATTGTAATCACTCACTTGCAACTGCAACATTATTAGTTAATAAACTGGCAGCGATGATAATGAAAAAATTGGTAATCCATGGCCCAAATTTTTTCATGATTAATCAATAAGTTTTTTTTTTCCAAACTGATCTAACGACTAGCTTTATAAGTTAAAGCGCCTTCTTATTTCAAGATGTTTATAGCCGAAAATATCCGAAACGATTGACCAGAAAATAAACTTTGCACAGACTTATAATACTAAAATAAGAGTTGAAGACGCGCGCGGTCATGTTAAAATTGCCGAATAGGAAGACGATCTTTCAAACTTGTATGCAAATGAAGCTTGACTTGTAATATTCTTGAGTTTCTCTCACTGACCCGGCATTTCATTAGAAATCTGATGAAAATTAGAAATATCCTGTTCGTGCATTACTTCAACTCCAAAAAATGCAAAATTTATTTGATTAGTTTTTATTTTCTCCTTCACTCACTCTTCGTCTCTCCTTCTTGTTCTCCTTCTCTCACACATCAATCAGCATGTAGAGATTAACTGCAAAAGTAAATATTTTGTATCTACAATCAGCGGGAGTCATTGTTGCTTTCGCGTTTTTCGCACATTAATTGATTAGAAGCGATTTGCAAACCAAAAAAGAGTTAAAAAAAATTTGGTTAACATATCAAACGAGTTGAAGCGGTAAAATTCCTCACAGCTTATAAATTCATCACCGAAAATGATGATACACTGTGACACTGAAAATAGCTTTACGATAAAGGTCAGATGTTTCATTATTTGAAAATGATTTGTAGCCATAAAAGTGTCGTTTGATACTTTTCAGCCTCTGCCACAGTTGAATGTGTCATAAAGACCAACGAAGCCCAGGTGAAAAAAAAGCCGCAACCAAGTCAATTATAATTAATATGAATGACGATTTCTTTTCTATTGTCATGACGTGAATGCAGATTTAAGTTTTCTATACAAGAAGCCAACACAAACGTTTATGAATGGATGACTTAATAAGCTTACTTTATAACCAAACGAAATCGATTAGCCATTGTCGACGAATGTTTTTACTGATGGTACTAATAATAGAGATGCATTATCTACAATTAGATACCCCGATTAAGAAATCCTTCATTGATATTTAAACACTTACCCATTTACTTTCGTAATGAAGCTCTCATCAAGATTTACATCATTTTACACGGCCGATTATTCTTAAAATCTTTTATGCTAATGACCTTTTGTAAATATAAAAATATTCTAAATGCGTTGTTGAAGAAATATTGTTACACAACATGAGTTTGTATTCCATCGATTTAAAGATAAAGATAAGAACTTTGCTCTTTGTCATATTACGTTAGAACTGTGGAATGTCACGAGATATCTTCCGGGGGCTATTGCTTAGTAATTTTTTTCGCATAAGCTTCAAAGAAAGGTTAATCTATTCGAAGACGTTCATGCACACAATAAAACATAAAACCAGTATACTGTCACAAATAATAGTAAATATAAAGTTTGAAAGGCATGAAATAAATATCAAAGTCATTGGCGAGAAAAAAGAAAAAAATTAATTCAGTTCATTACCAGCTAAAATTGTAAAGTAAATGTTAAATTTATTATAGCGCATCCTGCTTGTTCATCATTTGATTTGAACTTTAAATCTATAAAAAAGCAATTTAAGGAAGGGACTAACTGTTTATTTTTTATTTCTTTGTTTATTCTTTGCTAGGTAAAGATTATGACAAGCGCGAGGATAAATTGGTTATTCTATCTCGATTAATTCTAACAAAAGTTTTAAAGATGAATTCAACTGGTTTCAAAGATGACTCGACTGTAGGTTAATTTTAAGCATGAACCTGCGATATTTTAACATCTACTTTTGATTTACTCATCTGTTTCATTCGTCGTCTCAAATGTTAAGAGTTAAAGTTCCAACTTATACAGTTATTTATATGTGGCTGTATCCATGCTATGCAACATTAAAGCAATCTTCAAAAACCTGGTCAAAATAATGTCAAACGGTGGCGAAAATGAAAAATTTCTCAAAACTCTTGTTTGCATATCTAGTGGAAGGTGTTGACTTTGAGTCTTGATTAAAAATTTAATTTATAATCAAATGAACAGAAAAAAATCAGGAGACGCAGACGAAACATAACAAAAAACAAGATTGACGACCTATGTTTATGCTTATTAAGAATTAATAATAATAATTTTTTTCTGTAGTTTGTTTGACATCAATCACATTTTTTCTTACGTTTATTTAGCAGACGAAAAAATATTTGTTTAACAAAACAGTTTCTATAATTTGTTAAAAGTTGTATTCTTCAAGTTTTGTGTAGTAAAAAGACCAACAACACTTCATAACCGGAATAAAAACTTCTTCTTATCAAAACATTTCATTAGGGAGTAATTCATCATCAATTTCTTTGTATTTTCCAGGAAGACATGGTCGACGAAACTCTTGACCTCTCTCACGAATCCATCGATTAAGTACCCATTTGCTTCCTAACGCAACCGGGCAGGCAGCATGTCTAGTCACACTAATTCCCTGACCAGAATGATCAAGATTATACCAAAACACTGCTGTTCGCTTATCTGGAGTGATGCGAAGTTTCAAATATGGAAAAACTGTTTCACCGCCTATCAAAACATCTGACATCTTAAATAATAAAATTATTTATCAATAATTACGATGAAATGTTGTGAAAACTTTCTACAAACATAAAACATCATTGTGGCGATTCTATTCCCAGTTCCACCATCGAATTCTGCTTCATTTTTCGTTGAATGATCCCAATGTAGATTATAATGACCAGCAATCCCATAATTTGAAACTTGTAACTTTTCAGATGTTGATTGGGTAAGTCCAGTCATATCCTTGTGAAAGATTCTTTAGTTAATTTATAATTAGAACAATTTATTCAAACCTCAATTCTTCTATCGATTCTCATGGGAATTTCATCTGTATCATTATAAAGCCATGCATTCTTCGCCACTCTTGCATTCGACGTGATTCGTTCACTAAAGTAATTTCTTCATATTAACTACAAAACTTAAAACTTCTTTCTTACCCATCAATGCCGATCATCTCTGCTCGTTCAAGTTTTGGTTTCAACTCGTTCATTAAATACTCAATTTCATTGTTATAAAGAACGTCAATATAAAGTGCTACATAAGGATCAAGATTGGCTTCTTCAACTTTAAAAGGTGCTATTGATGAGAATGGACTGTTTGAAACATATCGACATTTAAGCAATGATAATTCGATTGGACTTTTCGTTAAATTTCCCCGACAAGCTCGACTCATAAGAATATCTTCGTGTTCTATATTATAAACAATCTTATCTCCGTAGTCATCTAAGTAAGCGTCGTAATCAATAATTAGACTATGATTATACATATTATATAAATCCCAATAAGAATTTAACAACACATCAATATGTTGCCTTGTTTGTTCAGAAATTACTTTTTTGTTAGGTTCCATTTCTAGAATCATATCGATTGCACCTTCAAAAAATCCAGTTTGATTATAACCAGATGCTAATGTTGTGTAAAGAAGAACTTCATCAACTTCTTTGTAATTATCTCTTTTCTTTCCTAAAAGTTCTCGAGTCAAGTGGAGATATTCCATAGCAAAAAAATAATCTTGAATGTCGTAGGCTTCCATCCCGATAACGAACAAATCATGTGGTGTTAATGCTGGTCTTGTTAACTCATCGCCAATAATTCCTTCATAAAAATCATAAGTATGGAACTTGTAGATATGTTGCAGTCGAAGCAAACCTTCAACAGCACCTCTTAAATCTGCTTTCGATGGTCTAAGTTTAGAAATTCTTTCTTTATATACTTCAAACACATCTGGATGACGTTTTTCTATAAGACCAATTTCTGCTGTTCCACGTTTGATGATCAAGAATGCATTGAGCGGATTTGCGATATATTTTTGTACATTTCTCTTAATGAAAGCATGTTCCTCAGTCCATTCATACCATTTTCTTTTAATTTGGGAATAAATTCAATTTAAAATTCTATTCAAATGTTAATTAAATTACCTTGACACGTAATCGTCATTTGTTTCAAAAGACATATCATTTAAAATTCCCATAAGAATCTCTTCTTTCTCGATTTGTTTCGCCAAGTCGTCGATGGCAGAAAATAATTCACTGGAACATGACGTAACAAAGAATATTTGTATTGCTAATAGTACAATCTCTGTTTTTTTCATCGTCTCGTAAAATTTAACAAATTATAATTTATTTTAAGCATTCGTTCGACTCTTATCTTTTACGTGTAAAACTTTAATGAAACATTTGTGAGAAAAAATGATCGAATGTTGACATTTCTTTGAACAACGAGTGCAGTTGTTTAAAACATCTGGAATATCAAACATTGTGAATATTTGAAATATTCTTAATTAGATGTCTCTTTAACTAAATATTAAGGAAGTATGACAAATCAAATTTTTTAAAAATCTATAAATAAAATGGAAAGAATTTAAATCCTGGTCTGTGAAGTCAGAGTTTAATTTATCTAATCAGTCATTCAATTAATAGCTTACAAACATTCTTTACATATTTCTAAATGATTCTCTTTATTGAATGAATGTTTATTAAGATATCAAATTATAATCTTGAATGAAACAAAAATTTCTCCATTGAATACATAATTGAAAATCTTTTTTGGATTAAATAAAATAAATTTTAGGCTTAAACTAGAAGTCACAATAAAAATTTTTTGGAAATAAATTTAAGCAGAAAAAAATTACAATTAATTGAATGAAGTCGAATTCGACAAAATCAAATAACTTTAAATCTTTTTTTTCTGCTCATTCATGTAAAATAATCTCATGATAAAAATTACTAAATATTGTTCATCGTCAAGATACTTAATAATTAATATTCGATAACAATCGACTTCAAGCACATTACGGCAAATTAAATTAAGACGTTTCGGATCTCGTATCCATTGCGTGAATGGCTTGAGATAAAGTTAAAGTGTCCTTAATTTTGATTCCTTTGCGTCCCATTTCTTCAAGTCGATCTTGGATTTGTTTGGCATCACGTCCTTTCTGCCAGAACAGGTACGAGCATGTATTTAGCAGAGGAATGTAGAGGACAAGAAGCTCAACATCAGAAACATGATCAAATCTACGAAGAGCGAGTTCAGCCCATTTCTCAGATGAAGGATGTGGTATTGGCGATGTCGTGCAAGCAGCTACAAGACGACATAGCAATAATAATACGGGTTTAGATTTGTCGAGATAAATTTTGTTCACAAGTTGAAAAATATTCTCAAGAATCGGAACAGCGACTTCATTTCTTCGTTCGTCTAATAATCGACAAGCTTTAGAAAGATCATCGTCTTGAAGAAAACTTAGGAAAGAAATGGAATCTCGTAGTTCAGGAATAGTCAGAACGAAATCGAGAAAGTTTTCAAAGGCCAAAGCTCGTTCACTGATAAGTTCGCTGTTGAAGTTTCCCATGATTTTCTTCTTTGGAAAGACGACGTTAATGAGAAGTTGAGGGAAATCTTTTCTCAGAGCATCAAAAAGTCGCAAGAAATCAGTATAACGTCTTTCAATTGTTGTAGGGTTTGTATCGGCAGCAGAACTTGTATCTTGACGACATGTTAAATCATAAACGACATATTTCTTCAAGTTGCTTCCTTGTTCATCAGATGGAAGAATTCTCGCAAATTGAATTTCGAAATTTGTTATCAATCCTTCGTTGTTCGGTAGGGGCTTTCGAGTTTCTCTTTGCCATACATCTGGAATTACGCATAATAAAGTTAAATATATGTCAAAATGACGTAGCATTATCAGCTGATTTCTTTGTTTACAATTACAAATGACTCACCTTTAATCACTTTCTGTTTGTTAATAGATAAAGTTGCCTTTTCGAATGCTTCCTCTGCTGTTGGACTATCAACTTCATCATCATCTGCTCCAACATGTTCGCGAGATCCTCTAATTGCAGCTTTCATTTTCTATTTAAAAATTTTATGAGTCATGAAATTCAAGACGGAATTATTTAAAAAATGCTTACCTTTCTCTCAAAAGCTTCTAATTAAAAGTTGTTTGTTATTAATTTACTTTTCAAATTTGCCTAATTGAACTTTTAAATGATTGAACTTATCTCAAAAAGTATTTTTAATTTTATTTTTTTGTTTATAATTTTTCTAAAAAAACATTTTTTTAGAAAAGAAATATGATTGAAATTGACTGTAAAATAACTTTTTTTCTTGTAATTTTACTTGCTTTTCTTCAATCTTAATTTACAAACATTCTTTTTGTCTATAGTTTTAAATTTCATCTCTAAATTAGAACTTTAAAAGTTGACAATAATCTCGGAGGTAAGCTTATTAACTTTTTTCTCGGTCTTAAGCTCTTTGACTTTCCTCGAATGATAATTCTCCGTGGGTGATTACACTCTCCACCTAGGATTTCAGCCTCCGGTCGGGCAAAGTCTAGTTTCAGGTGGAGACTCCTGTGAACACGGAGAAATTTGTGAACACGGAGAAATCTGTGCATTTTGTATGGAAGGTCAAATCCGCGCGAACGCACCAAAATGAATTTCAGATGAGACAAGTTGGAAATTTTCAAGCGAAACACATTTCATTCCCCTTTGTAGAAGTTTGATACCCCCATGTGAAATAAAATTCATACCCCTTTGAATCAGAATAAAAACAAAAATTTAAAATGTTTAAGTTTGTGCGAAAGTCAGCTAATTTTCCTTTTCAAATTTGTCTCATGAACGATATAAGATGTTTGACAAATTTAAATGCTCATCGTTTTGCATCGACAGGTAATATTTCATTATTTTTTAAATTATCTAAAGATAACGCAATAACAAAACAACAACAAATTTGACTTCCAGCTGCCGAAAAAGGAAAATTCAGCATAAAAGACGAAATTTCAGATGGAAGACCATTGTACCTCGATGCACAAGCAACAACACCTTTAGATCCTAGAGTGTTGGATCGAATGATGCCATTTATGACAAATTGCTATGGAAATCCTCACTCGAGAACACATTATTATGGTTGGGAAACAGAAAAAGCAGTTGAAGACGCTAGAGCACAAGTTGCACATCTTATCGGAGCTGATCCAAAGGAAATTATTTTCACAAGTGGTGCCACTGAATCAAACAACATCGCAGTCAAAGGTGTTGCAAGATTTTATGGATCAAAGAAGAAACATGTCATCACAACACAAACAGAACATAAATGCGTACTCGATTCATGTCGCGCTTTAGAAGGCGAAGGATTCAGAGTCACTTATCTACCAGTGAAGACAAATGGAATAGTCGATTTAGAGTTATTAGAAAAAGAAATGACAGATGAAACGTCACTCGTATCAATCATGTCTGTAAACAATGAGATTGGAGTTAAGCAACCGATATCTGATATTGGACGAATTTGCAAATCAAAAAAAGTCTTCTTCCATACTGATGCTGCTCAGGCGATCGGAAAGATTCCAATTGATGTTAATAAGATGAACATTGACTTGATGTCAATTTCAGGACACAAACTTTACGGTCCAAAAGGTATTGGAGCAATTTATGTTCGACGTCGTCCACGTGTTAGAATTGAAGCCTTGCAAAGTGGTGGTGGACAGGAGCGTGGATTGAGATCAGGAACATTGCCAGCTCCTTTGGTTGTTGGACTTGGTGCAGCTTGTGATATTGCAAGCAAAGAAATGGATTATGATCACAAATGGATGGAATTCTTATCACAGAGGCTTATAAAGCGAATCTTTGAAGAACTTCCAAATGTTATTAGAAATGGTGATCCAGTAGAAACTTATCCTGGTTGCGTTAATCTTTCTTTTGCTTTCGTTGAGGGTGAATCACTTTTAATGGCACTTAAAGATGTTGCTTTGTCAAGTGGATCAGCTTGCACTTCAGCGTCATTGGAACCTTCTTATGTATTGCGTGCCATTGGAACTGACGAAGATTTAGCTCACAGTTCTATTCGTTTTGGCATTGGAAGATTTACAACTATTGAAGAAGTTGATTATACAGTCGATAAATGTATCAAGCATGTCACAAGATTACGTGAAATGTCACCTTTATGGGAAATGGTTCAAGAAGGCATCGACATCAAGGAAATTAATTGGAGTCAACATTAATTATTAAATGATTGAAATGAAAAATTATTCTTTGTTATCAGATAAAAACATTAAAAAGCATTTTATTATGTTTTCGCCTCAGTGGCTCTTCATTTTTGTCGTCTTATCTCCGAACTATTTCTTGTTATCAATTGTGGTACTTGTGAATAAAAATAAAGTTTTGTTTCAAGTTGACAAGCACTTCAAAGCTTTTTTTAAAATAATTTTGATTGAAAAATTACTAATAACATTCGCTAGCGTTTTAAATGCGCAAGAATTTTGATAGTTTAAATTAGAATAAAATATTTAGACGGAGGTATGACTAATAAAAGATGGGTCAGTATGTAAACAAAATATTTTTGTTGTTAATCACAATTCCGTGAGTTAATTTGTTAGTTTTGTTAAGCATTTCGTGACAACCAGCGCTCTTGCTTTTCCCTGTCTAAAGTTCAGAACCGGGAATAAATTGAGTTAGAGCGCTGGCCGTATGCTAACAAGCACAACTGTCGACGTTCTCTTCAGGTGGGTGAACTTTGAAGCCATGAGACTCCAAAGCTTGCAATTCAAGACGTGAACGATTATTTTCAACAAGCGACTTAGCGATTTCTTCAAACATTTCCTTAACGCCTTCATTGGTCTTGCAAGAGGTTTTAAATGTTGCTGATATTAACCCATGACATTGTTCACAGAATTGCTGCATATCGAGATCACTAACTTCACTGTCAAGGTCAATTCTATTTCCACATAAAAATATTTTTGCAGATTCCGCCCACATAGTTATATCGACAAGGTGTTGACTTAAACTATGGAATGACTGAGCATTATCGACTGAAAAGACGAGAATTGCAGCTTCTGCGAACTTATAGTAGCTTGAAGTAACAGATGCAATTCGTTCCATTCCTAAAGTTATTAAAATTACTTTTTATAGATTAAATTATTTTGCGATTGAGTGCGTTTCAGCTCATACCTCCAGTATCGAACAGCTGAAGATTTATATTGCGATTATTAACATGAAACGTCTTTGAATAATGATCGAGACCTAAATAAAATACAGAAAACTATCAAAACAATTTTCATTTTAGAAAAAAATTATCACCTAAAGTTGCTTTTCTATCTGAAGAGTTGATAAAAGTGTCGCACATGAATCTCCTGAACAGAGATGACTTTCCAATACCAAAGTCACCAACTAGAATCACTTTCTGTTCAGGAATCTTAACGGAAGCCATCTAAAATTGATTAAAATATCGAAAAGCCTTGTTAAGATGTCTTATTTTATTTTTATTTATGAGGGGAGCAAAACAGTGATGTAAATAATCATAGAATGGGACAAGTTTGTTTGTATCGTATGGTGAATAACTTTATTTATAAGATTATAAAGTTAAATGTAATCATCAGGATTATAAAATAATGAGTACTTAATACATGATGCATTAATTCATGAAGATTCAATTGAAGTTTTCCTTAAAATGCGTAATAATTAACAAAGATGAAGATTCATAATTAATCCAGGTCAAAGAAGATTAGATTTATGTTATAAGGGATTGGGGTTAGACTAACATTAAGCAGATTAAGTGCTTAATCGAGGTCGTAGTTTCATGTCCCTTTTCTCTCGAGAAAAACGTTCAAATAAATTTTTCACTCAATTAACAATTTTACCGTGGACAGCTAAACCTCGTCTCCCAATTAAAACTTTTTTTCATGACTTTTGTTGACTTTAGATCGATTCTTATCGTGAATAAATCGATTCTACTTGCTTTAAATAGTTTTTAAAAGTGTTTTTGACCATTTTCTATCGTTTTGTTTGAAAGTTTTTGTGAAAAAATTACTAGAGAAAGAAAAGTGTTAATTACTTGAAAGAAGAATTGAAAAAAGCAAAGCTTTGCATACGAATACAAATTATAAAATTAAAGCAGTAAAGTGCATGCTGATAATACATTTGCTTCCTAGTAAATATAAATAAGTAAATAAATTAGAATTCAAAAGTCTCTCAAAGGCAGCAACAAACCTAAATAGAGTGATTTGTATTTCTAATCGATAATCAGCAGTTTCAATTTGTATTTACACTGGAGCATTTTAGAATAAATCATTAAGTTTATAAGTTGTCCAAGTGTTAGTTAAACAATAAAAGGAATTGAACTTGTATATAAAAAAAAGTCAAATTTACAGAACAGAAGGTTAAAGAACAACAGAAGGATTAAAGTAAACTTAAAGGAATATAAGTGTGAACAGGTAAAAAAAACTTCACTTGCTGTTGTATTTTTTTTTTTCATTTTGTAATGTGTCTCGTGAGAGAACAAAGTGACGAAAGCGTTAGTTCATTTTGTTACTGTATTATTTCTCGAATTGAGCTTTGACGATTATTCACAGCACAAATTCGACGAAAAGAAAACCTTGGCGAATTTTTCTTATCATTTATGTTGAACACAACAACAGATAAATACTCTAATAAATAAACGTTTACTTGAAAAGTCTACTTCTACTGAAAAAAAAAGAAAAACAATAAAAAATCATTCCACCCACGCCCGGGAATCCCAAAGCGTCTACAGAATGAAAAGGAATTCTTCTTTATTTTTACTGCAAATTTTCCAGCTTCAGTTCTTGGCTGTTTCACAAGAAAGAACATCAAACTAACGGTTAGAAGTTTCTTCTTTCTTCACCTCATTCTTGTTGCTTTGAATCGTTTCTTTTTTAAGTTTTATTTTATTTCATTGTACTTCCTCTCTCATCATTACGATAGTATAGTAACGTGAAGCCGTTTAACTTTAATTAGTTGAGGAACTCATTGGAGAACACATTGGAGTTTGTCTAGTACACTCGAAAAAGCAAATAATCTCTTAAAAAGTGAACAAAAGAATTTGACTAGAAATTTCAATCTAAAATGAAAAGTTCTCGTGCTTGATGTCATGTTGAACATTAAAAATCACAAACACGATGTTTTTTAAATGATATAAAAGTTTTAGATAATCTCGCATTAAATTTAAGTTTTTCTCACGTTTCAATTTCCTTTAAAATTTCGTGCACAAACAACCGCGAAAATTGAAAGAATTATCGCTACTTAGATAATGCATTTGTGTACCTCGTGATGCAGCAAGCATTCACTCCGAACGTAATTACAGTCATCGTCACATGTTCAAAGCAATTTATGTGCAGATGGAGATGAAACTTCAGTTTTTGTTTTATGTCATTATCAATTATAATCGTTAACATAAATAAATAAGTTGTTTGTTGAAGGTTTTAACGTTTTCTATAACATGTTGGTGAATGTTAAATAAGACAACACGTGGGCATATTTGAAGTTCCTATCACTTATTCTTTCTCATTTTCATGTGAACGATGTAATAGGCTAATTACATTTTTATTGCAATTCTTGTTAGACAAGTCGCCGATCCTCATATCATTATGAAGTTAAGCATTGCTTACAAATTTCTGTTATTTCTTTTCACTAGCAAGCACCTGTCAATGTCTGACGCCCCGAAAAAATAAATAAATTGAAAGTCAGCTCATTTCACGTTCATTCAAGTGAGTCGCTTATTAATGGAATTCTACTCTCCAGATCTTTTGCTGTAGGAAGCGCCCAGCACATTGTTGTTGGTCGACCTTTTTTCTCCTTCGCTGCTGGTGTTTTGCTTTAAAGTTTTTTTTTCTATTCACTTGGAAACAGTTTTCATCTAAACATATGGCAGTTTCGCATAGCTCAGCCAAATATGGTGCAATACAAAGTTTAAACCACATGTTAAATAAATTTTAACGTGAATAAATTTTCCTCCTATCGAAACGCTTTTTCTTTTTAATTTTATTTTTGCGAAACACTGCTACATGCAATTTAACGCTCGTTGGGGACGTTTTTCCACGTCTTTAATAACAGTTCTACTACCAACATTTCAATCACTCTCTTGAGTGCCTTTCAGTGTTTAATTGAGTATTCAAAGTGATTGCGCAACACTTTTTTTTTGTTTTCTAACTTTACTCTTGTCATTTGATTTGTTAAGTACTTGATGTATCGCCCCTTCTTCGCTGTAAAAGCGTAAAAAGAAAAAAAAATTAATATGTAGATAACTTTTCTCAAGTTTCGCGTTTAACATTCAATGACGATTTGTTTAGCGGGTGCGTAAAAACTGTTGACAAAAGTGAGAAAGAGAGATGGCGACATGAACGATAAGTCAATAGAAATAACACAACTCAAAGTCATAAAGCAATATTTACTGATAAAAGTCACTCTTATAGCAAATTTGGCCAAGGATTGTCTGCGATGTTTACTTTCAAGTTTCTGTGAAATATCAAAGTTTAACACTTCTTGATTTGAATACTTGTATGTATGGTAATGAGCTCTAGTAAGCGACAGGCGGTTTTTATGACGCTTCAGAATGTTAAAAACATTTCAAACAGTTTCTTATCTAAAAGAAGTAAAACAAACAAGAATGTTTCACTGTCAAGTTTGACGTTTCAAGCTTCCATGTGCAAACTGATAAGAAAAATTTTAGTAATGAAAGTTCGCGGCAAGGTCGATAAGTAATGCAACCATGCGTAAGGTGATTATCCAACATTTCTTATCAAACTTCAGTTTCAAATTGAGATTAAAGTCCAAGTTTTCTAAAATCGAGTGACGACTTATTTTGTTTGTGATCGTCATCAATTAGTTGTTCGCTTATCAATCAAAAGCTTGATAAAATTTCTATATTTATGCGATCACTTTATCACTTTGAATCAAATGAGAAATTATTTTCTTATGATTCCACTGATTGTTATTTAAAGTTTCTGAATTTAATGACAAATCGTATAATAATAACTTCAATCTTCCGTTTTATTTACTCTTTCTCAGAGATAAACGAAACAAAAAAAGCTTAAAATGAGTACATTGCCATTTGAAACATTCATTAAAAATGATGCTCTTGAGAAGTTGGAATTTATTTCACTTCCGCAACTATCTATGTGGAGTTCTCATGACAAACAATTAAAGAAAGAAAAAAAACCAAAGTGAAACGAAAGAAATGCGGGGTGCTTATAAAAATGTAATTTATTTAGTTTAGACTGCTATCAATTCCATGCAACAACTTTCCAAGAGATAAATTAAAGAAAACGTGGAACTCCAATTAATGACAAGTCAGTGGATTAAACAGTGTGAAGAACGATGTAATTAAAGTTTGATACAATTATCTGTGGAAAAGCATTTTGAAAATTGTGGTGGAAAATTTTTCGCTCACTAAATGTTGTTAATTTCACAATGATTGATGATTAGCTTCCAATTCAGATTGCTGCTATCAATTTAATAAGCTAATATAGGAAATTATTTAAAGAGAAATTTAAGCGAATCATTCCAGAAGCATAACTAGTATGTGAAAAGTGAAGTCATGCATTTTAGGAGGGTTCGCGATTACCTCGAATATGTTAATTCAATCAATAAAAGCTGGGAGCGTTTGAATTTAAAGTTATGTTGTAGAAGGGACAATGAATGCACTCTAACGGCTTACACACCTTCTAAGACTGGCGGGGAAACTTCCTCCCTCGCCATCCGAGGGTATCATTAAGTAAGCTTGAAAAATGGAATATAAATCACATTAGCTGGGAGCTCCCTTCAAAGCAAATTATAGTTTGCAGCGCAGATTTGCTTCTGATTTTAAAAACGGGATTTATAGAAGCTCTGCATCCGGCATGGAATCGAATTTCATTTTTATTTTAAGCTTTAATCAATAAAAGAAGATGAGAAGAAAGAAATCTTATTGAAACAAAGAAACTCAATTTATTTTTCGATTATCTTTATGAAGATTTCTTTGCAAGTTGCAACGTCAACAAAATGACTTAAAATGCATTTGTCTAAAGCATCAGCTGAATGTTTAACCGCTTGAAATTTCCTTGAACTTTTTTTTATTATTTTTACCTTCTTACATTAACTTACAACAAAAAAATGAACCAACGTGGTTTGAACTATGAATGTGTGGATTAAAAGTATTGAATTACCGCTCACTAATTGAATTATAAAAATCTAGACAAGAAAAAAACATGCTTTGAGGAAGTTTATAAAAGTCAAAATATTAGTCGCTTTGGTTGTTGTCTCGACACTGAATAAATATCTCCACATCCTCTTAAACTATATTAAACTAATTCAAGAAAAAGAAATCTTATAAATCAGCTCACTGAACAAATATTGGCCGATTCATCCGTCAATTCTAAAAATGGATTTGAAAATCTTTCTAAATCTGAATTGAAATCAATTTCTAAAACTGGTTCTGTGAGTTGTACTGTAATGATGCTATTTTTATTTTAATTATTCGGGCCGGCACGCAGCCGTTTTCTCTTTTTTTATCTTCTTTGGCTTTGTTCTTTCAACCAGCTCTCTTTCTACTTTCCTATCGTCCCGCATTTATTGTGAATAGCATTCAATGTTATGCTCTGGGAACGATGCGAACATCGACTTTAACTTTTTGAATCTAAACCAAATGTAAATTTCTATTAAAATTTGTTCGTTGCTGTTTTGGACGGTTTGAAAAAGTTGAGTGATTGTGTAACTTCATTCATCATTTTGACGTAATTTGTTATTAATAAGAGTTGGAAAAAGAAAACTTTAAGCTGCTTGAAAAGAATTTGCATTGAAATTAAAAATTTCCTTGTTTAAAGAAGTCATTAAGAGGAACTTATGAATGTTGAAGTTCTTCCAAATAAAAATATTCTTTATGTGGTTTTATGAAGTTAGTTTCTAGTTGATTGTGAAAATTCCAGGTAAAAATACTTGACTCACTTTAAGTTTGTTGCGGAGACACTTCAAGACCGTTTTGTATCGCTTCAATAACTTGTTGTCAGTTTCCAATATTTCATTTACATTAGCATTGATATTGCTTCGTTATCAAAGCGTTGTTTCCACATAACAAATGCTTACAAGACTTAACTTACCTGGAAGAATTTTCTTCACCTCAATTTCCTCGTGTTGCGATATCAAACTAAATCATTTACTCGTTAATTATATCGTGACAGATAACACGCCTTCCATTGAATTTGTCGATAAGATTTCTCTCTCATTCCTGTCATAAAAAGCTATTGAACTTCTGAAAACAAAACTATCGTAAATCACATCACTTCAATTAAACTTTTTCTGAGTCATCTATTCGGATAGAAACAATCGCATGTTGTGATGTCGAATTTAAATTTCTTGATGTTATAAATGAGACGACCTTGTAGCTTAATTTTCTTGTAAACACCTAAAAGACAATACAGAAATAAACATCAATTCGGTTATGTGAATGAATTTGATAAAAAAAAGCTACGTTAAAATTAAATTGGCTCAATTTTCGGTTAATGACCCATTCGGCGGCAATTTTTTTGATTTTGTTTTGTTTCTGTTTGAAGCGGTACATGAATCATGTCTGCATGCAAGTCTAAAAGAATATTTTAGTGAAAAAAGATGTGGAAAAGCGCTCACTAATCGTTACATTTCGATTTTTCTGCTCCATTTGACAGCCATTTGGGTGTATCAATGTCTTAAAGAGTTTGAGTTTGCTCTACGAGAAATTGAAGACTTTTGGAAACAATAAAACTGAAAGGAGAGTTTAGTTGTGCAAAACTGAAATCTTTCTTTTTAAATCATGATGCCAAATAAAGAATTTCTGTTCGTTTCCATTCCATTTCGTTAGAAACTGACCTAAATATCGCAGAGTGATACAAAGCAAAATAATAAAAGTCGAAATTGTTACCAGAACAACGAGTCAATTCTCTCTTCAAGTTTATTTTTATTTTCGTTCTTCTTTTCTTTGGGGACGATTTAATTAAGTAAGCAACAATCAAGAACCGTTTCACGGGGAAGAAAATTTGATGGGAACTTTTTTTGATAGTGATTGACAATGGAATGAAATCGTCTCAGGAATGTTAAGCTATGAAAACATTTTAATGCGAATTCACGAAGTTGTGTAATCGTTTTCAGCCGACAAAAAATTTTTTTGTTGTTTTTTGCGTAAGCTTTCGAGAGCAGAATTTTCGTAATATCATCGACATGGAATTTCCTTCTTAACTTCATAACATGAAATTGATTCTTCGAATGGCCATAAAATTCAAATTTCTCTATCAGAAATCGTAACATAAACAACAACTCACTCATGAAGCTAAACATCTATGTAAATAGAAACATGTTTTCTAAACTTTCGATGCCGTTTACACGAATAAAAACGTTTAGCACGAAAGAAAGTTGTGATGTATGTTAATGTTATATTGAGAGGTCTAACAATCCCAATAAGTTGATAAATGCGTCTCAATATTGACTTTTCAATGTCATAAAAGGCCTTCGACATCGCTTGCAAATACCAAATTTTTATTTTTCTCGTGCGACAAACATCAACATCATTATCAGCTATCTTAGCTCAGATGATTCTTTTCGGGGGTAATAAAATCAGTCGCGATAAAAACTGGAAAAATATTTGAACTGGTTTTTCATCGAAATTAATTACCAATTAATTCGACTTATCTGTATTTAAATGAAAAACAAGTTAAGCAGCATGTTGATGACTTTTTTTCTGTCTCTTACTCCACGCTAAAATTAATGCTGTACTGGATGGCTTCGTCTTTGATTACGAAATTCATCGGCAAAAAACAACCACACGAGACACGACTTTGCATAATTTTCACCTTACAAAATGCGCAAAAATTAATTTCACTCTAAATGGTTTGATGATTGCAACAATGACGACTTATTAGTTGACGAAGGCGGAACACAATTGAAATTCTTTCAAGTCTTTTATAAAACCAGAAATATATCTCATGAATCATTAAAAGTATAATGCTTATCAATGGATGTTTCAGTTGAGCAATTAACAATTACTCGCTTTTAAGAGATGCAGCGAAACAAATGTTTTGTTTTGATGAGAAAGCGCGAGAGATGTTCGCTGTAACTACATCGGTAAATTAATTAAATTATAAGCTCTTTGCGATTAATTAATATACATCACCATCATACATATATGTATGAATGTAAAATAAAGTCGGTAATAGAGCAATTTCACACATCATGAATTGCCACTGCTGATAAGTTCCGTTAATTATTCAAGATATTGCCTTTTAAGGACCAGACACAAAAAAAAATCGTTTTCATTAATCATCGTTATTAATATTTCTCATGATTCTATTCAATAACCAATCCTTTGCTTGCTTTTTGCAGATTTGTCAACAGAAACTCAAGAGGTTGTTGAAAGAAGCTCTTAGTGAATTATGCAGCTTGGATGAAAGACTTGAGTTGAGACGAAGAAGAAAAGTAAACCAATCATGGATCCCGTCAACGTAATCCGAGCACCGTCACTGAAACGTGGAAAGCCTGACGAAAGACTCAGCGATAGAGTGAGTATCAAAACGAATATTATTGCTTAATATGCCAAAACTTCTTGAAAAGTCACATGGGGCGAAATAAAATATGAAACTTAAGACGCATAGCGACTTTTTTTTTGCTTTACCGTACGACAAAACAAATCATCGCAAAAAGGAGAAAAAAAAATGTAATCAAGAATATTGCGGCACAACTCATACGTGAAATGGAAACGCTTGTTGGGAAGAAATCCATTTCGTGCTCGCTGAGTTGAATTCGACAAAGTCACTGTTTGTTATCTTCTTTATTAGTAGTAAATAAATAAAAGTCAGCATTGACCAACTTTTCGTTCAGCAGTGAATAAAGTTGCCTAACCATAAGGCGAAGATGACTTTCTTTGCTTCATTATCTTCAATCTGCTTGTCGTCATCATCCCACAAATAAAATTCTGTCCATAATTCCAATGGTAATCCGGAATATTTGATTCAATAGAAAGCACCGCGCATAAACATTCTAATCGCAGAACTTTCGACCTTCATCAGTCGTCGAGATTTATTTTAAAAATAAGACACAAAAAGCTTGTCGCGATTTCTTAACTGTGTTGGTTTCATTTAAAAATACTTCTCTGATAATGATAACAAATTATGTGAAATAATCATCAGTTGTAATTGAATCAGTAGACAGAATAGTCGTATCGCGTGTCGCAATAATTAAAAGTTACAATTTCGTGTTGAAAATCATCCATAAAATGACGAACAACTATGAACGATGTGAAAGAGTGAGTGGGATAAATTTGAGATTTAAAAGCTTCAATTGTGCAATATCTGAATGCAGGAAAATGCAAATGAAAAGCGAAAGTTTTGATTTCTTTCGTTTTCTTTTCCGCCATAACGTTTTGAAATGTTTTTTGTTGTTTCTGATAAAAAAAGTAAATTAAAAATAACACGGTGACAGCAAACAACAAGTAAAATAATTAAAATCTGTGTTTGTTATTGCTGGTGTCGTTTGTCATTTCTCATGATTATTCCTTTTGTTCTCGCCTATATAATGCACAAGATTTTACGATAATAAACTTCCAAGAGATAAATTTGTTCTACAAACCTAGAATTGTATTGTGTAAGGCGCCTACAATTCCAGCATTCCATCGAAAGCAACACCAAGTCATGCGGTGCATTATCCTCGGATTTATTAAACTCAGGAATTCAAAATAACGTGTTAACAATAGATTATAATTGGTGACTGGACTTAAATAACATTTTTCTTGAGTTTCAATGCACGCGGGTGGATTAGATTAAGACCGCAGATTACTGTTATTGTTTCTGACCATGTGTGAACATTAACTCCAGTAGAAATAGCGAAATTTGTTTTGTATATTTCATTTCCGAAGTTAACATTGAAAACATTCATTCCATGGTTTATGGCTTTAAATAGTTTTATGATATCACAAGTTTCCGTGAAAAGAAATACTAGCGAAATAGAAAATGTTCCTATGGATGTTGCTACATTTGTTTACCTCTAACAACCTCAATGGATTTCAAATCAAAACAAACACAGTCAACGACTAATTATCTAATCTTGACACCAGAGCTGTTTATTGTGTGTGTCGAGTTTGCCCGATAAAATTATCATAATGGCAATATAATATCCACCCACATAGAAAACTTGTTGCGTGATTGATTGAGAATCTCTTAAGTGCCTTTCAATCGGAATAAATATTTTAAACAACAGTCAGTCGATTTAATTTCGTGGGCATTTTTTTTAATGTGACTTCTCAATTCCGTTGTTCACTGATTCAGAACTGACTAAAGTCACAAAAATGTTGAGATTTCATTTGAATTTTGCCTTAAATATGGCAACGATGATCAATTAATCTAGAAATGTTTAAGGAAAGGAATTTGTGTGAATCGTCAAAGGCTACCACAGGTGGGCTCGAACCTTGAAAATGGTCAAGTGATGCTCAACATTTCACTAATAATTTCTAACAAAAAAGTCATTTAAAACATTTTTAAAGAACTCTTAAGAGAGCTTCATCAAACTCAATTATTTCGCCGAAAAAAGTAACATATTTCAAGGTCAAGTTGGAGTAAATTATAAATATTGACTTGAGTCGTTTGCCTGCCTGTTTTGAAACCTTCAAAAGCAGGAGTGTAATTGGAAGCGTTCAAGATTTTTTTGTGGCGTCGAGATCATAAGTAGTTGATGAAAAATTGCCAGAAATTTGCTTCCGCAATGCATAAAAATGTATTGAATAATTTGCACAAAACGAGAAAAGACTTCCAACCCGAAACCAAATGTTTGTGACCTCAAAAACTGGTCTCGTTTTATAAGTTTTATTTTGTTGGCAACACAAGAATTGAATCTCCTTTCATTCTTATAAAAGTTGTAATTAAAATATGATCCGAACATGCTTTATTAATAGCCGGTAAACATTTTTCTCTTTCGTAGATGTTTAGTTTATCTATTGCTTAGTGCTATTCACTCGACACTCGTTTGTTAACGTGTATGAAATGAAAAATATTGTGATGACGGTGCATGCACAAGAAAGAAAAGAATTTGAAAGCAACAACTGAGGAATTACTGGTAATTTCTTCCATTTATGTCACATTTCCGGGTAACAACATTATAAATCGATTTTACGTGGATTATCGTTTGATTGTTGTTTGAGACAAAGACTAAGCAGTAGAGATTACCGATGCAAATCTGGAGCTTCCCTGATGTTTCTCTTCCTGCTCACTGTGAATTTATGCGAAGTGAAAATGCAAAATGCTTTCGAAAATTGATTTTAAATTGAGACATCGACGTCGTTTGTTGAATCTTCATTAATCCTTCAATTTGACGATGTGCATTTAAAAAGATTAAATCTTTTGACGTTTTTCGTTTCGCTTTAAAGCTTTTATCGCTGACAGCCCTGTCTTGACACGTTTATTTTGAGTATTGAATATTTAAGTATTTGAAGAGAACTCTTTAATTCATTTCTTTAACACAAACACATTCTCAACTATCGAAGCTTTTTTTTTCGTTAGTTGCTCTAAGAACGTTAATATTTACCTGTGAAAACATGAAACGACGATAATTTCATACATCAAACACCACAAATACTTAAAAGTTTTTACAGGCGAAAAATAAAAATAATAACAAATAAGATATGTGTGTAGATCGCTTAAAGAGAGCCGCGCACCAAAGCGCTTGAAAAGACACGAAACTCGTTTCAGTTTAACGGTTACCTTTACTCTAAGCGGATTCAAAGTCTTTTCGTTGTCGACATCGCGAACAGAAAAAATAAATAATAAAAACTTAAATATTAGATATTTATGGACAAAGTCATAAGAAAGAAATTTGAATTCTTTCGACTTCATCGTCGAGTGTAAAGTGCATTTCTATTACAAAAAAGTAGAACCAGACAACATTGACTTAATGGATTAATGTTGTACAAACACGACAAGATAAAATTTAAAGATAATTAAACAAAACAAGTGTCGAATCAACAACATAAAAGTAAAAAAAAAAATAGAGAGTTGTAAATATTTAATTGAAAAGCATCAGCCATCATAAAGTTCAATATTGTATGTTGACACTTCTCAGCATTGGAATTTATTATTTTCAATTTTTGTCGTCTTTACCTTCAATGGTGATCTCAAGTATCTTCATTATGCAAAACGTCAGAAAATCAATAATGAAGTGAAGAAACGTTGCTTAATCGATACAATAATGTAATGCATGGAGAACTACCTACATTGATGACTTCCATTGTTAGAGCATTTGTCGGTAGCAAGTCATTTGAAGTGAATATGTGGATTGGAAATCAATTTTCTGTTGAAAAGCTTTCCCCCTTACATGGCAAAGAGCTTTACTTGGCTTAGTTGTTCATATCATGCCACATTTTCATTTCTTTTCTTATTCACTTCGACATAAGTATCTGGATATTGTTGCATGACCATGCGATTGGCCCTAAAAAGAGTTACCGATGTAACAACAGATGATTGTCATGTTTGGATTGCTGTGAGAGGGAAAGAGAAGTTGGAGAAATTGTGTCGCGATCCACAAATGGACCGCGACATGAAGAAATTGAGACACGTGTTGAAGAAATTTCCTTTAACATTGAAAGAAATGAGTTTTCTAATGCTTAACAATATATTTTGTTTTGCAAAGTTATTGATCATTAAATCTCTACCTCATACTGTCCGATTATAAATCAAAGCCGTTCAAAGCCATCAATGAAGTCAATGAAAAACTTCATGCATATAAAAAAATTCATCTTTCACTCTCTCATTCCGCATTTATTGGCTTTTTAATACTTTCTCATTTCTTTCAATTGGAAACATAATAAGATGCGAGAGTTTTGAGTGAGCGAAACTGAATCTAAAACCATCGACATAATGCATATTTTTACTTATAGAAAAGCTCGATAATCTTGCCATTTTTCCTTCATTTATTCACACAAAAAAAAATGTTTCAATCACAAATGAAATAAAAACAATTTGCATTTATCGTTTTTCTAATTCGATGGTGCATTTTGTTACACTGCATGGAGCCTCGAGCTTACACTCGTGAAATCAACGAATAAAATTCCATTTCCATTCACTTTTCTATTTTATGGAGCGAGAAAAGCTTTTTTTGGCAAATGAATTATTTCATTATAAAATTTCGCTGTTTACTGTTAGATCGGAAGACGACGGGAGGAAAAAATAAAATAAAAACGAAATAAAAATTAGATTTTCGTGACATGAAATTTGCATAATGATGGAAACTTGTTAGGCTTGAAGTCTTGAAAGCTTTATGACTTTAAAGGCTTAAGCTGAAGTTTTATGCTGAAATCAGGTTGAAACTACTTAAATGATAACACGCGATAATCAAATTCTTCTTCTTCATTAATTAATCTCCAGAAATGCTGAATAAATTAAGCAACAAAACATAAAAAACAAAGTGAGAAGAACAACCGGATTCCTTCTTTAAAAAAAACTTAAGTCTCGAGTGGTGATGTTGTGTGATGTGACTTTGAAAGAGACAAAATAAAGGCTGAAAGAAGTCATTATAAAAGTTGAAAAGTTAGTTGAGAATTCTTAAGAAAGATTATCTTGATTTGAAAAAACTAATGAATGAAATCGCTTCATGATGTTTGCACCGAGAAACTCTTCACCACCGTTGAGTTGCTTCACAAGTAATGACGACATTGCTGCTCATCAGGTAAAGTGAAAATAATCTCATCGTAATCTCTAATGAAAACAATTACGCAACTAAATATCCATTGGAAGTTTCGATTTCCTTTCAACTTAGAACAAGCCAGTGAGATCATCGTTGGCATTCAATGATGTGCGATTTGTCGCGAAATGTGTGAATAAACTAAAAGAACGAGTTTATCAGGTGACAGGGGAATTGCTTGGCATTTGTTGAATAAGACGGTACGACACAGACATTACCAACAGGAAAATAAAATATTTGAATGTAAATGATCCCCTTGATCATTCAATTTTGCAATAGAGAAACGAAATATTTGATTTCTTTGATTCGACACATGAAAAGTTGCACAATTTTATTTTGAGAAACGAATGAAGAAAACGAAAGGCTTTTTATGTTAATTTAATAACTGATAATGAAGCTGTCATCATTAGAATGAAATTCACAAGTCCAACATGTTGATCATCAATCCTACCATCAAGTGCATGGCAAATCAAATACTTTAGCAAGCTATTGTTACAATAAATACTTGCCAGTTGCCACTCGCCATTCCCATTGCAAAAAATGCCATGGTGAAAGATGATTGAACATGATAAAAGCAACATGTTTGATCTAAGAAAGTTTTCATTTTCTTCTTTTGCTTGTCTTGTAAGAGAGTCAATTGGAACTTTCTCTCTTATGCTTCTTTGTCTAAAAAGTCTTAAAAAAGCTTGAAGTGACCGACGATTTCTAAGGTTTTTTAAATAGGTTTTCTTTGTTGAGTTGTAACTTACGACTGGAGAATAAAAGGAGAAACAAATTGGCTATAAATGGCGTTTCCATGTTGGTTTAAGACAGATTCAGAACGGATAGTTCACGCCTTGGAATGCCTTGCTTTTCATTCCGTCATATAATTGATTTTTATGAGGCCAATTTCACTTCCCATCGATGCATATTCTCTCGTTTTTTTTAAGTTTATGATTAATGATCTTCCTCTGGCTGTCATGAAACATTCGTTGGTTCTTTTACTTTTCTGTAAATGTGGTCAAATGTTTGGTATTTGACTTTTCGACCTGATTTCAGTGATTTCCTCGATCTTCAACATCGTCTTTGCTTTATTTAGTTTAAACTTTGAAGGCGGATAGTAGGAAATTGGAAAAACCATTATTTATGATCTTGTCATGCTTCAAGGCCGAATTCTTTGCGCAACTTCTGCATTTGAATATATTTTCACCTTTTTCTACCCTTGCCATGACCGCACCTCCGCAGACAGTCACAACATCAGACTTAAAGTTTATTAATTGCAAAAGACTCAACTCCCCAAAACACGAGCATCTTTTTTGTTTAAATGACATCACATGACAAGAGCGAGAAATAAAAAGCGTGCTGTCAGTGAAAAGTATTCGTATTTGTTGAAGTTGATAGAGCAAGAATCGAGTTTTTGCGTCGCTGAAATTTTATTTACACACAACTCGTACGTAAGTCGCAATTTCAAGTGTTCAGTGCTGGTGCCATTCATAACAGAGACAAAGTGAAGATCGATTACATCATACAATGACCGCTACTCTCTTTTCTACCCGCTAGGAATTTAAGAATAAATTCCGAATAAAGTTTCTAACTTTATGATTTCAATTTACATATTGTTCGATTTCTTTTGAAAAAAAAAATCATTTTGGTTTCATCCACCCACGATGAATCAATGAAAACGCCTCGATTTAAATCTTGTGGAGAATTGAAACCAAATAGCAATTAATGGTAATTTCAAGCTGACAAAGTTATAAATTCGTTTGACCAAAAGAATTTTCTTGATGGTTAAAAGTATAATTGCATATTTTAGGTGCGAATTAGACGCCAACGCTCGTAGGTTTGTTTAATAATAAAGTTAATTTTGCATCTTTACGAACAGTTGCGCTCTTTATGCTTTACCGACTTGTGTTCATGACCTTGACGAGACTAGCAAACTTTACTATTTACTTATTATAAGCACCTGACATAGAAATGAGCTTAAAAGCCGTGATGTGAACACGACTTAGCAGATAAATAAGTAAATCGTTTAAAGCTTACCTTTAAAATGCGCAACAATAATTTGAATTTAGAGAGAATCGGTCAGAATCGTGTGTCCGAAGCATGATGATGGGCATTTGTGGAATGCTTGCCCTCTGATCGACAATAATTTATCTTTTGTAGACGTCATGGTAAAAATAGGTGAATTTGTTGCTTGATTAATTGAAGTTTATGCCATAAAAGGAAAGCATTAAGTGGAGAGAGAGAGAACCTGATTTCTAAGTGAATAAAAATTGTGGCAAGAAAGCTGTTAAACATTCCATTTTAATTAGATAATCGGTTGGTGATCATAAAGCGTCCTTTACTCGTTGGCATTTCATTTAATTCGATATGGCAGTGAAATGGGATCAGCTGTGATTTGATTGCTTGCTCAACATTGAGCTTATTTCTTATTTTCTTGTTCATTGTATTCGATCTCCTTCAATTAACACGAAGAAATATTTATTGCATGAAAAATCGTGAATTGTCTAACTGATGGTGCGTCTTGAATTTGAATTTTTTTTTAAATTTAGTTTTAAACATTTTCTTATTTTTCGTTCATTTTAATTACAACAAAGAAATGTAATTAGTCTTGCCGACCGGTTGATGAACTTTCTTGTTGAGTTCTCATTCACTTCATTCTTCCATTCTCTTGTCGATTAACGAGAGTGGAATTAAGTCTTGTTTCATGCCCACGGGTTACAAATCAAGAGCTTTGGTTCGCATTTCAATGTATTGTGACATGCCAATTGCCGAATTGTCTAATTAAATTACAACTTTATTGTCTATTCATACTTAAGCTTAACTTTTTCTTATAGAAAATCTCTTCTCATTATTTCCAGATAAAGTTGAAGAAGATAATTGGACTGACAGTGTGCAGCAGCGCGGGCTTGGACGTTTCGCCAACGACAGGAGTTCTTGCTTATCCCGCAGGGTAAGTTTAACTGTGTTTACTTATCCGATAACGCTAATTGATATTCCAATAATGTTGTTGTTCAGCAATAAAAGTGCCGGTTTAATATTTTCTTAACGTCTGCTTTCTTTGTTTAAAGTTAATTTTTATTTCATCATGACGTAACATGAATGCATGAAAGTATGAAAACAAATTTATATTCTTTCTTCGAAGTTTCAAGAGAATCATTCATAAATATTCCCTAACGACTATGCTTTAATATGCTTTCCAACCGTTTCGATTCACATCGAACGAACACCATTTATAGCTCATTCAGATACCGTAATTCTCTTTATGTCTGAAAACATTCTTATTTTAATCACCATCGATGAACATCGAAACTCATTTCTTTTCCCATCGTGATTAAATAAGAGAAAGAAAAAGAAAAGTTTTGCGAATAAATAAAATTTGAATAATTATGAGGCAATTTTCGTGCGCCAGTTCTTCAAACACCAAAATCTTCTTCTCTTTCTTATAACAAAAATTAAATAAGAAAAAAAATTCAATTAAATGATGAGAAATTTATTTTGGAAATTTCTATCGAATGACTTTCTAAACTCTTTCATAATTATCTCGATATTTATTTCATACGTATCAATAATTGACCGCGAAATGAAATGAAACAATAAAAACATTCAAGGTCATGATTCGTTTTGTGTAACGTCAGCAATTTATTAAATTTCACGCCGAATGTAAACGCTTCTCGATTCACCAGACAATGATCGTGATAATCAATCATTTTATACTTCAACTAACCATTGAGTATCAAGAGAAGCCGTGACATCACTCGATTCTAAATGTTTTTGAACATCTTTCAGTTTACACTTTTTGGGAAAGAAATCTTCTTCATCATCATCTTAACTTAATTTGCATATAATTTTGTGCGTACAAAAGCCAAGCGCGACAATGACGAGTCGGATGTTCGTTTTCTGATTCACATTGTGGAACCACCTTGAAGCGACTTCGTTTGCTCTGCTTGTTTACTTACACACGTTTTGGTGGTGCAGAAATCAATTCAACATCTCACGCTTTATTCTAATATCGATTCATCATTCATTTATATGTCTCTTCGACAACAATGTTTGTCAATCTTGTTTCACTATTTATTATTATTTTTCAATGGAAATTTTCGCTTTTATTTCATATTTTTTCTGTTGTTTCTGAAACACAAAATCACAGCCATTGACTCTCCACCCACGCATATTCACACAAACACATTCACACATGAGGGAATTGTGTGATCAAAACAGCAAAAGTTTTTTTCTTTCTCTCTCTCATCGTCGTTGAATCATGTTTGGAATTTAATTTACATTTAAATTATGACTTATCATTCATCTCTCGTCTTTCTTTGTCTTTTTTCTCCCTTCAGATGCACCGTCGTTCTATTTAATTCAAAAAAACTAAGTCAAACTTATCTACTCAACACATCGCGAAAAGCCATCACAGCCGTCGCTTATTCACAATGTGGTCGATATTTAGCGACGGGTGAATGTGGAATTAATCCTACGATTAAAGTTTGGGAACTAGATCTGTCAACAAGCAATGAAAGTAATTGCGGAGGTTCCGTTATAGCAGAATTTAGTGGACATAAATATGCAGTGAATTGTGTTGTAAGTCCACGCACTTTACTTCATTTTACTTTCATATTTCATTAATTTCCTTTCTCCTCTCAGGCATTCTCACCAACCGGCAAATATCTTGTATCGGTTGGCTCACAACACGATAACATCGTCAATGTCTTCGATTGGAAATCCAATTTAAAGATCGCATCGAACAAAGTCAGTGCCAAAGTCGTTGCAGTCTCATTTAGTGAAGATGGAAATTATTTTGTGACGGTTGGAAATCGTCATGTCAAGTACTGGTACCTGGAAGGTGGACGAAAGTATAAAGAGCCGATTCCCTTGATGGGTCGTAGTGCCATATTAGGTGAGTTGCGTAACAACGATTTTTGTGCTGTGGCATGCGGCAAAGGTGAAATGATCGACAGCACCTACGCCATCACAAGAAATGGTCATTTGGTCGAGTTCAACTCTCGCCGTTTACTTGACAAATGGGTCATGTGTCGCACGACAACAGCAAATTGCATGGTGGCTTCAGCTAAATTCATCTTCGTGGGTTGTGGCGATGCCATTATCAGGTGAATTTAAATCACAACATTGTTGCCGATCTTCTTATTGTTTTATTTCTCTCTCCATCAGAGTTTTTAACGCAGAGACTTTAGAATACATCACAACACTGCCACGCACTCACTACCTCGGTGTCGATGTATCGCAAGGCGTTCAAATTAGTCACATGATGTCAGCCCCACCAGCTGCCAAATATCCCGACACTATTGCCATTGTCTTTGACGAATCACGCTCGAAAGTGAGTTGCGTTTACAACGATCATAGTCTTTATATTTGGGATTTAAGAGACATTCGTCGTGTTGGTAAAAGTCATTCATTTCTTTATCATTCGGCCTGTATTTGGGGTGTTGAAACTGTGCCATTGAACTTCCTGAGAAATGGAAACGTTCAAAGCAACTTGCCATCGGATTGTTTCATAACATGTTCATCTGATGATACGATTCGCTTTTGGGGATTGGACAATTGCGAGACAAATGAACTTTTCCGAAAGAATATTTACAGTAAAGAACTTTTGAAGCTTCTTTACATTGATCCCGAAATGAATTTCATTAAAGATATGGATAATCCGACACAAAGTAACGAGAAGTCGTCGAGTTATGACGGTCGTAATGGTGTTCGTTGTATTAAGATCAGTGCTGAGAATGATCAACTTGCGACTGGTGATCGAAGTGGAAATATTCGAATTTATGATCTTCGAACAATGAAATTGATTCAAGCAATTGAAGCTCATGACTCGGAAGTGTTGTGTCTTGAATATACGAATGATAAGATTGAGAAACGTCTTCTTGCAAGTGCCAGTCGTGATCGTTTAATTCATGTTTTTGATGTTGAAAATAATTATCGAATCTTACAAACACTCGACGATCATTCGAGTAGCATCACATCGGTGAAGTTTATTGGCAGTGGTCTTACATTCCAAATGATATCGTGCGGTGCTGATAAGTCAATCATCTTCAGAAATTATCAGAATAATCAATTTACAAGAGGAAACAATTGCTCGGGTAAAAATACGTTGTACGACATGGAAGTTGACAACACAGCAAAGCACATTTTGACAGCATGTCAAGACCGAAACATTCGAGTTTATGGTACACAAAATGCAAAGCATACGAAGACATTTAAAGGATCTCACTCGGATGAAGGAACTTTAATTAAATTAAGCTTAGATCTGAGTGGAATTTACATTGCAACGTCGTGCACTGATAAAACTTTGAGTGTTTATGATTACTATTCAAATGAATGTATGGCGAAGATGTATGGACATAGTGAACTTGTCACTGGATTGAAATTCACAAACGATTGTCGACATTTAATATCAGCAAGCGGTGATGGTTGCATTTTCGTGTGGCAAGTTCCCCACGACATGATTGTCACAATGCAAGCAAGATTAAGTCAACAAGCGATGCGTTCTGGTCATAGTCCCGCAATTCCAAGACAACAACTCTCAAATCCATTCACTGAAAGTCCACATGCAGAACAAAACTTTGGATCACCGCCAGGATGGCTTGAAGATTCACCAACAACACCAAGTTATAAACTGGCAGAAGTTGGACAACTTCCAATGTGGGCTAAGAAGAAACCAGACGAGAATTCAAGTTCACCGATCATGGGATCGAGTCCCAATCAGAATCAGAATCAAGTGAGTTTATTACACTTAATTAGTAGCAATTTTTATTCTTTTCTTGTCTGTTTATAACAGATTCCTTTGAATAATCAGAAACCTCGCGGAAAATGGGCACAACGTGGACAATTTGATGCTGAATCGTTAGATTTACGAAGTATTGTTGACACACCAAATCCACCCCCGCAAACTACTCACAATATTATGATAAGCAATAACACACCAACTTCGGGTTATAATAGTGGAAGCTCGAAAGATGTTTACAGTAATTATCTCAGTGAAGACAGTTCGATTGATAGTGGAATGGAGAATCGACGTGACCATCCATTCATGCCTCCGATTGTTAAACTGGAACACAATAAAATGCATAGTTTGAACTCGGAATCAAATACTGAACATGATGGCGATGTTGAAGACATTTCCGATGGTGAACGAACAAGTTCAGATCATGGAATGATTTATTATCCAGGAACGCATGCATCAACACCAACGTAAGTTGTTTTCCTTAATTAAATTAAGTTTTTATTACATTACAAAACATTCTCAGTGACTTCAAAGTCAATGAAATGAAGGAGGATGAGTTAAGGAAGTCAATTCGAAGACAAAAGTTGGAAAAGCAAGGTCTTAGTGTAAGTCAAATTATTACTGCAACAGCAGCTGGAATTGGAACTGGAACTGGTACATCTGATGACGAAGACGATGCTTCAACACCGAGTGGGGACAATGCTGAACGTTCTTTAGCATCAACACTTGGCGGTAGTTCTGAATCAATTCCACACCCAACAACATTCTTACGAGTAGCGCTTGATGGCCCGGAATCAGATTCAGGAAGAGATAAAGAAAGAGGTGCGGTAACGACAACGACGACGCAATAAAAAATTTATAAGGGAAAACATTGTAAAAAATAATTTTCTATTCTCTTCTCTTCAAATTGTCATATACAATAGGACGTAAAAGCATAAGTGCGATGCACAATAATGATAACAAAACCGCGAGTATTTCGAAATCCTACACGAATAGCAAAAAAGAAGAATTGCTGAAAGTGATCAACGAGGCCAAACAAAAGTTAGAAAATGTAAGTCGTTGAAAAGTCAACAAATTTTGTTTTGCTTTTTTTTTTAAATTGATTGATTGAAGTTGAAATGGGGATCGTTCAATATTGTGATTTATGCAGATTCACAAGCATGACTACTACCGAAGATTTTATTGACAAAACTTCTGGATGATCCCCGAAATAATGACACAAAATAAAAGTCCTTTGAGGGGTCAATGTAACGTGAGAACATTACAAATAAAATCCTCATCACTGTTCGTTTCAACGTTTTTGAAAAAGTTTTATAGTCACATACACACAACATGGCATGTTCATGAACATCAGACAACGACAATTTCATTATTCAACAAACGTCCTTACGGATCCATTGTCCAGCCAATCAATATTTGTTTATATGTTTATTTCCTCATATTTTACTTCTTATTCTTCTTTTCATCCCTTTTGAGCCTATTGATATTGAGTTGTAGATCAACCCAAAAAAACACTTTTTCATCTCTGAACCATCAATTCATTTGTTCTAGGAAATAACAAACCATAATCGTGATGTTAGAAATTCAAATAAAAATCGAATTAAGGTGAGGATATCTCGGTAGATGGCGCTCTTCATTATTTGTTATCTTCTTCTTCTTCTTATTCATCTTCTTCACAACATTGCATAAAATCAAAATAAACATATTTAAGTCGATCTTTATCTAGTTGTTGAGTAATCTTTTTTAACAATACTGCAACAAAATTTTACTCATCGTTAACACAATTGACAATTTGCAAAAAGAGAAGCTTCGTAAATTTTTATTTTAATCTCGTAACAAATTTTTTGTTTTGTTGTCTTCTTCTTTATAATTTCTCTTAAATCACTAATCACATTGTTGTTAGTCGTTGTAAATTTGCCTTTATCATTCATTGCCTTATAAATATAAAAATTCATTTCAATTATTGTGCACCGCCCATGCAAAGGATGACAGCGATGTACAAAATAAAAAAGCCAACTAATTTTGATTTACAAAGAAATCTTCCGGGGAGAAAGTTTCCTTCGTACAAATTTATTCTTTTAAATAATTTAACACAATGGAAGAAACGATAAAAACATAAAATGAGATTTATGCTTTACAAATGTTCACCGATTGCGACACAATTTATGTATTTAGATGTCAGTGAAGATTTGTGAATGTTTTTCAATGAAACTTGTAACTTTTTCTTTTTGATCTAACGGAATGTTAGTTGATTATTTAAATTGTGGGTGGAAAATATATTTATATGGACCTTCCGTCATAATCAATTAACAATCGAAAGATTTAAATATTTAATTGGTTTCTGAAATTTATTGTTGATTTGTTTCATTTTATTCAGGTCGGTTATAAATCGAGTCTACGTGCTAGTCAAAGTATCTCGGATCTAAGTCATGCAAATGTCGATGCTAGGACGAGAATCTTGCGTGGAGCTGTCGGTGAGTTAACGTTTCTTTACGATATAAACGACCTTTTGTTTTTATTTTTATTTTCTCGCTTTTATGTTAGTAAATTTTATTTTTAACTTTCATTTTGTGTTTGTCAACTCATTAACACACTTCATGATCAAAAGTCATCGACAAATATCTTTTGTTTATCGTTCATAAAGAAAAAGATTTGTATTTAATCGCTAATAGAGTGCAAATGTCGAGTGCACCGAGTAAATTTTTTAATTTTGTATCGTAACATTCCTCACAACACGACTTTTGCGACTCACGATTACACAATTGGAAAACAATTCATTTGTTTCGTAGTCAATCGATAATCGTTTCATTTAATCTGACAAATCTTTTGGTTTCTCTTTTTTCTTTCCTAAATGCTGCTTAATTAAATAAACTAACAAAACAAAACAAAACTTACAAAACAAAACAAAATTATTTACGTAAACAAAAAAAAATTCTCCAAATAATCGAAGACGGAGAAGCAAACACAGTGACAACAAATCAAATTGCACCTGCTCATCAGCACCACAATTTCTATAATTGCGCAGCACCAAAAGCCAGAATCGTACATAATTGTCATTTAATTCGTCAGATTCAGAGAAATTATCCGCCATACCCAAGTCAATTGGGTTGTTATGCGAATGAAAATTCAACTGAAGTCTCTCCACAACATCGACCGATGTATTTGTCAACACATGTTGAGAATCCAACGATTGTTCCATCACCTGACAAGCTGAAGAAACATCCAGGTATTTTAAAGAATTACAAATCATGCCCAGTATCGCCAGTACATGAAGAACTTGATTGGACTGCGGTTCATGATCGTAACAATCAAGTCAAGTTTTTCGAACATAAATCAAAGCGTCACACAATGTACAGTGATGACGCACAGACAATTATTGACATGATTCAATCAGATACCGAACGAATGATTGCTGAGATAACATCAAAATATGGAGATTTGGACGACTTCCAAATTCCATCGACAAGTCATGAAGCTGCTGGTAAAGCGATTGTCAAATGTAATCCGATTGATCATAAATTTACTGCTAAGAAAGAGAAAAACGAACACGACTTTCTATCAGATGAAGACGGAAACTTCAGCTCAGATTCATTAGAAGATTGCAGTTTAGATTTGGAATGTGATCGAAATGAAAAGATTCACTACATGAGAAAGAAGAAAGGAACTTGCAAGAAGCATGCGAAGAAATATGATTCGAATCCACCAAAGCGTTCCGTGTCAGAATATTTCATTTATGAAGATTACTTCACTCATATTGATATCAATCGGAAAGTTTCATTGTCAGATATTCTTAAGGACGACCCAAATGAAAAGACAAAGAATGAACAAAGCTTCCTTGAAACTCAACGACATTCAAGTGCAAGTTTCTTTCTCGGACATGATCGAAAAAGTCAAGAGAGCATTTTGTCTGAAGAACAACATAGTGGCGGTGTCAGCTTTTGCAACAGCATGGAAAGTATTCTTTCTGACGAATCGGAATGTAAAAGTGCGCCACTTGAAGCACTTTTTGAAAGATGTAAATTGGATCAACGAAATATCGGCAACATCGACAGATTTGATTCCAACAATTCAAAGTCTTATGGGTCAAGTCCAAATTCAAATTTATGCGGTTTCGATTATTACATGCAGAATCGATATCAAGATGATGTCAAATGTGACATTTCCAATTATGGATTTGATAGTTTGGATGGAAGAAGTTTTAAAGTTCTCAGCAATGTTCGATCACCAACACATCGAGTGGTTCCTTCGTCGTTTAGTGTCCCACAATTTGTTGATGATTCTGCTGATGACGATTTCATTCCATCAATGACATCAAAAGTTGCGCATTATAACACAAATTTGAATAAAAGTTTGAGTAAAGATTTCGCAAATCAACGAAAACAACAACACGGAATGAACTTTGAGCCACAACAAAGTCATCCCAAGCCAATCATTCGAGCTGATATCTTTTCAGATGCTTCTGTTAGTTCCGCAACATCATCAATCATCATGAAGAAGTCATGCAGCTTTGAGATTGAGATGGGCAATGGTCAACGAAAGATCGTGCAAAATTCGAAGAAGTTTGAACAAAATCTTCAACGATTCGAAAAAGATCGTCGAGATCAACAAGAACAGAAATCGAAACTGCAGAAAAGTGATTTCAATCTTGAAATGGATTACGTTCCGCATAAACCTCCAGTCGCTCATAAAAGATCTTCAAGTATGAAGGGACGTGGAAAGGTTAAAAGTAAAGAAAAGTTCAACACCATCAGCTGTTCGCAAACTTCAAATGCCATTTCGCAACCGCATGAAGTTCGTGACTTCATCAATCGAGATTACTTTGGTAAATTGAAGAAGAATGAAGAAAAGTCATTTGAAGTTTACATTGCTGAGAAAGGAATCAACGAGGATGATAACATGGGCAGCTTAGATTCGCTTGAAAGTCGTCAGAAAATCAATGAAATTACCAATTCAGTTGATTCGCTTGATGTTGACATTGAAACGGAAGTGAAGCCTACAAAAGACATCGACTCGGAATTGTCACAGTTCATTGATACGCGATTTATAACACCAGCTGATTTGGGAAAGTTTCGTGACATTGAACGGAAGATTGATGTGATTAACAAGCTTGTTGAACTTGAAGAGAAGAAATTGGAACAAGAAAGAATTCGACGCGAGAAGCGCATCAAGCCTTTGTTTGATGGGAACACAAAGGAGCGCGGCTTTGTGAAGCATTTAACAAAGAACTTTGATCTGTTGGCCAAGTCTGGCCAAGACAGCATCACAAATTGGTGTATTGAAGCATCTAATGGTGGTTGCGGATTGAAACGAAACTTTAGCCTTCCGGACGTACTCGAAGGTGCCAAATTCCAAACATTTGAATTCGATGACATTGACGAGCCAAAAATGGCATTTTATGTACCATCAAATATGAAACTGTACGATTTCGATGACGATTTTGAAACAACAACCGGTGAAGGTGTGGAATGGAATTCACCATTAAAGTTTCTGATCTGTTAATTCATGTTTGGATATTTCAAAACTTTATTTCTTTAGCTGTTTTTTTCTTTATTTTCGCACGAGATCGTTGCATAATTTAGACACGACTCTCAATGTGAATGAAAAATATCTTTGGATAGAAATATTCGAAAAAAGATCAAAGAACTCCAATGCATGAACACAAAACACTACAGCAAAAAAAATTGTTTTGTTTTTTGCTTTATTGTGCATGACGAATTCGCTTTTTGTTCATTTTAATGAGAATTCTTTTACGATGCTTTTTACCTTTATTTCTCTTTCTTCACTTATTTGTTCATTTGACGTTACTTCAAATATTTAAAGTTTAAATTCATAACTTTTGGATAGTCGAGAATTACATCATTGAATGGTGAAGACGTTTGATAATCTAATTTGGCTAACTAACATTTAAATGTTTGATTAATGTTACCTTTTCGTTATATGTCAATATTTTACCGTCATTGATATCTATTTCCGGTCTTTAAAATTTGTATATTTAAATATTTGCTTTTGGTTCAATTGTGAAGACAAATGAATCGAAGAAGAAGTTTCTTTATTGTAATTTAAAACGAAACAAATGATTAATGTTCCTAAAACTTCAGAAGCTTATTTAATGCTTGGGAGAATTCAGAAATTTATTCAACAAGCTTTTGACTTTCAATTGGTGAATATTATTATTTTAACACCTTTTCAAGCTTACTCAACTTCTTCTCAGATTATTATTCTTCATAATTTAATTAAAGCTTTTTTCCTGCTTTATTTTTGATTGTCTTACGCAATCGCTTCTCAAATAAATAAATTTTTATTATCAAAATTTTATATTCACTTTATTTTTTTATTATGTTTCTTATCGTTTCATGTCACTTTGCTTATGTTATTTGGAATGAATAATAATTATTTGACATAAATATATACAAAAATGGTTGTTGTTATGTGAAGGCAATAAAGCTTTTACGCCTGATGATGACGAAAATGAATCATCGATTAGACGAGCTTGCTCACTTAGTGACTTAAGTATGGGAAAAGGTAAATTTAATTTTTATCGTACAAATATTTTATCTTTTAATTCACGACTTAATAAGTATCTTTAATGAAATAAGTAAGCTTGCCAATATTTTAAGCTTTACATTGTCCATTTGTATGAAGTTGTGCATGATGATTTCATCCATTTTGTTCCTTGATGTGTTCATTGAAGATTTCTTTTTGGATATTTTTCATTAATTTGAATTATCTCACAACTTAGGACTAAACAAGGGACCGACTTCGTCTAATTCTAAGTCGCCAAAGGAACGCGCTGGGTCAAGAAACTTGCCGAAGCGTAGCTCGTCCTCAGTTGGAAAATCAGCAACTTCCGGCATGGGAATGCGAAGTATTTCAGTTGGAATGTTGAATCAAGCTGTAAGTTATTCAAGGAATTTCATTGAATGTTTTATTTTTCATTTATAATTTCTTTCTTAGAGCGATTCAGATCAATCAGAGCCGATTGCGTCTCGTGGTGGTGTTTTACGTCCAACAATATCATCACAGAACAAAACAAATGGTGGCGGATCTGCAAAGTATATTAACCCACGAAGTGCTGCTGGTATCATAAGTCGACGAAAGGGAATGCAAAATTCTTACAGCAGTGTCAATCTAACAACTGCTGGACAAGACGAATCGAGTTCAGAAGAATCCCCACCGCCCAATGTAACTACTAGTCCCACAAAGCCTGCGGTTCCACCACGACCAAGAAATATTCCACAAGATCAACGTCGCATTACAAATATTAACACAATGCTCAACTCAAAGAAGACAGAACTTGCAGCTGGAATGATTGAAATGCCGTGTAAGGACAGCGACATTGAAAATACTGACAGTGAGTTTGAGTTTGATTTGATATTTGAATTGTAAATGATTTTTTGTTGTTTTTCATTTATTAGTAACCACACAACTTTGCTCAGGTCTTATCAACCAATTGATGGTGACAACCAATAATGTCATTCAACTTCATCAAAGACTTAGAACAAATGATGAACCAACAAGCACTGGAAATAATAATTTAATGCTCAAAGAACTTGAAAATGCTGTCATTATGACACAAAGTATGCTCACAAAAATCACCAACAGGTAATGAAATAAACTTTTGGTTTTTAATGGGGAACAAATGTAAACATTGAAAACTTTTAATTATAGAAATTCTGACACATCAACCTACAATAATAATAACAACAGTAATTTGAGTCACGATAAAGTGAATAATAACCACACTCCTACAACAAATGGCGGTGGGGAATACACTCAAATGTACGAGAAATGCAACGACTTGTTGAGCCAAGTTCAAAGTCAGAAACACGTGAACAACAACAATAATAATAACAATACAAGTAATTAAGAAAAGAGAAATTTGTTATCATTGCCAGTATCAACGATAATTGATGTGTGAGAAAAACAGTCAGGAAGTAGATTTTGATTGTAAAACTTTGTTCTGTCCATCCTTCTCTCCTGTATTTAAAATGAATTAGTTAAATTAAATTGAGCTTTTTAGTGAAGGAATATTTTTTGTTGTTGTGGGTGTTAAACATGATAAAAATGTAGGAGAAGGAATTTAAGTTTAAAATGTTCTTCTTATTTTCATTTATGTTACACACTAATTGTTTTTGATCAGCGTTTTTTAATGATGAAAGCTAAAGCGTATTAAACTGGCCGAAAATTTTTAATGAAGTGGGCGAAAAGCGATGAATTCGGTCACTTCTTTATTTGAAATTTCGGTTGAATATGACACGCAATTTTGATACAATTTTTGTTAATTATTTTTTAAGATTAAAAGATCAAGAAAAAGACTCATAATCAAACATTTTTATCACTTAATTCTTCTTTTTTTCTTCACTTCTTTTACCAATCATTTGTATTAGTTTTAAGATTTAATTGTTAACGCCAACATACATATGTGAGAAAAAATGAATCATATTGATTTTTAAGATGTTCCCAAGATTTAAGTCAAAAAAGAAATATATATTAGCAAGAAGAAAACATTCAGTTATATATATTAATTATAGTAGATGAAGCAAGAAAACTCAAAAAAAAAAGTTTCATGTGGTAACTTAGTAGGAAACAATTAAAAAATTGAAAATGTTGGAACTTAGTAAAGCAGAAAAGAAAATGAAAAATATCAAGAAAAATATTAGATAAGAAAAGCCAAAAAAAAAGGAGAAAAATATTAACATAGCTCAGTTGGAGTAAGCATAAATTAACAACAAACGATTTAAGATGCAAACTAAAATTTTGGTCTTTTAAAATCGCTTCTTTAAGAATCTAAGATTGAAGAAAGTAACACGAATTGATGACGCATCAGATTAATATACTGTTAACTAATATTTACCAACCCTTAACTCAGCAAATCAACGAGCAATCAACTTTCAAATACATTTTGATAGTTGATAACTTACACATAAATATTTTAAATAAACAAACATACATTGCACTGAACTCAGTAAAAGATTTTAATTTTTAATGACGAATAATAAAAAATGGAGAAAAGAATTAATTCAATTGAAAAGACTAACATTTCCTGGCTTTTATTAACTTTTTAACATTTACAGAGAGTGCCGCTCAAGAATATTAAAATGATTTGAAAGTTTGTTTAAAAAAAGATTATTAATGGATTAAGACTTGTTTAATCTAGATTAAATTTTAATCCAAATGATAATCCCTTTTAAATGAACTTTAGTTATGACATCAAAGCATGTAAATGATTGATTTATCAACAATTTATTCGATGCTTCATTGAGCGCCTCAGCCAGTGCAACTTTTGTCCTTTTCAACATTTTTGAAAAGTTCATCAAGATGCCGAAAACACGCAATTTTTAACATTTAACATTCCAGCTTTGCATTCCTTCAAACGATGTCAATTCTAAGGTGTAAAGGTCAGCGTACGAACGTTTGTTCGCTCAATTAACTCTCCCAGAATTACAATAGAAATTTAATAAAATTATTTTAGTTGAAAATCAATGAACTGTGAATTTTTACTTGCTTACTTAAGCAGCACACACCTTTTTATCTTCCAGACAAGCTTCTTATCGTTCTTCCTTCGTGTGTTCATTGTTAACGCATTTGCGATTTGTTGAGATTATCAATTTCATATAATAAGCTGAAATCAAGGCAGCAAACCCACAATTCACTGTCCACTTTCGATTCTTTCACAATCTTTTGTATGGCTTTTGTCGGAGCTTTTGTGTGAATCAATCACAATAAAGAAACGTTTCTATTTACATCGCCTTCTTCTTCACTATTTTGATGATACGCGAAATCGATAAACAATAAATAAAAGTTTCTTATCATCATTGTGTTCGAAGCACGGTTGAAATAAAAAAAAAAATATTTACCTACAATATTATTTAATACTCACGCTGGTGATAATGAAAGTGAACGGTAAAAAAATACTAAAAAAATATATGCACACAGTCGCGTTTTAACAGCTGGATAAATTAGACGTTCTTGTCGTTTTATTCTTGATTATTTTCTTACAAATTAATTATGGAGAGGGATTTGAACGAGCGAGAGAAGGCTGGCGTTCCAGACGCTGTTCTCTTGGAGGACTACACAAATGAAAATATTTTCCTCGAGAATTTGGAAAAACGTTTCGGCGAGAACATCATTTATGTAAGGAAATTTAATAGGAAAATGACGTCATTGAGTGACTTAATTTTCTATTTCATTCGTGAAGTTTTGTTTCATGCACATTTTGAAGTGAATTTAATGAAATTTAAACTTCCAGACCTACATTGGTCAAGTGTTGGTTTCTGTGAATCCTTATAAGGAACTTCCAATCTATTCCGAGGAAGATGTTCAAGCATATCGCAAGAAATATTTTTTTGAAGTGCCGCCTCATGTGTAAGTTGACAAATTCACTCAATTTAAAATATAATTTCAGGATAGAATGAATTAAAATTAAGAAGTTATATAACTTCTACCAAAAACAGAATTATTATCATGAAATGATTTCATCATTATCGCCTTCTTATTAAAGTACTTATTCGCCACTTGTGGAGTACTCATTCGCCACTTGAAATAAAAAAAGAAGACATGAAGGTGCATGAAACAAACAATAATTTGTCTTTTTTTGTTCTTTTTTATTTCAAAAAAAAACCTTCATAGTTTCGCTGTGTCTGATAACGCTTTTCGATTGTTGCTTGAAGAGAACCGCAGTCAATGCATATTGATTTCAGGTGAGGCTTTTTTTATTGACCGTAATTCCTTTTTCGGTGATTAATTAAGTTACTTCTACAGGCGAAAGTGGGTCAGGAAAGACAGAAGCGTCGAAAAAAGTTTTACAATTTATTGCTGCTGCTTCCGGGCACATTGAAAGTGTTGAATCGGTGAAGGATAAACTTGTGCAAACAAATCCAATCCTGGAAGCGTTTGGAAATGCCAAAACCACGAGAAATAATAATTCCTCCCGTTTCGGAAAGTATATGGACATAAATTTTAATTGGTAAGCTTCGCTAATCAAACACTTTGATAAGTTTTTTTTGATAATATTTCATATTTTATTGTGATTGCCAAGGCAAGGCATTCCAGACGGTGGAAATATTTTAAATTACCTTCTGGAGAAGTCACGTATTGTTCATCAAAACATAAATGAAAGAAATTTTCATATTTTCTATCAATTGATAAGCGGAGCTGATGACGCACTTTTAGAACATTTGTATTTAAAACGTGATTTAAATACTTACACTTATCTCAGTAATGGCGTAAGTTGCAAATAAAGAAGATTCTTATCGATTCTTTCTATCTAGGAAATTATAAACAAACTTAAAATCTTCTTCAGGATAAAACATCAAAGTCGACTGATAAGAATCTTGACGACAATGCCAATTTTCGTACGGTGATGCAAGCGCTAAAAACAATCGAAATGCCTGAAGAAGAGCAAAGAGAATTGATTGAGATTATTGCAAGTGTTTTGCAGCTTGGTAATGTAACATTTGGTGAGGATGAGTTGGGAAAGGCGGTGGTTTATGAAAATGAAGCAATTCATGCTGTTGGGAAAGTTCTTGGAATTGATGATGAGAAATTGCGGCACTCGTTGACACATCGAACGATTGACGCTAATGGTGATTTAGTGACTTCTCCATTAGATCGTGACATGAGTTTCTATGCTCGAGATGCTTTAGCGAAAGCTGTCTACACGAGATTGTTTGATTGGTTGGTGACTAGAATTAATCTTTCACTTCAAACCACTTCATCGTTATCGAAATCTAATACCAATCATGTTCTTGGTATTCTCGATATCTACGGCTTTGAAGTCTTCGGAACAAACAACTTTGAGCAACTTTGTATTAATTTCTGCAATGAAAAACTTCAACAACTTTTCATTGAATTAACATTGAAGCAAGAACAAGAAGAATATTTGAGGGAAGGCATCGAATGGGAGCCTGTGAGTTACTTCAACAACAAAGTTATTTGCGATCTTATCGAAGAGAAGCACATTGGAATCATTGCTTTGATGGATGAAGAATGTCTTCGACCTGGTGATGCTACCGACTTGACTCTTCTTGAGAAGATGAATGAACGACTTACTGATCATCCACATTACATTTTCTCAAGTTCTCGAGCTAGTTTGTTGATCAGAAAATCTGTTGGAATTAATGAATTTACTCTTCGTCACTATGCTGGCGATGTTAAGTACAACGTTGATGGTTTCCTGGACAAGAACAACGATTTGTTGTTCAGAAACTTAAAGGAAGCTATGTCGGTGTCAGAAAATGGAATTATGAAACTTTTATTCCCTGAAAATGAATTTTTGAAGTCACGCAAACGTCCAAACACGGCAATAACTCAATTTAAGAATTCATTGAACAACTTAATGGACATTCTTGTGTCGAAAGAGCCTTCTTACATTCGTTGCATTAAACCAAATGATATTCAAGGACCGAATACGTTCGATACAGAAATTATACGACATCAGGTGAAATATTTGGGGCTGATGGAAAACTTGCGAGTTCGACGTGCTGGTTTTGCATATCGTCGAGATTACGAAGCTTTCCTTCAACGCTACAAATGCTTAAGTAAACGAACATGGCCAAATTGGCATGGACAACCGCGTGATGGTGTTCAAGCGTTAATTGATGATTTGAAATATGATCGTGAAGATTATCGCATGGGAAAGACGAAAATATTCATTCGACTTCCTAAAACTTTGTTTGCAACTGAAGATGCTTTCCAACATCAGAAAAATTATGTTGCATCGAAGATTCAAGCACGATGGAAGGGACGAAAACAACGAGAGAAATATTTGAAGATTCGTGCAGCTATTATCATTGTGCAAGCTTTAGTGAGACGTTTCTTAGCAAAGAAACACTTGGAGCAGCGTAAAAAGGCAGTCACTCGTGTTCGATTCTTCATTAGAGGATTTATCACAAGAAATGATCCACCAAATGAATGCAACGCTGCCTTTATCAAGACTGTTAAGCAACATTGGTTGATTCGTTTATCAAAACAGTTACCCAAGAGTTTCATGCTTCATACTTGGCCAACACCTGCACCACATTGCCAAGAACCTTCTGACTTACTAAAGCAAATGCATTTACTTCAACTTGCACGAACTTATCGTCTTTCTCTTAATGAAGACCGCAAGAAACAATTCGAGATGAAGGTTCTTGCTGAAGATCTTTTCTTGAATCGAAAGAAGAATTACCAAGAAAGTGTTCCCAATTGGTTTATCAATGAGCGACTGACTGAACAACAGAAAGTTAATGTTAATAACTTTACGAAAAATTCACAATTTGGAGAGAAAGTTATTGTAAGTTGAAGATCATTTAAATTAACATTAAGCTAATTATTTATAATTTTAGTACACAACAAAGTGCATGAAATACGATCGACATGGTTACAAGCCACGTGAAAGAATTCTTATCATTGGCGAAAGAAGCTTTTTCCTACTCGATGCGAAGTCTTTCAAGCAGAAGCATCGCATTCCTTTGACAAAGTTACCAAAAATTGTGCTGACAAAAGAGAGAGATGGATTGTTGTTGATTAGAATTCCACTTGAACTAAAGAAAGATAAAGGTGATCTTATCTTAGATATTCCGGCAGTTATCGAGTGTGCTGTGTGGTTTGTTATGGCTTCGAAGAAAAATGATATGGTCGAGATAGTCGACAGCACATCGTAAGACTTTTACTATATTTTTATATGACTGATAAGTGTTTTAAGTTTGTTTTATTACCAAATATAGATTTTCACACAACATGCTATCAGGAAAGTCAGGAACAATTCAAGTTGAGAAAGGAACTGCTCCGATCACGACAATAACTCGTGCCAAATCAGGAAACTTACTTGTGGTAAATTTCACAGCACTTAAAACTTTTTAAGTCTGTTAATTAAATTTCTTTTCATTTCATAGATTGCAGCTCAGTAAAATAGTTTAAACGCACACCAAAGATTGCGCTGGCAAGCAAACAACAACTTTATTACAATCGTTATAATTACACAAAAATACATTTTGTAAAGTTTATAAAGTTAAAAATGTTATATATTTTTTAAAAATAAATAACTTTTTCTTAGCATATCAATAAAAAGCATAAAATGTTTATTTTATTGATTGGAATACTAACAGTGGAAGCTGCGGCAGAACAATAAACATAGCAAGGAATATTTTATTGTTTATTGAGTTAATAATGTTAGTTAGCTTAGAAATATTTTTATTTGATTGAGAAGGAAGATAGAAAGAGTCAACATTTAAGATTAAGAATTACTCACATTTTTTGTCATTTTCAAAGCTCAATAATTAAATAAGATTTTTGTTTTGAAAAAATCTTCATTTTCCCTGCTTTAACAACATAAGATTTCGTAGCACTTAATTCAATTAAATCATGACGTCACATGTGAAAATCAAATTCAATTTTGGTAAGCTGAATTATCTATTTATTGTTCCATGAATTGACAGAATTGGGTCTGCTGGTTTGTTTGCTATCAGTTGGTGGAAGCACATTGTTTTGAAATTCACCAGTAATATTGCCTGGCGGATAGTAGAAAGCTGGAAAAAACATTTAATAACCTTTGATTTCCCTTTGTTACATTTATTTACTTACCAACTACAAATATTTTCCCTGTTCTCGACACTGACTTTCCGACGCCCATGTACTTGGTGTTTTTCCAAACAATCTGTGTGAAATGTCCGACATTGACTGTTGTGTGCAATAACGAAGGTCGCTTAAGGAAATCATAGCGTTTTATAGAGGAATACCAGTACGTGGCGACCTCCTGTCCCGATATCGACTGCATTAAGCATGTTTCAACACAACAGAATATATTTTGGCCGAAGTTGAATATTCTTGAAGGACAATAATAAATTTCATTTCTCGATGCAAGGTGATTCGCCCACTCTTGAGCTGAAACGCAAAGCTTCATCGCGATAGACAATGCAGGCACATTATGACGCGCACGATATTCATTGTGCCAACACAAGCAATCGATAATGAAATCTTTGTCTGTTGTTTGCTCGAGGACAGCTTTCAGCAGTGGCTTCTCTTCTTCTTCTTTCTCTTCTTCCAAAAATGTTTTCTTCTTAAAATTTTTATCAAGTTGGCATTCGCCAACTCGTCGTCTCAAATTTTCCATCACAGTTTCTTCTTCTCTGGAAAGTCATAAAAAATTATTATGAATATTATTATGAGAAGAAAAGCTTTCAAATGAAAGCATGACATGGGTTTGGCCTTGAAAAGCTCAACATTGTCTCACCTTTTCCGATTTGGAATTAGATTCGGTTTCATTTCAAACTCATATTCGTTGTCGATTGACACTTGTGGACTTGAGAATTGAACATTTTTATTCACTTTTGGCATCTTATTTCCGTTTATGTCAATATCAGACGAGAAATTCACTGTTTTATCTTTCTTACTTCCTTTCCGAACATTTTCGCCCGATGGGTTCAAACGTTGAAGTTCAATGTCGTCGAATTTTGGAGGTGAATGATGAGCCATTGTTATTGATAGATTTGAAGATAGCAAGAGTGAAAGGGAAGAGTAATAAAGACTTCAAAATCATTCTAATAGAAAGTGAAGACGTAAAGTTGAGCTTTATTTCTTAAGCTACATTATGAACTTTTTCGTTAAAAGCTTCTCTAAATGCACTGAATAAATATTAAAGTTGATTTGGAAGAAAAGAATTGCTTAAGAATGTTAAGTTTGATTTGAAATTGCTTTAATATAACTAAATTTAAAGATTTTCCTAAGGTTTATTTCTTATCACTGTTTTCTTTGAAAATCTTCTCACTACTGATGCGAGTGCGCCAATCAACGTCAAATCATGCTTTCAATTCGCCCTTTGGAATGAAAACATCATTAATGCGCATGCTCAGAATTTTCATTGGAAAATTGTGAAAAATATCTCTTTCGGAAAAGTCGAAAAATTAAATTTTCAAAACATTATAGGAAAATCAAAATGGGCAAGCAAACAAAATGTTCAGACTTGAATCTCAACGACTCGGGCTCGTTTTTCTTCTGGGGATTAATCGCTCTGTTATTTGTTCTTGTCGTTGGAAACTTCATTATAACTTTGACAATAATTTCGTTCTTTAAGATCGGAATGGGCATGGAATCGATTAAGTTAATTCCGGAACTAAAGGCAATTAAATTTTACGGAGTCACAGACTTCAATAAAGTATATAAAAAAGACGGTCTGATTGAGAGTTTTCGTGAATCGCCAGCAGTCATTGAATGTAATTTAAAATTTACCTTTTCATTTCATATCTAAAATTTATGATTTTCATTGATTTTTAGCTGACAACAACTTCATCAAATTCAATTTAATTGATCGAAAAGGTCAATTAACGAATCGATTTATGATGGGATCAAATGGAACTGAATTGAAAGCCGTAAATGTTGTAATGATTCGAGATCCCGTCACGAATCTTCCAATTTTTTCCACCTCAAAACTCAAATACAACATGGCAAAGCCATCAAAGAATCTCGAAGCGAATATTGTTCATGTTGCTGAAGTTGTGAGTCCCATCGACAAAAAACTCGAATTTCAATCGATCAACATGTTCATACGAGGTATCGAGGGCACAAGAATTGAAGGAAAAGAAATTTTTGTGTCATCAGAACAAAATATCTTCCTCAAATCTTCAAATGGATCAATTACATTTAATGCACAAAACGGAGTATACATCGATATTGATAGAATTCCTGTTGCACCTGATGTCGAATACAACCAAGTCAGAAACGATCTGCAATATAAATTGTGTGTCTGTTATCCAAAAGGCGCATTGTATCGAGTCGCATTATCGAAACTTCATGGCATTGACGATCCATGTCGTCACTTTGATAAACGACAATATAATCCATGTGTTTAAATAACGCACAATTAGGTACTTGATCCCTTCTACGCTAAACTTATCCTACTCATATCAATTAACCTTAAGCACGACTTATTGTAACGACAAAAATCATTTGAGAATGTTTGAAGCATTTGTTCACATATCTCAAGGATTCTATTTAAGAAAGCATTTTGTAGTTGAATGTAAAGGAATTCTAATAATTAGTTCGAACCAATAAATATCGTTTTTGAACAAATCTTCAATGGAGTAAACCAAATTGTTTTTAAAAATAGTTACAAAGTAGTTTTTCTTTCTTTTTTGGAAAAATTATTTTTAGAATAAATGTTGTGAGAGAAAATGAGAGAATGGAAAGAGAGCGAATTCCAATGATTTTCTGAGAGAGACACATAGTTTGTTTTCATAAATTATAAATTGATTTAAGCTTTAAATATTGATTGATTTATAAATCAGGAGGATAATTCTTATGCTTATTTTACAACTCTATTGATATAGATAAAAATTTACCCAGGAATATTAAATTTTCATTCATAATTTTCAATCATAAATGTTCAAACGAATTCGCCCTTTCCTTGCAACAATGTTGCATGTCACACAACACTTAAGCATTGCACATTGCAACATTTTTTCCATCACACCAATGCGATACGCGACAGATGTTAAAAGCAGAATGTCGCAGAGATTTTGTACAAATAAAAGGGAAAAATTGAAAACATAAAACATATGTACAGTATTATAAAATATGTATCGCTGGGAAATGTAACGTGTCGCATGCTGCGCGAAGCGAACGTAAATTTTTTTCTCTACATCGCAACATTTCTTGTCTTTTTTGTTCAATGTGTGACTTCTCATGATTCAGAGATTTATGTGATGTTCTACTACTATTACTGTTAGATGGTAGCGGGCGCTAGCAAGAAGCGGACGCTTTTTCAAGAATCCTAGTTCGGTCAAATTCACCTTAAGAAATAAAAATTGAAGTAAAAGTTAAAAAGGGAAATAAAATGAAAATTATTGCATTATTCATTAAAATATTATAAGAAGATAAAGAAGAATTTTTAAATTAAAATTAATCGTAGAAATTATTGTGAACCATTATAGAAAAGTTCTCAACTGTGTTATATTAATCAAAAACATCGTCTGAAAGTGCTTTAAATATAATCTGACATACAACTAACTAAAAAGATTTTAAGGTATCGTCGCTCATACTTTCTTTTGTTTCTGGATAAGTGAAAACGTTGAGACAAAATCCTCGTCTCCACGTGCTTGACGAAAATCTTACGTGATAAATTGTAATTCCCATTTTCGTGTTGAAAATCTGAAACTACTAAACATTTGAGCCAAAAAAGAGAAGAATAATAACATAAAGTGAAGCAGATTGAAATAGAAGTTAAGCAAACATGTTATCACATTTAATGGAAACGTTATTACTATTGCTGATTGCATCGAGCAGAAATGTTGAATCGTCTACTGGAAACGTAGCAGGAAACAATGGTAAGATTTGTCTCGTAGACAATCAAAAACGCGCCCAAAAAAAGAGAAAAACAAAAAACTTTTCCTTGTGGTGCCGAAAAACTCTCGTTTTATTTGTAATTAGTTGACTTGGGGAGGCAAATCAGATAAATTTAATTACCATCGTTAGATACGACTTTGTTATATTCGAGTGTGTGAGCTTGTGATTCAAACGGTAGGAAAGGAAAAGAAAATCTCTTTGATTGTCAACTTTAATTTCAGTGAGAAATTCTGACAGATTTTTTATAAAAATACGATTGTGAAAGCGAATTAAAAGATGCAGTTGTTCAGTTCATAAATTAAAAAGTGTTTTTGATGAGACTTAATCAAGACTTATGAGCTTCTTAGATTAGACCTCATTTAATCGTCACACCCCTCAAATAAAATAAATTAATTGATGAAACTCTACCTAATCATAAACACATAGATACGGTGCAATTTATTATAAAAAAACAAACGCATCACCCTAAGTAAGAACCTAAATAAATCCATTTGCACATCGTCATCTATAAATCTTGTCCTCATAAATCTCCAGCTCAAGAAAATATTTAATTAATGACCATCAAATGTCGATGAGAACAAATTTCTAAAATTTTAACCATTCCAAACGTGTGTGCGTTGTTTTTGGTTTAATTATTATCTCAACACATTAATGTCGCGTGTCTAAAATTCCTTTTTATCTGTGAAAAGAAATCACTTTTTGTTTTTCGTTTCCCTCTTTTGTTTTCAACTTTGACGATGATCTTGTTGTGAACCAAAAATAAAATGACATGATCTCGGTATGTCGGCGAGTGAGTGAGAAATAAAATTTACACACATAAAGTATTCATCCACTCAGTCTATTTATAAACAAATTATTAAGTTAAGCTTCTCGCCGAAAAAGAAGTCTAAAGATTTGTTTCTTTTAATTGAAACATGTTTTTGGTGAAAAATAAAACATCTGAGTGTGTTGTTGTGTCATTTTGAGTTCATAGACTTGACTGTCGCTTTATTATTTTACAGTTCACTTTGGCGCGAGTTTAAATAGTCTGTAAGAAAATAAATACTGACAATAAGTGCAACTGTTGACAGTGATGGATAATCGAGCATTTACTTCTTGAAATACTCTAACGATCTCTCATTGCATAATTTCATGTTACAAAACTGAACAATCAACCATCCAACGATGATTCCATTAAGAAATCGTCATTAACATGCATTTCTCTCAAGCGGCAATTGAAACGATAAACTAAAGTAAAACATATGAAGGTGAACCTGTTAAATGCTAATTGAAATAAGCGACATTTATTTCCTACGCTGAAGAAATTGCTTCTGATAAGATGAACAAAAAGCACGAAGGCAAAAGTGATTTATTGATGTTTTCAACATGGGAAGAAGTCTTAAAAAATAATATTTCTGAACGATATTTTCCTTCCACTTGGAAAAGTCAAAAGTCTCTCGGGAGATGAAGTATTTAGTTAGTTTCTTACTGCTTTTTCGTATGTTTATTGCTTTTCACGAGTGCCAGGCCGTAACATTAAAGTTCAAGTAGACAGAAATGAGCCGAGAAAATATAAAATATGAGGTTGAAATGTCACGAGATTTTTAATCATATAACTAAAGTTTGACTGCTGCTTATTTTTCATTCCAACATGTCTTTTTCTTATAGATTTATGAAACATGATCAGTGATAATTTTGCACTTGATATAATTTAATTTGACTCATATGACCTAAGTATTTGGAATCTCGTGTATATAAACGATGCGACACAAGGTTCTTATGTAGAGAATTTATTATCAGTAATTTCTGTCTCAAACAGAGTCGTTCATTTCACAAGTTTGCAATGATCTTTAAAATTTGTTGAAACAATCGGATACTTTAATTATAGCGAACACTTTCAGAAGATTATCGCAGACTTTGTTACACAATCAACTTGTGCTTGAAGTTTATTTTAAGGATTATAAAAGTATATTTCACCCACGCAATTATTAAAATAAAATTCTTAAAATTTATATCCCAAACCGACAAATAATTCTTTTATGTAAATAAATAACTTGTGATAGTCGTGTGCGGTAAATGAGAGGAAGAAAATCTTTTCTAATTAAATTAAAATTTTATGCTCTCCTTTGTAAACTGCCTGAGTGATAATCGTTTTTTTTTCTTTACTTAACTTCTTCTCGACTTCTTCTATAGTTTCTTATTTAACTTCATAATCATTAAATATAATTAAAAGCATGTCTCGTTGAGTTATTAATTTATAATTCTACACTTGAGAGTATCTCTAATGATTAAAAGTAGAAGTAATAAAATTTTATTGATGTTTATGCCATTTGGATTATTTTAATCACTGAAAGTTAATAATCAAAAATCAGACAAAATTTCTGTAAAACAAAATGTTGAATATTTCACCAAAAATTCTAATGAGGTTGTTGATGAACGAAACATACATTTCAAGCATTTAATTAACTATAATTTTATTACAAAACATATTTGATGAGAATTGAATTGTATCATGATGAAGCCTTTGACAGATTTTCCAGCAAATTATTTCCGCTTATCATCGTCACATACAATATGACTGAACACATTCACGTCAATAAAATTATGGAAAATTCCGTCAAAACAAGAAAAATTTCGATTGTCGTCCACAACATTTGTTAATTTAATGAATTCTGAATACAAAACGAATATAATCATGCCAATTCCAATTATAATTATTCCACTCACACACACACAAAAAGAAAGGAGTGAAAAATTTATCGCATGAAAAATGCACGATGGGAAAAGAGAAGCAAAAAGAAAATCATAATTTAATTATTGTTTTCTCCTCACGCCCTCGTGGAACAAAAGAAAAGAAAATAAAAAAAAAGCTGAAAAGAAATTCATATCGAATTTATTTCTTTGCTTTTATTCTGCTTCGTTTCATGATAAATCTGAGCAAAATTTTTAATGCGTTTGCCTCAAGGTGCAATTGAGAGAAAATGAAATTACAATGGGAAAAGCGTTTGTATCATATTTCCTTCCTTCCCTTTCTTTTTAAAAAAATAAAGTAAAACAACCAACATCGCAATCTTTCTATTTGATATTTTCATTTCGTAACTGTTTCAACGATGCTAGCAGCTTATTTTCATTTCTTATTATGCTCGACAATCTTTCATTGCACCAAAGAAAGAAATGAAGGAAAAGCGGCTAAGAAGGAAGGAATATTATGCTTTGCGGTAAAAGAGTGTTTGCTGTGGTGAATTGAATTTCAATTCTGAGTAATTCGAGCATTGCGTGCACCCTTGAAGCGATGACTTCCATTTGGGAATCATACGGTAGTATTCGGAAAAGAAGGAAAGTAAATTAATAATTTCTGTTAACTTTAGTTAATTTTGTTGATTTGTTTCTTTGCTCGACCTTCAGCTTATGCTCGACGGATTCTCATCTTGTTTGCTTTGCGATTTGATTAAGTAGCCTCGGTCTAATCTATATGTTGATTCTGTACACGTGCCGGCATCGTATATTTAAATTAAACTCTCTCGCTTTATTTACACTTTAAAAGAATAATTTTTTCCTATCGCAGGAGAAAAAGAGAAAATTGTGGAAGATTTTTCATGTCTTATCTTTGTCCTCGGTTGCTTCTCATTCTGTTGAAATATTACGGTGGTTTAGAAGTGAAAAATGTATCGCTGTAAAGCTCGATATTGATACACATTTTTCCATGCTGCTCAGGAAACTAACTTTATTAATCTGCATCCTGTCAACTTCCTTTGACAATTACTCGGGTGGTTCTTTCCACCTTATTAGCAATGCTTCAGCGTTCTTTACATACAAAAGACGACAGGGAAATAAATTGAATTTACTTGTCGACTTCAGAAATGAATAGAAAGAATATGAAAATAGTTGAATTTTGATGTGTGAAACATGTGAAGATTTTTTTTTATTTATAAATCGAAGTGCCATCAAAATTTAATTCATGAAACCTTCTTACATAAATGAAATTAAAGCAAAAACAATTCGATGTTATTAAGAAGCTTACACTACTTGAACAACAGAAGGTAGACTCAGAAATAATAGTTTCGATATGTTTTTTGCCACAAATGATTAGGAATTTAACGTTTGCACGATGTTAACCGCATAAGATTGCCAACAAATGCTTCAAGACGAGAAAGTTTCTTCATATTTTCTTAGATTATTCTTTTCCATCTCATGTGCTGCGTGTAATGTGTTGTTTGGATGAATCACAGACAAAATATGCTTCTATTTTCGTTCTTGTTATGTTGTCGATGTCTTTTGACGACGCTATTGATTTTAACGGAAGTAAGTTTTGACATTTTTCTGACGTAAAGGAAATAGAAATTTGAAAGTCACAAAAATGAGGCAAGTGAGTGGAGAATGTGACTTGGTTGGATCGACATTCGTTGGAAAATGTGGGGATGATATTGTCGTAAACATAATAAAACCGATACACAATAATCATAAATTCTTTTTCTTCCTCTTCGAATACATAAATACATACGAAAGTAAAGACGAAGGCAAAAAAAAGAAAGAAGAAAATGTTGAGAAATGGTAGAAATATCTATCAATTCAATCAAAAATTGTGTTTGCCTTTTATGACGACGACAACATGAAGCAAGCACACTTTTGAGAATTCGAGCTTTGATTTAAATTTAAATTAAAAGGAAACATCGTAAATTGGAGATTGCGTAAACAAGTTATGACGTAGCATGAAATGCTACAAGTCTCCGAAGTGGGATTAATTCGCAAATAGTGTAAAACTCAAATATGTTTGATCATGGGTGGAGTTTATTTATAAATTGTTTATTCAGTAAATCAAGATTTCATGACTCAAGTGACTTGAGCAAGAAGGAAAGTTATCGGTGGATAATCTTTGGAATACTTATTCATGCAACATTCAATTGAAATCACCAAGCGTTAGCTTCCTTTCGGTTGTTTCTATAAATGTACAATCCCCATTAAAAATGTTATTAATATTAAAATAAAAATGAAGTTGGAACTATTGATTGGGAAATTTATTCATAGATTTTTCTCGTTTTGTTTCTTTTTCGATTTGCAGCCTTGAATGAAGATCCCGAGTTTACAGACATCATCGAGAACATAACGGTCAGTGGAGCATAATTAGAATTAATTGAATTTATGCAACTAAATTTTATTTCTCTTTCATCTAAATATGAATCTATTTGTTAGGTGCCAGCCGGAAGAAATGTTAAATTAGCATGCTCTGTGAAGAATCTCGGCAGCTATAAAGTAAGTTGGAAAACTTTTTTATTTTCTTGCTTTTCCAGTTTCCTCTCACAATAAGGTAGCAAAACAAATTTATTATTTTCCAATTTTTTTTCTTTTTCATCTCTTTCGTTTACATTTCGCAACGAAAATAAGAATTCTTTTAACTTTCTCGCTTTCCTTCCACTTTTTTTTTATTTCAAAACTTTAATTTCCTTTTGTCGCGCCTTTACAAATCGCTCATAGAGTGTGAGTGGATAATGTGTTTGTAAACAAGTCAATAAATTGTCTCCCAATATTAAATATCTTTTGCTGTCTCGTTCTTTTCCGATGACACAGAGACGGGCAATGAATAGTAGAAAAAAGCAACGTTAAAGACCACCGATGTATTTATTAGTAAAGAAGAAAGCAGACACTGAAAGCTGCCATCATTTATCTTCACCATCTTCAATTCTTTGTCTCTTTTCTTATGTTCTAGTCCTTAATCATCGTCTTCTCGAGCACTTTTATAAGCACAATAAAGATCGATTTCGAGAGTTTAAATTATGTATCCTTATTGAGACGCCAAAATATTTCTCAGACACGGTTGGAAATTTTCTAATTTTGAATTTGTCAATCTTTCGAATTATTTCACAAAATTTTCCTTCTCCGTGTTTGATCATTAAACACTCAATTCAAACATTACAAATCGTACAAAACATGACCTTTGAGTAAATGAGAGAAGTCATTTTTTAAAAGGAATGCGACAGAAAGATTTCTTCAGTCCCTTTTCCATTCAACCCGACTTAACGTAGACAAGAAATCTTTTGTGAAAGAATGAAGAAAGAACTCGGTGAGAAATGATATCAATCGTGCCAAAATCTTTTTTATTCAAGCTTTTAATTGCCTTTCTTTTAAATGCAACTAAAGTATATTGAATAAAACATAAGTTTCATTTTTATGATCATCTCTTCAGTTCACGCTTCTTCCTAATAAAAGTCATCTTCGATCGAATCACTGCAGGGTAGTAAGAAAATTAGGATGCGGAGGCGACAAAAAGAAAGGAAAAAAAAATTGTGTCGAGGAATGCGGAATATTTAAGAAAATTTAAAAATTATTGAGCCGGAAGGAATTTTTTCTTTTTTGATAAGAAACTTCTCCCCCTCTGCAATTAAATGTGCACGAAAAATATGAGAATTTTCCACCCTCAAATGATACCCTAATTTTCCAATTTCCCCCTTCACTCATACTGCATTGCTACTGCTTGTGATGCTGATGCTTTCTTTACAATGAGATAAAGACGGTTCTTGTCAGGAACAAAAAATTGTATTAAACTAAATGTCAATTTCCTTCTGGGATTATTGCAGGTGGCGTGGATGCATTTCGAACAGTCAGCTATATTGACTGTGCATAATCACGTAATTACTAGAAATCCTCGAATCTCTGTGACACATGACAAACACGATAAGCATAAAACTTGGTTCTTGCACATTGCTAATGTGCAAGAGGAGGACAAGGGAAGATACATGTGTCAGATAAACACAGTCACAGCGAAAACCCAATTCGGGTATTTGCATGTTGTCGGTAAGCATTAAACTTTATAAAATTGAACAAGGATTTAAAAGTTTTAACACCTTTAAATGTTAATTTACTTTTCAAAAAGTTCCTCCAAATATCGACGATGCACACACATCGACAGATGTCGTCGTGAGAGAAGGAGCGAATGTGACTTTAAGATGTCGTGCGAATGGAAGTCCACCACCAACAATTCGATGGTAAGTTTCGTTTTTAAAATATTGTGAGATTTAACACCTGAGAGCTTCGTTTATTAAATCATTGTAAACATGCAAAAGTTTATGTAAACATCATGAAGTTCATTAGACTTTCGTAAATTACCAACAATCATAAAGCAATTTCTCACCTTAGGAAGCGTGACGACAACATGAAAATAAACATAAACAGAAGTTTAGCGGTAAGCGAATGGGAAAATGAAACGCTAGAAATGACTAAAGTGTCGCGTTTAGATATCGCTGCTTTCCTCTGCATAGCATCGGTAAATTAAATGACCTATAATGACTGTAATCAATTATTTTTCATGAACGTTTGTTGTTTCTTTTTCTTCTCGCTTTCTTCCTTTCATTTTTTTTTAAATTAAGAATGGAATACCTCCAAGTGTTTCCAAAAGAATAAAACTGAGCATTGATTGTGAGTGTCGTTTAAGGTTTTCTTATTTTACTTTTAGCATTTTCAGTGAAAATGAAAGTAATTAAATATTTTCTTTTGTGCGATATTTTCACAGTTCCACCAATGCTTATTGTTCCCCATCAACTTGTCGGCATTCCTCTCGCATTTAATGCTACTTTGGAGTGTGTTGTGGAAGCACATCCTACCTCATTGAACTACTGGTGCAGGGAAAATGAAAAGATGATTTATGATTCTCAAAAATATAAGTACGCAAATTTTTCATGCCACCTTCTCCCTCCTTTATTCGGTTATGTTGCTATCCACTTATTTTTAAACTTTTTTTTCTGCTCTCCCAAACAACATCAACAAAATATTCAACATAAAATTGGGCCTGAAGGACTGAAACTTTGGTGAGTTCACCATCGTACAAAAGCATAATGAGGCTCACAATTTACAACATCCAACATTCTGACTTTGGGATCTATAAGTGTGTTGGTGAGTTGATGTTGCAGAATTTTTAAAAGGGCTTTGGCAATTCACTTCCTGTTCTACGATGCATGGAACTTTTTTTTATTTTTTTTTATTTTTGAAACATTGTTTAAATTACATAACTTTTACATATTTTATTACCTTTCCAGCAAAAAATCCACGAGGTGAAACTGAGTCCTCTATACGGTTGTATTGTAAGTACTTCTTCCTTTAATGATATCGCAATTTTTCCTTCATGACAGTTATTGATGGATGACCAGAGGTTGACTCTGACTTCAAAAGTTTCAGCGAAGAAATGAATTAAGAATCTCTCAACATTTTAATTAGTTTAAACGATAATGAAAGAGTATAAGAACAAAAGAATTTTGTGATAAATGATCTGACACTCAGACAATGACTTTGAATAAACTGGTCAACTCACCTTCGCTTTTTTTTTGTAATTTTTGTCAAGTAAGAAACATGACTAAAACATTTTTCATAATATTTTCCTTTTTCATACTCACAGCTTCACAACCACCTACAACAATTCCGCCACCAACGACGGAAGTCATTGAAACGACGTCAACTAAAAAGGTTGTCAATTATCTTCCACCAGTTGGACAAACAACTGTGTACACAGTTCACATGATTGATAAAGGTATGAAAGGAATTTTTCTCTTGTTATTTATGTGCATTAAAAGACGAAGCGAGCATTTAAATTTTAATTAAATCCATTTTTCACATTCAATTAGGATCGAAATATCAAGCCAGCATTAATGAAATTGAAAATTCAGAGCAAAAACTTACAGATAGTGCTAAGAGTGTCGATTGGTCGGGAGATATCGACAAAACCAATAAAGGTAATTGTCAAGCTCTTGTGTAGATTCAGTAACAGAAGTAAATTAACTTAAAGCAAATTGACTAAAGCAGATTTCAATTGGAAATCAATTTAATGAAATTTATTTTTTTTCCTTTCTTTTCTCAAATCCCACGCGAAAAAAAAAATCAATAAAAAACTTCATTTTCCGGGGAATTGAATTAACAACAGCCTACGAAATGAAACTTCACGAAAACTTAGTAAAATTTTTGATTCTCTACTCTTGTGTACAACTTCTCTACTGACATTCATGCAACCGATAGCCAATCTATGACTTATCGATTATGTATCATAATGTTATCGCCGTTTATTTTGTTTCAGTTCATGAGCAATTATAGATCGAATATTAGTGTATGAAATGCACCCAATGCGCCCTCATCTCTTTACGAAAAAACCTACACATGGAGGATTGCGGGCAAAACCGAAAAAAAGAGTTAAATTTATGATTATTATATCACATTATGTACACACGCATATATCTCTTTAGAGTTTAAATAAAATAAATCTATTTGTAAAATATTTAATTGTGTAATTTTACTTTTTTTTTTTGTCAAAGGTTTTACAATAATTATTTACCATTAATTTGTGGTGTGAATGAGTAATGTAAAAAGTGATTTATTCCTTTTTATATCTGCTGGAAATAACTTATAAAATAATTATTTAACCAGAATCATCATTTTAATTACTTTCATCAATTCTCAGTTTGATAAAATGTTTGAAATTCAATGTTGTTATCGAGAACAAGAAATTTTGTTTAAATAACGTTTATTTATTTTACCTTCGAATGAAACATTGAATTGAATTAAGAAGCATTGAGTGACGAAAGAACTCAACGCTTCTATTGACTCAAATGTTTTTGAGAAGAAAATTTCATTGTGAAGTTAATAATTGAAAACTTTAATTTTATATTAATTAGAAACAGTTTTAACAATTAATGTGGCTCAGTGGTTTAGGGGTATAATGTCCGCTTAGGGTGCGGGAGGTCCCGGGTTCAATTCCCGGCTGAGCCCATAAATTTTTTTGACATTTTTTAATTTCTTTTTTTTCATACGTAGAAATATGAATAATTAAGAAATTAAATTTTTCTTTTTCAAAATTGAAATTTTAACATGAAACTATTTCATAATTAATGAGAAATTTTCTAAAAATTTACTGCTGCACAATGTTCAGCAAATTTTATCGTCGAGATTCTTCCATTTTTTTATTCTCTGCTCGTAGTAGTCATGTGACTTGATGTCCGTTCACTGAAAGATGTTTAAGTTTTAACTTAATTATCTGTTTTTTTCATTTGGTAGAAGTTGAAGTCGATTCCAGAAAAGATGTTTGTTGATGGAAAACTTTTTTTGTTGTAATTTGGAAAGTTTTTCTTGATGCCAAACGATTTTGAATTCATTTTTATTTTAAAGGAAATGTTTTATTACTTTTGCAATTTGTTTTACAGAAAAATAAGCTTTCGTTCGTTATTTTCTGCTTAAGAAAATTCAACACAATTACAATGTAAGTTTTAAAATGAAAAACAAAAAGATTATGCCAGGTATTAAACAGCATGCTTACTTTGTTTCATCTACGTAGGGATTCAACTCTGCACAGGCTCTTACAGTAATGACTGGGAAAACTATGAAGTAGAAATTATAAACATTAAGATATTATGTTGTAATAAGACTTAAGCACTTTTTTCAATTTTTGTTTCTATCATAATCTCCTCTTGTGCATTAGGCATAAACTGAAAATTACATCAACTCAGTTATTAAGGAATTCTCTCTACATGAGTGCAATGAAAGTATAAATAATAAAGCTGATTTTATTTCTAATCTCACTCTTGAAATTTCTGATGTAAAATAATTTCCATAAGTTGAGAATTTCTCTTATCATTCCATAAGGATTAAAAATGCAATAAAACAACTATGAAAAATGTGAACATCAGCTTGATGCATTCAACATACAAATAAAATAATTAATCTGCACCAACGAAAGCTTCGTAGCAGTTGACGAGATTTTCAATATCGTCAATTTTTCTCTTCCAATTCTATCTCTCAATATGGATTGATTTATTTTTGAAAAAACTTTCCATTCGACGTTCGATCATTTCAGATTTATTACGAGAATCAAACACGTCACTGACGAATTGAGCTTTCTTATTTCACTTTCAAATTTAATCACTGTCGTATGCCAAGAATAAAACAATATTTCAAAGGTGATTTCACACAATAACCTTAAAGATGACGCCTTATCCTTATTAAACATTCATTATTCACAATGTAGTGTCTTAAGTGCAAGATGAAGCACGAAAATTGGAAAAAAAGATAATAAAATAAAATTGTGGAGATTTTAAATCTTTTATTTATTTGAGTTTGTTAATTTATGTGTTAAACATTACATTCATGTTCAGGAAAAGAAAAACATGAGAAACAATTCACTGGAGGCATCATCATCATCATTGCATGAAAGGAACATTATTCAGATTTTATCCTTCGCCCTTGATGATGTTCAACATTCGCAGCGAGGAAAGCGATAAATATTTTTCGTGTTGTGTGAATAGGAAGCACGGTAGGGAAAACAGCGAATAATAGGGCATAGGGTTGCCAAATACTTCCCTTTTTCTCAGATGCCGAGGTTGCGGATGGGAGGAAATAAAAGTGAAAAGAATTAGAAATTCTGCTGCTTTTTTTCGAGTAAAAAAAGGTAAGAGAAATATAAAAAAAATGTGAAGATGATCACGCACAAAGCTGATCGTGTAACTTTCGTTGTTTGCCATGTTCAATATAAGTGAGAGAAACTTCAACATAAGCGTGCATTAATTCGTAGCAAACAATAAAATGCGTTTGGTGGCGGGTGGCAAGAAGCGCACAAGTCGAGCAACGAGAGAAATCAACGTGAACAAAGTTCCACTGTTAAATTCACAATAGAATATAAAATAAGCATAAAATTTATTTACACATGGGAATTTCCTCTCTTTTCGTCGAGAGTACGCTTTCGCTTTTCATTTGTGGAAGTTTGGAGTCATCGTTCACTTGTTCATTGCAATGTTACACGTTGGAGGCCTTTTCAGCTTTTATATTTTGATTTTTTTTCTCTCGTCCCGTTCTTCCTTCTCATCACACTTCACGCTTCTCCGCAGGACAATTTTCACCTTCACCTCATCCCACTTTACATCGCTGTTATTCTGCATATCAATTGAGTCTCTGATTTTGGTTGTTACGCGCAAATGTAAATACAGATTCATACACAACACGACAAACGTATCAGCGTTCTTATCATGATGAAAATGATTTTAAGGGGGGATTTCGCTTCAATATTTATGCTCAATAACATTCAGAGCATCAATGAACGTTTCTCGTGCGTTTTGATGCGATTATCATAATTGAAAATCTTTGATGTTCAAACAATAACATGAACAATTGCGTTGAGTTGAACAATTTCTCGGATGAATGTTTATTCATGTTTTTTCATTTTTTTTGAAAATGTTTCAGAGACGAATTGAATGCTAAACCGAAGTGCTAAATTTAGTCTCGAAAACAATATTTGAACTTTATTTTATATTTATATAAAAAGATATTGAAAAATTTACCTGGTCTGGTGTTAAACATTCTCATGAGACTTCAGTTCATGAAGCAAATTGATGTCATTCATAAATGAAAGCACGTTTTAACCTTCAACAATAATTTCTTCCTCAATCATCTTCCACATTGTAACTTCGAGACGACCAGAAAATAATTTAATTTTATTTAATTTGTGTTGAGGGATCACATATTGTGCACATTTTGAATATTCATTTAGTTTACTAAAGTTTCATCGCATAAAGCTAGGAGAAAACGATGGGAAAATAGAAGCAATCTCAAACAGACAAAAATTGCATAAAAGTTTAATTTTTGTAAAGTGTTATGACGTTTAAAATCAATTTTAATTCAGTATTAGATTTTTGAAATTTATCATGAATCAAATTTATTTAATAATAATTATCATGAATTTGAGTTAATTTAAAATTGAAAGTCAATTTCGACTTCTGAACTTCAAGGTGAAATTCTTCACTCATAAATTGACATGAATGCGATTATGTATGAGAAGAATGAAAAGTTTTCTTGTCCGAACAGCAAACAAATTTGATTTTATTTTCATTTCCATAAGATTGACCAGAATAAATCATATCACAGTTGGTTTAATGCTCGTGTGCTTCTTCACTGCTTCTCATGAAGACAATCATATTAAGAAGGAATCTTTTCTCCCCCAAACATAATATAATGATTTTTGTTTTTCATGCATAAAACAACATCAGCTATGGAAAGTTTCTTAACTCCCCAAAAAAATATCATGTTATTGAAATTTTATTATTTTTGGACCCCGACGTGAAAGAAGCCCTGAAACTTAGACGATAGTGTGCAAAGGGAAGAAGCAAATAAAAAGCATAAAGCCAACAAGGAATAAAATGATAAAACTTTCAGTTACTGCATGCAAACGCTCATGGTGATGTTTAACTCCCCCGACATCATCCTCTCATGAGTGTGTACAAATATGAATATGTTTTAATCTTGTTACTGAAGTGTTTTTATGGGATTTGTTCTGTTTTCGTGGTGTAGATGTGAAGTTTTTTCTGCTGTCCTGGAAATGCAAATAACATTTCGGACAGTTTTACTTGAGGCTACGCTTATGTGTCATGACAACAGAGCAGGAAAATCACTAACAATGTGAAAGTTTAACTTATGAAGAAGGAAATATTTGCTTGTCGAAACCGCAAATGAAATCAACAATTGAAGTCACGTCATTGAAGGACCTGCAGCATCTCCAGGCACTAAAGACTTGTTTAACAAAAAAGATTTAAAAAATCTTCATTACATTAAACATTCTATGTAAAATCAATCCCTCAGATAAGCATGAAGTCGTTCAATTCAGTTTGTCAAAAGTGAAATTAAAGAGGCTTTCATAAACGAACATGCGAAGCCATTCAATTAAACCTTCGACATACATTGTGCAATTTATCAACATGTTACACCATATGGATGTTCTGCAAACTTTCTGCTACATCAATCGATCGATAAACAAAACTTTTATGAATCATGGCAGAGTTTCCAAAGTGGGGAGGCGAAATGTGTTGAGTTTAGTAAATATGAAAGAAGATTCATGAGGTTAAATGTAGCAAGAAAACTATGCTGCTATTTACTTTTTAATTTAGCAAATCTTTCATGCAAATAATTCGTTCATAGCGTGATCAAAAGTGATTTGAAAGCTTTAATCCATTTCACAAAATCTCAGGGAAATCTCCACTCGTCGTCTTCTCAATCAGATAAATCGATTGCTATAGCATTGAAGATTTCCACAAAAACATTTTCACATCCTCAAAAACATGATGGAAATCAAATTGTTATTTATAGTTTTGTTTACTTAAAGACTTGTCAAAGAAAGCGGAAGAAAGTTTTATTCTAGTTTTACTGTCATCACAGGACCGTGGAGAGCTCTGAGAGTCGACTTGCCTAAATTTTATCTTTGCATAATAATTCTGAGTTGTTTTTGTCAACAATGAGGTACAAGTATTCATAAGTAGGAAATTAACTATCTAAATATAACTGAAAACCGTCACTGTGGTTAAGGAGAATACAAGCAGACAAATTATAATATCTTCATAAATTGTTTGAGTGAGATAGGAAATATCAAATATAAATTTTATTCCACTTATTTTATCAGAGGGGAGGATTTCTGACATATTTTCTTTACATTTATTTCTATAGAAAATCATTTTCCTTTTAAAATTTAAACTTCTACCTCAACTTTAATTTTACAACAATGATTTCAAGTTTAAAAGTTTCATGAGAATCATTCTCATTAATGAAACATATTCAATGACTTATGTTGAATTTCTGAAAATATTTTCCTTGTAAACAAGATTTACGTGGAAAAGCATTGCAGTTAAAATTTTCTTTATCATAATACTTAATTTTGAAGAATGTTTTGAGTGTTTATTCAACATGAAACTTAATTTATTACGAGGTTCATAACAGCACATCAAACCCAAAGGTTTTTTCTATCACAAGATAATTTTTTTTTTTGCTATTCACGTTTTTGCTTTAATTCTTCACAGGGAAGAAATTATTGGCGTTAATAATATCTTCGATGATGCTTGGCTTTTGCGAGAATCGATATAGAAAATATAATTAAAAAAGTTTTTTTATCAATATTTTTCGTTTGCTTATGTGGTGTGAAAAACTTTCATCTTCCCATCTCGATCTCAAATGATTTTTCAATTTCTTAATAATTTTATTTTTACTTTGCTAAAATCTTTTTTCGGGGATCGAGGAAACTTTATGAACTGCCAAAAAAAATGAAATGTGAAGCAAGGAAGAGAATTGACAATTTTATTTACATATTAATTGGTTATTTCTATTCCGCATAATTTTTGAATGATTTTTTACGCTGTTAATATCGAAGAAGGAAAATTCAAATCATCCACGACTAAATTTCCTTAAAAGAAAATTTTAATTTTTACGTGATTTTAATAATGGAAAAACATTGAACTGGAATTATTCATGTTAGAAAAAATTTAAATTTGACATTTACCATTCTCGAGTCAATGGTTGTGCTCGGTTTTTATGCTTTTTTACAAACTCTTTGATTATTTTTATGAAAACTTTTATCTAGTCCAACATGTCTGAGACTTTTTACAAATTTTAAGAGAACATCAAATTGAGAAGAAAATATTTTTGATTTCTCAAATAATGAAAGAAATTTAATGACTTGTGTTTGGCAAAATAATATGCAGCCATGTAAGCTTAACAATGAATGTTGACTTCAGCCATCAGTGTCTTTATAGAAAAATAGAAAAAATAAATATTGAATGACAGAAAAAGCAAAAGTACTTTGGGAGAAATGTAGACTTTCCCAAATGTTGTCAATATTTGATCATCATGTGGAGTTAGTAAATCTACTTTTGAATGTTTCGACTCTTAAAATGATGAGTTATGGGAATAAGCATTGTTCAATTTAAAAATATATTTGATGTTTTAAAAGAATGCAATTTGATATCACAAAGGACCAGGAATTCAATTTTTTTTAGAAAATTTGTCAAGACTTGTTTAGGATTTTCTATCCATCTACGTAAATAAGCAAGATTTAAATTATTTATTCATCTGCAACCTAAAGATACAAGTTTCATGCCCAAAATAAAGAAGAGAAATGCTATTAATGTTGAACTTTCATTTGGCATTTCATCAAGGAATGAAATGAATAAAAATAAAATAAACTTGATATAAAAAACATAAATGTGAATCAAACTGCAATTGAAAATATAGAACTGTGTGAATATTCAAGAAACAAATCACGTCTACATCTGCAGCATCAACTCGGTTCTTGCTTCTTATAACACACAGTGCACTTGTCAGTACGGATAAAAAGAAATCCTTTCTCTCCTACTTTTATTCTCGACTTTTTCACAACAAATAATTCAAATCATTGAATCGAACCTCTTTTGAAATTAACAAGCTTTTGAAATATTAAAAAGCAAATCCCAAAGCAAAGCTGAAACTCCTTTTCTTCCTTTTCTTTTCACTACCTCGTTCTTGAGTTGGTTGTTAACAACTTTCAATAGAAGTTATCGTCTAGGATGTTGTAAGTTTCAAAAGACCTGAGTCCATTTTTGAATGATAAATCTTAACTTCTTTCTTCAACTAGTCCTACTGCAGATATTGACGGAGAATCAAAATGACGAGAAAAAAAATTCAAATACACGAAAAAGTACTCGAAAACTTTCATCAATGAAATCCTATCTCATTTTCACGAAGAAAACCAAAAATCCCGAGAAGAAATATTCGCATAACGAGCCCATAAAAATTAAGACAACAAACATTAACAAAAGCGCGCCCTCCAACCATTTTACCTGATAAAACTTATCAAGACCAATTGAGTTAATTAGATGAAATGAATGGGCGAATAAATCTGTAGCTCGAGGACATAAAATGGAACGAAGATGAGAATCTTTGATGCCAATATAATCTTAATTGTTGTTTTCAAAGAAAGAAAGTAGAGAATTAAATATTTCTTTCTTTATTCTCACCAACTACTTTAACTTTTTCCCGATGATAAAATTCGTGAGACTTTTTATTACTACAGAGTCTGTAGTAATTAAACAAATTCATGATAACTTTTTTATCACGCTTCTAATAATGATGTCTGATCATTTTTTTTCTTTCAAATTGTACATTAATATTATTTTATTTGATCCCACATGTTGAAATCGAATAATAACATAAACTACTACATATCTATGAATTCTCCCTTTCGTATCTCAAGATATATCTAATTAATTTAATTAAAATAACGTTGAAACGAACGTTTAAGGGAAGAATTAGAAGGTTTACCTCGAAGTTTTTTTTTCTGTGAACTTTCCTTCATCGTTCACCATTTTCATTGGAGTTGTTTATGGATGATTATAGGATGGTTAAAGGGAATGAGGAAAGATTTGATAGTTAATTTCTCACGTCACGTCTTATCTACCCACAAAGCGATGTCTGAAGATTCTAGTTTGATGTTATTTATTTATATACATACGCTTATGTATGTATATAAGCACAAGCAAGTCGATTTCTGTATATGCCTGCATAAAGAGTAAATATAACATTTTATATAATAATTTTTATGTTCACAATTCAAGTCATGATTTCCCTCCTAACGATGCTAGACCACGTATTAATTTAGTTTTTTTCCTCCTTGTTTACTCTTCATTCTCGTTGTTGTGAAAATAGTTTAATGCGGACAATAAGAAGATTTTTCGCTTAATTAAAGAGTTGAGAAAATTATGGAAAAATTTTGAAAGATTTTCTTTTCAGAAAAGGTTTTATCATAATTAACTAAATGTTTGATAAAAGGTATGAATTAAATAAAAATTTCTATTGCCAATAATATCTCCGGATGAGAAACCAAATTTTTTGCCACAATTGAAAAGTTGGAAGAAAAAAATTATAAAAATTGATTCGTAAATGTGGTTGAAAAAATTTAATAAAATTTAATAAATCTTCTGCAACTTTATATATTAATTATTTGCGGTTTTCCAAAAATGATATTGTGATTTATGTGCATGATGTTGCTACGCGTCAGATAATAATGTTTAATATGTTTTTAAAATTTTAAAAGTTTATTGAAATCTTCTCATTGCCACATTGCCATTAATCATGGTCGAATCTTGATTCTAACAAAAACACAACTTCCTTGACGACAAAATTGAATTTCTCATGACGTCTTGCGTGTTGACATATTTCAACTTTTCTTTGAGCATTTATTTCTGAAAAATGATAAGAATTTCAAAACAAACCACCTCAATAAAACTTCAGCTAATACGAAAAAAGAAAAATGAATTGAAAAAGAAAATAAAAAAAAGCACAGCAGCATAATGCTCAAATAAAAATGTTATAAATATATTAAATTTGATGCTAGTAGGGGTTTATCGTCGCATAAATATTCTTGTCGCATAAAAGGTAAAGCTAGTTCGCTTTTTTATTTGCTCCGAGTGAGAGTCGGAGAAGAAAGGAAATACTACGTGAAATGGTCTAATAAATCATATTCTCGTGATTTAGATCTTTATTTTCCCTTCTAAATATCCGATTCTTTGTCTTGGCCTCAGTTTTGTCAATGATTCCGCCATCAAGATGTGGACAAAACGACAAGACGGGAGAGGCCGCTTGAGAATCACGTACTCAATACACATGTGAATGTGTGACCCTCCTTATCAACTCTCTTGTGACGTTTTTGCTTTTCCCTTTTCTTTATTTATCCTCGGCAAATAATTTTACATTTTCGAGTAGATTTTGAGTCTTTCGATGTACTTTGTCATTTAACTTGTCAAATTTGTAATTCATAAACTTTCTCAGCATTTTCTAGGAGTTTGCATGACTTGATTTGATCAGTAAATAAGCTCGAGTAGTGTTGCAAGTAACTGAATTCTGTAGACTTTAACATTTTAACAAAATAATTCGTCGCCATAATCATCATTCATCATAAAGATGGGGCGAAGTGAATCATGATCCTAATCATCGTCAGTCATCCATTCAATGGAATTATGTCAACGATCCACTAACTTCCATTCATTGCATTCAATTAAGCTCGTTGTAAAACGACTAAAATGATTTTATACTTCGATAGATTCGAAAAAAAAGGAAGGTTCAATATGCTTTACCCCCCACACCCTCGCAATATGTAGTCATAGCATGGAAAAGTGCAAACTGCATGAAAAATATAATAAAATTTATAAACGATTTCGTAACCTTTTCTGTCACAAAGCACTCCATGTAATGGCGAAAAGAATAATAAAAGTTAATCTCATGAATATTCATAATTGAGTATTGGAAAAACAACATAATATATGAAAAGAGTCGAAGAACGTCAGCGAAATATTCAAAAAATAAAATCGGATAATAAGCGAATCCAATGAGGCACAAAAAAAAGAGCGGAATCCAAAAATTGGGACACGCACCGAAAAAGGAATTTGAAGAAATTTTTTTTCAATACATTTCAAGCTTTTCATGCGGAAAATATGATTTTCGGCGACTCTGTGGGATTGTTATTGTTGTTTGTATGTATGATGAGGTTATTGGTTTAACTCAGTCACAACAAAATAGTAACAGGATGAAAAACATTTGATGCTATTTTTATGACAGCGTAGCACATTTTGAGCTTTCCACTTAAAGTTCTTGTTGAGAGATAATTTATTTGTTATTGTTTTGGAAGAAGATTCAAAATCATGCTAAAGATTCAATTCACTTTGAATTTGTGAAAGTTCAATGAAGATTCAAATAGTTTTACCAGAAACTCTGATGGAATCTCTTCGATTAAGTTTTTCAATCAAAATTTGATCTTTTAAATTTGATAAGAAATAACAGAAATTTTTTATTGCTTCTTAAGAGTGAACAAAACAATATTTCGAATGTTTTCTTCGATGTAAAAGAATGATTAGAAATTGAAAAGTTCTATAAAAACTGAAAAGTCATAAAGATTAGTTAAGCTCAGTCTCCAAATATTCCTTTCTCTTCAGATATGCTCAAGACATGATGTCGTAATATTTTAATAATATTCAAGAAGAGAGATAAAAATCTTTATGAAAATCACGACTATTAAGACTTGATTTTGTATCAGTGAAGCCACTGATGAAATTCGATTTGGACATTTTTATCGCTTGCTGATATTTCTTTCATTTAATATCGTTTGGTGTCGATAAAGCATCCACAATGAAAGCGAATGTTCACCTTCAAAAATTTTCATTTTATATTGTAATCATTGTTAGCGAGAATAAACTCTCAACAACCTCATTCATATTGTTTGCGTTTTCAATTAAACGTATTCGAAAAATTGGCTTCTCTATGGTGCTACAAAATATAATTTCAATTATTTCGATGTAATTGAACTTTCGCTTGCAAGAGGGGAAAATCAATATTTATCCAATTGTTTAAGGGTGAATTGATAATTTATTCGATCCCAAAATTTGCACAGCAACTTAGCTTCATCTCGTTAAAATATTTTTATAATTACTGCCAACGTCTTTAATTTATACGTTGAGATATTTTCAGCTAATTTTTATTAAAATGATTTTAATACAGAAGGTCATTGCTTAGGAAATTAAATTTCATCTGTTTAGAAAGAAAACAATTTTTTTTGCATACAAGATTAGACTTTAACTCTTTAAGGATCTTCCATTTACCTATTTTTAAATTTTTTTGAAGAACCATAAAAAAGGGGAAAGAACTTGATGAATAGTTTTAAGACTTCTAAGCCTCTAAGGAAATTAAATGATAATTTTTATGGATGGAAACATTTCTGCAAAGCTCAATGTAGCAATAAAGGTTTTGTTCAATTCAAAGGTTGAACTTTGAATGATGAAAACGTGAAATATTTTAGAAAAAGTAAAGATCATCATCATGATTGTTCAGTAAACATAGATAAATGTAACATGGAACGCGAAATCATAATTTTCAGATAACACTTTAAAACTAAATTAACATAAATCTGAAAGGTAAACAATTATAAGTTAAAGATAAAATATCAGATTCTGAGCTTAATTTATCCATGGACGTAAAAGGATGATTAATTTGATTTATTGTTAGAAATACATTAAATGACTGAGATGAAAACTTAATTTGCGAAGAAAACGATTTTCACCTTAAAAACTTCTTTTCTTAAGCATAATTTGCACATTTTTTTCCTTTTCATCTCGCATAACATCAAGAAGTGTGGGCAAAGTTTCACCATAAATTTAATCTCACTCTTTCACAAGATATTCCTTAATTTATTGTGAGGTTGTGATGGTGCGTTCCATGCTTTATTTCAGCAAATTGATGTGGTACAAAAGATCAACTGATATTTTACAGAGGAAATTAATTGGAATCAGGTAGCAAACTATTGGTGATTCACGTAGTTCGTTTAGTTCCTAAAACATTAAATGAATGATTTTGTGGGGGGAGTTGGAGAAGGGCAAAGGAGATAAAACCCTTTAGAATTCTTAATTACCTCGTCGATTTTACTTTTGTAAGAAGCTAATTAGCCGAAGTCGGTTCCTTACTGTAAGGGAAAAAAACTTTTTTCCTTCTTCTTTCTTCTACTTGTTTGCGACACAATAAAGCGAACCTTTCAAGTTGGTTAATGGGCGAGCAAGAGATGTATGTAGCACACTAAACAACCCCCGTCGATTGAATTAGAGCCTTGGATGTAGTCGACTCTGTTGATGAAGCGTTTATTGAAGAAACGAGTAAAATACTTTTTATCCTAATACGTGCTTTGCCTTTTTTTTCTCTTTTACTTTCTGCAGATTTCTTCTCATCGTCTCTATCTCTGTTACTATAAATATATGATCATTAAATTAAAAACGATTCATTAAATATATTTCTGTGTGCTTTGTTGTTGACCTTTTTCCTTTTGAATCTTACTCGTTGCTTCTTCAATTGACTTTCAACACTAAAGATTCTTATTCTTTAACTTAAGGATATCTATTTTCAATACATGGATTTATGTGTAAAGAAAAGAAAAACTTTAGTCGTTCATAATTTTTATTTGTTTTGATATTTTCCCTTTATTTTGCTTCATAAACATTTTGACTTTCTTTTCGCTTGATTTTGTCTTCTTGTTTCCCATTCAAACTATAAATCGAACGAAATTGAGACTTCTTTTAGTAAGTTAGGGGGAGTTGAAGCAATAACCAGAACGACAGTATCTTAAATCTTTCGATAAATATTAGGAAATATCCCATGATTACAAGAATAGTTTGAAGGTGTAGGATCAACAATGACCCGTTTGTGTACTTTTTTATGTGTCAACAAGAATTGGAGAAGTCATCAGTGATAAAAACCAAAAGATTTATTATAGTGCTGATTTAGAGAACGTTATGTGACTTTGATGCTATCTCATGTGATGAGTTTTTTAAATAAAACAATTTCAACTCTAATTTCATCTCGACTCATAAAAATAATTTCACCATTTTGTGGATAACAAATAAAACTAATTATACAATTTGAAGCACGGTAATATTGCGTATGGTGAACAATAATTGTGTCTGCTCCTTAATTTATGATTATTGTGCAGTTTTATGGTGAAACTTTTCTCCTGCTGTTTATGGAGCCAATGAAAGTTTGGTCCCCTGACAAGACGAAAAGTTGAAATTAAATAGCTTCTGTGTAGACATATTTTAAACTTAAAAACTACATAATGAAAAAGACAAAACATTATCTTCATATAAAAATTCTTTTATTTGTCATCTTACAATAATCGTGCCGGAAATTTCAAATTCTCCAAAAAAAAAAAGAGAAAAGACATTTTCATGTCTTTTTTTGGGGTTTGCTCCAAGCTTATTCAGTTTTGAAATGGTGCAAAGCGATTTATATTTCGAAGTGTGACAGCAACAGCAATAAACCGTAATAATTGTCCAAAAAGTTTTAGCGGAACTTTTCATATTAATAAGATCATTTCTTGTGACAACAGATTTATTTTCCTTTTCGTTTTTGTTATCTTATGCCGCTACTATTTAATTTCAAAGAATTTCCCTTCCTTTCGCTTTCATAACTCAGACAACTCTTCAGAAAAATAATCAAAGAAGTCGCGTAATGATGGAAATTTCAAAGAAAATCCGCCTGAAGAATCTTTTCAGCCTTTTGACATCACATTCCGCAATTGAAAATGTAACAAAAGAAACATCAAAAAATTAAATTTTAATTCTCGTGCAAGAAATATAAATTAATTGAAGTCATTTTCTCTCTCTTAAGTTGATTTCATTAACAATTGAAGTTCTCTCCAAGGAGATAAAATAAAAAATTTGCTGCTTTTAATTCAAAGTTTTAACGAAATTTTCATTATGAAAAAAGGAAAATAAATGTTTTAAGCATTATCAGTCTTAGTTTGAAGAATTAAATATTTTTAAAAGCTATTATCATCATTCCAGTGTTTCAAAAAGTCAAAGTTTTTCAATTATTTTTCACTTAACTTGCATGAATAAAAAAAATATTTGCAAGTTGAAAATGCAATTTTTCTGTTAGTAAATATCTTAAGGAAGGTAGTGTGCAGTCTTTTATGTTAAAATATTCATTCAGGTTGAAGATGACTTCAGGTTCGAGGTGTTAGTTTGAGTCCATATGTTTCCGGTGGTACAGCAACACATGCTGGGTTCATTTTAATCAAGTCGGGATAATCACTGGAGACATCAAAATGTTCAAGAATGTTTGTCAACAACAGGAAGGAGAAGCAACGAACGAGATTTTGTCCAATGCATGTTCGTTTGCCAACAGAGAAAGGAAGAAAGTGTGGAATGTTCTTCTTGACTCTAACAACATCTCGAGCTGTTCCTGAACTATCCTTGTGAATCTTGTTAGAGGAAACTGTTTCCAAAAACCTTTCAGGAATAAATTCTTTCGGATTCTCCCAATATTTCTCGCTTGTATTTAGATCGTAATTGTTAATAAAGACAATCGTGTCTTTAAGTATTCCATAGCCGCCAATCTGTGAGTTCTCAGTTGCAACGTGTGGCACAATTGGTGAAGATGAATATCTTAAAACTTCGTAAATCGCCGCAACAGTGTACGGCATATTTTCAGTGTCATAAAGTGTAACTTTCTTTTTCCCACCATCCGTAATTTGTTCGACTTCTTTCTGAATTTGTTTTCCAACGATTGGATACTTTGCAATATATCCAAGAGCGAGATAAACAAGATTCCCTGAGAATAGAAATAAAATCAATAAGTCATTGATAGCACATGTTTCCAGGGTAAGTTTCTGCAAATTTTTGAAACATGACATTCAGAAAAATGTTAGAAATTATTTTTAACTTTATATTTATTACATAAACTGATACATAAACATACCAATTGCAGAATGTCCACCAAGAAAATCTTCCAACATGAAAATAATTGTATTTTCTGAAACATTTTCTTCCTTTGAAAGTGACCTCAATAAAGCATCAGTGAAATCATCTTCGTCTTCTGGTTTTTGAGATAATTTCTCTGCTCGAGATTTAATCACATGTTCCATTATGAATTCTCGAATAGTTCTTGCCCATGACTCGACGTTTCTCATATGCGATGCATAGAAAGGACTTAACCATGGAAGAAAGTCAACGGCGTAGCCTTGATTAATCTCCCAAAATATTTCATCAAAACATCGGACCATCCTTTTGAATGTGACGTCTTCATAATCAAATCGAATCGAGCACATGTAAAGCAAGAATAAGTTTGCACAAGTTTCCATAATCAAAGGTTTTACATGAACTTCTTCGTGTGGCTTAGCAATTGTCTTCATTCGATTTATGCACTCTTGAATTTCCGAACATCCAACATTATTCATTTTCTGGAAGTAAGCAGAATTGTCACGTGGTGAACAATGCTTTCTTGCCAAATTGCGACGTTTTTGCTGCAGATTTGACCAGTCACATAAAGCAAGTGCTGCAAAAAGAAAGATTTTTAACTTATTTTAAAGTTTTAATCTTTTACAGCAGTCAGCACATAGCAAACGATACATGAATGAAGTAATAAATTATTTTTTGCGACAAAAGCTTTTTTTTTAACTCGAGAAGTAAGAAAAAAGAATTAAGAAGATCAAATTCAAGTATTCTTATTTCTTCACCTATTGAACTACTTTCGAAACTCAAGAAAACATTTCAAGGTTGTTGGTGATGTCTACGAGCATAAATATCTTTACAGAGATTAAAAATTCTAGAATTAAACATTTATGCGTGTTAACTTTGATAATGTTGTTTACCAACATTCAAACAATTTGTTGCAACATCTTATTGATGCTACCTTTTAAGGAGATTTCTCGAATCCTCCTTCTTAAACATTACTTAAAGTAAATATGTGAAGGCTACAACTGTCAACTTTGCGTAAAATAAATAAAACACAAAGAAGGAACGAGTTTTTTTCTTTCTTTGATATGAACCTCAAGATAGCCGAGGATTGCATTACAATGAATTGAATGAGGAAATTGCAACTCTTTCTGTCTGTACTTAATAAGTAAGTTGGTAATTGAAAGACCTTCATGCACGTAATGAATCTCTGATCGTAAGTTATCAATTTATGTCTTCTGTTCACGCAATTACAACATCACGGTCAAGTTCAGACATATCTTGAAGATCAATGTTAAGTGAAACTACTCTACCCACTTTTTTACATTCTTTTTATACCATCACGGCAAGTCAACAAGAACTGGAATGTGGAGAAAGACGAGAGTCGAGAAGTCGCCGTTTTTATTTCTGCTTGTCGCTTACCACAACGGAATTCTTTTAATTACCATTTCATTCTCGTTTCAAACAAAACTTTCATAACCATTAAGAACCCGTTTTAATTGTTTAATCGCGAAAAAAAAAAAGCTGAGAGAAATTTAATGAAAGGTAAAAAAAAATACTTTGAATGTGTCTCTTATATAATAGCTATAATCCAAACCGTTCAAACGAGTTTCGAGAACAAGCAACAAGAGAATTTCATTTCGATTTTGTTTAAAAAGAAGCTTGAAAGATGATCTTGGTCATGGGGGGGAGACAGAGAAAGTAAAATAATAAATGAGTGGAAAGAAAGTCAAAGCAGTGAAGCGAGAACTTATTTTTTGTTCAGTAAAAAACCGAAAATAAAATTTATGAGCGCAAAATTACAAGACTAAAGTTTGAAGAAAGAAGTATGGATAATTTTTTTATGAATTCATGGCCGAGGAGAATACAAAATGACATCAGAATTTTTAACCAACATCAATAAAATTGCATGAAATTTCTAGAAATGTTGTTTTTGTCAACTTACAGTTATTGCGATCGCCTCCAAAAATTCGATGAAAACGCTGATGGAGAAAGAGAAGGCAATAATTTTTATAATTTAAGTTGTTTGTTTATTTAACGTCGAGAATCTTTACATACCTCAAAATTAGGTCGACCACCAAAATATTTTCCATTCTGATTGAGAACTTCTTTGATTTTATCAAGATTGTTTACAATTACACATCGCGTTGTTCCCAAAGTTAAACTATAAACTTCACCATAAATTTTTCCTAAAGCAGTAAAACCTTCGAAAGGATTCTTATATTGACCGAGAAGTGCGAGATTTCCAATAATTGGTAATGGAATTGGTCCTGGCGGTTGTGGAAGAACATCGACCACACTTGCGTTTGAATTTTTGTCAAGTCTTTTCAAAACGTCAACGGAAACTTTGACACCACGTTTGCACTTATAAATCAGTTCAAAATAAATAATCAACAGCAAGATTAAGATGATGTAGAATAAGTATAATCCCAGAAGTGCCATTATTCTCCGAAATTAAACTACAACTTCACTTTCTTCTCCCAAATTCAATCACCACTCAAAAAAAAATGAAAACTTTATAACAATAAAAAGGAAATAAATAAAATTAATCTTTCCACAGTTTAATCAATTCCAACTTAACCAAACGGCCTGTTTGAACTGATTTTATCGATCGCTTGTCGTGGCTTTTTATAACATTTCCTTAGGCCGTACTCACCACTTCGTTTTACTTCTTACTTTCTGCTTATACTTTTAGAACTCTTTCACATACAGCTACAACATTGAGTGTGTGAATCGAGAAGGTATCAACTTTTATTGGCCTCTTGTTGTGGTTTAAAGAGCACTAAAAAATATCATTGTTTATTTTCTTCTCCTCCCAGAAAAAGAGCTGTAAAGTGTCTTTAAGTTGATTTTTTTTATGTCTGTCAAGTACGCTACGCAACATTATAATGTGTGCGTGAAGCTTATAACTGGATTGCTTGGTTAAGTTTCGCCGGCTAGCCGGCTTATGCTTCTTGTTCCATCTTCTTTCATTGTAAGCTTCTTCATTGAGAGTCTCAAGAAGAAAAGTAAAAAGAAAAAAAAGGCCAACAATGTATTATGTAATTTTTGATGATGATTTGATTCCTTCTTCTGCTTTTACTTCGTTCTTCTTCCTTTTTATTATATCACGAGAATAATTCTGGTTCTGTGACGATATGCAATAATCAATCAATCGATCAACACAGCAATCCATCTTCATTGACCAACAGTTCAAACTGTCTTCATTTTTTACTTTTTCACATATCCTTTTTTATATTCGCATCCTTTTTTATCTTTGTTTGCTATCAACAGGAACTTGCAAAATACTTGATAAGGGATGAAAATAAAAGAATTTTTCATCATTGATGTTTAACTTTCAAATGATCTGGAATTTCGTTTTAAGTAAAAGTTCTGAGAAATATTCTTCACGTTAATTATAAAATCAAAGTGTGACTTTTATTGAGAATTTCGTAAACGAATTTGTTCATTACTTCATTACTTCGATGTCTATGTAATAAATGTGACAAACCGTCTATGTTGGTTAAATAAAACTTTTTTATCGTTAGACGTAGGTACTTAGTTTTTTTTCGATTATTTATTTAGGACTAGGAATTATTTACATCCATAAATTCATAGACAAATAGATCACTGGCAAGAAGCGTCTTTATGGAAAAGAAATCACTAAAAAATTCAAATGCAAAATCAGCTCACCTTTGGGAGAAGAAGCAATGACTTAAATCAACATTTTAAGACTGCTGAAATAAGCAAAACTTAATATTTATACATAATTTGATAACATAGACGAAATATTTCTTCGAAAATTGGGTTTGAAGTAAATTTACACACCACGCTGGTTTCAATGTTTGCATAAAAATCCGCCGAATTTCGTTTTTCAATCAACTTCATTTGAGTGCAACAAAATGATTTTGAACGACGTAAACAAGTTGAGCAACTCATTCAATATCCAAATAACAACAAACTTGAAAAATGCTTATCAAATTTCTACCGGTAATGTTTCAGATTTTTGCCTTCTTTAAATTCTTTATTCCAGCAATTATTTGTATCACTCAGCAAAATCATCATTATTTAGATTCCAAGAACTTTCGTCATCCATACACGCGTTTGTTTAAAGAATTAATTTATTAGACAATCCCACAAATAGCGAAGGAAATTGATGAGACGTGGAAATAAAAAACCCCCCAATTGTTCAACGTAAGCTTTTATAATTTCTTTATTTTGTTTCAACTCGTGAAAATGACGACTTATCTCTGCTCTCACATGACTTACCAAATAAATTACATTGAAGTTAATTAATAAAATCTTTTCAAATGTTAGTGCTCATAAACATTTCGAATTGTTAGTGTTTGTGTTCTTGGCTCCTTCAAGTCTCCTCTGATCGCAAAAACTGGAGTCTAGAACTTGATCTTGTCATGATTTATCTAACAATGAACACAACTCATAGAACGTCTGACAATTGAATCAATTTGTTAAACGATTCTTAGTCTTTGATTAGAGCAGAACTAGAAGTTAAATTATGGAAAACCCGGGAATAAAAAAATACAAACAAAAAATTGCTTGTCATGCTTGTAAATTCTCATATTTTTAAAATTTCGTCCCGCTAACGTGAAGCTGTAACTTTATTTTTTCCAGATAACAATGATCCGTTCAAGGGTTTCTTTAAACTTCTTTTTCCAAGTCCCCTAAGTCCAGCCTGCTTCACCAAATATTAGGAAATCATTTTATGAATGAAAGGAAATACCACCGAGTTCAAGTTTTGTTTAAGTTATTACCATAAGTAATCATTCGAACAGATTACAAACAATGAAGGAAGAAGAATTTGTGCGTCAAATGATTATTTGAATGGTGAAATATTGAACTATCGTCATCGCTAATAAAAAAATATTATTTTATGAGTTCATGACAAGTCACACGTGAGTGTAATTATCTGACTAATGCAAATTGTTTGGTTAATGGCACATATCTAAAATTTCGTTCAAGTGTCACTCGATCAAAAAAAAATTCTGACAAGCCTTCATTTTAGTTTAGGTAGAAACTGTGCTTGTATTTTTATCATGTTATAATTTATAAAGTGTGATACAACATTTGCTGGAACCTACAAGATAATTCAAAAGTTGTGTGGGTGGAAAAATCTTGCAGTAATGAATTTTTTTGCAAAGACATTTTAAGTTCAAATGCGTTCCCCCAATAGCCGCTTCTAAGGACTTAAAGATGATCGCTCTTCCTGTTGTTTATAAAACAAATTAGTTAAAGAACTTTTTTATAGCATGAATATTTAAGACGCTGACTCAGATGGATAAAAAATTTATCGGAATAATTGAGATTGAATTTCAATCATTCGAAAAGAGCTGAGAAAAAAAAACTTTGGCTGGTGGATTGTTTTTTCTGCAAAGCAAAGTGTTTTTACATAAAACTTTCCTCTCATAAAAAAACCAATTTAAAACAAGGAGCAAGACCGCAAAATTGATTTCTATCACTTCAGTAATTACCATGAAAAAGTTGTGATAACGAACTGGTTTGCCACCAATACCGTGAGTAAACAAATGTCGCCATGAAAGTTTGGGAAACTCTAATTGATTATCAGAAATTTCATTTGTTAATTGGACTTGAAATTTCTCGTTGACAGCTCTGCCAATATTTTATCAGTTCCATCTTTCAACAGCAAACAAATAGAAAAAAATTCTCAACTGAAACGGCCTGAAATCTTGTTGAACAGCAATGTCAAGTTACTTTAAAAAAGGAGTAAAGAAACGACACAAAAACCGTACCAAACGTTTTATTAAAAGTATCTGCTTTATCTTCATCAAATGATTTTTCAACGGGACATGCTCGTGAATATCATTATCCTCGTCACCATATATAGCAGCTTTTTTCATTATAATAAAAAATAATCTAATTTTAAATGTTCGCTCTTTTCGGATCTATGCATGTTTGTAAACTTTGCGCCCTTTTCCTGTTTTCTTTTGCCTTTTTAACCATGAGTAAAGGACAAGCAGAGGGAAAAAAATTAAAGTTAATTTGATGTTTGTGTTGTTTGGTTTCTTAATTGTTGTGACAATTTAAACACGTCCATAGAAACCCTTATCAACGAAAACGCATTACACTCAACACCTTCTCTTGCATATGATATTAAAATTAAATGAAATATAAGCTTTATACATATCTACACATATCACAAGTCATTCGCATCCGGTTCAATATATTTCCAAACAACCCTTCGGTTCGGACTTATCAAAATCCAATGATTGACGACCAGATAAAGCCAAAGGTTTAAAGCTGCTTGCAAACAAAACGTTTTTTTCCTTTTTGATTCTCTTATTCACTCGTCTTCTTTCTTGAGATGTTAAACCCTCAAGTCGAGATGAGAAAATATTACAAATACTCTTCTTTTGTAATTTATTACAAAAGTTTTATGTGAGTTTTTTTTTCTGCTGTTTAATAGGTTTTATAAATAAAAAAAATTCTGCTACTCTGCTTATCTATTATTAAATGCTGCACATTAAGATAAACAGTGAAGAAAAAGAAAGCAAAAAGAACACAAAAGTTGAACTGGATAAAGATCAAAATTTAATAAATGATATAATTACAATTGCGAAAGTTTTTCGTTGTTCTTTTGTTATTCTTCGTGTTTTTTAGGGGATGATTCAAAGTTAAGTCACAAATTTTAACCTTCCGAAGTTATTTCTTACCTTCGTAGATGTTTTCACAACCTATGAATATGCAAATATTGCTTTTAACATTCAATCTTTAACTAAATTTAAACGTGACGTAATCAACAATGTGTCAACACTCTTCTAGTCTCAATCTTATCATTTTCGTTATTTTTCTTCGTTCTGCTTTTACTTTTCCTGAGAATCCTTTCGATTCATTCTTCAAATTACATGTCGTTTCAACCCTGAAATGATGCTTCGAGGTGAAAGTCATTTTCATATCGCATTAATAAAATATCACAAGCGTAATATCACAGAACCTGAAGGTGCCAATCAAAACCAAATTTTAAAAGGTGTTCGTGAGATTTCTTGAGATGTGCAAGTGAAACATGGAAATGAGAAAACGAAAGAAAAATCTTGTATGTTTGAAGATTGATTATTGAAAATTCCAGACACGAGTAGCACTCGCAGCATGCTGAAGAAAAAATAAAAAGAAGCGTTAACACATTAATGTGATGCTCCCGTTTTTCTTTTCATTTTATTCTCATCTTTTCTGATGTAATGTAATATGAATCATACGAAAATTGATATTAGACGAATTTAGCATTTTTTATTTGCGTTATGATGCTAATATGAGAAAACCCGTGCGTGACGTTCTCGAAGCAATAGATTTATGAAAATAAAAAAAATCAAATTCAAGTTGAATTTGTAAGTATTGAGTCACTACTGCCATCTGACGTTATGGTGGTAATAACAGCTTGTGGATATTAAATAAATTCAAAGCATGACCTTGCGAGTTTAATTTCGTCATAAAAATGATTCTAAAAGCTTCACACATCTGACTAAATTTCATTTATGAATGAAGCACACAATCACAACGTGTAAGAAGAAAAAACATAAAAAATCTTCGATCAATGAAGAAGAAATAATAACACGATATGACTGCATCATCAAGCGTACAAACTAACACAACACTACTTCATCACACCCTCATTGAATGATATCTTAAGCATTGTGCAAAATGTAAACAATAAGAAACATGTGATTGTGATGAGTTTGCCAAAGTCACATGTTTCACGATGTAAATGATCGTGCAGTTTTAAAGGTGCTTTTAACGCCATCTTGTTTGCAGATGTCTTAAGAACACCTCAGTCTGCCATGAAAAGGAGAGAAAAACATTCTCTACGCTTAAACTGAATGGAGAATTGAGTCGGTAAATAAGGATAGACAGTATATAAAATAAAAGAAAAAGTTTAAATTTTCCTTTTTCTTCATGTCTTCGTTCCTGCATTTTCATGATTTTCTTTCGTCTTCAATTTGCAGGAAATGAAGAAAGAAATTATTTGAAAAGACTCTACGATTTTCTTTTCGAAAGTACTTGGACCAGGGAAGACACCAAAATGAAATGAATTCAATTTTCCTTATGTAGCCTGATATAAAGCACAGAAAGCGACATGTCTTGAACATAAATGATGAAAAGAAAGCGAATAAATAATAAAAGCTTCAACACACACCAACGACAAATCTCCACCCAGTCTTGGTGGTTTCGCAACGTCGATTGGTCGGCAGTGCGCAATTACTGATAACTTCGGCTCGAGACGGAAGCTTCGTGAAAATGAGAGAAGTTCAATTCGAGAGAGAGATGGAGAGAGAAATTTTGGTTTCAGTTTCGAATTTTTCTTCTGTGCAGATTCTTTTTCATGTATCAGCAGAAGGCTGATGGAAAAGACTCTTGCTTGTCTATGGTATCTTAGCACACAACACGGATTATAAAAAAAGAATCGGAAGGAAAAGCTGGCAGGGAAAAAATCCTTGCACATCTATAAATTGCTCAGTTTTTGTTGAGTTCTGTTGCGTGATAGTCGTTAGAAGAGTAAATATAATTTTAAAAATCAAATATAATAAAAAAGATATGACGATGATAGAAGTTTTGAAGATTTAGACGCGATGATCGAAAGAACTGAAATTCTAATTCAAACAATTTTATTAATCACAAAAAATTATTAAATTTACGGCTCTAAAAACTGTTGGCAAACAATTTGTTCCATGCTGATGCCGTTAAAATATAATTTCGTAAAATTGCAAGCACGTGAGCAAAGATAATTATTTATGTGTACAATTGAATAATAACAAAGTGAAACATTTTGTTTTCATCAACAATAATATTCATTCAGTGACTGCATTGAAAATGAAAATTTAACTTATTAAATCAAATTTAATTGGAAAAGTGTTGAAAACAATAATTACAGATCGTGAGATAAATGTTTTGTATGATTTTAGTATCATATTAACATATGAAAATGAAAGCACATGTACATGAACTGTTATAATCTTAAACACGCCTAACGAAAACTGTTATAATCCTCATGTTTTCAAGATTTAAAGGAATCAAATGCATGCAGGATTAATGTTCACGATAAATATATCTAAATTTTATTATAAAACGAAAATTTATATTTCTTAAGTCAAATCTTAAACCTTGCTTTGCGATTCAAAAGCATTCACTTAATTAAAATTTTAGATCTTAAACATTAAAGGAAAAAAAGTTTGCTTAAGTTTTTTAAACTGCTTTGAGCGATTTTGATAAAATTTCTTGAATAAGAAAGAAGGAAAGTTTGAAACGGAAGATTTTCTTATTTGTGCCCCAAGAATTTCTTGCCGTGTAAAAGGAAAAGAGAAAATTATGTGAAGGAAAACTTTTCAATTAGTTATGAAATCTTAATTATAAAAATTTGTAGAAAAGCGGCAAGTTTTGTTATTCATCAAATGAAATTGTTCACATTTACGAATGTTCTCGTTCACATCACGTCCTTAAGCGTGTTTGATAGTGAAAATGAGCAAGTTTTTCCTGATAGAAAATCTACTAGAAATGTGTTCATGTTTTATAACGAATCTTCAATTTATCATCCCAAAGTTTGATGAAAGTTTTCTTCACTCAAATCTTTTCAGAGTTCATGACACATTACATTGACTAGTGGTTAATTAAAGCATTCCATGATTTTATGAAAAAAATGTTTTCTAAACATTTCAAGTATTTAGATATTGCTAAAAATATCCTCGAAATAAATCTTTGCACACAAAGCGTTTGAAATATCGTCAAGCACTGAAATTTAAATTGTAAATATTTTCACAATCACAATATCGTTGAACGATAGAAAGTATGTGAAAAAATTCTTAAAAAAGCAATGCCCATCAACGAAAATGTTTACAATGACAATAAAATGTCCATAAATCAAATGAAAGCTATTTTTACATGAGCAACATATAAATTTTCCACAGGGAACATTCAAACCGCACAGAAATCATAAACATACAAACAACGAGTGTTTAATTTTGAGTCACTGTAGCAGCAAAAGCAAGTGAAGTAACTGTGAGAGTGAGAAGGCAAACAGAAACCATTAAGCCATAAATTAAGTGCTAAAACAAATTAAATAAAATAATTTTGTAGGATAAAGTGCAGCATAGTGCTGGAGATTGAAGAGTGTGTGGAAATTTTAATCAAATGATATTAAATAAGACACAGTGTAGCTGATGGTACCGCGACACTACTTAGGAGCTCTCGTGTTGCTAGTGTCATCACTAGCACCATCGAGAGTCTCCTCCAACTCTAATGCCATTATTCCGTCGACCAATGGTAAGTGAAATTTTGAGCTTTAAACTTTAAGTGCTTTCAACACGATAATTGTTAAAGCCAACGAATGCCACATTGTGTTGATATACATTCCACTCAGATGTATAACGGCCTTAAAATAACAATTTTTATTGTGCAATGTACATTATATACAACGATGCTTTTTTCATGTAATTCATCACCATGTGAGTGCCAGTAAATGAAAGCTATTTCATTCAACTAAACTTTACACAGTTCCTGTACTAAAAAAACTATTAAATAATTCTGTTTTACAACATTCTTGAATTACAACAAAATTCACTGGAATGAATGAAACATTTTTAATTTATTTTCATTACTCAAAATTTTTGTATTGTGAGCGATGAGAGTTCAAACATTATGCTTACATGTGAAAAAAAGAGAGAAAGCTTATTAAAAGCGGAAGTTTGGAGATCAAAATTGATTTAAACTTTAAATATTAATGAGTGCTGGATTTTCAGAATTTTAACATAATTTATTCATAATTTTAAACTTTTTAACTTTTAATTTTCATTCTAATTAAAATGTTCACTAACAAATCAATATTGAATAAATTTTTATCAAAATTCGAGTTAAAATCAAACATGATTATTTGATATTCATTTGTAATCTTATCTAACATTTATAAATCTATTTAAAGCTTTATCAATTTTGATTATTCATTGTCAATGTACGAATTTGTTAATTCAGTTTATTTTTGACAGTCTGGGAGTCGCAAACGTACTGAGATAATGAATTGGTGGAACTTATTCTTGTCAACTTGTTTAATTCTTTACTTCTTGAAGTATGTTAAAAAATGTCATTTGGTATTGAAAAATAGTTTATGAATCGCATTTTAGATGGTATGTTCGTCGAGCAAAGTATACAAAATTAACCAGAATTGATGGAAAAGTTGTACTAATTACTGGCGCTAATACTGGCATTGGCAAGGCAAACGCCATTGATTTAGCTCGACGAGGTGGAAAGATTTATATCGCATGTCGTGATGAGTTGCGTGGTCAGAAAGCTTTAAAAGAAATTAAACTGGCAAGCGGAAGTATCAACGTTCACTTATTGAAGCTTGATTTAGCTTCCTTAGATTCAGTCAGAGAATTTTCCAAGGAATTTCATAAATTAGAAAGGAAACTTCATATTTTGATTAACAATGCGGGTGTGATTGGCCCGCAGAGAACAACAAAAGATGGATTTGAATTAACTTTCGGTGTTAATCATCTTGGACATTTTTTGCTTACTAATTTACTTCTTGATCTTATAAAAGAAGCTGCACCAAGTCGCATTGTTGTCGTGTCATCGACAGCTCATAAATTGGGAAAAATTACAAGAGAAGATCTCATGAGAATTCATAATTACAAAGAGTTTTCCGTGTACTCCCAAAGTAAATTAGCAAATGTTCTGTTTGCAAATGAATTGGCTAGAAAACTTAAAGGAACCGGTGTCACTGTCAATTCATGTCATCCAGGTGTTGTCAAAACAGAAATTGGTCGTGATGTCTCCTATCAGACATACTTTGAAGCTTTGTTCGGTCCATGGATGAAAACTGTTGAAGAAGGCGCACAGACACAAATTCGCTTAGCTGTTGACCCTGAATTGGAAAATGTTACTGGGAAATATTTCGCAGATTGTGAAGAAGACACAATGTCGAAATATGCTAAAGACGAAGAATTAGCTGCTTGGTTGTATAAAAAAAGTGCAGATTTAGTTATGTTGTGAAGTAATCAATTGAATTTCAAACATTTATATTGACATAACATTCAATTGGATTCGAAACTGTAGCAGATAACCCACACCAAAATAATTTTTCTTTTAAATCACTACTCAGTATAGAGCGAAAATAAAATTCGATTTGATGATAACGAAAATTTTTTGATAGCCTTATGAGACTATTTCGTTATGAAATCATTAGATTACGGTTCTTCCGTGCTATAATCTATTTTTTATTTTGTTTATTCAGTATTAATCGACATTACGTCAAGTGAAAACGTCTAACGATCCGAAAATATCATGAATTGGTGGAATTTGTTTCTGGCAGTTTCTTTATTGCTTTATTTTCTCAAGTAATATTTGAGGAATTCTTTTAATTTTGATTAAAATATTAAATAGGAATTTTTCTAGATGGTACTTGCGACGAGCTAAGTACACAGATTCAACGAAAATTCCTGGTAAAGTTGTGGTCATAACCGGGGCTAATACTGGGATCGGGAAGGAAAATGCAATTGATTTAGCTAAACGTGGAGCTAAAGTGTACATCGCATGTCGTGATGAACAACGAGGCAAAGCTGCTTTGAGAGAAATCAAGGTCTACAGTGGCAACAACAACGTTCACCTTTTACAGCTTGATTTGGCTTCTTTAGATTCAATTCGAGAGTTTTCAAAGAACTTCCATAAGATGGAAAATAAACTTGACATCTTGATTAACAATGCAGGTTTAGTTAGTGATAAAAAACAGAAAACAAAAGATGGATTCGATTTAGTGTTTGGCGTCAATCATCTCGGACCATTTTTGCTAACAAATTTGCTTCTTGACATGGTTAAAAAAGCAACACCAAGTCGTATTATAATGCTGTCTTCGACTGCTCATAAGTATGGGAAAATAGTTACAGATGACTTGATGAATGACAAGAAATATGTAGGATGGAATGCTTATTGTCATAGCAAACTAGCAAATGTGCTGTTTGCAAATGAATTGGCAAGAAAACTTAAAGGAACTGGTGTCACTGTCAATTCATGTCATCCAGGTGGAGTCAAAACCGACATTTTTAGAAATTCATCAATTATCATCAAATTTCTGACAATAATTCTTGATCCATGGATGAAAACTGCTGAAGAAGGCGCACAGACACAGAATCGTATGGCAGTTGATCCTTCATTGGAAAATGTTACTGGAAAATATTTCGCTGATTGTACTGAAGATTCAATGTCGAATGATGCTAAAGATGAACAATTAGCTGCTTGGTTGTATAAAAAGAGTGCAGAGTTGGTAAAATTGTGAACATTTACGAACACAGCGAATAATTAAGCAACCTTTGTGTTATCAACTCGTAATCTTTAAATACATTCACATGTTTGATAAAAAAAAATGATAACAATTCAAGTTTAGAAAATTATTTTGGGTTCTTTCACTTTTATATTTAATTAATTATTTAGTCACACAAGGATCGTGTTCAAGTTTATTTACGGAATTTTAAACTGCAATAAACTTATGTTGGTGAATAACTTAAAACGGAATGTTCATTAATATCTTTTAATTTTACTTTATATAAAACATAATCCCATTCTGGATTTTCTGATAAATTTTTATCTTTCACTGTTTTATTTGACATTGCTTTAAACTTGAATTAAGCAAGTAAATCGTCGAACATTTTTGGTGAAGTTTAAACAGGAATTAAACAAGTTAAGCAAACAATTCCAGTTAAGATGTTGATTAAGAGAGAAAAAGATATATGAACGAAAGAATTTAACATAAGAGTGACAAAGCCAAACACTTGATTTAAATATCTAAAACCGTCTACCAAAAGCGAAAGTTTATTTTCAATACACATTCTCTATTTTGAGTTGTTACCATCACAACCTTAGATTCTCATTCAATATGAGCTCGTGGGATATTTTTTTAATTATTTCACTGTCACTCTACGTTCTGAGGTAAATAAGATTAGTTCGTCATAAACATTTTTGTGACTATTTTAAAATTTATTTTAGTTGGTATCTTCGTCGGGGAAGGTTTAATAAATCATCAAGAATCGATGGAAAAGTTGTACTCATTACTGGTGCTAATACAGGTCTCGGCAAAGGCACAGCAATTGATTTAGCTCGACGTGGTGGAAAAATTTACATTGCATGTCGTGATGAGCGACGTGGTGAAAAAGCTTTGACGGAAATTAAACTTGCAAGCGGAAGCAGCAATGTTCACTTATTAAATCTTGATTTGGCTTCTTTGGATTCAATTCGGAAATTTTCAGAGAACTTTCACAAGTTAGAGACCAAAATTGATGTTCTGATCAACAATGCTGGACTTTCAAGCAACAGTCATCGCAAAACAGTTGACGGCTTTGAACTAACTTTGGGTGTCAATCATCTCGGACCTTTCTTATTAACAAATTTACTTCTTGATCTTATTAAAAAAGCTGCACCAAGTCGAATTATTGTGATATCATCGAGTGCACATAAATATTTTGCAAATATCAACAAACATGATTTGATGTTTGAAAAAAGTTATCATTTCTTTCTGGCTTACGGTCAAAGTAAATTAGCCAACATTCTCTTTTCAAATGAATTGGCAAGAAAGCTTAATGGAACAGGTGTCACAGTTAACTCATGTCATCCCGGCGTTATACGAACAAAAATCACACGAGATCTTGGCTTTTGGGATGCTGTCTATATGTTGATAAATCCATGGCTTAAGACAGTCGAAGAAGGAATACAAACCCAAATTCGTTTAGCTGTCGATCCTGCATTAGAAAATGTCACTGGAAAGTATTTTGCTGATTGTGAAGAAGCTTCAATGTCTAACAATGCCAAGAATGAAGAATTAGCTGCGTGGTTGTATGAAAAGAGCGCAGAGTTAGTTAAATTATAATATTTAGTCTAATAATTTGTTTATCAATACACATTTAAGTTTCACACATTTAAAAAATTGTAATAAGCGAACATGTGAATTGTGTAACTTCTAAAATAGCTGAAAAACATTAACATACATGGCGGCATGTGCTATCAGTAAAGATAATAAAAAAAGACTTTTGAAATGTCTATTTTTATTCAGTTCAGTCTCTTTTTTACGCTCAAGCTTTACTGTCACCGTGTTGTTTGAAGCTATGGACGCTTGGAATATTTTTCTGATTATCTTCTACTTTCTGTTTATTCTGAGGTTGACAATTAATGTTTGCTTAATATAAATTTAAGTCACAGTTTAACTGATTTGTAGATGGTATCTTCGTCGTCCAAAATATTCAAAACCAACGAAAATTGATGGAAAAGTTGTGATCATAACTGGAGCTAACACTGGGATTGGTAAAGCAAACGCGATTGATTTAGCACGACGTGGCAGTAAGATTTACATCGCATGTCGTGATATTCAACGTGGTGAAGCTGCGTTGAAAGAAATTAAACTGGCAAGTGAAAGCAGAAACGTTCACTTCTTGCAACTTGATTTAGCATCGTTAGATTCAATTCGACAGTTTGCCATTGAATTTCATAAGAAAGAGAAGAAACTCGACATCTTAATTAATAACGCGGGACTAGTTAGTGGAGTGAAAGATAAAACGAAAGATGGATTTGAATTGACGTTTGGCGTGAATCATCTCGGACCTTTTCTTTTAACTAATTTACTTTTAGATTTATTAAAGAATGCTTCACCAAGTCGAATTGTTATAGTGTCGTCATATACTCACGTTTTTGGAAAAATAAATAAAGACGATTTGATGTACGATAAGAAATACAATGGAACGATTGCTTATGCTCAAAGTAAACTCGCGAATATTCTTTTCTCGAATGAATTATCAAGAAGACTCATTGGGACTGGAGTTACTGTCAATTCATGTCATCCCGGCCTTGTCAAAACTGATATTATGCGTAAATGGAGCTTCAAGAGATATTACGAGGTTGCCATTAGTCCGTGGTTAAGAACACCTGAAGAGGGTGCTCAAACTCAAATACGATTAGCTGTCGATCCCGATTTGGAACGAGTCTCAGGAAAATATTTTTCCAACTGCAAGGAAACTGGAACGGCAAAGAAAGCAAAGGATGAAGAATTAGCTGCTTGGTTGTTTGATAAAAGCGCAGAATTGGTTAAACATTAAACTCGAATGAACTTTTAACCCAGTCAAATTTATTACTTCACTGATCAAATTTTGTCTAGAAAATATCTGATTTACAAAATGTTTATGTCTTCAAGATAATCTCTCGCTTGTTTTCATAAACACCCCGAGAAAATGTTGAAACTCGCAATAAAAAAAAGTAGAACAATAAAAATTTAAGCGCTCAAATTAACTGTTGACAAAGATAATCTGCTGCCAAAACAATATTGTGATGATGATTATCATAATCCCCATTAACCACAATAAGAAAAGCCACCGCCTTTAAATTAAAGCTATGCTAATTCATGAAGCGCTCATTACAATATCTTTAATTCGATTAATAAAATTGTTTCACAAGGGTAACGACTACCTAAGAAACTCAAACTTCTCTCACCACCACGATTAAATGATTTAATGAAATTTTAACTTTTAATTTTAATCTTTCGACTTTTGTTTAGAAATGAAAATCGATAGAATGACTTTTGAAATGAGTTTTAAAGGCGAACAGAAGGAGACTAGAAAAACAACAATCAAAGCAGATAACAGTGAAGGAATTCATATTTATTTGTTGCTGAATACTTGCTGTTCTGTACATAACTCCAACCCCATGAAAATTCGAGCTCACAATTTATTTACAAATGAAATGAAAATAAAAAAGTGGAAGTTTTTAAATCTCTCTTTCCGTCGACGACGAAAAGAATTTAAACATTGAGATTCAAGATTTTTTAAGGTTTTTTTAATCCTGATTCAGGGTAGGAAAAAAACGCGGATCTTATCTGAGAAGAATTTAAATGGAGAAGAAAAAAAAAAACAAAAGGAAAGGGAGAAATGTTTTTGTTGAAATAAATATCTTTAAAACTCTTCATTTATCTCTAAATTTACCTTCTTCCGCCCACGCAATTAAAAGAAGACTAAAGCCCAGTTAGTAATTTCCATTTCAAAGTAATTTATCTCAGCATGTCTGAGACGAAACAAATTCATCTCAAACTGGGCATCGGTAAGTAGCACAGCAACTGATTAATGAAAATCGGAAGTGAATAATCAACATGAATTAACGCTTTCTATGGAGAAGAAAATCTGAGAAGGATATTGAACGAACCTGATCGATTACTAAGTTCAATCAAGGATATGTTTGAATGTTCTTCGTATGGAAATTACATAAATTTAAAGTGCAATCAAATTGAAAGTTATCAAAATTTATTTCCCAATTTTATACACCAAAACTCTGTGAAATAATTCACAAAACTATTCTCTGAAAACAATGACTTATTCAGCATTCAACAAATGTGGCTTTAACAATTATTTATCAAGTGTTTGCGTAAAATATAAAATCGCAGTTTGTGTTCATATTTCATTGTTTATGTAATTTCAGTGATAACTGAGGAACCAGAATTTACTGAAACTATAGAGAATGTCACCGTACCTGCAGGTGAGAAAGACATCATCAATAATTATCTCAATTTCTGATCCTTTAATGACCATTTCACAGGAAGGAATGTTAAATTGGCGTGTTCTGTAAAAAATTTAGGATCTTACAAGGTAAGAGTTTGCATTTCAACAGATTTTCCTATTCTAATTTATCCCCTTTTCCATTTAATTTCTTTGCTGAGTTACAAGAGATTTCTGAAAGAATTTCATTACCTATAATTAAAAGAAATCCCATTTCTTCAATTTCTTCATCGAACGCCTTCGGGTAAAGTTGAACTTTTCAATTAGACTTATTCTTGGGGGAGAAGGAAAGAGAAGTTGCCATTGTTTCAATCCTTTTCTGAACTTGTCGTCAAATTCCGTCATTCACAGCATTAAGAGAAACCTAATTTAAGAATGAAGCCTAAAACATATCTTTAAGCTGTTAATGTCGCAACTGAGACGATTCAGATTTCGTTTCTCAACTTACTTTTTTTGTGTTCACACGAGAAAGAATATAATTTGTCAAGCAATTAATGAACTAAATTGTTACGAAATCCTGTCGTGTTTATTCCATTTGTTATCAACGACAAACTTTCATTTGTAAAATTTGAATTGCTAATTAAATATCATTAGCAATGTTAAACATTGTTGTTCTCTTTTCAAACTCATTACAAAGTCTCGCCGCAAACCCTTTTGCCTGGGATGCTTCATTTAGCTACAGACACGGTGAAAAAACATCAACAATTATGGGCTGATTAATTGCAGTTTAATGATCAATCGCTGTAATTGACGGGAAGTTAAATATAATATACCGAATGAACTTTTTAACTCTTTTTTTCCTGTTTGAACTTCTAACCAACTGAGTCAACTTGCAATTTAAATTATTTCCAAGCAAGAACATCATTAAAGTCAGAAAACTAAAATTTATTTTTTCATAGTTTCTGTCAGCGAATTTAATTGCATATCAACATTGCCAGAGCACAATTAAAAAATCATTTTTAGCAATGAAAATTTTTCCGCTTTCAACGATGTTTTTGTGTTGATGATAATGGTTGGTGTGTGTTTACATATTTTCATGCTTATAGCTTAAAGAATTATGCACAACCACATCGTATGGCAACATATTTCGGAAGCGAAATTCAATTATGTTTACGTATATTGTACATTGTACAGTCAAATCAAGGGCAACATAACTACAAGAGGCAGCGAAAATTTGCGTGATTTCCGAAATTGAAAAAAGAGAAACGAAATTTAGAGGAAAATCTTTTATTACGCAAACATGAGGGAAAATGTTTTGAAAACATTCCACTAAGTCTCCCTCGTTCTTTTCAGAAGTTTTGTGAATGAATGTCGAAGTAATAAAACTCTGAATTTTATTCCTTTTAAATCTTTTTGACTTCTTCAACAATTTTCTTTACAAAGCTGTGGTTAAAGTTGGGTTAACGATAAAGCGTTTCAATTCAACGGAAGAAATAATTGCAATAATAGAATTTTCAAAAAACTTCCTTATAACTTCCGAAATTCAATTTCAGATATTTTTTCACGCTTGTTAAGGTGTTTATTAAAAATGCATGATAATTTCAGCCTCTTTTCGAAGTTGTATAACATGAAACTGGCATTGATGTTGAATCTTTTAAAAAGGAAAAGTTTTCTGATTGAATCAACACGAAGGAAAATCTTTTCTGAACTTTATTGATTTTCATTTCTTTATAATTTTCTTCTTTTTTTTCATCAAACTCCTAGAAAACAAACTTAAAGTACAAGAAACATTCTTAATAGAAAACAACTGTCAAGCTAAAGCGTGAAACGTCTCTAAACATCTCACAAAAGCGATTCATCCTGCCGTCTTAAAAAAAGTACTTAAACTCCCACAAAATTATGGCCACAAAATTATTCGGTTGTTTCTCCTTCATTGTTGATGTGGAAGAGACAACGAAAGCTGTTGTTCATAACAAAGCCTTAGAATCGGTTGTTGAATTCTTTAAGACCTTTCGTCGTTGCTTTATTTTAAGACGAATGAAAAAGGATAAACGTCAGATGGTGAAACAAGTAACGAGATGGGAAAACGGAAAACTGAATGGCAATAATTTGGCAACTTTGTTGTGATGACTTATAACACATGTTTTGAATTGTTTTCTGTATTATTTTTTCTTTTCCTTTTCAACACTTTTTGATGCGTAACAAGGCATTTTAACACAATGGAGAAGATTTTTATTAGTAGAAGAGAAAACCTTAATTCATCTTGAGGATTGTGGGGGAGTAACAACATAATCAAATTATGATTTTTCCTTTTTTTTCTTTGGTATTCCCATCCCTCTCATGTCTCAAGCTTTCTTTCTTTTTTCTTCACTTCCGAACCCAACATTTTACTTTATTTTACCTTGTTTCATGAGAAGAAAATATTTTTATTCATAAAGTCAAGGTAAATTACATACTTGAGTGAACAACATCTCATGAATAGGTTTTATTATGCTCTCTTATTTTATTTTCTCCTTTTCTTGCTTTTCTATGCTGAGTTATCTTAATGTTGTATAAATATTTGTGTACGTTCACATTTGGTTCTAACAAGCGATGAAGAGAAAAAGAAAACATCAACAAAATGAAAAGAATGATTCTTCCCTCTTATGTCATCATCCCCTCATTCGCTCAACCAATGTTGAATTACTGATTACAGCTTCTTAACTCTTCAATGGCATCATTAAATCCTTTTGTATTCGAATTTCCTTTTACTCTTTGACCATCACTTCTCATCTTCATCTCTTTCTTCTTCTTCTTCTCGTTACATTTCAGGTCGCTTGGATGCACTTCGAGCAATCAGCAATATTGACTGTACATAATCATGTAATTACTAGAAACCCACGAATATCTGTGACACATGATAAGCATGATAAATACAAGACGTGGTTCTTGCACATTGCTAATGTCCAGGAAGAAGATAAAGGAAGGTACATGTGTCAAATAAATACAGTGACAGCAAAAACACAATTCGGATACGTTCATGTTGTCGGTGAGATTATCATTTATGATTAATGCTGTTATTCGTTATTGAGTAATATTCAGATAGAATTTTCCCTTTCACAAAACTTAATTCTTCTTAAAAAGATAGAAAAGAATTTTATGAATGAAATTCAATTTTTTTTTGTATTCAAATCTTCATTTTTTTGTGTTTGCTTTTTCAATTACTTTCCTTTCAATCATTTCCTTATTTTCTTCCACGAAAATCTTTAAAAAACTGCAGCATTTCATTTAAAAAGTTTTAAATCGGTGAAAAAAAAAATTCTGCTGCAATATGATGAACGGATGACAATAACAAAATTAAATGAGATTTTAATTGAAATATACAAAATTATTTAATCTGTTTGAACTGAACTGGACGAAAAAGTTTTTTTCCTTTTCAATTTAAAGCAGAGTTGAATACTTTTTCCAGTTTCTCTTGATGGTTATTCTATTAGACGATGATTTTCCTTCGCTTTTCAATTCTTACACTTAATACTGCCAGTCACAAAGCTAACAGGAGCAAAAAAAGGAACTTCAAAGTCATTTCCTAGGAGAATTCTGGATTCTCTCAAAGAATAAATTATGTTTGCTAGACGAGTGTGACTCGCAGAATAAGGAAAGGAGAAACGCATGTAGAAAACTTCCTCACGACTTTCGTACGTTTCAAGAATTAATAATCGTTTAAAGAACTTTAATCAAAAACCTTTTTAAGCTCTCTCAACTTTTAACTTCTTCTAGATATCGAGAAGAGTGAAGAGTTCGATGCTTGTTAGTGAACTTTGTAACAATTTTGAATTGAATTTAATGAAAACGTTTAATCTTGGATTTATTTGTCTACTTTGATGTTCTATCAGTTTTGTTTCTTCCTAGTAGACTTCGAAAGTTATTAAAAATGGAGAAATTCCTTTTTAAATTCATTCAACTGGAATTTTTCATGAATTTTCGATTTATTTCTTCCTCGCAGTCCCACCGAATATTGATGACAGTTTGAGTTCAAGTGACGTTATTGTTCGTGAAGGCTCAAACATAACTTTGAAATGTCGAGCACACGGCTCGCCACAACCAACCATCAAATGGAAGCGTGACGACAATTCAAAAATAAACATCAATAAATCATTGAGCGGTATGCAAATTTTTGTGCCACTTTTAATTTCCTGTGAGTTTCAAACGAAATTAATTTTCTTTTTAAAGTCTTCGAATGGGATGCTGAAATGCTTGAAATCACAAGAATATCACGTTTGGATATGGGAGCATATTTATGCATTGCTCAAAACTCAGTTCCGCCAAGTGTCAGCAAAAGGATTAAAGTCAGCGTTGACTGTAAGTATTTATTTGTCTTAAACATTTTGACGCTGAAATTTTAAGTCAAAAAGTATTTCATCAAAAAATGATGGCAGGAAATTAAAGTGAAATTTAATACAATTTTTGAAATTTGATACAATTCAAATTTGTAGTAAATTTAACTAATGAATTGTTGTTGAATCTCATTCAGCATAAATATCTATGCACATGTTACAGTGATATGAGTTGCCTTTAAGCATATAAATGATAACATATTCCATTCAATTAGATATGCAAACATTAAATCCACATCATGCTTCAACCATTATCAAACTTCTAGTTTAGAGAATGAAGCCTTTTTCCTACAGCAAATTTAAATTCTATCAACCTTGAATCGAAAGCTTTAATTGACATTTGGAGTGGTCATAACGAAAATCAATAAGAAACAACTTTCATTTGGGGAGATTTCATTGACAATCGACCATAATATCAACACATGGCCAAAGAATGGAAATCCCGACAGAAAGGAAGAAAAAAATTGGCAGAAGTGGTAACAGATGAGGGTGAAAAGTAATTATTGGAATCTCGATCCAATGTTCATGCTCAATTTGTGGTTGTCTGAATCTTTATTTGTAGCCAAGAAGATTTTCTCGCCTCAGTTTGTTTGAATAAAAATAAACAAAAGACCCATAAGATTAAGGACAAATTTTAACTCCCACACTTAGCCTTAAGGCTTGTAAATACTGTAAACAATCTCCATCGTTATACAGCTAAAAGTTTTACGAGATATTTTATTCCAAATTAAATTCCAATTTCAACAACACCCACAAAACAAACAAGAAACTGTTGCGATGTATCATGTTCGTGCTGTCACAAATTGACGCGTATTTTATGCTTCCGTCGATACTTAAAAAGAATTTTTCCGCCAACAAAGTGTAAATATTTAATTAATAATTTTTCATTCATCCAATTGTTTAACAATAACAATTTCCTTCCTTTTTTTCTCAAAATATTTGAAGTGCTATTAATAAAACAACACCGGGTGGAATGCTCGGAAGCTAAAAATGAACACAAATCTGTATCTCTTAAAACAATATTTTTTCTTTATTCGAAAGGCCATGTCAAGTTAAGTATCAACATTATGCGGGAGAAGACGGGAAGAGGGAAATATTATTCAATATATTAAAACAATATGGAACACTTGTTTTGCATATTATTAGATAGATGGTGATGTCGAGAGGGAGACGAAGAAGAAGAAATGAAAATTCTTTTTCTTCCTCTGTGTACTTCTTGTGTCTTAAAGCGATATTATGGCGAATGTTTGAACATGGATTTTCTTTTAAATCCTAAGATGTTTGGTTCTTTTTCTTACTTCGGTTGAAAGAGAAGGAAAAAAGTTAAGAAAAAATAAATATTTACATTGGAAAATCTGGTGAAGTTTCTCATCTTTCTTGGCGATGAAAATCGTTCTTCTTGACTCTTGTGTGAAGAGAAGTCATAAATGTTTAAACTTCTTTTTGCTTTTGGGATCTGATGTCAGTTTGTGTAACATTTCATTTCATTATTTCATAAATAAATTCTAAAATGAAACATTTAAATGACGGAATTTTAGAAATTTCCCTGCCGCAACATCCGCAAGAATCCGCGAGAAAGATAGAAAATTAATAAATAAAGGGGATCAAAAGTCTTAATACTTCAATTATTTATATTTTCGTTTTATCCTCCTTCCTTTCATTCTCATACAATACATAAATCGAGAATAAATAATGAAAATGAGAAACATTTTCCAATTCACGAACACGAAAAGCAAACTTTTCATCACAAGGATTTGGCTTTAGGGCGAAATTAAATTTAATTTTTATTTGATTTTATTTAATTTGCCATGCTTAATTGGAAGACAAAAACGTTTTGAATATAAATTGTTGATGGAAATCGATAACGAAGAAGAACAGAATAGATTGCAATGCAAGGAATGTCTTGGATTTATGTCAATGACGATAAATTTGATAAGATCGGAATGTTCAAATATTTACTGAAAATAAAAGTAGGAAAAAGTATAAGATTTGAATAAGAACAAACAAATGCAAAAGTTGAGAAATTTTCAAGCATTTTCTTGCTAATTCAATGAGATAAGTTGAAGTGAGTTGTTATTCAATTAACATCAGTTTCAATAATGTTGAATTTATGTATTCTGGCTGTAAAGTAAAGTAAGAAGTGCTAAGCAACTCTTAACAAGTCGATTGAAACCCAAAGAAGGTTTTCTTGTTTCCTTCATTCAACCCTCTCTTTCGAATCTTTTGTTTTTCATTTACTTTTAACATTTTTTATCCAAAAGTACTTTAGATATGTGTGAATGATACAAGAAACGTGTACGAAATCGCATCGAATATTTTCCATTTCATTTTATTTCTACAATTCTTTTTCTCCCAACGTTTCTTCGTTTTCAAACACATAAATATTTTGCCACTTTCTGGCTTGAGGGTACAATTCACGGTGTTACAGATGATGATAGCGGGAATGGAAAATTCACAAGTGGAATATAAAAATTATTTGTCTTACGCACATTTCCTTTCATCTTCTCCCAATGTTATATTATGAGGGCGTATAAGTAAAAGGGCAAGGGCATGCTCATAATAAAGTGATTTTTCCTTCTTTTTTCTTCCTACCCCAAGCACATAGCGATATGTGAGATGTTTGGGATGTTACACGCACAAGAAAACTACAGAAAAGATAATAAATGGCAAAATGAAAATCTACTCTATGAATACCAAATGAGAATGTGCGCTTCATAACAGCAGAACATTGAGTTTGATATTATATGCTTTCATGTGATGATCTGATTAAGAATATGTTTCTTGATTAGGCTTGTATCATCAGAATAAAATCATCAAAGTGTTAATTATGAATTCTGAGGCAGACGATATTGATCTAAGAACTTTCATACGTGCAGAAATGTATTTATTATTAAGGATGTCGAAAATGTTTTTCAAACAACAATTTTCCTTATTTTCATATTTACTTAAATAAACTTAAATATCTTCGCATCATCAACCTACTTAAAAATTTCCTAACATTCATCATTATTTTACAAACTCATTAACAAAATTGTTTTAAATTCACTTTTCTTCCCTGATAATGTCACACGATTTTCATACAGGAGTTAAGTGGTTGAAGTAGAAAAACCAATGAGACAAGTGAAGTGTGAAAATTTCCTTTTCACACAAGGGATTAATTTTCTTTTAATTATGATGAAACATGATACAAAAAAGTAGCAGAAGAGTGAATGGATGTATCAAAGATCGATAATTAAAAGGAAAAGCAACAGATGAGTTACGACAAGGGTGAAAAGTTTTTCCATCGACTTCTGCTTGTCTTGTTAATTGTTCAAAATTGATGATGGGTTTGTCAACCCGTCTCTCCGTCCTCACAAATGTCATAGTTATTGAGGTGAATTTAAATATGCATAATGCGACATTTCAACTTGGCCATTCAACCTTGTTTTATCCCCGCTTAAAAACCCGTTATTATGATTATGATTGCTTAAAACTTCAGTTAATTACAAAGTCAATGGGAGAGGCAATAACAAAGAGAAGTAACTGAATTTTCGGTGAAAAAAAATCTCACTTTCTGAAAAGATTCTTCTAGCCGAGGAAATCCCAGTTCATGAATAATAAAATATTATTCATAAAGCATTCAACAATAAAAAGGAATGTAGCTTTAGATTTTCCTATTAATATTTCCACGAACTCGCTTTTCTACTCTTTCTTCGTTTTCATATCTTTTGCTCAATTCATGGTACTTCTTTTTGTATGTTTCATTTGAATTTACTCAACGGAGCTTGTCTCTGGTGAGTTGTATCATTTCATTGCCATTATATTCATCATATTTTTTAACCATAAATTTAAGCATCTTCCCAGTTTATAAATAAATACTTGGTTGAGCAAAAACAATTGTTTAATTTCTTATTTATTACAATTTGAGTAGAAAAAGCAAATCTTTTAATGTTTCAATTTCAAATGCAAGTACTACGTTTACTGACGATACGTACGTTGCCGTTGGTTGGTGTAAAAATGTTAAAAGCAGTTGCTTGTCATTCAGTACTTCCGGTAAAACAAAATCTTTTTACCGCTTTCCTGAACATATTTTCCGTGGTTTTTCCGCGGATGAACAAAGTTATTTAATTATTTTAAGAGAGGGAGAGACCCGATTTGACACTGTAGAGATTTATGCGTGTTCATTGCGCCATCAACAAGAGATGAAAAACTTTTTAAATTTTTGATTAATTCCTGAATATTTAAAATTAATGTAAAATTTGTTCTTTTCTTGACTCTAGTTCCGCCAATGCTTTGGGTGAGTATCTTGGTTAATGTTTGCATAATTTCCGTTCTTTTATAGAGAAGCTGCTTCCTAATTTAAATATGTTTTTTAAACGTTCACAGATTCCACATCAGCTTGTTGGTGTACCTCTTGGCTTCAACATTACTCTCGAATGTTTCACTGAAGGTGAGTTGATTTAAGGGTTGATCGAGATTATCTTTATGTTAATTGCTTTATAACTCAGCACATCCTACAAGTTTAAATTATTGGACGAGAGAAGACGGTCACATGATTCATGATAACAGGAAATACAGGCGAGTATTTTAAATAAGTAGATTAATCTAAATATGTACGAATAATTTAAATTATAATCAATAAAAGCAAAAAAAAGTATCAGACATCTGCCATTGAAAGTCACAATGTCAATGATTCAAATTTCACAACATGACGCTGTCAACATATTAAATTATAAAATTTCTCGCTCATAAAAGCAGACTTCGTTTCATGGAGAAACGATTTGTATAAGAGTCGCATTATTATGAAATGTTGCAGATATTTTCTTACTCCTCTCACTTTCCTTTTCTTCATGGTGATGAGGTCGAGAGTTGGGAGCAAATCTAATAACAGCAATATTGTTTTCCTTCCTGCATTTTCATCTCACTCTTTGTTGCTTAAATTCATTCAACATCAGAATACATAATCGTAATTTTTTATGTAATAACTTTATTATAGAACCGAGCAAAGCGTTGGTACACCATCGTACAAGACACACATGCGACTAACTATTTATAATGTACAACATTCAGATTACGGAACGGTGAAATGTGTCGGTATGTTTGTGCAGAGATAATTAAAGTTTTTCATCTGTCTTTATAATGTTATCCTTATCTTTCTTCTTCTCATTCATTTCAGCAAAAAATCCTCGAGGTGAAACAGATGGAACGATACGACTTTACAGTAAGTCAAATATTAAGAAAGATAAAAAAACAAAACTTTCACATTCGACTTTATAAAGATTTTAATTTGAAGACGTAAAGAGTTATAAAGTAATTTTCCAAATTACTTTCAATGTCTGCTCTATAAGAATTGTTTGTGCAAATGTCGTATGCATGAAAAACAATCAAGATGCTTTCAATGCTGAAATGAATTTGGTAAACAAAGCCATTTGACATTTATTGCATCATTGAAATCGGCAATTCATCTTGTTGTCTCAACACACGATTGAGCATAATAAAAGGCTTCATAGTGTATAATTTATAAATCACACTACAAGAACAATTGCAGAACATAAATATTGTTTCTCTCTTTCTCTTCATCTCTCCATCTCTTCTCAATGTTTTGAGGCTTTTCTGTTTTCACACAAATTGTATGTTCAACATGTTTTTGGTTTATGTTTTGTTCTTTTATCCCTTTTTTGGCTATTTTATTCTCCCCCTAAACTTTCATCCCAATTCACATGATGATGGTGTGTTTGTATGTTTACCGGATTTCAATCGATTTGCTTCACTTTATGAATTCTTGTTGGATTATCGTTGAATGTTTAGGGATTTCAATTTATTTTCTAATAAACTTGAACAGTTTTGAATTTCTTTTGTTGTCTATTTTAAATAAGTTAATAATTGCTCATGTCATCTTATCTTAATTAATTTCTATTTTTCAAATTATATTTTAACAATAAATTACTGTCATAACATCTGAGTTAGAAAAAAGGGTTGATAAAAGAACTTTAGAATTCTTATTATTTATAGCTTTATGTTGTGATTGTGGAAAGAAAATTTATTTTCAAAACAAAAATGAGAATTCTTTTTCTGTTATTAAGCAATACGGTCTTTGGTTGACAATAACTGCTATAAAATATAGATTGAAGCAATAGAGGGTGCTTTATGATTCGAAGGAACTTTGGAAAAACTCATAAATCATTTTTGATAAAAAATTTCCTTCGTTTTTATTCTCGGCCCACAATTAGAGAATGAAAAGTCGTCGTAAACGATTTTCTTCCCATTCTTTTCAAACTTCTCTCATTCTTAATGAGCATTTGTGAAAGCAGCAGTTAAAAGTTATTATCATCTTTATTAGCAGCGGAACAAAAAATGATTGTCGTGAAGCTTTTCGCCTTACGCCAAATGAAAATGAAAATCTTGATACTTTTATTCTTAATGGTTTCTTCCACCTTTCAATTGTTATCACAACAAAAAAGGGCAAGTAAAAGAAGTGAAAAGTGTAAAGTCATTAAAAGAAAAATTATGGACGGAGGCAGAAGATTGATGTCGGCTCTAGTAGCTTTGGGCATCAGGATAATGCCATCTTTTGTTGTCAGAAAAATGATGCATGAAATATAAGTGCATTTTAATGTTTTCCTATCTTTCCCATTGAAATTTCTCTACCATCTTTTAATATCAAATTAAATATCAACAAAAACCATAGAAAAATATTTTTATTAGAGAAAATTAAGTTTTACCGTCATTTTACAACTCAAAAAGATTTTCATCTTAATCGCTAATTAAAATGATTCATAATATTATCATTCAACTTCAGCGATTATAACAACACTCAAATAAATTATTCAATTTAAATTCACTTTGTTATTCTCATTTCCCACAACACAAGTGCGGAGACAGGAATTACTTACGTAATGATATTAAACTTTCAACAATCTTTAAGCTCTTAATGCACATATACAATGTTGCTGTTCGCAATCATTATTTTCCTTTTCTCATTGTTCAACAATCTTGTTGACTCTCCCACCCCCACCACCACTCAACGCAACATAAACTTGAAAAGTTATTTCAAACACTTCTTCCACATTCTCAAGCAGCCATTCATGTCAAATTATTGTCTTTCCGCTTATGACGTGAATAAATCTCAAAAACAGTACCAAAGCGATTTTCTTCAGCATTCGACAATTTCGGCTACGACGACGACGACAACATCATTCCATTACTAACTTCCGTATGCACACATAAATCATATTTGTTTAAACGACAAATTAGCAAAGTTTTGAATTGAAATCACTTTCCATTCTTCTGTGCCATTTTAAGCTTTCGAGAAATGATTGTGGTTGGGAAGTCAGATAGAGGAAGTGGAGAGGAAACACAAAGTGCCGTCAACAACAAAGCCATAGGAAATAACAATAAAATGCCATTTGAATTTAATTTATTCATAATTCATTGACAGGTGTTTATTCATGGTATTAAATAGCTGAGATAGAAATTGTGTGGGGGTGGAGTAAGAAGGAAAATCATCGAGTGAAAATTTATGACTCAATTTTCAAAATATTTTATTGCATTCACAAAAGTGGATTTGGGGTTAAAAGAACAATTCACAAGAAAATTTTCTTTCTCTTTCCACTCACACAATAAGCGAATTTCTTACCTCATAAATCTAGATTAAAGGTGAATGAAAAATGTTGGTGTTGATTTTTTCAAAATGCTTCTCGCTTGCGGTAAACGCCGTCAATAATTTATGGCACTTCCTTTAACGGTTCATCAATCGTTTCACAAATTGATCATCATTTCTTCCTCCCTTGTGCTTTCACTCAATCAACAACTTGAAAATTAGGTTTTATCTTACGTCATTTAACTCTGAAGTTAATAATAAACTCGATTAATCATTTTCATTCAACTTCTTATATCAAATCTTTCTGAATATTTGATTTTACTGTTTTATTTATGCGAGAATCGAATAAAGTTTGGAATAAATTTTACTAACATCGAAGCATTAATTCATGTTTTGTTAGGATTAAATTAGAACTAAGTAGAATGAAAAAAGTTTCCACTAAAAGTAAACAATTTTCTTTCTTATGAGTTATTACAATCTGCTTAAAGATCTTTCTTCTTATTACCCCCAAGAAAACAAGAAAAAAATCGATGAGGGCTGCACAACAGGAATGAATATGAAATGTAATCGTTGGTTGATAATAATCTTAGACATTTCTAGCAACTCTCATCCTTTTAACGTGTAATATTTTACGTGTCGGGTTCTAGAGGTGCACAAAGATTTGTACATGAATTATGTGTACAAAAGCAGAAGAAAGTAGAAGTTCTTAAGGAGAAATACGTGGCCTGTCACAGAATCTTTGGGTGTTGCAAACAAAATGCCGACATTCAAGAGAAAAAAGAAGTCGTAGCTTGAAGCAAAGATCGTGAAGTTTAAATAAACATATTTCCCAGTGCTTAAATAGCGAGAAAAAAGAAGAAAGATGAAATAAGATTTGAGAAATGATGGAAAAAGAAATCTCAAAGGACTCATCATTTTACTTTGGGATATGTAAATGATATCATCATTTTGATAAATCCAGTTTACATTTAAACTCAGCAATTCTAATCCTTTAATATCATGCAAATTGAATAAACTATACAAGAAGTCATAAAAGACGTCTCAAGTAGCACTCAAAGCTAAACTAGACTTCAATGTTAAAAGAATTTGCGTTTCTATTTATCAATAATTTAAAGATAAATTTAATAATACTTTAAAAAAAGCTTTAAGACTTTCATGACTAAGCAATAATTCCCCACAAAAAAACCTTTACACATCAACACATTGCGAATTCTCAAAACTTTAATCTATATTCTGTATCATTGAAATCTACAATCTCATAAATTTGAAATTATTCACATCTTATTCGTTCACCGATATCACGATACACTCAACGTCTAAGAATGAACAACTTTAAAATTCTCTCTGATTTCCTACATTCGATGCTTGATTTTTCTTCATTTCTTTCTTTTCGGATTTCTTATCCGCATCTTAAGAGAATAATCGATAATTCAAGCGTTGCCTTCGAGGTAGAACACTGAAAATTTTATAATTTCTTCTGTTAACATTCCCTTAAAAAACTTTATTTTCGGCAATGGCAATTCTCTCGCTTTTCCCTTCCATATCCGCCCGTCTCTCGGTCTGCTATTATATGTTTTTGTATCATCTTCTTCTTCTATTTTTTTTTGTTACTTTATGTTGAAATTTATAAGGTGAAATGCGTCTAGAATATAAATTACAAACACGAGATTTTTATTTTCTCTTCATCAGAAGTCATGCACATTCCGATATTCTCGTGATGTTTTTTTACAATTCCTTCTTCCTATATCAAAACAACATCAATGTTCAAAGCGAAATTGTCGCAAAATTATTCAATGTATTTAATTATTAAAGAATAAAGGAAGTTCTTTTAGTGAGTGATCAGTGTGTGAATGACATTAATGCAAATGATTCGAGTTCATCGCTTTGTCTTTCAATCCCTCGGAAAATTCAAAAAAAAAGAAAATTTATGTTCATTCTCATGTCTGATGTCATGATGATAGTCATCGATGTTATGCCATTAGAATATTTTCTGGATCGTTTCGTCCAATGCCTGCAGCGAAATATTTTTTATCATTTTTCGACATTCGAGTAGAGAAGCAAAAATAAAAGTCATACGGGATGATAGAAAAGACTTTTGCTGTCAATGGTGATTCCTAAAAGTGATAATGGCACTTTATTAGGTTTTCTACGCTTCACATCTACCCTTATTTACACCCTCACTAAACTAATTCTTGACATTAATTTAAGACATTAATTTTGTTTGGCTTTGAGACAGAAAAGCAGAAAAAAACAGAAAAGAAATTAGGAGAGAAAGCTTTTTACGTCTCCGATAATAGCCTTGATTTGACTGTTTTTATCATCCACATAAAGTGTAAATGTTCATCTCAATCTGTCTGAGACTTACAAATTCTTCATGTTCTTTCAATAACAACCAACATTTGTAGCGTCAACGCCCCCAACCGTTCTGCCTGCATCAACAATTGAGAATTTCAAAGACTGGTCGGATCTTAGAAATGAAATGAATGGAAACAACACAATCGTCAATGGACAAAATCATCAAAATTCAATTCACGGTTTTGACAAAAGTATGCTTATTATTTTAGATGATTCTTGAGGAATAAAAACGTGAAACGAATGATTGAAATGTTTGCTTTTTCCGCAGATGGAAAACATTTTTCAAATTTGAATGAAATTGATAGATTCGAGCAAAAGTCAGCATACGAGAAGAAATCAAATTGGCCGACAGAAGATAGCACAAATAGCGCTGGTAATTCTATTCTTTCAATTTTTAATCTGTCTTGACATTAATTATCGTTTTTAATTTTCTTTCTTTTCAGACAAATCTAAAGTGAAATCTTTCAATCAATTAGGAATGATGCTTTTATTAGGACTTGTTATTCAACAATGCAAATTCAATATGGACAACTTTTATCTGTTGAATTGAAAGTAAATTTAAGTATTCTTCTTTCTATTTTATTTAAATGGTGAACAACCACAACACACGAATCAAATGCAGGGTCGTAAAATGTTAAATTTAGCGCTAAATGAAACCTAATATTACAATATAATATGAACATAAAATATTCCATGATATTGCATACTTGCATGCAGGAAACATTTATTAAGCATAGTTACATACGTGAGAGTGAAATGTTATGTTAAATGCATTAAAAAAACTATTTTAAAAGTTGTATGCTGAATTATTAGCTGAATCATTTAAACTGTCCATTGCCTAGTTTATAAACTTATAAATCAACTTGAAACATATAAAACGTGGCTTACAGATCTCCATTTGCATTGAATGTTATCAATCATCATCATCATCATCAGATAAAAAGAAATGTTTGTAGACATTTAAAAGAAAAAATCAAATTAAAATCTAAGAGACTTTCTTAAAATCCTAAAATAAACATTTTCACTCTCGTCCATGATAAAAATTGATTCAATCATGTGATAAGTAATTTATTCAAGCACTCAACTCTACAAAATTTCGTTAAATTTTATTGTGAAAATTGAAAGAGTAAAGTTGCTTTTGCTACGTGCTCAACTGCATTTGAAAGGCTCATCATAAGCCCACTCACATCAATCTTGGACGTGAAGCTTTCCTCATAACTCTTGAGAAACTCAAGTTAGATAAAGTTTTCGTTCGAAGGCACTTAAATTCAAAGTTTGTTTCAATATTCAGTCAAATCATGAGAAAGAGAAAGTAAGCAAATGATGAAATTTACTGTGGCATAAGTTATTGAAGTCTTTAACATGCTTTAATTATGTGTTTGAATGTTTCACTCAATGAACTTCCTTTTGTGCAAGAGACACAAATTTACAATTTTCATTCATCAGATAAATGTATACAACATCTCAACAACTGTAATAAAGTTTATAAAGTCAAGAGAAGCAAACGCTTGGAAATATCTCAAAGTATTGACATAAGTAAACATTTCTAGATTGTTATTCATACTTACTCATAAATGCGTATGATTATTCATAGAAATCATGCTTAACAGAAAGCAAAAACATTGTAATTGAATTAATGATCATCATTAAATATTTTAATTATCTAATTGAACACTCACACACACACGAACGTATATTAATAATTATTATATGAATAGCTACACAACATTGAAATTGAATAAAATTTTAATTGCATCTAGAAATTTATCATATAACATTGAGCGAAAGATGAACCATAAAAGAATTTTAATGTTGGGATAATTTATGGTTTGAGTAATGTGTGAAATTTGAGCTTTACTTGAAACTTGAGCTTGAGACATTTTCAGTTGGCGAATTTTCCAATTGTCGACATTTTCAGGATTCATCGAACTTTTCTCATCATCGTTAATACACTTAATTTAAATTCCTTTTCATCAAGTTCATGTGAACGAAAGAATCGATTTTTGTTTTCCATTCAATTTCGGATATTTATCTTGGAACTTTAATCAAATCAAAGCGCGAAATGTGTTTGAAGTCACGCCTAGGAAGTAAATGTTTTTCGATTATTTCCCGACTTTGTTTCTTTTTCCCCGGCGTATCGATGATCGTGCTGATACATGTAATGCGCGTATTTTATATTCATTATCAATGGAATAAAAGAAGGAAAAGTATCTAAGAAAAGAAAACATTCAATGGTGAAAAACGAAGTGAAGAATCACGTAAATGCTTTTCTTCCATTCAAAGTCGGAGGTAAAAGTTTATTAGGTGTCGAAGAATTTTATTTCAGATTTTAGTTGACTTCATTTGAATATTTTTTCATCTTTCTTCTTTTATTCATTTCAAAACAGAACATTCTCAGTCACAGCATAAAAAGGAAAATCAAATTTCAGAAGGAATGTCATAAAAATTCTTTTATTCCTTCATGTTTCATGCCAAATGTATTATTCGCTATGACTTTGGTATAGCAAATCTTTCGATGTTAAGAGAATGAAATCGTGAGGGGAAAGATATCACTTAAACAAATATGCAATGAAAATTCTTTGCCAATTTTTGCCGAAACCGTTGACAGATTTATGTTGATAACAATAGTAATGTTGAACTCTCAGAACACGGATTTCCAAATTGATACTTAAATCGGAAAAGGTTTTCAAACCATCCGAATGATTGAAGAATTTTCCCACAATATCTCAAATCCACTCTCAGACTTATTAAGCTTCACTGCGTAATTCCATTTTGTCCTGGAAATTTCGTATTTCAGTTTGTCATTTGACTTACGATGTTCTTCTTTTTCCATTTCAATTTTTTTTTTTTTTTCATAGAACACAAACAACAATATTTCTGCCATTGAAACATCCGAATACTATCGCTTTAAACCGGCTGGCTAAATTGCCCATGAAATTCGCTTTTATCGTCGAGCAATTCAAACATTTTCACGTAGTTTAAATAAATAATTACGTTTTGCTCTACGGTCGTTGCTCTCTCGTCATCGTTTGTGATTTTATTCAAATGCCAAAACATCCTCGAGGACAAATCGTATGGAATAGAAGAGAAAGTTGGTGTCATAAATTCACAAAAAGTGAATCGAAGTGAGTGAACATGAATTGTTTATCGACTTAACTGGAAACCAATTTTCAATGAACATATTTTGCCTCTGTTAGATTCTTTTTTGTCTTCATTCCAAAAAACTGCCTCGTTAACAACTGCAACATGTAAATAAATCAATCACAGATTTTCCAAACATGCTATGATCACAAATTGACTGATGGTTGTGGAAAAAGAATGAAAAATCGTCTGCCATTGTAATTTTATTTCAATTAAAATATGTTCTCGAAACTCTTCGATTGTTATGATATTCAAATATGACTCTTGAATGTTGTTTCGCAATTTCCTTACTATGTACATATGTTTGTCATTCAGAAGCATAAAGCATAAAAGAACGATGGAAGGGGAAGAAAAGAAGCATTCTTTGTGGAGTCGACTGGTAAAGGCGAAATTTGCATTGTAATAGACTCAACATTTTGGTTTACGGAATTAAAATTTAATCTCTCCGGTGCTTCATGCTATGCTGAGATTAAAATTATTTTCATTTATTACTTCCGCATTCTAAACACGATCTCTCTGGATGATGGAAAATGCGAAGATGATTTTTGTTCAGTGAACGGTTGCAAGTTGAAAATATGGAAACGTTTGTTGTTGAACTGACGGATAAATCCCAATCAGAAGCTTAAAATCAATACTCGAGATGAGTTGTTGAATGACTAGATGAGTATTTTCCGAGATTTCCTTTCATCGTCAACTTGAACATGCATAAGGAACAAGTAAAGTCAATTTGAATTTAACCGCTTTCATTATCTACAGTTCAATCCTATGACAAGGTGAGTAAAGCCTTTCAGACACATACGTAATAAGCATTTAGCTTAAATATCTTGCAAATTTCTACCATTAACATTTTCCATCAACCGATCATGATGAATTTTATTTTATTTTTTAAATTACAACTTGCCTGATCGAAAGTGTGAAAATTTTCCAATCAATTCTTCATTTCGTCACACATAACAGCACAGCATGAAAAATCCTTTCCACGCTTTGATTGAAATCAGACATTCATTTTCCATGCCATTTATTTACGTTTCTCGTAAGCGCTTGTTTTAAAATCGTCGTTTGAGAGAACGATTGAACATTTCTGCTTTTTCTCGCATTTTCCTTTGCCGTCATTAAATATTCAAATTGATAGATGTGACTAATTTTACATCAGCAATTTGTAAAACATCAACGACGATAATGTTTTCTTCCTTTCTACTCTTTTCGTCTTAGTATCGAATGAAAATTTTATTAAATTGTCTCGATGGGAATTTCAATTATGGATTTGAACATAAGTTGAGTCATACAAAGATTTCAATTTTGACATTTACTTTTACTTTAAATTCCATCTGAAATCAATATTAAGAAGGAAGAAATCAATTCAAAGATGAAACATTTTCCTTCTATCGTCTACATGAGCAAACTAAAATAACAAACAACATTAACCATGCCCTAAAATACTCTTCCACTTAATGTCAACTTAGTTTGTGGGATTAATCTTAACACTATGACGATGCCAAAAAGGCTTTTGAACGTCAGGAAAGTTTGTTGTTTTCGTCTATCCTTACTTGCGCTCCTAATGCTACACTTAATCTTATTTTCTTTGAAAATCCAATAGTGAGAGATGAAAATGTATGAAAAAGAATTTTTTCCCCTTTGAAAGATGGCAGTAAAGAAGGAAAAATGTTCGAAGATACTGAAATTAAGGATTCAGTACCTCGTGAATGCATCACAGTTCATGTTTAAATTTTTAAAATATCAAAAAAGTTTTTGGCAAATCCACAAGATTGTCATGAAATGTACACGAATTAAAATGATAAAGTTGTGGTGTGCATGAATATCAAAAATAAAATCTTTCGATGTTCTCATCGATAAATAAAAATTCGATTGAAATTTTCTTTGCTCTCCCTTTCGATTTCACTTCGTTTGGAATCAAAATAAATGAAACGATGGAACGTGAAAAATTTTCTCCCATCATTACTAATGAAATATAAAAATATCAAAACTACTTACGTGACTCAATTATTAACAACTTTTTTTAAACAGCAAGGAATTTTTGATTACCTTAAGAAATATTTCAGAGACATGTGTTTACCTATTTTTCAGATTAAAATTCATCTCTCGACTGCAATCATCGCAACTCCCACAACCAGAAGCATTCCGCAAGAAATTATTAAATATCAAACTGAAAGAATGTCATGCGAGAGACGTTTGATAATTTGCGGGCAGGGACAAGGAAACGTTGAAAGTCCTTCCTTTATTCTCAATTGTAATAAAAATAAATGCGACGACGAAAACTTTTAAAAAGACATAAAAGTTATTACTTTCCAGATTTTCCTTTTTTTCGTGTCTCCCTCTCAACCACGAGTTAAATTTATATTTCTGTTTTGATTGCCATTCCAATTTATTTTTCAATGGCGCAACATCGGAACTGAAATGTTGAAGAAATAAAAGGAAAGAAATTTTATGTTTTGGATTCCGTCCAATGAAATATTAAAAAAGATTACAAAGAAATTTTCATTAGTTCGTGAAATATTTTTGAGTTGTTTAATTGGATTTATTGAAATTGAAATGGAACAAGACGATCCAATTTGTATGATATAAAAGTTTATCTTAAAAAGATTTAAAAGCTTTAAAAGGATAATTTTTCATTCATGAAATCGACTGCATGCAACAATATGAATCAACTTCTCTCCCCCTTCAGACAACATTCACTCCATTTATGATAATTTGTATTACACAAAAGCTAATTCAAATCATAATCAAACTGGACATGTTTACGACAAATGGACAATATTATTGAAACAAATATTGGGGAAGGAAAAAAAGGGATCGACATGAGAATCCCTCACGAATTTCAAGCACTGATGCTGGAGACATGAGGGGATAATAGATTTTTTTATGGTCGTGCAATAAAAGTAATGTGGTTCAACCGTAAAAACATGCGGGCGGACGGGCGGTCGGATGAATAGAACAGTAGAAGACATGCCACTTGTTATTGTTAGATAAGAACAAAAGGAAAACAGTTCTGGCGTCAGTTTTATGTTTTCGTATTTGGCTTCTCGATTTCTTTTTTTACGTCGACAATTCTGCAGATGTTTTGATATTTTGGGGATAATTATCTCGATCGCAACATTGCCAGATTAAACACATCATTGGCAATCAAAGCTATAAGAAATTAATGACTAATTTATGACATTTCAATAATTGGATGATGTCAATAAATTCAAAGTTGTTAATTTCATTTGAATCGTTTACTCCATTTACACGATTCGCATTTCGTCCACGTTGTGCGCTTTTATTTCACATTTAAATCGATGTTAATGTAATAACTCTCAGTAACAAAATTGTCCAGTCACTGTGAAAGATAAATTTAAATTGGAAAACTCATATCAATGATTTCAATCTCCAATGTTGGGAGTTCACTTTTTTTTTGTTATTGTGCGTGGGTGGAGGACATCTGAAAATAAAAAAACTTTTACTTTCTACTTTTTCGTCCTATTTTTTTTGTGTGCAAAAAAATGTAATTTTCTTTTTCAGAAATATTTTTAAAGTTTGGTTTTTTCTTTCATTGTAATGTGGAAAAATGTTCGGTTCGAGCGATCAACTTTAAATGCTAAACATGGAGAGCAGTTGAAAAAGTCGGCGAGAAATTTTAAATTCATTCAGCATTTTCTCATTCATTTCATTGTTACCAATCATTTATCATAATAACTTCACTATAGTTGGGAAGAGTTCCTCAATGACGTCGCATGAACTGAAAGTAATCTTCGAGTTTTAACTTACCCAAGTTTTTTCCCAACAATATCCGTCGAACGATAAAATTTAATAATAAATGCACACCGATGTGCAGTATGTTACTTACTCGACTTTTACACTCGTATTTTGGTGTTTTCAGGCATGTTGTTGAGTCCACAAACAGTTTGCTCCATAAAGCATGATTTCAAAATATATCCAACGCTCGACAACAAACGCAGACAAAAAATGTCGAGTCGTGCATATGAAAAATTAGCATTCAAAAATCATTTTTCTGTGCCTTTTTTTTCTGTGGAGAACTTTTCGAAAGCGAAAGACTTTTGCACAAATATTAAAGTACATTAGTTGACAATTAAAACATGACATGATTCAATTTTTATGTTGACATGTTGATGGTCGTCAGTTTAAAGTTCATCGAAATTTTATCAACAATTGTTTCAAGCATAAATCTTCATTGAACATTTTTTAAATAAAATATTCAACGAGTCATGTTGAAGAAGTGACAATACAAAAAGCACAACATTCACATGAACAAAGCCTCAAGATGAACAAATTCGGAAAGACATCAAAACACTTATGATAAATGCATGAAGCGAAAATTCCAATCGACACATTTCATCAATTTATTTTCCTTAATGGTGCATTATTCAAAAACTTGTTATGAATGGCATGAAAAAAGTGCTGAAACTTAAGAGCGTTTTTGCGTCAGACAAATTGATGTCGAACGAAGCTCTTTCATTTCTCATAAGTCGATGTACAAAAAGCTTATAGAGTGGAATTATGCTTGAAAGATGGTTAAAGATAAAATGAAAAGCTGTTTTTATCAAGAACCAATGATGAAGGTTGACCCTCTTCAAAGGTAAATTGTGTGACAAACGCAAAGTTTATTTGTATATTTAAATGAATAATTAAACATGTTGATTTGTCAACCTACTTGTTATCATCCTTTATCAGTTTCTATGTTAATGATAACACTGACAAATATGAAAAGCGTGAAAAAAGCACGAAGTGAATCCCATTTTCATTCATTCCACCCACAACAAACGTAATGAAAGTTGGCGTGTGAAAAAATATTTAAAATTCCATTGGCATCGGATTTATTGCTGTGTAAATAGCAGCGCTTCATACTCAACATGTGAAAAAGTCATAATTTCTTCTTGAACACCAACAGCTTTCACTCAGCAGGAAACATAAAATAAAATTGTTTGCGGGGGTGGGAAAATGCCGAGAAAATCCTTCTCCCTTAAAACATATTTTGTTTTCTTTGTTTCGTCACCTCTCGGCACTTTTTCTGGTTTATGCGATGACAGTGTATGGGGTTGTAATATTTTAATCCCCCTAACATGTTAAGGGGTGAAATTGTCAGTGAAGTGAAAGGCACAGCTCAGCTAAAAAAACACAAAAAACGATGCGATATGTTCATTCTACTAACCCTATTAAACTTCTTTTTCTCCTTCTTTTTATTGGCTTATTCATCATGAAAGCATTGTCTAAAGGTTTAGTAACTGCAACGCAACATAAGCGTGTATGTTAATATAAAAAGGTTTCCTATTCATACATAGAAATGTAACTCGGAGCACCATCAACAGGTTTCTATGTCGAAAATCTTCCAACCCCAGAAACCTTTACCATGAAATTAAAGTTCTGTGGGCTTTCACAATTAATTTACTGTTACGAGTTCATGTTTCACTGTTGTTCGTGTTGTCATTTCAACTTCTTTTCACTTGAATTTGAATATTTTTTTCCTTCTCTACTCTTTCACTTCCACCACCCACAACGTCATGTTTTGCGGTATGCCAGAACCATGATGACACGGTAGGTTATTGTTGTTTGGTACAAGTCACTGAACATAATGAAAAACCCGACGACAACCAGCCAACCCTATGTTCAGTTTCACCCGTCATGCAAATAACGTGTCATTTTTACGAAATGTGTATGTACAAATATTATGATGTTTATTGAGAGGAAACTTGTAAAAAGTAAACGAAATTCCTGCACATATTTACATCTCTTTGCTTGCTTATGCCTCGTGTGCAGTATTTTTCACTCACCCTTAACATCTTTTATTTCTATATTATCGAACGTGACGTGAACAAATGCTGAGCTAACTTTGAAAGAACTTTTCTCTTCTTTTTTTTGGAAAAGTCATTGGGAGGTTTCTCATATTGTATTCAACACCTACAACAAATTCTTTTAACAATACAAAGGAAGAAACATGTCGGCTTTTAAGTATTAACACAGCAAATTTTCCATCCTTTCGTTGAGTTCCATTCTTGTTTCTTTGAAGGTATTTTCATATATGAAAACGCTTTGAAAATATTTTTTACGTTTTACCCACGACTTGACATGCGACGATCATCTGAGTTTCCTGTTTTCACTAATTTCCTTCACGTCGATGCTCGAAAGTCTCATTCTACTGTTTTCATCTTGAGACAGTTGTCAGTTTGTCACACTTTAATAAAAACGGAAAACCTTACTCACGCATTTTATTATTTTCTTCATGCTGTTCTCTTGTTTGTACATGCTTATGTTGAAAATTATCATACGCAACATTCCTAAAGGATGAACGAGAAGTTTTAGAAGTTGGTTCGGCATCTGTTGACGGGTAGAAAATTAGAAGAAACGAATACAATGCAAAGAGGCTTCACTGTGTGTTTTGTAGAAAAAAATGAAATTCCTTAACGCTGAATTCTATTGTGTTGATACCAAAAGAAATATTTTTGCATATTGAATAAATTGAAAGTACACAACTGAATCGTCTTATAAAGCCCTTTTTATAGGAACCATCAAGAAAAATGAAAAATGTTTTATCACGATAGAGAATATAAAAAAAAAGGGAAAAGAAATTTTCATCAATTCTTTGACACGCAATAAACTTGGATTTTACACATGTTTTCTGACTTGTTTAATTTTCGATTGAATGTGGAAATGTGGAAATTGTCACTCTATAAATGAAAACTGTTATCAATCATGGAAACATATTTTCATGGAAGTGGTTTTAGAAATTATTGAATAGAATTTTCAGAAGGCGTTTTGATCGTGTCGAAAAGGCTCTTATGAAGATTGAATTGTTGATTTTTAGGTCGATAAATGAGTTTCAAACTTATTGAGTGATAAAATCTTTTGGGTTTTCATTGCCAATTTATATAAATTTGTATTAATTTAGTTCTTTAATCGTTCCTGATCTATCAAATTTTAGTTGGTGAAAGTCATCCTTAAAGTATTTATATCCATAACAAACAGCAAGACAAGTAAGAGTGAAAAAAGATAAACAAAAACTTTGTACATAAAAAAAAATATTTCAGATACTTCAGACTGATAAGAAAATTTCTCTTACAATCCCCATTGAAGTAAAATTACTTAAGAGAAGCTGATTGGAAAAGGTACAACTACAATAAGTTTAACGTTTTATCATTCTTTTTGATCAAGAAAATGCAAAAGATTATAAAAGTTTTGCAAAAAGAAACTTTTACTCAATTGAGCAACAATTGATGATATTTAACGTATTTTTTCAAACTTAAATATCCCGGACAGTTGATTTAAAAAAGTGTCCGTTCTCAACATCATTGAAACATTGTGGATTGAATTAGGGTAAATGGCTAGTGTGTTACAGTTTTCACTTAATTCAATTTTTATCCTGTTTTCATTTAAATAGTTGCACTGGGAATACGTCTGAATGACAGCTTCAAGTTTCAGCTTTCATTTTGGTTTTTTTACTTGGCTGGATTATCATTCTGGTAGTAATAAATAGCTTTGCATTATTACTACCTCTAAAAAATATAAGAAAGTGATAAGAGACAAACTGCCAAATGCAAAAACTTACTCGGTGCTTCATAAAATGCTAACATTCAAAGACGCAAAATGAATTTGTATGAAAAAAATTTCGTTTTGCGTCTTGTAACACACTAGCCAAGGCATCTTGTAACACACTAGCGAAGCGATGCAAAGGTTGTAACACAACTAGCAAAATTTAGGTTTCGGGAAAAATCTAAATTGATGATTAATTAAGCAACTCTTCTGAAACTTTTAAAAGCAGAAAGTTGCAATAATAATCAAAGAATCTGCTGTAAAAATTGCAGACTTTTAGGGCAAGCGGTAGTTGTGCTTTTTCCATTTGTGTCGAGAAGCTTTTTGTTAAGCGTAATTTTTGTAACACACTAGCCATTTACCTAGTTTTAAGAGCGACAAAGTTTCTGAATATTTCCTTCGCAATCAATCAAACTAGGTAACTTAACAAATGCAAACCGAATAAATCCGNAAATATTTCAGATACTTCAGACTGATAAGAAAAATTCTCTTACAATCCCCATTGAAGTAAAATTATTTAAGAGAAGCTGATTGGAAAAGGTACAACTACAATAAGTTTAACGTTTTATCATTCTTTTTGATCAAGAAAATGCAAAAGATTATAAAAGTTTTGCAAAAAGAAACTTTTACTCAATTGAGCAACAATTGATGATATTTAACGTATTTTTTCAAACTTAAATATCCCGGACAGTTGATTTAAAAAAGTGTCCGTTCTCAACATCATTGAAACATTGTGGATTGCTAAGATCTGAAAAACATTAAAACATTGATATTTTTAAAATATCTAATTTATACAATTTAAAGGAAGTCGTACACCAACTGAGCACCACAGATAGCTAATTTAGCTTTATTTTAACCAAACAAATGATTCTCTTAAGAGCGACAAAGTTTCTGAATATTTCCTTCGCAATCAATCAAACTAGGTAACTTAACAAATGCAAACCGAATAAATCCGAGAATCACATTTTAATTTGCATAGAAAGCTTTCAATACCTCAATTAGAAATGTTGCGTAATCCAGCTGGAGAGAGGAACAAGGAGGCAATTCTTGAAGTGTTAAAAAAATACATTATTGTAAATACAAACACAACATTATTGGAAATTTCATCAGGTACCGGATTACATTCATCATTCTTAGCGAAATATTTTCCCATGACAACTTTTCAACCTTCTGAATACGAAAAGGAAATGTTCAAAAGTATTGTTGAATATAAAAGACATTACGGAGTGGAAAATGTATTTGAACCAGTTTACGTAGATATCTCGAAAGATCTTGAGAATTGGGATGCGAAATTTAATGGAGATTATTTGAGAGATTGTCGGGAATCTTTTGATTACATGTTGAATATTAACATGATGCACATTAGTCCATTCGAATGTTCTATTGGTTTATTCTCGAATTCCTCGAAACTTTTGAAGAAAGATGGAATTCTCTTCACTTATGGACCTTACGCTGTTGACGGTGTTCTCACGCCTGAAAGCAACATTTCATTTGACCAAAGTTTAAAATCTCGAAATCCTTCTTGGGGCATTCGTGACATCGCAGAACTCAAGAAAATTGCAATCAAATTCTCCATCATGCTCATCGCTTCCTATGACCTCCCAGCTAATAACAAGCTATTAGTTTGGAAACGGAACTAAAATTAACATAATTTTAATACTTCACATCTACATTTTATTATAATGTAAAATTATGATTAATTTCCATTCAATATTTCTTTTCTGCTTTTTAAGAGAAAATTTTATAATCAAATCCGAATACTTCTTAATCTAATTAAGAAATTATAAGAAAAATTATCATAATTTTTGTTACTAAGTAATTTATTCAAATAAAAAAGAACAAAAGTTTTTAAAATAAACATTTCCATTGTTTTATTCTTTTTTTATGATGGATGAGGAGGGAATTAAAAATGAACAGAGGCTGAGATCAGAAGGAAATTTAAAGGATCTCAAACTAAATGATGGAAATCTTTTTGAGACAATTTCCAACCAACATCTGAAAGAATTAATAAAAATAAGCAAGGAAATGGTCTTATTTTTGATCATATTTTCAACCTCTGATTATGAGACTTGATTCAGCATTTTACACTGAAGAAGATTGAGGAACGGAGGAAATTTATTGAACTTAAGCACGTATCTAATTTAACGGTAGGAAAATCAATGCTTTTATCATCAGTCTCTCAACTTAATCTCCATAAAAATTATTATGAGCGTGAATTCTTAAGATGAAATGCCTTAAGATGCATCACTAGCGTCACCTTCACGCTTGGTATAGAATAAAATGTACGGCTTGCATTCCGCTACAATTTCTCGTGACACTTCCTTCACAGATGTATCGTTGAAGTGCATCCAAACTCCATTGTTGTAGGCATATGACGTGTAATGTCCATTACTGGTACCTGAGCCATGATGTACAATCACAGCTGCCAAATCATAAATGCTGCCGGAATTAGAACGTCTCGTTTCAGGTCCACTGTTTAAAACAAACTTTGACAAGTCCAAAGCTGTTATAGGAAAATGAATTCGTAAATCAATCTTTGTTCTGGAATGACATTTATTAATTAATTAACGTTATTATGTGATTTTAATTAAGTTCACCTGTAATATCCATTCCATCGAAATCTTTTAATATGCAAGCATAAAACATTCGGTAGTCGTCGAATCCAAAAGCGTTTTGTTGATCGCTGTTTCTTCTTGCAATTACTGCAATGGTAAAGCTCTGTTTCAGTCAATTCTTCGATTGATACAAAGCTTGAAAGACAGTCAGAAATGTCACATGATGGTTTCTTGTCGACGTCATCAGCTTCTTTGTTATAATATTTCTCGGGAATGTCAAGTGAGAGATCAAGAAACGGATCATGCTTCTTGCTTTCTTGTCCGCATACTAAACATCGAACTTCACTTAGTAATGTTCCCTCAAAAACATTCGTCACAAATGACGTTCCTTTCTTAACCGGTGATGGACAAATATAATTTTTCATTTTACTGTTAATAGGCGTGGGTGGTAAAGAGTTGGGAACATTTTGTAGCTCGGTGTGAAGACGATCAAGCATGTATCGTAGGAACTCGTGAGCATCATGTTGATGATATCCTTTAAATTGTGGAACAACTTTCCAGATTACCAAGAACAGACATTCAGGTGAAATTGAAGATTTATTGTTGTCAACTCCACTTTTAAGATCAATGAGAACCTGTAAATGTTTGTGATTTTTATTTAATTTAAGTCAGTATAGGTGCGAGAGAAAAAATGTAATTTAAACTTTGACCTTTCGCAATTCTTCAACAAGAAAAATTTCGTCTAAATTCTCTTTAATGCTGCGTGAATAATACGGTCTTGGCTTAGGTTGCTCGATTTTCGGCAGATTACTAAAATAATAAGTGAACTGTTGAATGTTGTGAAGGGATTGAAGCACACTGTTCATGAAGCAAGTGTTGCCCAGATTTTTTAATCCGACGCCTTTTTTCTTCCCGTTCGCTTGTTTCTTCGAGTTTTTTGCACCATCTGAGTCGTCGCTTGATTTTGTCCTTTTGCGCGGTCGCAGATTTATACCTGATTGCAGAGATTCCAAGCCTGAATCACATGAACTCGTGCTGACAGTTTCCTGATTTTCAGCTGCTGTCAGTGATTTCGTGGAAATTTCTTCAAGTGTAAGTGATGTTTCCGAGTCACTTGTGATGTCTTGAGATGTTAGTTCTTGTCTGAATTCACTCAAATCATCTTCGCTGTCGACAAAATCATCACACTCGTAACAGTAGCAGGCAGAACTCGTCAAACTCATCGATACATTATGTTTTGTCGCTGCCCAATGATTTTTTGCATGTTGATTAATGTATCGAGAACAGCAAATGTGACCGCACTTTAAGCATATCCAATTGTCCGTCTTGTCGCCACATTCTAATGGATTATTAAAAAATTATTATCACTCTAAATTTTAGCTGATGTCAGTGTTAATTATAATATTTTTTTTACTATCTGATCAGCCATTCTTGACACTTTGTAAATGACGTCAAATGTTTTTCTAAGAAAAATATTTCTTATCATTAACCTTATGACTAACTTTACTTTTGCACGTAGAAATGATAAAACTTGATTAAATTATTGGTATAGAAGCTTCCGGATTTTTTTCTTCATCTGACGTCATTTTTAAATTTATCCACTAAAAAGAATTTACCCAAACACTCGAAAATTTTTATTTCGTTTTTCTTGGATTTAAGATATTCTCGATTGATGCCTATATTTGTCTTAATGTGCACGCATTGCTTAACGTCCATATTTCTGTATGCTACACTAATTTAAGTTTATTTTTGAAAATTTTTTTTGTATTTTTAATTCAATCTCTGTGCTCGGGTTGAAAATCGATTTTTGTGAACGGACCAAGAGAAGTTTGAATATCAAACAGTCGTTAAATTTTTTGTTTTGAATAAGTAGAAAAATTCAATGATATTTGAAGGATTGTCAATTTTACTATAAATTAGTCGCGACATGAGATAATTAAGGATGAACTCTGAACAGAAACATCATTTAACAATACTCAACAGTCTTTATAATAAGAGACATTTGAGAATAAAGAAAAAATTCAACATTTTTAACAAATTTAAATTAGTGCGTAGATTATTATTAACGGTTAATTTGAATCCTTGTATTCCGTAACAAAACTTTGGTTTACAGTGTATTATTTTCAAAGGGAAGAAGAGTAATTGTCATCAAGACTTAGAAAATAAAATAAATCTTTAAATTTTATAAGTGCGTAGAAATAGTATGAAGTAATATATTTCAAGTGATTAGAACTGTTCAGAAGACAAATTCCAGTCCTAAATTGACTTTATTTTCGCAGAAATCAAAGACTTTTGTCCAGTGAAAAAAAATGGAATAAAAATTTCTTAATTCAAGTGCAAATAGCCCTAAGCTGGCAAAAATGGAACAAGATGTTTAGATGAACCGTCAAGTGTAAAATTCCATAATCATTTGGTGCTCATAAATTGAATTAAATTCTTAAAACTCGTCAGTGTTATTATTTTCTTTTTCGTTCGTTTTTCATCACAAGTTTTTAATTTCGAAACGAAATGGCCAACAAGTTCAATCAGGTAATTTAATCAAGCCCCTAAAAGTGAAGTATTTTCGTCATGAGCGCTAATTAAGTTATTACAAAACTTATGAAAACAGCTTTTTTTTAATTCCGCTCTTTCGTCATCATCATACGATAACTAAAACTGTTTAATTACTTCACGTTTGGACGTCGAAGAACTCTTTTTTTTTCTCCACTGCACTCGAGAATGTCTTTAACAACTTTTTTTCTATTTACTGTTATACCTTGCTGCGGAACGAGACATAACATTAGCTTACATATAAACTTTTTTTTTTGCATAAATTACAAAGTCAAGAGAGCCAAACGCAAGTAGTTGAATAGAAAAGAAAAATAATAATAGAAGAAAAGAAATATGTAAGAAAAATCTCATGAAGGTTGTTCGATTATTTTCTTTTCTTTTTTTAAACAATGGACTTTCGATAGATTTTCATGCTCTTCATACCTAATTTTTGATGATGTCGAAATATCTTTTATTGATGACGAAGAGAAAATACAACAACAAAAGTTGGTATTGGAGAAATTCCAATACTTTTCTGGCTTTTTTCTTTTCTCTTCTTTCTATTTTTCTATAAAATAATAACGATTTGAATGACGACGACAGGATGATGTTATTTTCATATCAGGATTTTTTACGATCTTTAAACTTGCGCTATTTGCATGACATTTTCAATGTGATTGAAACCTTGACCTACAATCATCATGACATTAAATAAATCGTTGCAGAAGGTCGATCCAGAGTTGATTTTTACAAAGCAGGAGAGAATTGGGAAAGGATCGTTTGGTGAAGTGTTTAAAGGTGTCGACAATCGTACTCAACAAGTAGTTGCCATAAAAATAATCGATTTAGAAGAGGCTGAAGATGAGATCGAAGATATCCAACAAGAGATTATGGTGTTGTCACAATGTGACTCGCCATTTGTCACGAAATACTTTGGATCGTACTTGAAAGGTACGAAGCTATGGATCATCATGGAATATCTCGGCGGTGGTTCTGCTCTTGACTTAATGAAAGCGGGATTGTTTGAAGAAATGCACATTGCAATCATTCTTCGTGAGGTTCTGAAAGGTCTCGACTATCTTCACTCAGAAAGGAAACTTCATCGAGATATCAAAGCTGCAAATGTCCTGTTAAGTGAAATGGGCGATGTGAAGCTCGCTGATTTCGGTGTCGCTGGTCAACTCACAAATACAACATCAAAACGAAACACATTTGTTGGTACGCCTTTCTGGATGGCACCCGAAGTGATAAAGCAGTCAATGTACGATTAAAAAGCCGACATTTGGTCACTTGGCATCACAGCTATCGAGTTAGCAAAAGGTGAACCGCCAAATTCTGAGCTTCATCCTATGCGTGTGCTTTTCCTCATTCCGAAAAATAATCCACCACAACTGACGGGAAGTTATTCGAAGCCATTTAAAGATTTTGTTGAAGCGTGCCTAAATAAGGATCCGGAGAATGTAAGTTTCTTGTTCTTTTTATTTTTTGTCTTAGTAATCAATAATTTCCTTCTTCTTGTTATCTTCAAATAGCGACCAACAGCAAAGGAACTTCTCAAGTATCCATTTATCAAAAAGGCCAAGAAAAATGCTTATCTAATCGATTTAATCGATCGTTATAAGAAGTGGAAGAATCAAAAAGGCGAAGAGAGTGAAACTGAATCAGAGAATTCGGATTCGTAAGTTTTTCTTTGATGTTTTATGTTAAAAATGTTTAAAAAAATTCATTTTCAGTGAGGAGTCGAAGCCTGACAGTGACTTGGAAGAGCCTTGGATTATGACTGTGAAAGGTTTACATACAAATAACAAACCATCAGTCTTTACACTTGATGAAGCTTCCTTCAGTAATGGCTCGTCTAACAGCAGCCTAAGTCCTTCACGTGACGTGAATTTAAATCATTTGAAGATCGTTAATCCAGCAGCTCAAAGATCTCCATCACATAATAATCAAGGCTTGTCACCAAGCAGCTCGCCAACACGAGAAGTGCCAGAATCACCGACGCAAAAGTCGATTGTACATTTAAAAGAGAAGAAAGATGATCGCTATGTGATTGAGTCAACAATTGAAGCAGTCAAGAATGAAGAGTTTGTGCTGAAAAGTCCTGAGAAAGAATTCGAGAGGCCAAACAAGCATGATGTGAGTTTCCTTTCGTTAAATAAAGTCAATTTAATTACATTAAAATCTATTTAGTCTCGTGGTGAAAATGACAACAAAGAAGAGACGATAAATGGACGAACATCAATGAACATTCCAAGTGATTTATCATCACCAAAAGCGAAATCAAAATCACCACCAATTGTTGGTGAAAAGCGAAATTCGCAGTCAACAAAGGAACATCGCGAGAATTCTCATCGAGATCATCACAATGGTGCCAAAGTGAGCAATCACCACAACAATAATAATAAAGTTAACAGCGCTTGTTTGAACAACTTGATTCTTCCGCTGTTATCAGATTGTGTAAGTTTAAATCATGAAGTTTAGTTTACAATAGCAAAAGTTTCAGATAAAACACATTCCACAGTGATAAATTTATTTATCTAATTAAAAATATTTCTCTCCTCATATCAAACTTCAGATAACAAACAACCGACATCAACAATATAATAACAACAATGGAAACCGAAATTCCACCGATGTTATCGACCTTCGAGCGTCATTTGAGCTTGCCGAACGAAGTTGTCCTGGTGTGACGGATCTTTTCGTTAAAGAAATTATTCATAAGCTTATGCCTGGCTTCTCAGAGACGCGAATTAATCACATTATTGATAAAATATCGCGATAAACTTTTCTTCTTTTATTATTTTTGCAATTGTTGTCTTTGAGTTTACGTTTCGATGTTGAAAACGAACGAAGATAAATTTAAAGAGACAAAAAGATTCTTTCACATCATGTATTAATTTCTTATCATCAATCATCTCTTATAAAACAAATTCCACCACCCACACAATTATTTGCTGTTGATTACTTCACACACATCCTCACATACACACACGCAATCATTCAGTCATTCATTAAAAAGTCTTTATTTCATATATTTTTGATTAATGATAACTTTGTTGTATTAAATAATGTGCGAAGACGTCGCCAAAAACAACATTAATTAATTAATTTATTAACTTTTCATTAAATTTGTTTGTTTTATTTTCTTTTTTTCTTTAATTATTTAAGACACAAAAAGCAAACAAAAAATGATGTTTGAAAAAATCACATTTAGATATTTTTAATTATTATTAAATTAATCGCCAATCTTCCAAGTAAATAAGAGAATGGATGGAAATTTAGTTTGTCATCGGAAAAATTGTTGTTACTGAAAGGACGTTGGGTTGACATTTTTACTTCTTCTTTTTTAATTGAAAATTAAACACAAAAGAATTTTAAATTTTTTATGGTTTCATAATTTTGCTTTTCACCTTTTCTTAATGGAAATTGGAAATTATTAAATATGAAAAATATCAACCCAAGATTGTTTATTGAAGATAAGAAAATGACGGGAAATGTAATGAAAAACTGATGAAAAGAAATAGAAAGACGAAGAGTATTTGAAGCCTCATTAGCTTCGTGATGTAGAAGAATTATGTAAGAAAATGTCTTTGAATGATGTTGTAAATATGTAAGGAAAACATTTTTTGTTTGTTTAACATAAGAAAGTGACATGGAAAAGTTTCACGAGAACAACAAAAGTCAATCATTCAAACAAATCTTTAACTGATGATGAAAAAATATTAAAACAAATTTAATTAATAGAAATGTAGACGAATTTGTTGAAAGAATTTTAAGTCTGTTTTCGACAATTCTCATTTGCCTCTGAAATCATCCAAAAAGTAAAACAAAGCAAACTTATATCTAATAATTTTATTGAATTTGAAACAATGATTAAATGTTTCCTTAACTAGAAAATGTTTTAATGGCAGTTTGTAGACGCTCCCAATCAAATGACGGTAGAAAAGAAGAATGTTCTTAAATATTTATTTTTAAAAGAAGCGTTTTACTAGAAAGAAACAAGAATTAATTTTTCTTTTCTCATTGAAAGCGTAGATATTGCTGTTCTTCAAAAGAAACTTATTAGTCGACTTCTGTCTTGCTACCTTCAGCAGTTCAAGTTATGATTCGACAAACAACAACTCACATGAAGATGAGAAAAACTAAAACAAATTGTTGATGAATTAAAAAAGAAACAGAAAAGTTTAATCCTAAATTTAACGTCAATATCTAATAAAGAAAGAAAATCTGAAAGAAAAAATTTTGAGAAAAAGAAAATCGTTTTGTTTATTTTAATATGAAGCAACATTTCATCTCAGATGAGATTCGCTTGATTTATTTAATTTTTTCTAATGTTTTTCTTTTCTTATTTTCAGCAAATTTTCGCAATAAAAAATAAAAGTTTCTCTTCTTTAGTCCTTTCTTGAATATCATCTTTGGCTTAACATTAATCTGAGTTTGGGTTCTATCTCAATTATTTACTTCTCATTATATCATTGTAAATATTTATCAATCATTTTAAAATTGTTGAACCTACGAATTTTTTAAATCTGCTTTCGCTAATTGATAAAAAGTTGCGTGAATATCTAAATATCTAGCGCAATGTGTTTGGACAAAAAATTTTCTTATATCAATTTCTAAGTAACACATTTTTTCTTTCTTGTTTTGATCTCAATTTTTTTCTATCTTGCTTACAAATAAGCATAAGCTGGACATTTAAGAGGACAAAAAGATCATCAAAAAACTTTTTTTCTTCAATTTTTTTAAAGATCAGCTAACTCGCGATCAAGGCTTTCCCGTCTCTGAAGCTTGCGATAACGAATTATCACAATAAATACAATTGCGTTGAGTATGAAAAGTCCAGAAACGATGAATATCGGTAAAAGAATGTCTGGAAAGTTTACAAATGATTTATTATGATTATGAATTAAATAATTATAGAAATACAAACCATCAAACATGCTCTCATCGCCAGAACTCATTCTGTTGTCTTTTCTCAAGCGATCGTTAAACCACAAATCAACTGGACCACTTCCGTGCACTTCTTCAAGTTCTAAAAGGAATATTTATCACAATTATTGCAATTGCTCTTCAAACTATTCATAACTTAAATTACTCACCGACGCAATTAACCAATGTATCGTTCCAAGTCTCGTTTTCACACTGAAGAACTCTTTCTGGTTGGGATGAGTCTGGAAAAACGTGCTTTGGTTGACAAATAAACCTAGCCTGACTCTCGTAATTATAATCCAAAATTACTTTCGATGGCGTTGAAGGAAGTATACAGCCGACAGCTAATCACATAAACAAATTGATAACGAAAAATTTTGATTATTATTGACTAACACTCTTTTCTTCGTTCTGAACAAATATGAACGAGAATTGCATAGAAATTGAGATGATAAAAGAAAAATTAGTTCGAAACTATAAATAAAATGAAGCAAAGTGCTTTAAACGAGTAAGGAGAACGCTCTCAAAATGTGTTATTGAATCTCAATTGTTGTGTTGGGTGACCATGCAACAACTTCCTCAAACTATTTGCAGTGGCATCTGCAATGTTGTGTGCAACATGTTAAAGTCACACAACATTTAATGTTACATTGCAACATTAAGCATAAACAACATCACATGGTCACCCTGCATGACAAATTTATCCATTTTGTCTTCTCTTCTTTTCTTCAAAAATTTCTCTTCTTCTCTTATTTGAAAATGTATCTAAAGCACTAAAGTGACACTCAAAATAATACCACATGAAAATATTATGTTGCGTATTGTGCTCTCAAACATAAATAGGGTTGATGAGGAAATGAATTTCGTCACAAAATATTTTAGTTTCTTCTTTTTTCGATTCGAAATAAAAATGAACATTTCTGGCTTGTTAAAGTTGTAATGATTAATAAAACGTCAACTTGATTGTGGATACTCGGCTCATAAATTTTTATTTTTATTATCAAGAGCTTTGAAACTTCGTCGACTTGAAATGTTTAATATAATTTTTGGCGACGTGAATTTTTATCTCTTGTTGCAGTATTTTTCTTCACACATTTAAGAGAAAAAATTATTTCAGTTAAGAAAGATTTCCCCAGATAGATAACTTATGTAAAAGAATCTTGTAAGGTATTAAAAGAAAAGTTTCAAAAGAAAGTTTTTCAAACAGAATTCTAATTCTGCTCCACTTACCTTTGTAATGAATTAGGAACCCTCGTTTTGGATAAATACTCCTTGACTTAGTTCTTAGTAGAATCTAATAAACGCGCATATTATAAAGGGGGAAAAAGAAGAAAAAAAGAAACGAAAGATGAAGTTTCTTTTATGTTTGTAAATGACTGAAATTCTCGACATACCTCGACACTGTTTGACGTTGATTGTACTCGAATGGGACGACTTAAATCGGAACAGCCGCGAAACAAAGTTCTGCGACTTATCACGTCGTAAATTTCCAGAGAATCTTTACAATAATCTTCAACTGTAAAGTTAATTTCATTAATTAAATGTGAAAAGATTTTTCGTAATCTAATTTAATTTTCTTACGTCTCAAATGGAGATCCAAAATGGTCAAAGCAATGCTTTGTCCATCCGTTAAATTTAATCTTGATCTGCATTCATTGTTCTTGCCAATGTAGAACGATGGGTAACCTGGATTAGTAATGAAGCCATGCAAAAGTGTGCTACTTGGCATGGAACGTTGTCGGCTTGAATAAAATGTCGGGCTCGTAGGGTTTATAATTTCAGTACTATAATCTTCATCGCTTGTTATTTCAGAGTCAGAATCATTATCCTTGTCGTCTTCTTCAAAACGGAAAGTGTCAAAAACACTTCCCTCTAAGACACCGCTATTAGACAAGTTAACATATTTTTCGTTATCACTGTAATCAATTTCGTTGGAGAAGACAGTAACGTCTTCAATCTTGGCCCTCATTTCATCAATCGATCCATCAGGCGTTGGTAAAACATTTAATTCCACCGGTGCCTGATGCGTCACAGTCTTTGCTAAGTCTTTACGTTCGATTATCATTATTTGGAGGCCATCAGTCGTTCCCTGGGGATTCCTATCAATCTCATTGCTAATCGTAGGATCAACGATACTCGAAATAATCTCCATAAACGGCTCTGTTGTGTTTGACTCTTTCGGTACAGCATCCGTAGGCATTTCAGAATCAATTTCATTTGTTGCGATATTTGAATCAACAGGGGTTACTTCATCCTTCTTGAAAAGATATTCTTCCTTCTTCACTTTCTCGATATCGGGATCTTTTGGAAGTTCATTGGGGAGAACCTTTAATACTTTGTAATCCTTTAAAGATAAACAGAAAGTAAAATGAATATTTGCTTTGACAAAATGTAAAAACTTTTGAGATTGAAGAGAAAATGGGATGAGTTGGTGACGATGAAAATGTTAAAGTTACGTAAGAAATAAAATTTTGATTCTTGTACATTATAAATAAATTAAAACAAACTTTAATCGACTTATCTTCGAGATCTTCGAGAATGAAAAAAGATTGAAACATAAAAATGATTAAGAAAACGAAAATTGTTTTGAATGTTTAATTAAAAATCGTTTGCGACTTTACATAACTTTGAAGTCATGAGTTGATCATCATGGAAGTAAAAGATGATCAAAGGAAAGACGGTAACGTCGATGAATTTAAGGAAGAGATTAGAAAATAAAATAAATGAAATAAAACAAACTTCAAGAATTCCTAACTTCGTATAAAAACTATAAAATGAGAAATTTATTAAAATCCCTTGTGGAATGAAAGTTCACGACAAATTCTAGAGGAAAAGAAATTTAATCAAAAAATGAATATGTTCACAATTACCTGCGAATAAACTTTGTTAGGGATTTTATCCTTCTCGAAAATCTTCAACATTTTCACTTCGGAATTATTTTTAGCCCGCGGCATTACCGGTTGTTGACTAGCGTTGTGCTGTCTCTCGCTTTTTTCCGCTTTAATAATTTTCAGATTAGTGAATTGATGGAAATTCTGATCGAAATGAATTCTTGCTTGTGCAATTGGTTCAGTTAAATTTTCTTCCGAATCATTTAAATGTTCACGAGTATGTTCGTTGTTTGATTTCTCTCTCGTGACTTCATTGCCAATATTTAATAATTCTCCACAATATTTATTCACACGAAAACCTGAAATGAAAAGAAGTATGAAGAAGAACCAACGCTTGATATTTATTTATAAATTTTTAAATTGCAAACTCATCAAACCACCGCCGTTTGTCAATCTCTACACAATCAAAATCGAGAAAACGTGAACATAAAAGAATGTAAAACTCAACAAACCCTTCCCAAGTCAGCAGCAACCATTAAATCAACAATATGGCGAAAAATATCGCATAAAAACGACACTCAGATGTTTGAGTTCTTTTCATGGTTCAGAGTTTATATTCGACAGTAAAGCAAGTAATTAATCATCAATAAATAATTCAAACCGTTGCAACAACCTCATTTAAATTCCTTTCCCTCCTTCCTTTCTGCTTAGTATTATGCAATTTACACATTTCTATCTACTGCACTTTACATTTTTCTCTCTTTTTCTAAATAAAACAACATTTTGCCTCAAATAAAAATTCTCGACCAGAAAACTCTTTTAATGAGTGTTTTGGTCGACAACTGTGAAACTGATCGTGTTATCTGATCGTTAAAAACAAAAGAAGAGAAATTTATGAGTTCCCAAGCATTCGAACCACGAAATAAATAAAATAACAATTTCTCGGTCTGGCCGAGCTCGCTCGTTTGTTCGTTCGATGAGTGCATCTGTTGTGAATTTTTGTGTGTGCACATAATATAATAAATTAAAAAAATATTGTCGTCTCTATTAGAAATAACAACAAATCCATAACTTTTACCCTCCCGAAGGGATTGTTTTCGTTGAAGATTGCATCACGCCTTCGACCTCTTTTAGGTTTAGAATTGATTGCCATTAGCTTAATGACAGAAATGTGCATTTCCCGATGCTTATCAGCTGATGACACAAATTCCAATCTTCGATTCCCCCGCATCATATTTAAGCACAACGCGTGTCAATTTCAACATTTTCTCATAAATCTTGTTGTGGATGAAGAGAAAAAGTTTATCAAATCAACACTCACCATCCATGCAGATGTATTTGATGTGAACGGTTCCCTTCTCCCAGAACATTGCATAAGGATGATCTGTGGCAAAGATAAATGAACAATGGTTCTTTCCCGAGCACCTAAAGGTCAGATTAGGATGAGAAGAAATGTTTTTGTTATTAAAACTTACACGCCCAATTGACATGATAAACGTTAATTAATTCCCACCTATAATTAAGTAATTTCCTAATATTGAATTCTGAACTGGTGAAGTTTCGAAGTGAATTTTCAATCTCGTTGGCATCCAACGTTCCAATACGACGACGCATCGTCTTACATCGACCTGGGATCAATTTTCGTCGTCGATTCTTTCTCAAACCCAAATCACGTCGTTCACGTTCATTTGAACTTGAATCTGAATCTTCATCGTCGATGAGATTGTACTCGGTGCTATCTTCACGCAACTTTGTAAGGTATAAACTAATTAACTTCTCAAGAGAATTTCTTAATGTTCTCTTGTCATTTCTTGGTGACATTTCATAGTCAACCGAGCTAGTTTCATTCTCATTGAATGTCGTCATGTCGTAAATGTCGGTTGTGTTAATCTCAGAACGATATTCACTCGTTCGTGCTTCGTTTTCTTCCTGTTCTTGCTCTTTAAGGCGAGCATTACGCAACACTTCCAGGAGTCTTCTTGCTGCTGCTTCTTCTTCATGTTCAAGTTTATTGCCCAATGATTGAGCGATAACTTTCATAATACTGTTTACATGAAAATACATAAATTAATGTCAATTAATTATGTTGTTGAGAAATCTAATAAAAGATGTCAGGAACTCAGTAAAGTGGAAATAGTTAACAATTGTTTTATAATAATATTTCATGCTTCAACTATTTCTAGCTCATTTATTCTCTTCCCTTTTCATTAAATATTTGAAATCCAACACGCGGTGAAGTTTTATTCTCTTTTTTTATAGACTAAATTTGAAAGTCAAACAAGCTACTGTTGATCAATAACATGTTCAAGAACAAATTTCGATTGTTGTTGTTTAACTAATAACTAACTCACCTGTTTTGTCCCTCATCATAATTCTGAATCAGAAGTAAACAAAGTTTATTGCTTTTGCCGTTGCTTCCCTCACAATTCGGTGTGAATGTCGCTTCAAGGATTCCAACCGTCGAGTCAATGTGATTGCAAGTCAACTTAAATTCGCTCTCATAACAGCCCCACTCTTCGACCAACTCTGTTAATTGGATGATATAATAAGATTTACAAATCAAATATTTGTTCAATTTCCTATTTTATGACATTTTTAGATACGTCACGATTGAATGAAGTTTCATCGTTTACTTTATTAATAATCTCGTCAATTATTTATTAGACAGTTTCATTTTATAATCGATATGTAAGTCTGAACATCGATTCGATGAAAATTTAAAGAAAGTCATTAAATATTTACTTTCTGACATTTCTGACCTTTTGTCCTTGCCAATCATTTGATGGCAAGAAATTAAGACTGACAGAATCTTGGAAAACAAAGCAGAAAAAAGGTTTTAATGGTTTTTTGATTTTTATTATAGATTAAGGGACACTTCATGAATTGTGTAAAAGCGATAGCGTTGAATGACGTTAATCATAAATAATTCTAAGCTATTGTGGGGACATTTTTTATTAGTTTTACCTGTGGATATAGCAGCATAACAAATAAACAGCCTAACAGTAACAACAACAAGAATACTGAACTGTCGCATATCGATCATCTTTTATTTGACTCGTTTGGATAGTGTCCAATTTCTAATTTCAATTACTATTCCTTCCTTTAGTTTTCTTTCTTTTCGCCTGTCGTCGGCACTTTTTGTCGTAGATACTTAGCTAGTTGTAGCCTTGTCAAACTTATCAGCAAATGTCTTTTTTTCCTTGAAATTAATATCGGCTTTCGTTATCCATTGACGACAAGTCAATTCGTTTTCGCTTACAAAATAAATTGAAAGCAGAGGAAGTAAGTAAGTGAAAGGATGACAATGGTGGAAGCAAAAACTATTAGCTCAGATATTTCTGATCCTGATTGACGGCGGGCTTAAATCAATTTGATATGTTTTTGATGCTCTTTTATGACTCTTCTTCTTCCTAGTTTCTTTTTTGCTTTATTTTGCTTTCACTCTCACTAAGCTACCACAAAATATTTGTTCGATAATAACATTATTTTGTCCACTATGTAGCATGAGTCGTTTGTTCAAACATTATCACGTTTCATGACAAGACTCGTTCTTGAAAATAGTTTTTATTTATAATTTTTCGTTCGTTTGGTTCCGCTTTTCACTTCACCCACAAAAATTTTCGCATTAGTGCATGAACTTCATACACCCACACAATTGCAAAACATTGACTGAATTTCTTGTTTTCTTTTTCTCGTTGAAGGATGTTCAAGTTTTCTTCGTTTTCCTTCTTCAGTTTTTTCTGTTCTTGATGCTTTTTACATCATTCCATGTCACGATGAGAGAAGAAATTTCCTTCTTTAGCAATGTTAGTGTGTTGCCTTGAACCACTTTTCTTCTTATACGCAAAATTGATAATTATCTAGAGAGTCATTGCAATGCATTTCACTCACTAAACTATAATTTTTAATTATAGAAAAGCACTTGAAACTTTTGAACGAATCTAAAACCAACCAAACATTGATTTTAAATTACATTTTTATATCGTTCACTTAAAATATCTGAAAAATGATTTTTTTTGCAACTAAACACTAGAAAGGCTCACAATCGAATGAAGCATAAAAGTATGCGGAGAGAGAAAGAAAAAAGTTTTGTTAGGGGATAGAAAATATTTTCCTTCACCCTCATACGCCATGCGCACAAAATGTTTTGTGTTTGTGTTCACAGAAAGTAATGATAAACAATGAACCTGTTCATGATGCAGAAAAATTGTGCGAGGGTGATGAGAAGGTTGCGAAACACTGAAATTCATTCATAACTTTGAACGATATTTTGGATGAAACTGTAAGTTATGTCGCTTCGATTGATAAATTGAAAAGATCAGATAAAAGTTCGATATAAACACAAAACCCGAAAAGATTTCCGTGACTAACAAAGCGTGGAAAAATCTTTCATGTGTAAAGTTTTTTAAACAAAGCAATCTTGTCAGTTTCATAAACATTCGTTGCCATTCTTTCATAAACACATTTTGAAATTTCTCGTTGTAAATATTTGAAGAACAATGTCATTTAGATCAACTCAGGTTTTGAAATGGGATAAATTCAACATGAAGGAATTGGAAGATCGCATAAGAAAAGCAAGAATGGAGAAAAAAATTTTCGTTGTTTTTAGTGGTTATGAAAAAATCAGAGAAAGTCTTTTGAAGCGTGGGTGGTTAGAGAAAATTCCTGATCATCGACTTTACTTGATATCACCAACATCTGAGAAATTTGCGCTTGGAATGTTAATGAAGACGACTCCTTTCAACTTTATCTGGCAACGGAAGACAAGACCACTTAAAAATGTCAAAGATCTTAATCCATGCACCAACTCAATTGTGCGACAACGTTACATGGATTTCACAACAAAAGATGGAATTAACAATTGTGCTGATAATTTCAAATGGAATTTCATTGAAGGACATACAGATTTGACATATCAACGATCGCATATTTTATCAGACAAGGCAATGAGAGAAGAATTCTCGAAAGATTTCCGAAGAACGACATTAACAAATTACATTTTGTTCCTGGATTGTTTCATGTTTATTGATAATGAAATTGATTTCTTTTTCACAATATCGAGAAAAGGAATATCAGTTGATTCGATTGATTTCGCTTTGAAGAAAGTTGAAGATTTGATTGCGGAAGATAAAAAAGTTGACTACGATGACGATCATGAGAAAATTCTTTTGAAGTTTACAAAACATGAGATGGAACTTCTTGATGAAATTCGACAAATAATTAATGGAACGAAAAGATTCAAACTTTTAAGTCATTTCGATTATTCAATATTAAGACTACAGATTGATGAATGTGCACTTAAAATTTTGTCGCATTGGCCGTATTTGAAGTATGATGGATTTAAAAATGTTTGGATCGTAAAACTGATTGGTTCGTCAAGTGGTTACAATGTGACTGTAATGAATAACGAAGATAAAATTCTTAAAGCTACTGAAAATATTTCTCATCGATACATCGTACAGAAATATGTTGGTAAGTTAATTAATCTTTCATTTAACTTTAATTTTCAATTCCCTTTTACAGAAAGACCTTTAATTATTCACAAACGAAAGTTTGACATTCGAGTTTATGTCATGACATTCATTCGAAATGGTTTCGTTGATATTTGGTTGTATAAAGATTGTTACGCAAAATTCTGCACGAAGCCATTCAGTCTTGACAACTTGGACAAGTCAGTTCACGTCTCGAATTATGCAGTGCAAAAGCAGTTCATGAATCAACAAGATTCTGTTCCAAATGCTAAAGAAAATATGTGGTCATTGTCACAATTGATTGAATACTTCACATCAACTGGTCATCAATACATTTGGGATGAAGTAATTTACCCAGGAATTAAGAAGAATCTTCTTGCAGTGATCATCGCAAGTTTGGAAGCAACTGAACTAGAAGTTAACAACTTTGAACTTAATGGAGCTGACTTTATGATTGCTTACGATTATCAACCTGTTCTCATTGAAATTAATTCAGTTCCAGCACTTTACTTCTCACGAACAGTCGTCGAGATGATCACAAATAAATTACTTGAAGATGTTGTTAAAGTGGTCGTCGATTACCGAGATGATCGCAAAGCTTCAACTGGTGATTTTGAATTAATCCACACACACAAAATTCCTCAAATTCAAAACTTTACACCTGATCTGTCTATAAATTCAGTGAGATTGAATCATCATATTGAAAGAACAAAATCTTGGAAAGAAAAAATTATTTCTGACATTTCTGAAGATCGAAATGTTGTTGATGTTAATTGAACAATAAAAATTGAAGTTTTTTTAAATATTTTTATTTCTTTTCATCAATGAGTTAATATTTAACATGTTTGGTCAAACTTCACTTAAATTCTATTCAGTCCTTGTTGATAATTAATTTATAATGAGAAATAGAAGAAAATTTAATTAAGATAACGTCAATATCTTTCAAGTTTTTAATAGTTATGAACACGGCATTTTAGGAATCCAAGTTCAGCAGCGTTTCGACACTGCAAACCTTTATTAGTTAATGCTGTGCATTGTTTTCTGTCGATCATGTCAACAAAAAATGGCGTTGCCGATCGACTTTGTGGTGTTGCTACGAAGCTTTCATTCATGACTCGTCTCATTGCTGGAGTCACTGGACGATTGATGAGAACTGGAGGAGCTGTTTTGTTCAATGTTGAAGGGTGTTGAATGTTAGAATCATCAATATCAGGGATTGGTTTTGTTTTCAGCTTTTTAGGAGGACAAACAGCAGCTGAAAGTTTCGACTCTTCTGACAAGAAGGCTTGGACAATTTCGTCATCAGATTCATCATCAGATTCCTTTTCTTTTTGTTGCTGTGGCTTTGATTTGAATCGAAGATTAAAAAGGTTGAGTTTACGGATTCGACGTGTTAAAGCTGCTAAAATTTTCAATGCTAAATGAAGAAAGATTGATAAGAAAGTTGAATGACAAAATGATACTTTAACTTACTTAAATAAAGCATCCAAAGGAGAATGTTCAAAGGAAGTAAAGCGAGTTTTGATTTTGTGTATGCAGCGATGGCATTTAGTCCGAATAAACTCATTAGAACAAGCTTTGATCTTGTTTGAGCATCGATAAACATTAGAAAAATCATTCCACAAGTAAAATAAATCAGATTAATGCACATAAAGGCGATAAATTCTTCAGTAATTTCCAATCCAATGTCATTGAAAGTTGACAACACGAACATGATTGTTTTGAAGCTGTTTAAAAATTTGAAAGTTTGATTATATTGACTTAATAATTCTTGATTCCGTTTGTGGAGATTTTCAGCGATGACATCAACTTCTTTAAGTAATTTATTGTGACCTTCATGAAGTTGCGATGTGTGTTGAATGAGTTTCGATGAAATCTCGTCTGTTGACTTATCAATTTCAATTAATTTCTCTTCTGATTTGTGTCGCAATTCCAACTCATGTTGCAGTGTTTGGATATTATCTTCAATAAGATTTCCAGCTTCTCTCAACTTGTCAATGCTTTGAACTTGCGATTCTTTAATTTTTTCGTCATTTTCCACGAATTCTTTCATGGTCTCTACACTCAGTTCAGAAATTATTTTCTGATTTTTAATGGCTTCTTGCATTACTGACAATTGTGACTTTGCTGCCTCCATTAGTCGATTTACTGTCATTTCTGTCATTGCTTTAAATTGTCCTTGTTTGAATGCTGAACAAATTCCAACAGCACGATGTTTCATAAAGTTGTAGATTTGGTAAATGTCAGAATCCATTCCGATTGTGCATTGTTGAAGTGTCTGTTAGAAATGAAAATATTTAATTACAGTGACAAATTTAATTGACTTTTCTTTACCATTTCAGGTGTACATGGATAAATTTTTCGTCCTTCAATACTCAGCTGACAGTTGAGCATCATAACGGAAATTTTGCCGACTTCTTCCGAACTCAACTGATTGCAATTCTTTTTTAAGGAGGCAACAACGCGATGGGTGCACATGTCGAGATTACCTCGTGCTGAATCAATGAGTGATAAGCCTTCTTTAAGGAACTCATCATCTTCAACTGGAAGTTCAAAATTAACATTTGGCAATTTTTTATTGGTGTTTCCGATGACTAGATCTGAAAGTAATCTTTTAAATATCACAAATTGAACAACAAATGGAAGATTCAATGTAACCTTTAGTTTTCGGCCAAAAACTTTTAACACTCGAGAAGAAATCATTGATAAGCGAAGCGTTTGATGAGATTGTTAACATGTATATCACAAACAGAAGTCTTAAATTCATTATTTTAGGTTGAAATTTTCTGTCATTGAGAAGAACCAAAGCTAAAATTATCTCTTAAAATATTCGTTCATAGATTGCTATTTTTAAATTTTATGCTCTCTTCTCGTCTATTTTTGCTTCTTTTCGTTACGTTAACTATTTTCTCGTACCTGCTATCCACACACTTAGCGCAAATTCAATAATTTGATGAGAATTAAAATTCAGAACGTTATGCCACAATCAGAACGTGTTCTACTGGTAGACCTTTAGTAGATCTTTGGCCTGTAGATATTTTCGTGGAGCTTCGATGATCCAGAGCGAATAATTTCATATTTTCCGTCTTTTATTACGAAATGTTTTAAAGGGTCTTTGATTTAAAAAGTGTCAATAAATCTTCTCATATGAAATGTTTTCATATTTTCAAACCATTACATACCGCTGAACGGCGAAACAATGCGAATTGTTCAAAGAATTTGTTTTTCTCATTTCCTTTAATCTTATTATAACTCAGACAATAGAATTAATTAACTTTGCACATCATATAAACAAATTAATTTTATTTTTCTGATAATTTAATTAAAACATATTCGTGTGAAAATTAAAATGATTCTTTTAAAGTGTAAATTGTGATGAATTATAAGTGATGTATTATTTATTATAATGAATACTTTCGTGATATCGTAGATCTGCTTTCAATTTAAATCCTTGCGTGCAACCAGGATATTCGCATCTGTATGAATTTTCTCCAACATGAGTCCTGATGTGCTTAGTTAAATCATTACTTTGTGTGAATGAACGGTCGCATCCTTCAATAGTGCAAACCCATGGTCGCTATTTCCAAATATTTCATAAAATTGATAAGAAAATTAATTGAGAAATCTTAAATTTTGCACAATGCAACTTACAATTCCTGTATGTGTTAACATGTGACGATCCAATGCATATTTTCTAGGGAATCTTCGACCACAAATTTCACAAGGGAATCTTTGTTTTAATTCTTCGATTCTTGCAGGATCATGATAAAGTTGGTGATGTTGAAGTCTGGCATGAGTCTTAAATTTCTTCGGACATTTAAGACATTGGAATGTCTAAAAGTAACAAAAATATTAATTTTAATGATCAATTAAGAATATTTAAATAACTTACAGCTTCTTTAATGTGTACACTTTGATGATTTCGATAGTGAATCGGCGTTCGAAACGACTTTGGACAGAACGAGCATTGAAATTTCTTGTTGACTTCATGATTTCGTTTGATATGACATTTTAAGCCCTCATTACTTTTTTCAGTGATGCCACAGAATGGACATAAGAATGTTAAATCCTTCTTATGAACAACGCACATATGATCTTCCATGCTTCCTTTTAACCGTTCTAAATGTCCACATAAATCACATGTGTAGCAATATTTATATCTTTTAAGATGACGAAGAAGTTTGTCTCCGTACGCAAATTTCTTTCCACATTTGACACATCGATGAGTTAGAATTTCATTATGAATGCTTGAATGAAGTTCCAAAGTTCTAAAATCGTTAATCGTATAACTGCACTTAATGCAAACGATAACTTTAGTATTATTAAATTCAGATTCATGAGAGAAGAGATGATTCTTTAATTCATCTTCAATAAGCGATCGAAAAGCGCAAAGTGAACATTCAAAGTAGTGTGGTCCAATTTCATGATATTCTTCAACATAATCGCAGTGAAAATAGCTGTGAAGTCGCAATTCCTTGAAATTTGCGAATTGAAGGTCACATTTTTTGCACTTTTTATCTTCTTCATCACCGTGTTGCTCCATATGTCGATCCAACCAACTGTGCTTTTTGAATCTGGCAGGACATTTTGTGCATTTAAGCCATGGCAGTGGTTTCACTGGTTTTTTCTGTCTCATCTCATAAAAATCGTTAATTTCTCTCTCTGGAATGATCCTTGGTTTACTTGTAAATGATCCTTCAAAGTGATACTTCATATGTTGGTCAAGAGCTGATCTGCTTTTGAATATTTTGATTCTTCCGCAAGTTGCTTCACAAGCTTCGCAAGATAAGAAAGATTTTCGTTCCCTACATTTTGATCTTGGATTTCTTGTTTTGGCTGATTTCTTCGATTGTTCATCATCATCTGAAGATGATATTTCTTCTGCTTTCAATTCTAATGGGAAAGCTTCTCCATAAGACAATTCCATGTCATCGTCATTGTCATCTTCCTCTTTAATTTTTACAAATGGTTCAGTTTCAGGTTCAACCTTGACAAAAATATCTTCAGTCATTTGTCGTCTCATTCGATCATCATTCTCGATACTTTCGTCACGAAGTTCACATGCATTAAATATAGTATTGAGACAAACATGACAAATCTTTTTTGATAAACAATCATTTTCACTAATGTTTAATTCTGGAATTATAACTCTGATCAAATAAGTAATTGAGCGTCCTTTTCTAAAATCGAAAATTGATATTAAATTTGATGTGCTTTTTAAGCATAATCTACACAAATAACTCATGTTGATTAATTGAGTTTCAGGACTTTTTTTTGGAAACGAAAATATTTTGCGTTTAGAGAAAGTTGGTGAGTTAAGTGTACCGCTCGGCGGCAGTGATGTTCATTTGTAAACAATATTCGAGCAACAACTGTGAACATTCGGCTGAAATAATTCAATAAGATTTCAATGAAGTGATTATTTAACTACAAATAAGATTTGATAAATTGTAGATAAGATTCACATTTATTTTATTTACTTCATTATTTTTACTGACATCTTACATGAAATTGAATTGAGATTAAAATTTAACTCTTTCACTCATCAAGAACTTCTTGAAGTTGTTTGACATAAATTCCTTCAACTTTCTTTTTGTTGTAAAAATTGTCATTTCATCTAAATATATTTGAATAAATTAATTTAACATCTTAATTACTGATTTACATAATGAACACTTTCATGCAACCGAAGTTCTGCTTGATATTTGAATGCTTGATTGCAACCAAAATGTTCGCATTTATAAACATTTTCTCCAACGTGACCTCTCATGTGCTTTTTTAAGTCACAACTTTGAGTAAATGATCGATCGCATCCTTCAATGGTGCAAATCCAAGGTCGCTGAAAATATAATAAAAGTTATCAAAGATATTTCAAAACTATAAAATTTTCATTAGTACAAGTCCAGTATGAGTGACTGTGTGACGTTTCAAGGCGCTGCTTGTTAAAAATGTTTTCCCACAAGTAACACAGCGATGCTTTTCCCTTTGCAATCTGATTTTCTCAGGATCATGAAAACGTTGATGATAAGTCAATCTCGCAAATGTTTTAAATTTCTTCGGGCATAATAAACATTGATAAGTCTAAATAAAAAAATGAATTTTAGTTATCAATTTTGAGAAAAAGAAAGTTATCCTATAATTACAGCTTCTTTTGTGTGAACTCCTTGATGATCGCGGTAATGCCGAGCTAATCTAAATTCCTTAGGACAAAACAAACATTTAAACTTCTTTTTAATTTCATGGGTTTTCATGTGATATTGCAGACCATCAGCGTTCTTCAAGATTTTCCCACATATTGGACATAAAGAATATTGTTTCATGTGAGTTGCTGCTAAATGCTTTGTAATCTTAGTTTTCGCTATTGCAGTGTAATCACACAAATCACAAAAGTAAGTTGTCTCGTGATTTTTCAAGTGACGCAAAAGTTTCATTCCATACGCAAATTTGCTTCCACATTTGAGACATCGATGGGTGATTCTCTCGTTATGTTGACTCGAATGTTTCTCAATGCCAGCGTAACTATCAAAGGTGTAAGTACATTTAGTGCACATAATAAGTTTTGTATTTGAATCAAAATCAAATTGATGCGATAAAACATGAAGTTTCAAGTCATTTTCATCGAAAGTTTCAAAAGTGCACGCAATGCAAGTAAATCTTTGATCTGGTTCCTGATGTTCTTCAACGTAATCACAATGGATGTAAGTGTGGAGATTTAATAACCGAAGAGTACTTTCCCTGAATCCACATACTTTACATTGTTTAAGCTTTTTGTCATACGCTAAATTAGAATATGCATTTGCAATTTTTTGCTTTGCTAATTGCCGATTTTGATAAATTTCCGCGTTGTTTAAACCAAATCGAACAGTTCCTCTGATATGCGATTTCATATGCCTTATCAATTTAGATTTTTTGTCGAGGATTCTATATTCTCCATGATTTTCACAAATATCACAATGAAAGATTGTTTTAGGCCAAACATTTGGATTCAAATTAAACTTTCTTAAAGCATTAGTTGATGCTTTGTTGAGCTTGACTCTGGTTTTGGTGCTTTTATTTATGTTGGTAGTTTCACTGTTATCTGACCTAAACTGATCTTCAACAAACCAAATGTTGGAATCATCATTTGTATCCTTTTCAAAATAGTTTTCTTCAGATTCTGTTTTTATGCAAATTTCAGATTTTACATACTCAGAAATTTCACTTTTAATCTGTACGTTGGAAAGTAATTGGCTTTGTAGAAGCTTTTCGTTTTTTATACTTCTTGATCGAAGTTCACAAGCATTTAAAACAGTTTGAAGACAAATATAACAAATTGTTTTTGGCAAATCGTCATTTATGCTTATTGAAAGTTCTGGTATTAGCAAATTGATCCAACTATGAATGGATTTGCCTTTTCTCTTATCAAAAACTGAAATAGCTATCAATTCGGATAAGCTTTCTAAACACATTCTACACTTTTCGCTGATGTAATTTTCCATATTTATTGATTGAAAATTTACTTTTCGATTTCTATCAAGAATTGTTTTGTTTACATCAAGAAAGCCGCCAGTCGGCGAGAGTGTTTTTAAGTAGAACTGAAGTAGAACTAAAAGAAATTGTAATTAAAATTTACTACAATTTTATAATTTTAGTAGTAAATATGATTGTCACACACTGATTCTAAAAGAAAGTATTAAAAAATAATTTTAGCAATTTCAGTACGAGTTGGAAAAATCTTTCAAATATTAAAAAAAACTGAAATTACAATCATATTTCTTTAATTGTTTCAGCAAGAAAATATGTTTTTGTTGACCTTCTTTACTTTCCATAAATTCATTCTATTATTGATAATTTAGTGACATTTTTCAGGAGGTATTATTAAAGACCACATGTGATAGGCCAAACTTGTAAAACTAAAACAAATTTGGAATTTCTATCATCATCTTTTTTGCAAAACATTAAAGTTTATTAATATTAACATACGAAGTACATTTAACTACCAACCCTTTAAATACCATTTCAATTTTTGCAGCATGAAGTGTCAACTGCAATAATTGTTCAATAAAAATTCATGCTCTGTCGAAGCTTAAACATTTCAAAAGTCATAAGTTAAATGTTTTGTCTATTAAACTTCCTGACATTTCAATTTTCATTGCCAGAAATGTCATCAGCTGTTAAAATAGCTTTTTGAACGTTTGTAGAAGAAATTAGAATTGCTACCACGTGAGAAAATCTAGTGAGAAAATGCTACACTTCAACAACGGCTAGTCGGTGTGATATGCTTGAGGAAAACAAGGACATTGAGACGTCACATGCATTTGAAATTAGTATCACGAACGCCACAGTAGTGTCGCTTTTGAGTGTATTGTAGGGAAAGTTTGGTTCCAACTCTTTTTTTCTTTTAGGAAAATTCTAATAAGAACATTTTTTCTCGTGAAACTTGAGTTGCGAATAGGAGTAAGTTGGGCAAATGGGCGGTACGTGACGTCTTATCATTTGGCGCTCTTCAACTTGACGGTGCACAACATTGTATGATTACAACACATTTTCAAAAATGGTTTAGTAGTGTGTGTAACTTTGATGCTTTCGCGTACGTTTTCTCTCCATTCTGCTTACGAGACGTGATTGGTTTTACAATTAAGCTCCGCCTTGTTGTGTTGTGTGCGACATGCTTTTAAGTAAGCAAAGCAAACCCGCGACACGACACGTTCGACATGACATCAATTGTCGGTTGGGGGGAAGATGAGAAAAGATTTTTTGTATCATAAATTTAACTAACCATCTTTAATGATGAATCGAGCAAGCGTTCAATTGCAGGTCGAAAACTAAGTAGAAAACAAAAAGCCGGCAATGTTCATGACCATCAGAAAGCATGCGAACGTGGCAACAAGTTGCTGGCTTTTGTTCCACATTATTTTTATCAATCGATTTACGGATGGAAACACGTCGCATGGACGGATTGGTTATGCTGGACGAATTTTAAGTAAGAATATCGGTTCTCAGGACGAGACTGGAGCGAAAGTTATCATCATGTTCCATACGTGCACAAAACATAAGCAAGAAACCGAAAACTCTCCTTCAACTTCTTCTTCATTGCGTAGCATTTTCATCCTGAGCAGCTTCATTGATGACAGACAATAAAAGAAAATCCGACACATCACGTCACTTCTCATTATTGCACCAGACACACGAACAACTCGATAATTAATTGTTCGACTAATTTCAATTACAAAAGCAATCAACGATTAAAAATTCGAAGTAAACATGACAAATGACGACTTTTCCTTTTTATTATGCAGCAGAAATCTCAGTAAATGTTCACATTCATCTGAAATTGTTTTAAATGTTCATCAAGAGACAAATCTAGCAATTAAACATCAACAATGAAAGTCGCATGTGGGTTAATGTAAAGTCATAAAATGTTTAGGGAATGTTGAAGAGATAACAATTTTCCACCCCCGCATGTGTGTAACAAAATTTGCATGGAAATGAAATCTTCATGCTAAATTAGTCATTCGTCGTTAATTATTGTTCAACATATACAAGACGTCGATCATACATCGTTGATAAGACTTTTCGAGTCTCTTTTTTATTTTCAGTAGAATTTTGAAATTGAAACTCGAAAGGATTCAACGAAATCTTGAAAGCCATAAAGTACCGGAAATCTCTAATCTGTTAAAAACTTAATTGTTTTCCACCTTATTTTCGTGCTTCCATTTCTACTCTCAAAAAAAAGTATAAAATTTCTACACAGTCAGAAATAATTTATGAAATCTGATTGAGACGACAGCACCAGAAAAGAAGATTCACAAAATTCGGTGACGATATTTTATTCAACTCGTCTTCATGAAGATTGTTATCATTTGAAACCAGAGATTAGTCCGTGAACGGCGAAGCTTCTCGTTCTTTCATACATAGTATGAGTCATAATGAAGCTTATGGTGATGTTCTCTGTATCAACTTACAATGATTGCTTGCAACATAAAAATTAAAGTAGCGACCTGCGTTTGAGATAGCACGAGTGCCAAATCAATTACAGCTTACGTGTTCTGAATCTCACAATATGATGACTTTTGAGAAGAGAAAATGCCGATGAATGAAAAGAAAACATTCAATGAAGTTTTCTTAATGAATTCACATACAAAGTTACCTCGCATCAACGTTGATTTCGATAAGAAATTTAATCAAATTCGTCAAAGCGAAAGTGAAGTTGAATTTGCATTTTAAAAAAAGGAATCGAAGAAGTTACAATCAAGAACTTATTCGCAATAGAAGCAGATGGAAAACGAGTCCCTGTAGTGACATTTTTAGCATCGCTTATTGCAAACAAAAAGGATTTTTATTGCATTTTAAACTTTTTCTCATGTTCCTGCTCATCAATTTTTATGGTAAATAAATAGAAGCCAAAATAATCCTTTTGAACGCGATTCGATTAAGTTTTCTTCTTGTCTTCTTCCCCTTGTTTGTTCTTTCTCGAGGTTTTCATTTTAATGTTTAATGATACAATAAGAAAATTAGATTATCATCGTCAGGGAAAAATATTTTTCAAGCGAAAGAAAATTTGCATATATTTCGCGCAAAAGCAAAGTTTTCCCGATCAAAGAGAAAATCTTGTTAAGATTCTTGGTTGCTTAAATCTGAAAGTTTAACAAGCTTATAACACTGGGAAGTGAAGTTCTTTAGAGATTTATTTGATTTTCCCCCTCGAGACTAATTTGAATCTCAATTAAAGAAGCAAAAAGGGTTAATTTCAGTTATCTCCAGTTGAAGTTTACTATTGAATGTGTTTGTTTATCTTAATCCAACAATGAAATTTATAACAAAAGTTTACAAACTCATACGAGAATGTTATCAAAAATTAATAAATAATTTTAATTACTTTTGAAATCTGAAAAGAATTTTCAACTGTAAACTTTGTTCTTGAGTCAGCAAATAAATTTCAGACGACAACATGACAATCGATCCATATGATTATGGAAAAATATTCCTCTTTTAAAACAGAAGCAAAAAATATCTGAACAAATTTCCTACCCAGGAACTGTCAACTCAGAATATCATTTCTTATCACGAGACACCAATCAGTCATTAATTTATATAAAAAAATAAAATTTTCTGCATTTTGTAAGTCTTCGATTATCAGTTCTTTCTTTTGAGATTGAATCTTACACTAAGGAAACATATCAGCAATGACAATTGTATTGAACGGAAATTTGTTGCTATTACAAATGGAAACTTACCGTGAATTAACGGCTGTTGCCTGGTTAACTTCGTCTAACGATGGCTTTCTGCTTGAAAGTGAAAATGAGAAGAATAAAGTTGTCAATTAAAACATTAAAAAGTTTTTGATAAATGTGAGGGAAGCTATCTTAACTGAAAGTTTAAATGTCAGCTGGTCTCATTTATTAGTAGTGCACATTCAACTTGATAATTAACATTAACAAAACTATTCTTTATGCATTTTATTCTCTTGCATTTGAAAGTAGCTCTACCGCTTTGAGTGTGTCAGAAAAGGAATCAACATTGAAAACATATCGAATGAAAATGAGATTCCTTTTAAGAATCTGACTAGTTTTTCACTTTGCGACAATATTTCTTTTGCTTTCATTTATCTTCAGAATTCTGCGCTGTTTTGAAGTGTTTTTGTGCGTATAGTTGTTGAGTGAAGGGGAAACAAGAGTTGTGGAGACACCGGCACGCTTCTTTGAACACACGTTGCTCTAACCATAAATGAAGAAAATTCTCTGCGAGAAAAATCTTTCGGTTTGTGCCGAAAGAGCTGAGATTTTTTTTTGCTTTGCTTTCTTTTTCTAAAGGTCTCTTTGTGTCACTTGAATATTCAACAAGAACGGGATGGAACTGGTAGATAAAATAAAATGCAATATGCGCTTTTTGCACAACAACATAAGTATAAAACCGCTTTACAACTGACGAGAAAAATATTTCTTTTTCCCTTTGGAGTTTGAGCGAAAAACATTTTGAAGACGAAGTTAAAGAAGTGATTGAAGTTGATGGCGAGTGTGGAAAAAAATAAAAACACAACAGAAAAAAATCGGGAAAAGAAAACTTCAATAAACCTGACAATCGAACTCTTTGTGAGTTAAGGAAAAAAAAACTTGCTAAACTGGAAATTTTATCGCGAAGCTGATATTGTTTACTGCATTTATTGATCGTCATTAACGTTCATTTTTCCCTCTCGCGTTGATTTATTGAATTACTTTTATTGTTTTCTTTGGAAATATGCTTCCTTGCTACAACATTACCAACTTCAACATGAAATAATGATTTTCGGATGAAAAATAGCTTCAATCACATTGGAAATTTTTAATTTTCTTAACTTTGATCAACTCACCTTTCACTCCAACAAAATGGATCATCACGATAACGGCTGAAAATCGAGATAGTAGAACTTAATTGATTGTATCAAAATTGTTAATTATTTTTCTGATTTCATTAAATTCCTTTCCATCCCGTCAACTGATTAAATCAATAACAATTTTTATTTTCCTTTTTTTTTTCGTCTGATTATTTTAATGTAGCATAAAATTTATTCTTTTGTTTGTAAATGAAAATATTTTTGTGTCTTTTGTGTGAGAAAAAGTTTGTTTGATTACTTCGACTGCACAAATTGCGTCACGTCAGAAAAGTTTTCATTCGCTTTGCATATAATAAAGCATCAAAACAAATTGAAAGGCTTTTATTTTTATTTTAATCGAATGTTGTTGGTTGTGCTTCTAGTAACTGACCACATGTCAATTTAGATCGTCATATATTGTAAAAGAAAAATCTCATTGAATGTGAAAATATGAGAAAGTGGAAGTCATAACAAGACAATGGTCAACAGACGACTTTAACGATCAATTAAGCGATAGTCACAATTAATTATGGGGGTTCAATGTGGTCTGAAGCAGGCAATTAGCCGGAGCTTTTTTTTTTATTTTGAATTACAATTGTAAAAACAATTATTTGTAGTCGCGACTTGTAACTTGGATGGAATTTTTCGAAGTGTTGTTTACCGATTTTATGCTGCCGCAAGTCTTGATCACAAACAATGAGAAAAAAATAAGAAAAAACTTTAAAGATTTGCACAAAGCAACGAAACATGTTTTCTTTCGCAAATCTTCTTCTTTTTTATTCATCGATTGTCTTTATCTTTAATTAGCGAGCAGTAATTACCACATGATTTTCAATAAAAAAAAGAGTTTCAAAAAAATCTGTAAAATTGATTCTCCTTTCCAAAACATATATTCAAGGCACGAAAAATTTCAATTTCATTGAATAATGCGAAGAGAGCGAAGAAACTTTAATTTTTCGCTTTGATGGATGGAGAAAAAAATTTATCGAGATTTTTTCTCATTTTGAAAAGAATTTTTTTGTTCGCCTTTTCGATGGTCGACTTGAATTCTCAACTTTTACCGTCGCTGCAACAATTTTTATTTTGGAAACTTTTAAACACATTTGAATTTGCATAAAAATGCTTTTGAACGCGTGCTGAACTGTTAAACATCACTTTTAATATCACTGCGATAATTATCATGAGAATGACGACACATTATGTTAATGCGAACGTTTTGAGATGTTGATTCGAGTGAACCAAAAATAAAAAATTGACGAAACCAGACCGTGAAATTGTAAACAAGATTTAATTGTCTCATCATCTTAAAAAGATCTTTTTTTCTGTTGTCCAACTTTGACAAAAACATTCCATCGCTTTCAGCTTCTCATGTAGCACATAACAAAGCAAAGCTCATAAATCACTTAACACTTGATATTTTTTTGTTAAATCTACCATGTTAATCTCATTTTCGTGTGAAAAGCATGAAAAGATTGACATTTCGTTCACACCTGTAGTAAGAATATCCGTGTAAATCCATTGATAATCCGTGATGTCCAAATCCATGTTCCGTATTCGCTGAGCCCATTGCATGTCCACCCAAAACAGCAGCGGCCCATGGTGAGGCAAAACTGGCACTTGCGTGATCCATTGCACAACTTTACAAGCTTTTTTTTAAGTAAGAATTCTTAACTAGCTGAGTTACTTTTCAATTTTATTTCTTTTATTTCACATGCATTTTTGTTCCATCAATTTTATTTCCTTCACTGCGTGTTAGTAACAAATTTAATTAGATAATTAAAGATACAATCGAAGAATTTCTTTTTTTTATTATTTCAAAAAAGTATTGAAAATCAAAAATTGAGTTCAAGTCAAATATTTTTTGCGCACCATTAATGTCTACGTCCAATGTCTTCGAAATATTTTGTGTTACTGATTATTGAGACGGTAAAAATGAAAGAACAACCTCCCATTTCACAGACAGATTCATGAATCTCATGGTTGCGAGTTCTCACATAAAACATTTTGATCTCGTTGTGCGTTACAGCGGTTGCTTTGGCAATGTTGTGCAACTGTTGAGATACATTAAACGACGAGAGAAAGGAAAAGAAAATCAAAGCAAAATCTTTCATGAATTTTATTTGAAAAGAGAGAAAGATTTTTGCAGATTTTTGATATTTGGCAGAGATTTTCAACAATATTTTATAATATAGAAAATTCATTCAAAATTTTGTCCCATTTTAAGACTTTGTTGAGGCATTTCTGAGATTTTATGAATTTTCTTCATCAGGAAGCATCTTTTTGATCAAGAAATTTTATTCATGACTTTTAATTAATCTCATTTGCATTTTGATTAGACGAAGAAAGTTTCTCAAGAGATTTTCATAAAGAAAACACCACAAAGTTAATCTTTTCACCCCCGCAATGTTTTAATGAAGTATCAAAAACTTTCAAGTGACGCTTTCTTGATCAATTTAGATTTTCGATAAAGTGAGAATTGATAGAAGCAAACAAAGAATTACATAACAATTAAATCCAATAAAAGTCAGATTACTGTCAAGCGATTTCCATTTTTTTTGCTTCTTTTGTTGTTTACACATATGGAAGAGAATCAATACCTTCGAGGGACGTTTTCCAAAATTGAGTGCAAACGAAGTTGAATAATGTGGAAATGGTGAAAAATAAAAGCGTCCGACAGTCCAAGAATTAAGATGTGAAAAGTATTGGAGCGGTGAGAAAAGACATTTATTTTCATAAAGGAAATCTCAATCGGATTCGATTGAAAGTCAGTGGACTGCAAATAAAAAAAAGTTTATTAAATTGATTCGAAAGTCAGGATGAGATGAGAGATAAATAAATGATTGTCGACTTCATTTGACATTTGGAATTATTCAATTTGGTGTTTGTTGTTGTTATTGGACAGTGGACGAAGAAGTAGGAAAAAGATTGAATGAATCGAATATCTTTACACCATTTACATTGTCGTCGTCGTCATCGTTTCTGTGAATTACCGAAAATTCCAGCTGCAATCTTTTTGATGTCTCTGAAAGCAAACACAACTATTGCAATGCTTTTAAATTTCTTTTCAGCCTTCTTCAGCCTTTGCGCGATAATAAAACGGGAATTCTTCTTCGTTGCTTCAACGTTTTTTTGATATCCACGACACGTAAAAGTTTTCTACGTGATCAAAATCTTTTATTCCATTTATCATACGAAACATGAGAGCAGCAGCAGAAACACAGCATGGAGAAAGAGGAAAAGTATGAAATAATAAATGAAACTGAATTGGATGTAGTTGGAAAATTTGAATAAAACACTCGGTCGAGAGAAGAAGCTGAAGCTGAAGAGTTTGGGTGAATGAAGTTGAGGATGGAAAATCTCACAACTTGCTCGAAAGAGAACTCATATAAAATCAAAGACGAATTGTAAAGTGTTGCAATGCTTCATTATTGATTAAATCGCAATCACACGACTTATTCTTCTCCTTGTTCTTTCCATCAATGTTTCGGGAACATGAAACGAAACAAAAAAGACAATGATGGATTAATTTCCAATGATTTCGAATTGAAACAAAGTAAAATTATGAATTCGATTCGGTGGATGAAGATTTCATTTAATGATGAGCATTAAAGTGAAGTTGTGAGATCTTTCGACGATGCACTAAACTTCAATTCCTTAAAGAACTTCCCAACATTAACCAAATAGCGAGAGATCAGAGAATAATTCTCCAGTGAATTTGTTTTACGATTGCGACGCTTCTATTAAGAGTCGTAAGCGAACATGAAACTAGGATCGAAAAACTTCCTCAAATTTTACTACTTTGTAAATGGAAACTTAATGGAAATTCGTGGTTAATGTCGTTATAATGATGATAAGAAGGATGAAAAACTTTACGCTGCTTTTCCATTAGAAAACTATTTTTATGAGCTTAATTCTTAAGAATTTTACTTTAATTAACACATGAAGATAATTTGTAAAAATGTTTTTATGTCTAATTAAAATCTTAGGTTTTCCTTTATGACTTTTCCACATTAAAGGGAAAGTTTTCTTCACATCAGTGAAAGAATTTAAAAGAAAATTTCAACATGTTTGATCAATGCTTTAATTATTACATGTGGTTGTGAGTGTCATAAAATCAACCTGTTACGATATCAAAATCCTATTTGCAATAAATGTGGACAATAAAGTCAACAGGGAAAATAAAGTTTTCCCTTCTGAACATGTTCATATAGATGTAAGTAAGGATGTGGGTCAAGTTTGGGGATTAAAGTTAAATCGTTTACAAAATATGTTCTACTTTTAGGGAAAAACTATTTCAATTTCCTTTGCATAAAACAAACAAAATAATTGAAATCTGCCACAGTTAAAGACGAAGGAGAAAAATCAATAATTTATGATCTAATTTAATATTTTCATATATGTAAATTAAACATATTTTAAATTGAACATGTTTGTGTCATTAGATATGATTGCAATAAAATATTATTTACTTTAAACAAACATCAACCCTTTTTCACGCCGTCATCGACTAGAAACAAGCAAACAAATTAATTTTTCCTTCCCCGCTTTTCGTCAAGATGAAAGTGATTAATAATATCGCATAACGACAAACTTTACTCGAGTCATTTGTTAAATGATGTGATGAAAACTTCCAAATGAGCTTCATTTTTCTTGCTTTCATTTAAGGGTGAAAAGAAATTGATTAAGTTGTTTGACTTGCTTCAGCTTCTGATGAGTTGAAAAGAAAACACAAATAAAAAAGGTGAAAATGAAATTATTTTGAAGTTTTGGTAAGGCATTTGAAATTGTCTGAAAGAGATCAAGAACATGATGGTAGTTTTTAAAGCAAAAAACGTCCAAGAAACGTGCAAAACTCAACTGGAGTGTTAAATAAAACATCACTTTCAATAAGAAATTTAAGTCACGTGAATATAAAATCGTAAAAAATAAGGTTATTTGGTCATTCGCTGTAAATTACTTTCGGAAGGAATTCTTTTATGTGTTTTTATTTACTTTTTCGTTTCTCCTCTTTTTCTTTTCAGATGCTCGTCGTCAGAACGAAACATCCCGCATGGATCAAAATTTGTCCATCCAATTTACTATTTTAAGTTTACCCAAGAGACGCTCAATGGTACGTGGGGTTGAAACGCTTCATAATCTCTTATCGCTTTAAGTGGGGACGACGTATTGTGGACTTTAACTAAAGTGAAATTGAAGGAAAGCATTTCAACTTGTGTTGTATGATTAAATATGTTTGAAGGGTCAGGGAAAAGAATTCTTAAATATTCCCTTGTTTTATATCAAAGAAAATTCTTCTCAATAGCAAGCAGCAGATTTGAAAGAGAGAGAGAGAAAGGAGAGTAAAACATTTTCCAGTTTATGTCGCACTCTCAATCTCGACAACCTGCAACATGAAACGTAAAAAAAAACTTTATTAAGAACATTTGTAATATCGAGAAACGTAAAGCAATGTCGCATGTCGATGAGATGTGTTGCGAGAAGTAAAGAAATTCAACATCCAGCCGCGATACATGCTGAACAAGAAAAACGAAGAAAAAACAATTTGCCTGCTTGTATTTTTTTCTCGATAGCATCGTGTTTCAGTATTTTGCAAAATCTCCCAGAGGTTGGACGCGAAAGAAACAGGAAAAAATCGAAAGCATTACAGAAGTGGAAGATAAAGAAATGTTTTAATTTTATGATCTTTAATTTATCGTTTGATATTTTCTATCGATGAAAAAAAATATAACTCAACTCAATAGATAATTTATAAGTGGAAGATATCAAAAAAGGAAATTGTGCAATGGATCACAACGGTGGAAATTTCTCATCGCCATGGGCTGCTGTGCTAGGCCATCATCCAATGACTCCCGATCCAAGCTTTGCACATCACGGCTTGCCCATGGATTTGCATGTTTCACAAGGCTTTTCCTACTACAGGTGAAATATGTGTTGAAAATAAATTTCTCAACGCAAATTGCATTTATAAGTGTAATGATAACTTAACATCCGAAGAGGGAAAAACTGTCGGAATGATGAAAACAAAATTCAAATCGACCAGATGGTTCAATTTCAAAGTTCGCACATATTGATTTGGTTGACTCAGAAGTGGAGATGAAATGAAAATGAAAAAAGAAAAAAAAGTTAGCCGTGTGATTATCGAACTATTGAATGATAATACGGGACATTAAAAACTTTAAATTATTATCATTAATGACTTTAATGACGTGTTACGCCGATGCAACGTGCATGAAAATCATAATTGAAAAAAAGTTATAATTTTTTCCTGTATTGTGAATCGTTTTTGCGCACGAACTTAAATCGACAGAGAGAAACAGAAAAAAAATGGAAGAAAGAATAAATGATAAATTATTAAAATCCAATAATAATGAAGAGTAATTATGATTGCAGTCAGAGATTTATGGGGAAATTTCTGCGATTTTGTTGTAGAATCGCGGGTTCAAGTGGCTGTTCAAAATGAAAGATAATTTGGCAGTGCAAAGAAAAGAAATGATTACAAATCGCTCTCGCTTCATAATAATTCAATAATTATAGTTTTTCCACAAAGAAACCCTTCATAAGTGCGATTGAAGAAAAATAAAATAAATCACTTCAATCGAACGGAAATGCAACTTTTTTTATATTTTATTTCATTCGCGATTATAATTAATTAAGTTAATCGGCATTCAATGAGCGGCTACACATTGACGTAACATGAAACGATAGTATTTATGGAAATTTATTGTACGATGTACATCTCACGAATTTAATGGAGAAGCTTGGTTTCCAATTAAGATAAATTTAATTAACATTAACACACACTCGATCTATGAGATCTCTTTGCAATCGGCAACCATCTAGAGCTAATGAATAATTTTATCGAGCAGGAAAAAAGTGTTAATTCAGTGAAGCATGAAAACTATTTGTGCAAGTGTGAAAATCTACTTTTTCTTCTGTTTGTGAAAATATGCAAGAATTCTTCGCTCTACCTCGATGTGAGTGACGAGAACTTCCTTCTACTGCTGCTGCTGCTGCTTTTTTTGACTTAAGAGGCAGCCGAGTGATTTTCTCGTGTAAAAAACCGATTCAAAATAATGATGAAAAATAAATCAAATTTATTCTCGTAATCGAATTTTTGTTGCTCAATCAGCAGCTTCAGGTTTTTATTAGGAAAAGTTTGAAAATTTTGTACCAAATGATCATAGAAAAAATAAGAATTTGAGAAAGTTTCACACAAAATCAGAGTCGTTGAGAGTTTAGTTATGATAATAAATAATTTTTTTAATCAAAGTGTGATGATTTTCATTCCCACGAATTGACGAATCCACTTGACGTCCCTTGAGAAAACATTTTTCGCCCAAAAAAAAACTTAAAATAAAATAATACTTTTTTGTTTCAATATTAATGCGTAGAGGTAAAAGAAGCAACATAAAAAATAAGAGAAAAAAATCATCCAGCAAGTGGACGGCCAAAGCGCGATATAAAATCAAGAAATGAAGGAATTGAAAATAATCGATCTTGTCTCGATAATTCTTCTTTTTATCGCGACTTCTCCTTGCACAACATTTTAAACTTATAAATTTTTGATGTAGTTTCGTATGATGTTGATAGAGTTGAGAAATGCTGTCCTTATGAGAAATTTTTTCATAACCAGCAGGGTGAAAAAATTGTAATTTAAGTAATTGTGATTACCTTTAATTGATTGCAAAATAAGATGATGGGGGAGATAATTTTATAGTTATCATTGACAAGTTGACAATGTAAAGTTTTAAATTGTATCACCCTGTACATTTCATCAGCGGTATTTCGAGCATTTTTCTTCGATTCTTTTTATCCATATTTTAAAATAAATTATCAATATAATAATAAGGCCTGCGTTCCACCTTTGAAAGCAGCACATTCGATAAGAAGAATAATAAGAAGTTTGTTTCGCAACTGCCTAAAATAAAAGCAATCGTTGGATGGAGTTTGTTGCGTCAAAGCACTCTCGAGAGAGATGTTAATAATTGTCTATAGCTTCGATTACAATTTTACCATTTCTGTCGTTAATAGTGACATGCCACTCGACCACTGGTAAAATATCTTTCACATAAAAGAGAGAAATCACTTTAACAGTGAAGAACTATTAAATTAAAGATGCGAATTATGAAGGAATGCCTTTTTTTCCAAGATATTGGCATTACATGGAATGATGTCTGCTGCGGTTTAAATGAAGAAAAAATATTGATAATCAATGAATAATCGGTACATGAGACAACTTTTGATGTAGTTGGAAACGTTTCACTGTCATTTGTCTTTAATTGATAATTTTTACTGCGTGCATCAATGAAAAAAAAAATCATCGATGTTGTCTTCAATTAAAAATTGTATAAATTTATTAACTGGAAATCATTCCAACATGTTAATACGAATGTCTCGCTTCACAAAAACTGGTCACTTGTCAACAATTAAATGCAATTTGTTTCAAAAAAGAAAATTAATCATTACTGATGTTTGTTTCTTTTTCCTGATTTCCAAATATCTGAAAAGAATCATAAATAAATTTCACTGATGTTGACTCTTCTACAAATAAACTCATTACAGATATCGCGACGATCCTTTTGGGTGGAACGATAGGTAAACATTAAGATGTTTTTGACAACTTCAGGCGTGCAATGCATAAACGAGTTTTTAAAACTTCTTCTCTCTCTCCCTTCCGACTGCAATCATTTTAGGAAACCAGTAATTGATGCACAAGCTTCAGCAGTTAATTCACGGTGAGTTTAATTTTGTTGTTATAAAAAATTCTTCTCTTGGTGGAAAACCGCAAAATTGGACGAATTATAATTCCAATAGTGACAGCAAAAGTTATTTATTTATAAAAAAAAAAGTCTGACTACGTCACAAACTTTACACTTGACGGAGTTGAACAAAAAAATAAGAAATAATAACAGACGAATCTAATGAAGCTTGAGAGTTATTTTTTGTCATTCCTCTTGTTATTTATTTTGCAATTTCAACTGATAACAAGTTAGCAAAAGTTTTATGGGATGTAAGATGATTTCTGACAATTTGTGATGCAAAACAATGCAATTTAAAATGTTTCGCTATACTTTTCCCTTAAAGGGATTCCCTTGTCATCTGATTACAAATGTTGCTTTATGAGGTGTATTATTTGCAATTTTAAGTCTGCTTGCTTTCATTTAACATTTCGCAATTCAATCACAATAAACGAGAAAAGAATTTAAAATTTCGATCTCGTTCTATCTCATTTGATTATCTACTTAAGAATGTTTCTGAAAATAGGGTTTGATTGAATTTCATTTGTGTCATGTTTCTAAATTGCCAAAATTATGTTAAACGGAATCAACTTGAATTGACAATGTCATATGAATGTGATGGAAAGGGATGGAATTGAAATTTGAATTCAGTAATTTTTTGTTTCAATAAATTCATTTAAAGAAAGGGGGCAAGGATCAACAAGGATCAACATACAGCAAGTGATTTCAAAAACAAACATTCGAACCATAATGCAAACCACCGAACATAAATTTCTGAGGTCATTTTATGAGCTTATTTGTTGTTGCTCAAAATCCCATTATAAACAAAAGAACTTTCTTTTTATTATCCTTTTTTGTACATTGTTACGTTAAAAATTAGATAGAAAAACTTTTCTCTTCCCAGAAAGTCATAAAGGAAACAAATTTGAAGAGTTGGTGGTGGATGAAGTTGAATCTGATTGCGTGTTCCGAAGACTTACACGTGTTTTAATTTAATTTATAACTTTATTTCTTTCCCTTTCTTTTTTATTGTGTCTCCTGTTTTTAATCTCAAGATTTTTTTTATTTAATGTCCATCATAATTTATGGTACGACTGATGTCGACACAACATTTAACAGCTTTCTTTGAATGAAAGATAAAACAAAAAAGAAAAATAGAAAATGAAATTCTTGGTAACATTTGATTATCTGACTTCCAGTAGTCACGGTAGGAGAAGCTTAAAACATTATGACAACTTTTAATGTTCTTCATTGGAATTATTTAGTTATTTAAATTACGACTTCTGATGAAAATATTCTTATTCATTTCAATTTCATTATTCTCACCTCGTAAACGTCAATATTTGCTGTGTGATGTGCTTGCTCATTGAAGTTTAACAAAACTTTTCTGTTTCGCATAATTCATGAAATGTTGTAGGTGCGCCAAACTCAGTTTTATCATGAAAAAGTAAAAAAAAAAATCAAAGTAAAAATCTACAAATTGTCAATCGAAATGGAAACGGTGAAGAACTTTAATTGGTAAGAAATTCTTTCATTGATATTCTCGACGATTGCCACATGTCAAAGAACATCCGAGACAGTCTAAGTATTGATCTGTTGTTGTCTTCTGCGAAAAATTTATAAAAACTAAGCCAAATATATTGCTTCCTCAAAGCACACAACACACACAGTTATTACACAAAAAACGTGATGAAAGCCGGTGCACGTAAAATACTTTTCATACAGTTTTAGTTAAAATTCCATCCGGAGCATATCGTCGGGTTCATTCATTCTCACATTTATGTGTGTATATGTGAACGTGTGAAAAGCACATATTTTTTGATTGATAAAAAGCCATGTTCCGAAACGAAAACAACTTGTTGAGTCCACATACCAAAATTAACCAGCAAAAGTTCTTTTTTTTTCTTACTTCCAATTGTTTCACGATGAAATAAGTAAAAGGAGCAAAGGAAAGAAAAAAAGCAGCATTTTATCGAGAGAAAATTCAATATCATGTTGAGTGCGAAAATGCGAGTTGAACACAAAACTTTCTATGTCATGTTGAACGTGTTGTATCGTTTCAAACAACGTCTATGGCTATGTCGCTTGTACAACACAAGGCGGAGCTTAATTGTAAAACCAATCACGTTCATACAGAAAACGTACGGTGAGTGAGAGAGAAGAAGAGAAAGAGAGAAGGAATAAAAAGCATCATCATTACATAAAGCTAGAAAACTTCGAGTACAAACATAACTGAAGAGTTTTGTTTCAGTCACGTCCCGCCCAATCATTAGACTTATTATCATCCATAACATTCTCAGCTCCACCAGCATATTTTTCTACCTCTCGCTCGCTCGTTGTACTAAACTAATTTGTGATGCAAAAGACGTTCCATCTTTTTTCTTTCTACTTTTTGTTCCGTTGTACTCTACTCCGACAACAAACCAAAATAATAAAAAAGAAACAGAAAAGCAAAACATCGCGTAGAGCACTTGGCTAGCCAGTTGGACTTTTGTCGGGTTTTCAAGCGCACGTATTTCGACTTGCCCTCATCTCTCGTTCGGTGGTGTGTTGTGACATACTCGCTTCATTGAAATTCCGAGGGAGGGTGGAAAGGAAACACCGTGAAAAATTAGAAGCCAAGTCAGCTGATGAGCTGAAGACTCTCACATTTAAAGGTCGAGGTCCGACGATCGAGAGAATTATTTACGGATTTCCCCTTTTTTATTTTTGCGTGTTATTGCACAATCGTGACTATTATCATCAAATACAGCACGACTTTCAAGGCTGTTGAAATTAAGAATCATAAAAGGATACGGCTGTGGGGGGCAAAGGAATAACAAGAAGAAGAAAAAGAAAGAAGAAAAAAGTGTTTTGTGTGAATTGAAAATTGATGTTGATCGTCGGTGATGTTCGATGAATTTTAAAATAGTTCAAGAGACATTCAATAGCCGTTAGTGAAATGTTGCCGTATTCTACCGTCGCTGCTATTGATTACGCAGCTTATCAGTCACGTTCTGGATTGTCTGCATCAAATGGAACATCGTTTACACACTCCTGGTTGGTACCAACGCAGGAAATAAGCAGCGTAAATTTTAAGCCCAATCAACAGCAGCCGATTGAACCGGGGCACGTTTCTTACGACTCTAAGAAGTTTAAATTTCATCTTTTTAAACGGTGGTCGAAAGGGTCAAACTTTAATTTCTTTCTCTCTTTCATTCCTTTTGTTGCATGTTGGATTATGACTAACAAAAACACTAATAAATTTCATGATAACAACTTAAATCCTTTAGAATTCGAGAAACGAAGGATTTTAAAGAGAAAAGAAATCTCCACAGGGAACAATAACGAGTGAGATTGTTTGGTTCCTTTCTTTTAGAAACTTAAAGATTTCTTTTTATATAAAGAGGTCAGCGCTTATCTGAAATCAATGATTCCCTGAATTGGTAAATAATAGAAAGTAACGGCGTTTTGAATTCTAAATCAGTTTTTGTGCAATTCAGCTACCTGAGTTGTAACTTTTGAAAATCTCGTCCTGTTACTATATCAAAATTTACTGCAAATTAGAAAATTTCTTTCTCCTTTCGATGCACAATAAAATAAAAAGGAGAAAGAAATTATTGAACGACCAAGTTGGTTGAAATTCCCTTTTGGGAGTTTCTGGGAAAAATCGTCAAATAATCACAATTTGGGAAGAAAATCATTTTCATCTAGAGACGAATTTCCATTTTATTGTCGAATGATTTTGCTGACGAATAGAAGAAAAAGTCAATTTGTCACCAAAGTGGAAGACAAATCATGAAGTTTTGCTGACGAACCAGCACCACAGCATCTCTCATAGCTCACATAAAATGAAAGTTTATGGCTGATGAGAAAAAAAATCTTTTTTTGGTGTTGCGAAATGAAAAGAACGAGATTTGTCATCAAAAGCATTTGTCGGCTTTCATACTTTCACAAACACACACACACACATAACAATCTACTTTAATCATCATCAGTTGCTTTTCATGAAACTTATGAATGAAATGAGAAGAAAGATTTTATAGCTTTAGTGTCGCCGTCTCAACGGCATGTGAGTTAACGATAATCAGAAATAAAAACATGATTCTTATCTTTATTTAAATTTATGTTCTTATTTTCGTCTTTCTCAAGAAATCAACTTACTTTCCATGAATCTCACAGGTGATGATGATGATGAGTAACTAACCGATCTAGTTCCTATTTCATTTCATTCGAAACATTCTTAAATGACTCATGAAGTTCATGTGAATGAAGTCCAGGAGTAGCTTCTGTAATCGATATGGACATGTATGTCCAATTTCACGCTTGATTGATGAAGAAAAGATTAATTCACATTATTATGATGATGATGATTCTTCATTTTAAAAAGGTTTGGAGAGTGTGAAATGCGAACGGAATAAATGGAATTCATCTCGAGCCAGACTCAAAGTCTACACCTTTCAAATCTCATTTCAAAATATTTGACGCTATTCGACTTTTCCGGATAATAATACTCGTTATTTAAACAACTTCTCTCATTCAATCGAAATTACAATTTTTTTCCCTTTTCGAAACGTGAATCTGATTAATTAGCGACGCACATTAAAATATGAAATTATCTTCAACTCGTTTTCTTATTTTTTCAATTTAACAATCACGCGTGATTATCGAACTCACATGTTGGGATTAAAATGAAAATCGATTTGTCGATGTTAATTACGTTTTATGCACTTCACACAAACCATAACATTTGAATTCATCTCATCATTGAATATTTTTTCTTTTCTTTTTCACAGTATTTTGGAGTTGCGCAAGGAGAAGTCACGTGATGCTGCCCGATCGAGACGTGGGAAGGAGAATTATGAGTTTTATGAACTGGCAAAGATGCTTCCACTTCCCGCGGCAATAACAAGTCAGTTGGATAAAGCATCAATCATTCGACTCACAATCAGTTACTTGAAGCTTCGAGACTTCACACAACATGGCGATCCGCCTTGGAATCGTGAAAACAAGACAATGAATAAGATATTAAAGAGTAAGTTTCAATCCCCAGCAATGACCCTTCTTAAAGACATAAAAACTATAATTAAATACCCGCAAACTATTTGCATTCTCAACCCCCCGAGAGATAAATTCCATCAACATGTCTTGTCTTCATTTTCATTTGATCCTCATTAGCATTTATATGAAAGAATGAGGGGAGAAATTACGAAAAGAAAACTATCAGCGTTCGCTCATTCATTAAGATCGATGATGGTGATGGCAATAAGGAAGACAGAAAAAGAAGAAGAAAATATTTTTCGGCTGTTTTCATTAATGAACATCGTCGACTTATTGAAAAGCAGTTAACCCTTCTTCATTGACATGTTAAGTGGATTTTGTTTGTTTGTTGAAACCCTTTCCAACTACATTTCAACTTCATTAAATGTCTCTCATTTCTCGAAAATATTTAACATCCACATAATCCATCTAATCACAACAAACGAATCGAGTTTGATAACTTAATTAAAGTCGTTCACAATGCTTTTAATTTTGATTGAAAAAATAGGCAATGCAGCATCGAGACGAACGACAATGGGATTAGCATTGGAATTATTTGAACAACATCAAGGAACTCACATCCTGCAATCACTTGATGGCTTTGCACTTGCAGTTGCTGCTGATGGAAGATTTCTTTACATATCAGAAACAGTTTCAATTTATTTGGGGCTTTCGCAGGTGAGTCGATTGTTGTCTTAAATGTTTTTCATCACTTAAAGGAATATTTAGGAAATTCTTCTCCACCTACGCATTTTTTACATGATATTCAATGCTTATGTGCAAAGAGATAATTTTATTGCAAAAATGCTGATCACGTAGTGAAAGTTTTCTTCTTCGCTTTTCGGGTTTTCTCCTGCAGAAAATCAATAAATGATGTTTTCCTTCTTACTTGCCGTCAGGTCGTTGCTATAAAGAACGATTGCTTGAAATGAGATTTTCTGTTTTTTTGCGATACGAAATGGCATTTTCATTATAGATTTGAATTATACTTATGGGAGCGCTGTTGGCAAAGGATGCAAAATATCTTTCTCGATAGAATTTAATTGTTCGCAACTCCTTTAAGTTGATAGAAATTGCTAAAGCGTTTATGTTCCGAAAGGAAAGCATTATTATTACGAGTAATAAATCAAATGGAGTGAACGTTAAAGAATTTCTGCGCGCATGAGCGAAAGATGTTCGTCTTTAATATTAATGGAACTCTGATATCATTTTTTATATTAAGAATTTCTTTCTTATCTTGTTTACTAAAAGCTTTTTTAAAGGTTTTTCTTAAAGATCAATAAAAAATTGTTTAATGCTTTGCAGTTCAAGAACTTTCTTTGTCTTCATATTAAAGTCCAAAGAGAAAACTAAATAACGTCATCAAGTTTAAGTTCCAAATTTATACACACAACTTTAATTTAATTAATTATTCTATTCACAATTCAATGGCTTCCTTTGGAAATTTCAATAAAATTTTATATCATTTCAAGAGTTTCTTTCAATTCGTAAGAAATTTCTAATTGTCTTGATTGAGGTTTAAATAGGAAATTTTATACAAATAATGATGACAAGTCTGTCTATGATTATTTATTTACTGAATTTAATTGAATTTAAGCTTGAAAGCCTTCCTATAAATTCTAAAATGTTTAACGTAGATACGAAAGTCGATATTCACATTGAACCCATTTTTTTTCGCAAGACCTAGAAAAGATTTTAATTTACATCATTCGCAAGTATAAGTAAAAAAGAAATAACAAAACATTTCGTGACTTGAATAAAATTGACGCTTTAATTGTTTAAGTTAAAGCTCCAAAATGTAAAAAGAAGTTTTTTATTTCATTGCACAAGACAAAAGCATTTTACGCAAAAATGGTTAAATAAATCAAAGTGAATGGATAAGGTTGTGAGTTTAATGCGATTTCATTCTAAAAAATTGCAGGTGGAAATGACAGGAAGCAGCATATTTGATTATGTTCACCAAGCTGATCACGCGGAAATAGCTGAGCAGTTAGGCTTGAGTTTAACAAGTGGAAGTAACAACAATAATAGTGGAATGACATCACCAACATCAAATGATGAAGCTATTGGTACTAACAATCCTGATGGTTAGAAACTTTTTGGTTCACTTCCCATCTTCATCACATTTCCTTGCTTCATTGAGCATCATTCTCGATGTGCTCAATGATTATTCAATTAATTTTTATTCTCTTCAGTAATTGAGTCATTGTCTTCATAAATTCCACAAAGAAACTTTATTTTTGCTTTTAATTCGATAACTTGCTTGACTGACTTTCATTTCATTTCATTTCAAATCCACTTAACAGTTTCGTCGGTGATGTCTCTAAATGGAACCAATTACAAAGGCTACGAACGAGCATTTTGTGTACGAATGAAATCGACACTAACAAAACGCGGTTGTCACTTTAAATCTTCCGGTTATCGGGTAAGTGTTTGAAGTCGCAAACTAAAAAGCTTTATGAAAAAGAATATTTTTCACGTCGATCATCGCTTGACAAATAGGAAAGTAGAAAAAGCTCGTCTTACCTTTCAACCATTGAAAATAATTTCGGTAAAACAATGGTGGTTGAATATCGGGTAGGTATCGAGAGTTACTTACAGTCAAGATAATTAAAGCAAAGAAAAATATAAAAATTCATGAATAAGCGAGCGATAAATTAGGAAAGTTGTGTTAACTGACTCACTTAATATATTCCTCAGGTCGTTTTATTGCTTTGTCATCTTCGACCGCAATATTCGTTTAGTCACATGAAAAAGTCTCAACCTTCACTTCTCGGCATGACTGCATTGGCAGTCGCTTTACCACCACCATCAGTTCATGAGATTCGATTGGAATGTGATATGTTTGTGACAAGAATCAACTTTGATTTTAGAATAGCGCACTGTGAACCGAAGTAAGCTGAAGAACTTTAAAGCCCTTGATATTGTAAAAGAACTTTGCTTTCTTTCTCAAACTAGAATCACTGAGATCTTAGACTATTCACCTGAGGAATTAGTTGGCGAAAGTTTGTATTCTCTTTGCCATGGAGAAGATGCAGCGAAACTGAGAAAATGCCATTCAGATTGTACGACAAAGTTTATGAAAGTTAAACAAAGTTTTAAAAAGTTTCGTTTTTGTTTCTTTCCTTTCCACAGTGATTAGCAAAGGACAAGTTCTGACACATTATTATCGGATTATGAATAAGAATGGTGGCTACACTTGGATTCAAACTTGTGCAACTGTTGTTTGCAGTGTTAAAAACGCTGACGAACAGAATATTGTTTGTGTTAATTATATAATTACCAACAGAGAGAATAGCAATTTGATTCTTGATCAATGTCAACTTGGAATCATCAAACGTGAACCAATTCTGTACACCAAAAATGACAACGAACCAAAATCACCTGACATAAATGATGACAACTCAAAGAATGATCACGACAATAAAAATTGTATGAAACCAATTGAAAGTAAGTCAAATGTTGGATCAGTTTCTTCATCATCACTTGAGAATACAACAAAAGCTGTCGAACGTCCAAATCAAAGTTGCGATGATGAAACAACAACACAATCAACGAGTAAACGAGGAAGAAAACGAAAAGTGAAATGTGAAGTTAAAGGCGATTCATCTCCGGAGAACACTGCACCAATATCAATAAATCATACAAACTTAAGTGAAACTCATTCTTCAGATATTTCTGTTAAAGATCTTGAAAATGTCATGTCAAAGCATCTTCCTAAAGGTTCAATGGTTGACAACAACAATTCAACAAACTTTAGCACAGATTCTCTTCTTCGACAACAGCAAGCAGCAGCAGATGACAAAGCTTTGCACTTTTCACATGCAAATTCACATTTCTCACATCAAACATCGCCAATGCCAGCGACGGCTTTGCTCCGGCAACTTTACGCTAACCGTGAGAGTGTCATTAGAGCAACATCACGACCAGCCAACTACATGTATCCAGATAATAGTCAACAGCAATCTCTTCCAACACCTCCGAACGATTCTTACGACTCGCAATATTTGAGAAAGTCGGGCGAAAGTTTTGGAAATTTGGTGTCACCATATGGCGCTTATACATCAATGGAATACAATAATGCGATGACTCCACCGAGTTCAGTTTCACCAAGGGATTTAACTAATCATAAGAATAGTGGAACTTACGAATACACAAATTTATCATCGTCTAACGATAGTCGATTGCAATATCCAACAAATAATCCCAACGACACAAATTCACTTCCACATTTGCCATTAAAACCTCAACCATATTCAATTCATCAAATGGATCCATCCTATAGCATAGATCATCAGTCACAATACTTTCCTTACCATTCTGGTTTTCATTTGTATCACAAAGGAGTTTACACGCCACCTTAGAATCAAAGGTTGTGAATTTAATTAAGTTAATGTCCAAAAACTTCCTCTCATTATTTCTTATTCAAATACATTTTGGGTAATTGTTAATCAATTGATATTAGATTAAATGAAATGAAATTGTAAAAATATAGAATTTAACTTATGCACAATTATATTTCCATATTTATGTATTAAATAATTGTCTGAGTGCGCTCGTCATTTGTTTTGATTGACATTTCAAGTGATTTAAAGATTGAAAGATTGTCAATAACATCGAACGAAAGATTTCGAGCTGACCAAAAAACTGATGGAAATTTAACTAACTTAACAAGCTTTTCATTACATTTATGAAGTTGCTTCGTTCCAACATCAAATTTACTTAAAATTACTAAATTGTGCCAAAAAAAAGTTGTTTTCATACTCAAAAGAATTCAAATATGTAACTTAACAATATCTGAAACTTTGAATGGTGTAAGATTTATGATTCATGTAACTCAACTTTTAAAGTTTTCCTATTCACGAATTGTAAGAAAATTTTGTTTCAATTCTCAATTTGTATGTTAAATTAATACTTAAATAAATCATAATCCATGAATTACAAATTTTTGCGGTGCTTTCTTTAAAACTTTTCTGTTTTATCATTAAAACTTTATTCACGACGCACCTGCAGGATGCCGATTCTTAATTAAACTTTAAAATTACAGATGAAAGTAAAACAAATACATGCAGATGGAAACTTATTCGTTTTTCCTTTCTTATCTTTGTGAAGACTGAAATAAATGAGATTGGAGAAAAATATTTCTTTGCTCTGCTTTTCATACGAGAAAAGTTGAAAGAAAAAAGGAAAAATTTTATGCAGTCGTAAAGCTTTTATCCCCTGAAAGCACAAATTCATGTTCTACACTTCGCTTCTTTTTCTTTATTTATAAAAGGGAGACGAGAGATGGAAAATTATTGATTTTTCCACAGCTATACATTTTCTCATTAGAACGTGATCAGCATTTTAGGTAGCGCAGAAAGTGCTGTGGAAACAACATTAAAAAGACGAGAATGAAATTTTCCATTTTCCCTCATCTCGCAAAAATGGAAAAAAAGGAAAATTCTGTTAATAATTCTTAGCGATTATTTGTATCTTCAATTAAGTTGAGGGAAATGGTTAAATGTTGAGGTAAATGACATGATATCAAATACTTTAGTAATCTATTCGTCACTCGTTAATAAGTTTCACGTTTCAAACATTAATCCATGTGATTGACATTTATGTGAAATTCAAATAGTTTTCCATTTGATTTAATCAAGTAACAAAAAGTTAAAAACAAATCAACATTAACATCAAATGCTGACATGACATCACTAACGAAAAATTTCATGAGCAGAGTTTTGAAATTCTTTCTCATCGATTTTTGTCTATTTCACATTCATCATTGTTGCTTAGTAGAGTTTGGCGTTAAGAAACCATGAATTTTCAATCAGCCATGAAATTGAACATTCATGCTCGAGATCGATTGAATGAAATTGAAATTCACGTTAGTTCGTAGGCTCTTAAATGCTTCTGTGTGACTCATCGATTTGGCATCATCATTTAAACTTATCCACCATTCATGATACGAAAAAACTAAGTTTATGTCACTTACTAATAGTGTCACCGAGAGTTGGAACGTGTCGATGTTACCCCTGCCATCATAATAGAGTTATTTATAGACTGCGCTTTGATGGATTCATAATTGGTGACTTCAGACGACAATCTCAACAGCAAAGCTGAGAGAAAAGTGAATCTTTTGCCTCATAATTGTCCATTCGTACGTTTTTGCCATCCGGACGTGATTGGCTTCACAATTAAGCTCCGCCTCGCGTGTGTGTATGCGTTTGTGACATGCTCAACGAGCTTCTATCTTCTTCGTTCTTTAACGAGAACCATGCGGCATAGCAAGACAATACGACACGTTTCGCTATTCATAAAACACAAAAACTTTTGTGCCACCGCAACAAAAATCGATATTCATGTGCAGTTCATCTCGTCTCACCCACAAACATAACTTCAATGATGGTTTATGCTCTTTGTCCCGTTCGTTTCTTCTCTCTTTTTTCCTTGATTTATTCAACAAGTTTTTGAAGGCTATTCGACTGAATGTAAATTTTGGCAATTTTTCTTTTTTATATTTCTTTAAATGGTTGAACGAAAAAGAAGCAGTTCAACGACACACGAAAAATCTAAGATTTATTATTACTTTCCAACTTATTTTCAATGTCAAACTTTCCTAAAAACAATTGAGAATGTTCTCACGTTTTAAGATGACAAACGTGCTTTTCAAGAGGTGGAAGTAATAACTAATCAAGAACAATCGTGTTGCTGACAGAATTGAATGTTGTTTCACTTCTATGATGCTGTTATTGGTTAAATGTTTATTTGAGTTTTACTTTTCTCTCCATTTAACAAAATCATTGAGGTTTGAGAATTTAAAACATATTCGTTAGATTATTGATGAAAAACATTCCTCAATTCTTTGAATATTTAAAGACAACCTGAAAGAAGAGAATTTGTGGATGTTTCTTCCCTCGAATTTGCAATAAATTTCCCTTCCGTGTAATAACCTAATTGCTCGAGCCAACTTCAAGTAAAACATCAATTATTAAGCTTTATTGCCTCTGATTCCTCAGTATCTCATGGGGTAAGTAAATTATTCACTTTACATAGTTCACTTTCCACGGTTGTCATTCATTCAAAATAGACTCGGAAGTTCAGAATAAAAAAAAAGCAAAATATAAGAGAAAAACAATCTTCGAGTAAAGGAAAAAGCAATAAAACATTCGAAGCAGAAAACATCTCTTTACTTATTCATCATGTATCTTAATCCATTACTTTTTTCTTTAGGCTTAAAGCATAAATATCTTGAGACAAACGACAAAGGAAAGCGCTTTACTTCAAGATGTAAGAAATATGTTTGTACAATTGTGGTTGATGCTGTCTGTTATTTTGAATTCCTTTCTTGAAGGATTTATCCGCAACATTAGGATTTTATGTCATGAGTGGAACATGTGGGGATAGAAATTATATGAATTTAATGCAAATGGTTTTTGCCGTCCTATATGAGAGGAAACACAATTTTAGCTACCATCTAAGGGTGAAACTATAATTTACAAATGTTACACAATTCTTTTTTTTCCTGTCGATTCCGGTTTCAGAATATCGTTGAATAATTTCTTTTAATTAGTTTTTAATAGAAATGTACAAAGTTGTCGTAACGAAGACGTCTCCAATTTATTTATGTTCCTAAAATAGAAGTTTTATATTTTCAAAGTCGGTTAAATCTTATGCCGACTGCTGCTTTCCATATTTTTTGTCGTGAATCACGTCTCAGGAGAAAACAAGAATCCAAAAAGTTCACAGTTCAGACCTCCTACTCGATTCATGTTTTACAACTGAATTATCTTTAAACCACAAAGGAATGCTTGTTTTTATTTTTATTATTATATTGCAAATATTTTCTTAACAATCGACTTCCTCAGTGATTCAGAAACTTTTGTTTATATCATAAAGTTTACGAATCGTCGATTAAGAACAAAGCGAAAGAAGATAAAAGAACAGGTTTTGATGTTTGAAGTCTAAAAAAATTAATCTCGGTAACAATAAAAGGACGGCTAAAAATAATTATTGCATTGGAATGCCTTAGACGTCGCGCTTTAATCGATGACCTTGAATTCTTTATTGATTTCTTAGACATTTCAACGATCTTTGTAGACGTTAAACACATGATTGGTAGGTGAATGCTTTGTTACGGATAAAAAGTTGTTTGAGTATATTCAATATGTGAGTATTGTTGTCACAATATCATAATTTGATTTTCGTGAGTAGACAAAATCACAATAAAAATCCCATAAAACCAATTACACTAAGCATTGTGGGTGACGTTACATCATAAGTAAGGATGAAGGAAAAGCAGTAAAACATTTTAAGAGATTTTCTTTGCACGGCATTGAAACATCAATGTATGAAACACAAAAAAATGTTTTATTCTTTTATTATTAGCCAAGATGTTCATGAATAAATAAAGATGACTTTTTTTTGTGTGGATATTTGAACGAAGGCTTATTTATGCGACTCTTTTTTTCATGTTTAATCGGGGAGTGAGAATAATTTACGATTATGGATTTAACGACGAACGATTGAAGAGGGGTGAATTATTAACATTTCAAAAAGAAAGGAAAGAAGGTGATTTCTGTTATTTTCTGCATTGAAAGTTGAAACTTATGTTACGATTCTCAAAAATAAGAGAAAGTGAATTTAACGAAATTTTCCACTCACCTTGCATTGATCATTTAATTGTCTTTTAAATCTTAACATTTGCCTGATGACATTAATGAAAGTTTCTATAAATAAATTTCAATTTAAAATCTTTCGAATCAAAATCTATTTGAAATCAACAAGAGGGGCAGTGAACTTATCTCGATTGCTAAACACTCAAAATTATCTTAAATTAAGTAAAATGACAATAAATTATCTCTTTCGTATTTTACACAAATGATTTTATAATCTTGCAATTTCAAGCGTTTAATATTGCTCGAGATATCTTCCAAACATAATCAGAAGCTCAAAATGTTGATCCCAAGAAGCAATAATTTATGCATTGGATTTTCTCTCCTCTCATGATGTAAATTTTCATTTCACGTTGTCGATATCGATATTAAATAAATCATTATTTTCCGTTCTCTGTCTCGGTAAGGCTCAAGTTAATTCTAAATACATTTGATGTCTTCTTAGTAAGGAAAACGAAAAATGATTTCTTAGCCTCGAAGAAATGAGATGAGAGGAATTAGATTGTCTTCCAGAAATCACAATAACACGAAGTGAAGCAAAATAATAATTTTAAGAAAAGAAGACTTGAAATTGTTATCAGCAACGTCAAAATTTTAAAATAACATGCGGCTGTTTGGTTTCTACCCTTAAGGTTTCCTACAATTAGGTTCTTCAATATTCAGTCGATATTATGAATAAAGTTTGTTTGTTTTGTTATTTAAATTTTTCATTTATAGAATGGCAGCATAACAAGACAAGACACATAATGTGTCAATATAAAAAAATTGTTTTTCAGCTCAAGAAATGTTCGTTAATGGAAAATGAATTTTCCTAAAATGGAATTATTAAAACCCGCCAGAGAAATCTCAAATCTGTCTTGTTAGGAAATTGACATCATCGCCTTAAGGTTCATTGATAGACTTTTTCCTCTCTTATTTCTTTGCAATCACGTTTTTTGTTCCACAATTTATGTCGCTTCGACTCAGTAAGCTTATTATCGAGCTAAAGGTGCGAGAAACTAAGAAATTTTTCTATATTAAAAACTTATTGCTAATATGTTTTTATTGCATTACAAAACGACGTTGTGGTAAAAGATTGGAAGTTGATTCTATTTAGTAATAAGATAAAAACTTGAATATCTAAATGGTTTGTCGAGAGAAGAAAAAAATCAAGCTACTTACATTTAAAATACATTTCTTGTGCTGCACAGCTGCGTGAGAATTTCAAGCTTTGTTGCACCGACATGTTGATGAATAACATCCAGTATTTTCATGGCTACTTGTATATTCCATTCATAAATGCATAATACTTTATACGGGAAGATATGGATCGTGATTGTAGCAGCAGTAACAACCTCGCTACCAAAGAAGCTAAAAGTTTTTCAACAATGTTGGTAGCATTTGCATTGGGAAGAATGTGCAAAAGAAATGTTCTCTCATCATCATCAATCTCAATTTCATGGCAAAAGCCTCGAGGATTATATTCTGGAGCAGCAACAGCAGCAGCAGCATTGAAGTCATATTCTGATGTAAGATTAACATTATACAAATTGCCGTCAATTTCAATGCATTTACATATCACATTATACAGCAGCAATCGTTATCGATTTCGAAAACTTCAAATTCACGGCTATCAAAATAAGATTATCGTGAACGGAAGAGAATCTTTTGTATCGTCTTTTAATAGCTGGCAATATTTCATAATTCTTCGTCAATTTTATCGGAAAATTGTTCGACATAAAAATCACTGTTCATTTATATTTATCTTCTCTTCTGCTTTTCTCTTCCTTCATCGCTGTTTGCTGTCACCAAACAACAAAATCTGATAAGATAAGAGACACCAACAAAATATTTTAAAAAGACAACAAGTAAATTTATCGATAATAAGCAATTCAGTTTCATATTTACCTCGCAGAGTGTCAAGCCATAAATCATTGAAGTGATTTAATTGATTGAAAAATTAACTCTTCGTTAAGTATTAACATCGAAAGCGAAAGATTTCGCTCCACAATGATGGATGAAATTGAATCAAATTATTATTACAATGCATCAGATGACGATGATGATGATGACGACGATGAAGAGATTTATGCACCACTTAAAAAGTGCTTTTAATAATGATTAACATTTTGAAAAATTATTTTAAAATTTACATTTTCAGAGCTAGTCAACAAGAATTCAAGCTTTGGGATTCATTTCAAGATCCACCAAATGAAGAATCAAGTGGATCATCAATTGATATCGAATGGATCGAAACAATGGCAAAAGTTATGAAAATTTTCACTTATTGGTTTGTGTTTTTCGTCGTTGCAGCGACAAGCGTCTTATCAAAGTTGTCGTTTCTATTGATGACGTCGAATGTTAACGAAAATTCTAAAAAACCTTTTTGTGAAACAAGCAGTGAGTCAACAAACTTTTTTTCCGTAATTCAATCAACCATTCAATTTTATTTTATTTGTTTTATCAGTGCCAGAAAGGAAGCTTGAAGCTTTCATTCCTAAAGAGCAGAACATTGCATGGTCTTGGGCGATTATCATTGCTTTCCTAGTGCCTGAAGTTGGGACACTTTTTAGATCTCTCAGAATTTGCTTTTTCAAAAGCATCCGCAATTTTACGTGGCAAGAATTTGGAATTGTTTTCATGTTTGAGACATTGTATGTCGTGGGACTTAGTCTGCTAGCGTTTGAAGTTCTTCCTGCTCTTGATGTGATTCAAGGTGCCATGTTGACCAACTGCTTATGTTTCCTTCCATCGATTTTTTGTGAGAAAAAACATTTTCCCTCATTGATTGTTTGATTTATTTGTTTACAATCTGTCACGCAGGCATGTTGTCTCGATCTCCCGATGAACCCAAAAGAACAGTCAAATATGCTCTAGACATTGGATCGGCAGCCGTTCAATTGATTGGTTTCTTCATCTGGCCATTAGCAATCACGTCTTCTTGGAGCATCTGGTTTCTTCCACTTTCAGCTCTTCTTGTGTCGTGTCGTTGGTGGGAAAATTTCATAACAAAGTGCAGTTCATTTGGTGATATTTTGAGAATTTATTTCATGTTTTTCGCTTGTTTTCATGATTTATTGACTTTCCTTTTCAGAACAAATTCAATATCTCGCCTATATCAAGGACAATCTTAATGAATCACGTTACAAGATTTACTCTCTCATAGCGCCGTATAAAGTTCTTCTTTTCTTCTTCATCTCCGCACTTCTCTCGCCCATTCAATTCACTGATTTCTTTACAATGTTCACCACAAGTTTCAACAATCATACGATAAAAATCGAAGAAGTAAAACCAATTTTGAATGATAAATTACCCGACTTCGATGACATTACCAGCGATTTATTCAGAGCAGAAATATTTGGGAATGTAAATGCGATTTGGTGGATTTTGTTGACGCACGTAGCATCGTCGTACATTTGTTACATTTTTAGCAAGTTTGCATGCAAAATTCATATTCAAACGTTCTCGTTTTCCCTTCCGATCAACCTCACTGTTCCCTTCGCAATCTGCACGCTGATTATTCTATGCGGACTGCGTGAAGCCAATATTTGCGTTTATCACGACATTCTTCCTGATTACATGTTTTTCCACATGCCGCCTGTTCACTTCATGTTTGGATACATTTTTAAACAGTTTGCTTGGCTTTGGATTTTTTGGTTGTTTTCGCAATGTTGGATAACAAGACATCTGTGGAAATCGCGAAGCAATCGTAACGCATCAACTGAACGACTTTTCTTGCTGCCAATGTACGACACTTTAATAATTGATCAGTCTCTTGCTTTTAATCGAAGACGTGAAGAATTCGGTGAATTTATTCCGACTATGGTAAGATGTCAACAACGGAAACGAAGCACAAAATTTATTCATTCTTTTGGACATTTTTTTATCATCATAGGAAAAGGAAGTCATTAATGATCCCGAATCTTTAAATGAAATTGACGCTAAAGTTTATGCGAATAAAAGTAGCAAAGAAGGTGTCACAAATCGTGATCACATCCCACAGATTTTCATTTGTGCTACAATGTGGCATGAAACGAAGGAAGAATTAATGGAATTTCTTAAATCAATTTTGAGGTTGGACGAAGATCAATGTGCACGTAGAATGGCAATGAAATATATTCAATTGAACAAAGATGAAATTGACAAAGAATACTACGATTTAGAAAGTGAGTTTGAATTTTAATTTATTTTTTAAGGCTTGGAATTTCCAAGTCATGATTGAATTTTCATGTAACAATCAACTTGAGAATAATAATTAATTACACCCACACAGCGCATATCTTCTTTGATGACGCTTTTGTCGGTAACAAAACATTGTGTGAAAGTCCGGAAGCGACACCAATAAACACTTACGTTCATCTTTTAATAAACAATCTCGAAGAAGCAGCTCGAGAAGTTTACAAAGTGAAGATGAAAATTCCACCACCGACAAAGATTGTTTGTCCATATGGCGGTCGGCTTGTGTGGACATTACCAGGTCGTACGAAAATGATTGCACATCTTAAAGATAAAAATAAAGTTCGTCACAAGAAGCGATGGTCACAAGTCATGTACATGTATTACTTGCTTGGATATCGAATAATGCAACTTGATGCGTCACCAGAGAGAAAAATGACAATTGCACAAAACACTTATTTGTTGGCACTTGATGGTGACATTGATTTTCAACCAAAAGCTGTTCACCTTCTTGTCGATCGAATGAAAATCGATCCGGATTTAGGTGCTGCTTGTGGACGAATTCATCCGGTTGGCAATGGGCCAATGGTGTGGTATCAATTATTTGAATATGCAATAGGACATTGGCTACAGAAAGCGACAGAACATGTCATTGGATGTGTACTTTGTAGTCCTGGTTGCTTCTCATTATTTCGTGGTAAAGCTTTGATGGAGAACAGCGTGATGAAGAAATATACAACAAAGTCAGATCAAGCACTTCATTACGTGCAATACGATCAAGGTGAAGATCGTTGGTTGTGCACTTTAATTCTTAAACAAAAATATCGTGTGGAATATTGTGCTGCTTCTGATGCTTACACACATGCACCAGAAGGTTTCAACGAGTTTTACAATCAAAGACGTCGATGGGTGCCAAGCACAATTGCAAATATTTTCGACCTTTTAAGAGATGCAAAACGAATCACAAAAGTTAATAACAACATTTCAATGCCTTACATTATTTATCAAATTATTCTCATGTTTGGAACAATTATTGGACCTGGAACAATATTTTTAATGATGATAAGTGCAATTGTTGCTGTTTTTAGTGTTGATAATTACACTGCATTCACTTACAACTTCATTCCACTTGGCATCTTCATGATGATTTGCTATTTCTGTAAACAAAAATATCAACTAACCGCGGCTTTCATCATCAGCATTGTTTATTCGCTTATCATGATGGCAGTTATGGTTGGCGTTTTAATTCAAATAATTGAAGATGGAATTATGGCGCCATCGTCACTTTTCTTCGTTACCGTCGCCTTTCAAATAATCGTCACTGGTTTCTTGCATCCACAAGAAATCACTGCTTTACCTTCTGGAGTCATTTACTACATCACCATACCATGCATGTACATGTTGTTGACAATTTACTCGTTGTTTAACATGAATGATGTATCATGGGGAACGCGAGAGAATCCTCAAGAGGCACAGCCGTCGAAAATGGTAAGATAATTGTTATTGACACTTGCATTGCTAGTGAATAAAATGATTTCCATCTATAGGATGAAAAGTTAACAAAACGACAAACAAAACTACAGAAATTTCTTGGCTATTTACGACCAGGAACTGATGATGACGAAGAAGGTTCTTTTGATCTTTCATTCGCCGGTCTTTTTCGTTGTATGTTTTGTACACATAAAAAAGTTGACACTACAAACACTCAACTTATGCACATTGGAGCTTCACTTGCTGATTTAAACTTGAAGTTAAAAAACTTGGAATTGAAGCTGACTCAAGAGAATTCAGTGATGCAATCAGATGATGAAATTGATGATGTTGATGAAGTTAATGATGACGATGGACTTGAAGATGTTCCTTTGATGCCATTAGAAACGAATGAGAAGCAAAATAATTTACTTCCTGATTGGCTTTACGATCCCGATTTAAAAGACGGCGACACTGAAACGATATCAGCAGCTGAAGAACAATTTTGGGTTGATTTAATTGACAAATATTTGAAGCCACTTGACATGACGCCAAAAGACAAAGAAAATATGCAAAATCAGTTGAAAGCTTTAAGAGATATTGCGGTGTTTGCTTTCACTATGGGAAATGCGCTCTTCGTTTTGATTGTCTTCCTTCTTCAATTGAACAAACAATATTTGAAAGTTCGATGGCCTTTCAATGTTAAGAATAACATAATGTTTGATCAAGATACATTTGAGATAATAATTCAACGAGAATATTTAAATCTTGAGCCGATTAGTATGCTGTTTGTGATGTTCTTTGGAGTTGTTCTCATCGTGCAATTCATTGCGATGCTTTTCCATCGATTTGGAACAATATCGCAGATTTTAGCAACAACGCAGATTAATTGGTATTGTAGTAAAAGAGTTAAAGACACAGTTTCGGCAACAGAATTGAAAGAACATTCTGTGGAAATTGCTCGACATTTACAGAAGCCAAGACCCGAATGGGAAGATGACGATGACAATGAAAAATCAAATAATCGAACAGACACAATTCATCGATTGCTGTTGCAGCATAAGAAGCAAAAAGATTGGAGCAATTTAGAGACAAACTTCAAACGTGAACTCTTTAAGGAAGGTGACTTGAATTTAAAGAAACTTAAATTGACAAAGAAAACTGAATCGATTCTTGATGACTTGCGTAAGTCAATGGCGGAATATCGTCGTGCTCAGAAATCATCTTCCATCATTAATCCTTACTTCACGAGTAACGACAGTGCTTACAGCTTTGCCAATAGCAATCAGTCTGAGAACTCTTTCTCAATTTATCAACGTTCGACTTTCCGCACATCACCAATTCCTTCTGTTTATGTTAGTGGATTTCCACTGAAAAGTGCTTTGAAGAATTCATCAAGTCGTCAAACTTTAACTTTGAAAGATGACAACTTGTATTCCGAAGGAATTGACAATTTCTCGTTTGTAAACGGCGACGAAAATCTCAAAGACGAATCTAGCAACGATGACGATGTTAATGGCATTGAAATGTATCAGAGACGTCAACAAAGCAGCGACACTTCCATTTGAATAAATTAATTGATTTCGTCTTCTTGATATCGGATAAAAAATAAGATTTTTCTCTTTTTTTGAAAGATTACAATCCACAGAAAACATTTCATCGAAAACACGTGTTTGCATTTTAAATTCTTAATCATTTGATCCCCTTAAAAATAAAGAGCAATGAAATATTAATACACAGAAGGCAAAAATTGAGAAAACATTCTTGAGATCATTTTCATTCCGGTAGAATTTCCACAGAAAGAAAAAAAAGGAAATTTCATAAATAAGAAAATCTGATAAAAAATGTTCTCAACCCTCTTGAGCTAATATTCTTGTTGCTATTTTTTTCCTTTTATTTTTTTGCTTCTTTTTTTCATAAATAAAAAAAATTGACTCACGACACCCTCTCGAGAGTCGAAGAGTTTAAAAGAAATCATTACAAATGAAGGGGGTAAGCTTTTTGATCAGAAATTATGTAGAAACAAATCCTTTCTCATAAATATCTGCATCATTTCCCGGTTTCTGTTGGTACTAAAAACGGTGGCTAGGAGATTGGGTTGAACAAATTTCAGTTTGTCATGTCGAGAATTTCAAAGTTTTCCACAAAGAATTTCAGAAATCTTTTCATCTGGTCAACCTTCAACAACCTGAAATCCAATTTATTAAAAGAAATTTCCTTTAAAATGGAAAAAAAAGAAAGTTCGATAAAAGAAAAATACTTTTCGGAGGCAATTCATTAATTATTTAACATGTTTTTATTTATTTTCGATAATGTTGTTTAGTGATGAGGTTTAGATCTGATGTAAGAAAATATAATTTGATAAAAATGTTCCCCTTTGGAATGTGATTTTGTGTGCAGTTTGAGATGCAATTTACGATATTTTATTTAAAGGAACATCTTCGATATCTTTTTTACTTGTTTTATTCATTTGCCTGGATCATAAAATGACCCTTTCGACCGTTGGAATTGATACTTTCTTACACAGCTTGACGTACGTTTAGTGGATTTTCCTGAATAAATTTCATTATCATTTCATGCCATTACATATGTGCCTTGAAAAGTGTTCCGAAGTCATTGCGGAGTTATTTTTATGATCTTATTCGATAAATATTTTCTCTCATTTCATTTTATGGTCAGATAAAAAGCATCAAAGGTCATATCATGAAATAATATTTTCCATGATGATAATTGAGAGAGAAAAGGAAGAAATAATCTTCAAGACATGAGAATTCATATAAAAAGTTAAATTTAAATAAATCGACAATCTTCAACTTCTTATGGAAAAAATAATTTCCTCGTTCATCATTTCATTGTCGCATAACTTTGTCGATATTTTTCCGAATGTTCCTTTATGCAGAGTGAAAAATTAACACACACTCAACGAATATATTAAAAAATTCATCAACAAGAAAAATCTTCAGCAATTTTTCTTCAGACTTGATTTGAGTTTTGCAATTTTCTTTGTAAGAATGAAGAATGCAAATGAATCAACAAGTTCAATGAGAAAGGCTGTTCATTTTGTCACGGAAAAGTAATGTAGTTACGGATGAATGGAATTTTCTCATTTTTTTCGCCCTAGTTTTCAATTCTCCGCAGTGTCGAGACCGAAATGAAAAAATCTAATAATAAACACCCCATACATTCATTAAATTGCGTTTCTTGCGCAATTCTGAAGTTAAAAAAGGAAAATTTATTGCTTTACAATTTAACTTTAGTCCTTAAAAAAAGTTCTCTGTACTGTGTTAAGAAATATGTCTCAACGAAAGTGGTCTTTTCTTTAAACTTCCCTACAACTTCTTGCTTGAATTCATTCTCCAACCCCACACATTAACAATCTTGTACAAGTCCGAGGAAATTGGAAAATTCCTTCGAAAGTAAAAAACAAAAATTAGATTCTGCATTTAATTTTTATGTTCGCACTTTTTAATTATGCAAATGAAAGGCAAATACACAAATTTATTTTAATTGTTAGACGGAAGAACAATTCTTAGACAGTTTCTCGATTTTCCGCTTCATTGTTTCTTTGCACAATTTTTCCTTCTTTTTTTAGTGAAATTCCAGGAAAAGTTAATTTATGATCTGGAGAATTAAAACTTCAAACATTATTCGTCCTTTAATTGCTTTAACTTTGGGTGAGATATCAAAAGTCTGACTAATTATTTTCTTTTTGTTTTAAGCAATCTTATGGAGCTTGAATTTATGTTCCAGCTAATCGTCCGTGTATCTCATGAAATATTCAAATTTTCTTCCGCTTTCTGATGATTTACAATCGTTTTGAGAAATATTTCTTTCCTTATCTGATTTTTGAAGCCTTCGATGTGACTTCCAAGGGTGATTTTAAATGTTTAAAATATTAACTTGACTTTGTAGAAATCGTTTATGTTCAATTCGAAAGTCATTTGTTTTCTCCTCGATATTTAGTCAGTCACATAAAAAAGCTGTTGAATAATTTCCTTCATCATTTTTCATGCCTTCCTTGCAATTTCTTTTTTATTTATTCTTGCTAAATCCTCATGACAAATGATGAACTGTCATATGTTATGTCATTTTCCTATTACTTGTATGAAGGACAATATTGTGATGTTGTGCGACTAGAGGGCATGAAAAACTAATTTTAATTTTGATCATGACCGGAGAGTGAGAAGGAAAAATTGTTTCCTTTTTCGAAAGATTATCGTCGTAACAAATTGACTTTCGTTTCATTTTTCATCTACAAGCATGTGTGGAAATCTTTAAGGAATTTAAAACGAAAACGAATTAAGCTCGTAAAAATAGTTTTCTAATGGAAAAGCAGCGTAAAGTAAAGTTTTTCATCCTTCTTATCATCATTATAACAACATTAACCACGAATTTCCATTAAGTTTCCATTTACAAAGTAGTAAAATTTGAGGAAGTTTTTCGATCCTAGTTTCATGTTCGCTTACGACTCTTAATAGAAGCGTCGCAATCGTAAAACAAATTCACTGGAGAATTATTCTCTGATCTCTCGCTATTTGGTTAATGTTGGGAAGTTCTTTAAGGAATTGAAGTTTAGTGCATCGTCGAAAGATCTCACAACTTCACTTTAATGCTCATCATTAAATGAAATCTTCATCCACCGAATCGAATTCATAATTTTACTTTGTTTCAATTCGAAATCATTGGAAATTAATCCATCATTGTCTTTTTTGTTTCGTTTCATGTTCCCGAAACATTGATGGAAAGAACAAGGAGAAGAATAAGTCGTGTGATTGCGATTTAATCAATAATGAAGCATTGCAACACTTTACAATTCGTCTTTGATTTTATATGAGTTCTCTTTCGAGCAAGTTGTGAGATTTTCCATCCTCAACTTCATTCACCCAAACTCTTCAGCTTCAGCTTCTTCTCTCGACCGAGTGTTTTATTCAAATTTTCCAACTACATCCAATTCAGTTTCATTTATTATTTCATACTTTTCCTCTTTCTCCATGCTGTGTTTCTGCTGCTGCTCTCATGTTTCGTATGATAAATGGAATAAAAGATTTTGATCACGTAGAAAACTTTTACGTGTCGTGGATATCAAAAAAACGTTGAAGCAACGAAGAAGAATTCCCGTTTTATTATCGCGCAAAGGCTGAAGAAGGCTGAAAAGAAATTTAAAAGCATTGCAATAGTTGTGTTTGCTTTCAGAGACATCAAAAAGATTGCAGCTGGAATTTTCGGTAATTCACAGAAACGATGACGACGACGACAATGTAAATGGTGTAAAGATATTCGATTCATTCAATCTTTTTCCTACTTCTTCGTTCACTGTCCAATAACAACAACAAACACAAAATTGAATAATTCCAAATGTCAAATGAAGTCGACAATCATTTATTTATCTCTCATCTCATCCTGACTTTCGAATCAATTTAATAAACTTTTTTTTATTTGCAGTCCACTGACTTTCAATCGAATCCGATTGAGATTTCCTTTATGAAAATAAATGTCTTTTCTCACCGCTCCAACACTTTTCACATCTTAATTCTTGGACTAGCATGTTGGACGATCAACTTCTTTATTCTTCAATGACCTCCAGCAATATTTTCCTTCACATAATGAACCGTTCATTTTTCAGACGAAGGGAATTGCTTCGAAATTTATTGATTTCGTTTGCGTATGTAATGTTATGAACGTGTGACAAGTTGAAAAAACGTTTGACAGTAATCTGACTGTTACTTAATATCATTGTTGCGTCCCAAGCTTTATGTTTTCACAGCACAAATATTGATGTCATTCAATTTATATTCTTGAAAATCGCTACACTTCTGGTCTTGTCAAAACTTTCCATCACTAAAATGAAATTACCGACCAAACAGCGTCGTTCACGGCCGAGAAAAATATGACAATCATAAATCTTATCCTTCGCTAAATTCTTGGGAGTTGAAAGAAGTTTCCTTAACGTCTACACATGAGCGTAACATAATTTATCGTTTTCACGAAAGAAAATCGTTGATTGTGAAAATAGTGCATCGGAGAATGAAGCAAGGAAAGTTGGAAAAAGGGAAGAAAATAAGTAGGCAAGGGACGATGACGATGATTTCTTGTCATGCAGAAAACCTGATGCGTAAGAAAACTATTTTTCTTCTCCCTTTGCTTTTGCTTTCAAAGATCTCGCCCCAAGATGATGCCAAAAGAGAAAAGAAATTTTTTATACACGAAACATATGTGCGGGCATGTAAGAGTTTTGAATTATTGCAGTTAATAATGAAATATTGTTTATTTATTGAGCTTAATAAATCATATCAAATAAATAAGTCAATTTGTTCGATTCGTATCGTTGGGCTGGAGGAATTTCTATTGCATCATTTTTATCGGCATGTTTTCCCTTCTTCTATTCACGTTTTCGGGTTGATGTAATCATATTTTTGTTGCGGTTCCGTAATGCTTTCAATTTTGGTCGCTCTTGTTTAGCTTCTTGTTATTGCCAACAATTTACAATTTGCTGTCGCTTTAGATTCAAGCGAGGGTTGAACAGAAGCACATACATGTTGACTTAATTACTGCCAACAAAGCTAATTCAATTTTCAAACAATGGACCTTTTGTGAAATAATTTCACTCTCCACTCCCTGTCAATGTCCCCTCCTTCACCTCAAATACTAAAAAGGGTTACAGATAATTCGGTTATGTAAGGAAATTTGCATTTTAAAAGATTTTCATTTTGAAACAATTTGAAATGAAAACTTCATTCGTGATTTGATTTTCATTCATTTTACTCTCTGGTTTAATGAAGCAGCAGACTTAGTGCAAATATTTTAACATGTAAATTGAATGTAATATAATATCATCATCAATTGGAAAAGGGATTTAAATAATTAACTTATTTTGTTGCTAACTGTAAATGTGAATAAAGTTAAACAAAATTTTTACTTGTAATTTAAACTTTTGATATCATTCATTTGTTTCCGTGAATTAGCTTCATTTTCACTCACTATAATTAACCTAAATTTCTTTATAAAAATAAATAATCAATCAATTTTCGTTTTAAATCGATTTATCGGTCAAATAAAAGCAGAAATTCTTAAAATTCAAACGTCCAATATCTTATCGTAGATAGTTCAATCATGAACTTTAATTAATAATTACAGAAAAAAATGAATCGTAAAATAATCAAAGTAAAAGCTTTTGAGTACCTACGAGATTATAAGCGCCACTTAATGTTATCAAACTTCCTCTTTCAAAAGAAAATGATAACAAAACTCTCAATAAGCATTTTCAAAAATATCTTTATGAGTAATGTTGATATAAATTTTATACTTCTAAGATTTTAGGCACTTATGAGGAACAATTAAGTGCTTCAATTCCATTTATTGCTGATTTCTATCACTTCAGAAATCGGGACTTCTCAGATATTTCCTATGACGTTAATTGACGCACTAAAGATAGCCGAAAGAAATCACACAACGGCAACTGATAACTTACAGCAAGTTGGTGAAAATTTTCATTTTTCTGTCAGATGTTTCAATTATTTAACAAAAAAATGAATTAATTAAAGAAATATTTTATTGATAATCCTAAAAATGGCAAATTAACAATTCAAAAGTATCAACATTGATAATCTACAATACAAATTGAATTTCCAGGATCTCCACAAGCTGCAGTTATGACATCAAATATTTGGTTCTCTGGACATTGAAGTATATTTGTCATCCCTCTGTTACAGAAGAAATATCTTCTGCAATCTCGTCTGTTACCAAGATAACCATTAGCATTTATTGGGCAACTTGTCAGACATTGATCAATGCGATCAAGTTGAGAATTTGTTGTGGTTTCAGTGCGTGTTGTAGTTTCAGTTGGGTTTGTTGAAGTTGAAATGGTGCTGGTTGATGAAGGATAAGTTGAAGACTCAGTTGAAGATGTCGGGATTGCTGTAGGCTGCGTTGTTGTGTCTGTTGGAGATGTCGGAATTGGTGGAGTGCTGGTTGATGTAGGATACGTTGAAGGTTCAGTTGGAGATGTCGGAATTGCTGTAGATTTCGTTGTTGCACCTGTTGAGGTCGTTTGAGTTGTTGGAGGAGTTGGTGGGGTTGGGATTACAGAAGTTGTCGTTAGCTCTGAAGAAACTGAAATTGTTGATGATGACATTGTTGATGTTGTCGAACGTGTTGACGTTTTACCTGCACACGAGTATTCCAATTCCCACTTCAAGTCATTTAATGTTTCTGGGGTGTTGGCAAACGAGTCTATGCAAATGTTTCTACTAAAATCTGCAACTTCCAAGTCATTGAGACCGTCTAAGATTCCACTTCCGACAGAATTAATTTGATTAAAATCAAAGTCAATCGATTTTAATTTCGGATTGTTTTGAAACAAATTTCCATCAAGGTGCGTAATTTTATTCAACCAAACACCAAAGAGAATTAAATTTTCGAAGTTCAAGACGTCACTACTAATTCTCTCCAAGTTGGAATTGTACCAGGTAATGACTCTAAGATTAGGAAAGAACTCTGAAATCTTTTTGGGAATTTCTGGAGTGTTTTGATTGATGACAAATAAATGATCGACATCGCTGTTCTGTCTTCCTAATAAATGAACTCCTGTCACACCTTTCACTTCACTTCCATCAAAAGAAACTTCAGCTACGCATTGGTAAATGTTCCCAACGAAACTTATGTTGGCAAATCCGTAATTGCAATAAATTGTCGTACTGTGTGTAACAGTGATCGATGTCATCAATATAAGAAAGCAAATATTTTTGATATTCCTGTAAAAAAATAAAATTAAAGATTTAAATTAAATAAAGTATCAACAAATTGTTGACAACAATTCATTTACATCTTGTTTAGTTGAAGACTTTTTGCAAACTGAATTAAAACACCAATCGCACTTTGATAAGTTTGTACACGACAAAGTCGAAAATTGTTTATCTAATCTTATCTTTATAATGACTCAACAATCTTCACATTGTACTCTCTTCACATTTAATTTAAGAGTTAAATTCGTCATATATTCACAGGAATTTAATTAAGTTTATTGGCATGGGATTAGCGGAATAATAAAGTTGAAAAAACTTTTCATATCTCAAATTTTAAACTTTCAAATCCTTTCCATTATCAAGAAAAGCTTTTCGGTAATCTCGTCGTAATATGTTATCAAACAAAGTCCTCAATCAGTGATAAGAGATTTGCTGAATTAATCCTTATAAAAGTGAACTTTTTTACTTATTTTGTTCAGTAACGTTTTGAGTTTCATTTCGAATCATAAAGCAAAATTAGAAAAGAAAAATCTTCAAAATGAGTCGACTCGTATTTTGTGCTTATTTAACTTTGATTATCAGCATTATCGTTCAAGCAGCAAGTTCGATTGATAAATGTCCTTCTGTGACAGATTTCCCATCATCAGATTTGAGAAGTTTCAGCGAAGAAGATTTCGCGTGGCAGGATCAAAAAAGTCTTGTGATTGTGTTTGACATGACATCATCGATGCGCGTTGATATAGAACAATTGAGAGCAGCTGCGATTGAAATCGTTAATGAACTATCTGAAAGGGAAGATAATGTCATTGAGAATTATATTCTGTCATTATTTGATGATCCTTGTAAGTTTTTAGTTTATTCAATAATAAATAAATTTATTTATTTATTTTATTTCTTACTCAGATATCGCAGAACCTTTTGTGACGACAGATCCATCAGAACTCATTGCGAGATTAAATGAAGTGGTAGTGAACCCCCCC